GACACTGGCTTATGGGAAATCCACTTCATGGGCGAATGGCCCGTGCAGGTTGCATTCAACGCCTGGGGATTAAACGAAGACGGCCTGCCCGATCAAACACAGGTATTTGGGGACATCGATGGAGACAACGTTTTGGATCAAGTCCCTCCAGTCACGCTGTTGAGCAATGTATTCAACGTCACCATCCCACCCCCTTCGCCCTATCTTTCCTTCAAGCTGTCGGTGGGTGACGGCGATCTTAAGGTCTACGCTACGCCCACAGGATCCAGATGGGTTCAGCTGGCCATCTTTATCGTGCTCGCGATTGTGCCTGTCGCCACCGCTGTCGGTGCGGTGTTTGTTTACCTGAAGGCATTTTACCAGGTCAAATTCAACCAAATCGGTGTCACCGAGAAAAGGTCAAGCTTCACTCCACTGGTGAGCGTCTTTCAAAAGGTGGTACAGCGATCTAATGCCAGGGAATCCAATCCCGGACTTGCTCTAACCAATATGGGCCCGTTCCCATCTGAGAGTGGAGGCGTCGTCGGTGCCACCGTAAACACCCGACGACGAACCGTGCTTATTGCAACGATGGAATACGATATTGAAGATTGGGGCATTAAGATCAAAATCGGTGGGCTCGGTGTCATGGCCCAGCTGTTGGGGAAACATCTGACCCATCAGGATATCATATGGGTGGTCCCTTGTGTTGGAGGCGTTGACTACCCCAAGGACGATCCCCGTGAGCCGATGGTGATCACCGTTCTTGGGAATAACTACCAAGTGGATGTCCAGTATCATCGGCTGCAAAACCTCACGTACGTCTTGTTAGACGCGCCTGTGTTCCGAGCTCAGTCCAAATCAGAGCCGTACCCTGCCCGCATGGATGACCTGAATTCGGCTATATTCTATTCTAGTTGGAATCAATGTATTGCTGAAGCTATCAGGAGATTTCCGGCTATCGACCTCTATCACATCAATGATTACCATGGCGCCGCTGCCCCTCTCTATCTTCTGCCTCGCACGATTCCATGCTGCCTGTCTCTGCATAATGCTGAATTCCAAGGACTTTGGCCAATGAAAACTCCACAGCAAAATCAAGAGGTTTGCAGTGTCTATAACCTTGACCATGCATTGGTAAAGAAGTATATTCAGTTTGGCGAAGTGTTTAACCTTCTTCATGGAGCTGCCAACTATCTGAAAATTCACCAAAACGGGTTCGGTGCTGTCGGTGTGTCCAAGAAATATGGCAAGAGATCGTACGCCAGGTATCCTATTTTCTGGGGTCTCAAAAACATTGAAGCGCTGCCAAACCCCGATCCATCTGACATCGCTGAGTGGGATCACAACGCAAACAACAATCTCGAAGACATTATCATCGATGCAGAGTTTGAAGCCAGTCGTGCCCCACTCAAAAGACAAGCGCAAGAATGGGCAGGGCTCAAAGTTGACCCAGAGGCCGAGCTGTTTGTGTTTGTCGGTCGTTGGTCCATGCAAAAGGGCGTTGATTTGATTGCAGACATTTTCCCCTCCATTCTAGACGCTCACCCAAAGGTCCAGTTGATGTGCATTGGTCCAGTCATTGACCTACATGGAAGGTTTGCCGCGTTGAAACTGAATCGACTCATTGAGCTCTACCCTGGGCGAGTCTATTCCAAACCAGAATTCACTGCACTGCCGCCCTTCATTTTCAGTGGCGCTGAATTCGCCTTGATTCCTTCGCGTGATGAACCGTTCGGTCTGGTGGCCGTGGAATTCGGACGGAAAGGAGCGTTGGGCGTGGGATCACGGTAAGACTGATCTGGCTTGAGTCTATCACCAGTGCTAACCTATGTTTCTTTAGTGTTGGTGGCCTTGGGCAGATGCCAGGATGGTGGTTCACAATGTGAGTTTGTTTGTCTCACAATACGTTCAGCCTAACCCATTCTAGCGAGTCTATGACAACCAAACACCTTATCCAACAGTTCAAGATGGCCATCAACGACGCTCTGAAATCGTCCCAGGAAACACGAGCGCTCATGCGTGCACGATCCAGCAAGCAGCGCTTCCCCGTAGTACAGTGGGTTGAGGATCTGGAAATCCTACAATCCACTTCAATCGAAAAGCACGCCAAGTACTCTAAACGCCACGATCGCAGTTCATGGAGGTTTTCCCATGGCAGCACCCTTGTCCCAGAAAGCATTCGCAAAGTCTCGTCGAGTTCAAACAACAGCCGCAAACGGAGCCTATCACGCAGCTCCACCGCGTCTGTCCCGCCGAGCAGGCCGATTACGTCTGATATGAGTTTGTCTGTACCTCGACCGGGTTTTGACCACATTCTCTCGCCGACAAATCCGTCCTCCAATCTAAACATGTCCGACAACGAGCCCGATTCTGACAACGGCCCAAGACGCAGACCCTTGTCCTCCGACCCTCTCGCAGATTCGCGAATTGTTTACTCTGCGGTAAGCGACGGAGAGGATCTCGAGCCCATGTCTGGGGCCATCCAAGAGGATGGCAGTGTTCGTCCATCGCCACTTGGGACACCTAGTTTTTCCTTTGCTCGATCTGGTGCCAGCACACCAGTTCTCGGTACACGATCAGAAGACGGTCTACTGGGCCGAAAAGACGCAAGGGCATCCATGATGAGTCTGATCAGCGTCGATGATATAATAAAGGAGAAACAAGACTACAACCTCCAGAAAGTTGATCCATTTTTCACGGATGTGAATAACGAGTACGCAGATAAGTTTGAGAAGAAGCTTGCGGATCTGAAAGGGAAGAACTCCGAAGACCAGCTCTGCATCGAAGAGTTTCTCGAGAAGAGCCAAAAAGACTGGTTCAATCGATACCGCGACGTCAAACTGGGCAAGTCCCCCTTGCCGTCTCCTGCTCCCTCTGTCTTTCGCATCAAGGTTCATGAAACAAGTCGACCAGAGAGCCCGCAAGTTACTGGTCCAGGCGCAGACTCAAATTCTGGGCAATTCCTTCTCCCAAATGACTATGTTCCCCCGACGGGTTTGAAGCGTTTCATGTTGATGAAGCTGGGTGATTGGCCTGTGTACTCCATCTTCCTCGCTATTGTGAGTTGGAACCCCACCAAAACTTTTCATTACAGAGGTTGACAACATTATTTTAGGGCCAAATTCTCGCCTTGAACTCGTACCAGATCACACTCCTGAACGGTGAGATTGGAGAGACGGCCCAAAAGCTATACATTCTGGCATCCATCTATCTTGCCTCTTCGATCATATGGTGGATGGTCTTCCGTCTAGTCCCCTCAGTCTATGTGTTGGCGACTCCTTTCTTTGTACGTTCATGCTCCTCTATCTGGCTCACGAGGTTGCAAGCTAACTATCCGCAGATATACGGGTTTGCCTTCCTATTTGTCGGTCTTGCCGGTCCCATCCACAACAGCACAACTCGATCATGGCTACAAAACGTGGGAATCGGCTTGTATTCGTTTGCATCTTCGAGTGGGTCAGTTTTCTTCGCACTCAACTTTGGAGATGAAGGTATGCAACAATCCTTTTACGAAGCATGGATGTTATCTGACTTTCTTGTCCAGGTGGAGCGCCTCTTAGGTCTTGGATTTATAGAGCTACCGTCATCCAGGGCACTCAGCAGTTGTTCATCAGTTTCCTTTGGTACTGGGGTAGCTGGATGGCAGCTCTCAATCAAAAAGGTAGCACGCAATTCAGCCTTGCCATGACCAATCCAGGCGCTTTGCTCGGGATCGGACTAGGACTTGCCTCTCTTCTGTGGCTGTTGGGGGCCCTGGTCTTCTTTGGACTTCCTGCATATTATAGGCAAGCACCAGGTCAAGTGCCGACATTCTACCTATCGCTCTTCCGCCGTCGCATAATTCTTGTATGTCTCCTCCATTTCTCTCTCAAGCTAACTTTGATTCTGACGCTGTATTTTGCAGTGGTTTTTCTACATGGTATTCATATCAAACTACTGGCTGTCGGCACCTTACGGACGAAACTGGCTCTATCTCTGGTCCAGCAAGCATGCACCCGTGTGGCAAATTGTGCTCCTTGTCCTCTTCTTTTTCATCATTGTCTGGGCAGCAGCTCTCTGGGTCTTTCACGTCTTTTCCAAGAGACACGCCTGGTTCATCCCGATCTTTGCCGTCGGTCTTGGTGCTCCTCGATGGGGCCAGATCCTGTGGGCAACCTCCAACATAGCCGCGTACATCCCCTGGGCCGGTGGTCCCGTAGCCGGAGCTATACTTGGTAGAGCACTATGGCTTTGGCTAGGAGTTTTGGATTCCCTTCAGGGTGTCGGTAAGTTTCCTCTCGCAGCGAATGAAACGTAACACAAACTGATCCACGCCAACACAGGGTTTGGAATGATCCTCCTCCACACAATGACTCGATTCCATGTCACCTTCACACTTCTAGCCGCGCAGGTGGTCGGTTCTGTTGCGACTATGCTCGCCCGCGCGACAGCACCGGATAAGTTAGGCCCTGGTGATGTTTTCCCTGATTTCTCCGCTGGCGTCGCAGCCGGCTTGGGAAAGGCAGACTTCTGGGTCTGCTTGCTTTTCATGCTATCTATCAATGTGCTCTGCATCTTTTTCTACCGCAAGGAACAACTCGCGAAACCTTGATCGCTGTTCCACCCTGGTCTAGCGTTCTTTTCTTTCTTTTCTGTTTGACATCCACTTAACATTGTGTGGCGTAGGTATTGTGATTGAAGAATTAATTATACTATAGTTGGTTGCATTTGCTGGGGCGCAATAGACTTTGTGAAAGTCGCCCCAGGTTTTGGATTTGTACATAGTGTATACTACTACTACTACTACTACTACTACTACTACTACTACTACTACTACTATCATTATTATTACGGCTGTATATCTTCAGAACTCTTGTGGTCTGCTCTGCTCTGCATGGCTGGAGAGGTACAGTGTCTGCGAGAACTGGTATTTGAAATTCACCCCTAGTCGCACGACGCTAAAGCGGCGCATCCTCATTTTTCATCCTATTGATTGCACTGATGATACAAACATGTGCCAACATATTCCTTTCCAGTCTCTAATCAAGCACATACGACCATAGGGTGTGGAGAACAGGGCTTCCCGTCCGCTCAGCCGTACTTAAGCCACACGCCGGCAGGTTAGTAGTTGGGTGGGTGACCACCAGCGAATCCCTGCTGTTGTATGTTTTTTGGGGTTTTGGAGTTTTTTTTTTATTTGTTCGGGAAAGTTCCCTTGCCGCCCTAATCTTCAGTCCCTTAGTCCCTTCATCTGAATGCCCTGAACACAACTAATTTGCACCTGAATATCCTGCAAGCCCCTGAAGCGCTGACCTGTCCTTTCCAACCCTTCCCCTCCTATGCTGCTTTTTCCTCATATACGTCGTTTTAGTCATGACTCTCTGATCTGGTCTTGGCTGTATCTCCAACGTCTACAGTAGTGAAAATTTTGAAATAAGAATAAATTAGGATCCTCAGAATAATATCTGTTTTCGGAGATACATTTGGCGAAGGCATTACTTATAGCAGAGTTATTATAAGGAAAAAGACACGCAAAAAAAAGAAAAAAGTCATCCAGGAGTTCCGAATTTAGGATATCGATAGTGGTCTAAGCGATATAAACTATGATTTAGATATAAATGAAAGCAATTATGAAAACCTTCCTAAGTAGGTGCCCTTCACAAAGATGAAAAGTCTCACTCATGAAAGTCCTAGCCTTTCCAGTCAACATTATTTCCTTATGTTGACATATTTTTACTCTCCGCGTCACGAACGCGTCCCCAAACCTGAATCTATGCCATGGTCGACTTTACCCAATCGATAACAAGCTATTTTAGGGTATTCTTGTGCAAAGTCCACGTGCCTTGAACATAAGCAAAACATATTGATAATATGTTTGATAAAGTAATACGTTTTATAGAGACTTTACTTCTAGCATCTATTCTAGGACAACCTAGAGGATATTTAATCTACAACAAAGTATTCAGACTTATATATTATGATAGACAATATCTATTATTTGGAGTGATAGATTTTATCCATCCTACTGTAAGAAAATAAGAGACGGAAATTCGTAGAAGTTAAAGTGCGTATGTCCCTAATAGCTTGATTGTCCAAGGCAATAATCCTGCGAAGCGCAATTGATCACCGTTCAGGTCCGATTCCGCCATGGCCGAGCCATCGAAATAGTGTCTTGGTCAGCATTACTATAATCAACGAACCCAAACTTTGCGTACAAAGAAGCACCATTTCTACTGGCGCTCACATACGTCCTAAGTCCTTCGACATCGGCCAGATCACATCCCCACTTAACAAGTATGGAAGCAGCGCCTTGCCGTTGATAGTCTGGATGCGTAGCGACTATGTCTAAATCTTTACCTCGAACAACAGTTAGTGCAGGTGCCCGAAGCAGACATAGAACGGGAAAACACACAAATATGTTTTTGGTCACCCATAACTCGCTTTCTATTGCTCTCGCCTCTACTGACAAGAGCTTCGCAAAGCTCCCTAGGCATATCATCGTGCCACGGTGGATAACGGGGCCCACGTTCTTCGGGCGTGGCCAGGTCCCATTTTGCATAGGCGACTATTCTCGATTTTTCATCGGCATCTTTCGATCCGGCGTCAATTACTTTGAGAAAGCGCTGGAAAGGTCTTCCTAAGTCCCTGCGGATGGCATCTTCCAGCCAGCTTCGCACCCCAACTGTATGAGGAAACAAGCGTCGGGAACCAGGGTCTGAAAATGCCGCGAACCAAATGTCTATAAGGGCGGAACTATCTTCGAGGGTGACGAGGTCTAGTTTTAGGTTCGAAGATGCCATTTGGAAAGCAGGAGATGAAAGAGTTATCTGGTAAAAGTGCAAGTATGTAAAAACCCAAGAACAAACTTTGCCAGATCGGTAGTGGGCAAAAGTCTGAATATGGCAGTTTAAGCACTGTAGGAAGGCGTGCTTTCAGTGGAGGTGGGAAAGATGCCAAACCGTGGCGGTTGGATAGACGCACCTGGCGACCACAAACGTGACAAAACGACGCTTTAGAAAGTGTAATAGAAGTTCTGTCGGCAGAATATATGTGGGTCTATCCTACCAGGGTGCAAATACTAATGATATGTGACTATAAGTCGCGATTTTTTAGTTCCGGCTAGCACGAGGATGAATCGCAGCTATGGAAATGCCTTGCAACTTTTGATACTACAGGCCCTAATAACTAAAATAGATCACATTTATCTGGCAATAAGGCAAATGTCATGATATCATGAGTGATAACGAAGGCATATCGAGCTCCAGTAGCTGTCTCCCGCGCACAACCAAAGATGGGCGGCTAGATATTTCCGGAAATCTTGGGAAATACCTGGTTGGGCGAATAAATCATGGTACGCCCTGAGAATGTTCTACTCGCACTCAATAGCCAAGTCCTTCACAATTTGAAGGCTTTCCATCTCGGACACTTGCCGCATTCTCATGGTGACTGCATTCATCATTCTTTGAACACCCTCGTATGACTCTCGAATCTCCTTGGCCCAACTCCAATAGTCATTGATCAACGAAAAGTTTCGTGCCGCAAGGTTGCGGAAATGGTCGATCGCTTGCCTTTCCTCTCGGGTAATATTCAATCTTAGGACAAAGATAGTTAGGTGGGAGTAGGGGCTGATAAAACAGGGTCAGTGATGATTCAAAAATGTTAAGTCAAGGCATAGCCTTGGCCAGGTATAACCCAAGGCAAACAAATACTCACAGGAAAGCGACGTTCATCTCTCGGAACTTTAGGTATGCTTCGAGTGATTCCAGTGTATTTTCGTCGCGAGTGTCTGCCTGCTGAAGCCAGTCCCGCCAACCTTCAAATAGTAAAGAAGCTCCTTCGTAATCGTAGTCGAGCATCTGTCTGAGTCGAGGGAGGAAAAGTCGTTCCATGGAGGTAGCCGGTTCCGGTTTCAGTTTTACGATCCTGAAGACGTGATCGAGCGGCATGTTAAGCTGTTCATGAGCCTAGATTAGAATAGAAAATTAGATGTGATTGGAGAAAAGTGCCTAGGTGGAATTCTTACCTCCTTCCGAGACCTACGATCAGCCTTATCTAATAGTATTGAGTTAGTTGGGGCTTAATGACAGGGCCAGGAAGTGAAAGATGTACCGTCAACCAAGAAAAATGTCTGGGTCATCCAGCCAGCCAGAAATAGTAGCTCGGGGGAACACTCTGATAGAACCAGCGACTCCCAAGGTCCTGTCAAGGAACTTTCACTCCCCCTGAAGGTAGATGGGATTTCTTCACCCATATTGTCCTCCCATTCTTTTCTGGCCACTTTCGCAGCTGCATCTACTGTCTCGAACCCGTCATGGAGATATCGCAGGGCAAGAGGACATGGAGCTACCTGCTCTAGATTCATTCCTATGGAAGAGGGCTACGGAGTATCTTGCGCGACCCGAAAACGAATCAAACAGTCCAGTCCAGGTACCAGACGACTGAGTAGATCGCCGTTTGATGCCCTCGAGAAGAAAGTAGGCCGATTCATCGACTGGACACATCCCGAGCCAGGAACTGCATTTTCTTTGAAAAATGACTTCGAAATGTACAATCGAATACTTCAATGCTTGCAGAAAGTCACAGATTCATGGAAAGCCACACCACATCGACTTCAAATCCAAGTCCCAGCTTGCTACAACTTTAAACAAGCAACGGAAAAAGCATGGTAATGATTTCCGACGGGGTACACACCGTGCAATATGATTCATTCTCAACGCATAGCACCTTTCTCCAATACCATAAGACAACTACTGATTAGCAACTACTGCCCGCCAAAGATCTAGGACGAATCACAGGCAGCGGGCCTAACAAAGACTGCTTGATAAGACCATATATAAGCCAAAGACGGATACAAAAGCTTCCCACAGCATTTTAATTTACACCGTTCTCTCTACGCAATTACCCACTCCATATCGATCAAATGGAATCACTCGGTATCTCATCAAACGTTATCTAGCAGTACGCGAGGATCATGGCCGAAACACTAGCAATAATGCATTGGGTTGGCGAAACTTGTGGCAACGACATCGATTTTGTCCTTGCGCCTCCAAATGGGAAAAAAGCCTGGTCATCTGGCATACAATATAATGCCCTTGGAGACCATTCGGTATGAGTCTTGGACTTTGTTTTGTATAGGAACAGGGCCATGGACTCGTAACGAGTGGAACAAGCTGTCACTGTTTTTGGGGGAATGGTCCATACTATCCTCGACCAGGAAAAGAGACTATGGCTTGCGTTTCGAGAACGATATATCCAGATGAGTGACGCTTGTCTCGAGTTTTGCGAGTCGGAAGAAGCCGACAGACGGCGGATCCTATCAAATCAATTTATTGACTTGGTAGAACGGGAAGGGAATAAAAAGAAGACGAGTAATGGAGGGCAATGATACTATTGTTAGATAAGTTTGAGACTTGTCATTTCTGTCCGTTGGGTTCCAATACTTGCAATTACAAGAGTGTTCTAACAGGTGCATAGCTAGACGTACGTGATACAAGTGGTGCAGCCACCTCATCGGTCCCGGGGCAAAGAAATAGAAATTAAAAATTAAAAAGATAAAAAAAAAAAAAAAAATGAAAAGAGACCGAGGAACGGGGGAAAATTTTTCAGTTCCAATTTTTGGAGGGGACAAAAAGAATATCTCAGGTTGTTCTGTAGGAATAGCCGAACGCGGGGGTCGAACCCGCAACCTTGAGATTAAGAGTCTCACGCTCTACCGATTGAGCTAGCCCGGCAGGGCTTGGTGAAGGTAGCCGGCGGTAATAGAACTATGAAGCAGAGATTTTCTGAGGGACCCACTTGAACAACTTAGCACTTTAATCAGCCCCACTCGGCAATGTCAACAGGAGACCAAGGCGATCGAAGCTAAATCCATGCGTGGGCTCAATTGGGACGCATTTGGACTAAATCCAGCATGATTATTCCTATCACGATTGCATCGCATGTCAAACATTGCACTGACTGGGGGAATGGTGGGGCCAGATTGTTTCGGATCAGAGAGGGCCGAAACATAGTCATGGGTAGTATGTAAGTAACTGGTCACATATACAAGATCGCGCCGCCCGGAGTGCCCAGGTGTAGCAACGATCCCATCCGGTTACATTTAGAAGTGGATAGGGGACAGAGAACAGGGAAGGTACAAGGAATATCCAAGTAACATACGAGGAACTTGCCACTTGGAAGCTTCGAAGCTTCGAATCGGTCAAACCCCACCACTATCTTATGACGTCAACACCCCTCTTGCACGAGCAAAGGGTTACCGGTTTTTTTTTTAGGATCTGACATGATCTTTTCTTCTCTACTTAACACTGCTCTGTCATATATCTTCCCATTCTCATATATTCGGTATATAAAAAAACTCCCGGCAAAATGGCAGGTGGTCAATTCCCAGTGGATCTCAAGCAGTTCAAGCAACTCAAGCTTGACCCAAAGAATACAACCCTCACTGCCGATCAGAAGAAGGATCTATTGCACAACATTAACGTCTTCCGTGATGCCATCATTGCCTTCACTGCGACAGGTGCTGCTCGCGGCGTGTCCGGCCACACCGGTGGCCCATTCGACACAGCCCCCGAAGTCTGTGTTCTGCTCGCGATGATCAACGCCAACCCTGACAACTTCGTGGATGCATTGTTCGATGAGGCAGGCCACCGTGTTGCCACACAGTACCTCCTAGCCGCATTGGACGGCAAGATTGATCCCGAACACCTTTTGAACTATCGCGATGCCAACTCAAAGCTCCCCGGTCACCCCGAACTTGGTCTCACCCCTGGGGTCAAGTTTAGCTCTGGACGCCTTGGTCATATGTGGGGAATGGTCAATGGTATTTCGATGGCTAACAAGGATAAGAATGTCATCATGCTGGGCTCCGATGGCTCCCAACAAGAAGGAAATGATGCCGAGGCTGCGCGTATCGCTGTGGCCCGAAACCTCAATGTCAAGTTGTTCATCGACAACAACGACGTCACAATTGCAGGTCACCCCTCGCAATACTTGAAGGGCTATGACATCGCTCGTACCCTGGAGGGTCACGGCCTTCACGTTGTTCGTGCCGAGGGTGAGAACATCGATTCTTTGTATGGAGCTGTCGCCGAGGTCATCAATCACAAGGGCCCTGCGGCCGTCATTGTGAACCGGGTTATGGCTGCAGGTATCGAGGGCATTGAGGGTGAAACGCACGCCCACGATGTTATTACTGTCGATGTCGCTCGCAAGTACCTCACCAAGCGGGGATACAGCAAGGAGAGCCTTGCTTTCTACGACAATATCAAGGCCCGCTCCAATCCTCACAAGTACCAGGGATGCTCAACAGACAAGGCTGCCAACCGCTCCATTTTTGGCGAGGCAGTCAACTCTGTTCTCGACGGCTTGAGCAAGGAAGAGGCTGCCCGTCGTGTGATGGTGATTGACTCCGATCTTGCCGGCTCAACCGGTCTGAAGGCCATTCAATCTCAGCATCCTGAAGTCTTCATACCCTCCGGTGTCATGGAACGAGGCAACTTCTCCGCCGCCGCCGGCTTCGGTTTCGGCAGCAACGGCGAGCGCCAGGGTGTCTTCTCTACTTTCTCCGCATTCCTGGAAATGTGTATCTCCGAGATCACTATGGCCCGCCTGAACAACTGCACCGTTCTATCCCACTTTTCACACAGCGGTGTGGATGAGATGGCCGACAACACCTGCCACTTCGGCCTTAACCACTTCTTCGCCGACAACGGCCTCATGGATGCCGAGAGCACCACTCTTTACTTCCCCGCCGACGGCGAGCAGATGAAGGCCGTCGTCAACAAGGTCTTCTGGGACTCAGGCTTGCGTTTCATCTTCTCCACTCGCTCCAAGGTTCCCTATATCCTGAAGGAGGGTACTGATCAGAAGCTCTTTGGCGAGGGCTACAAGTTCGTTCCCGGCAAGGAGGAGATCGTCCGCAAGGGCTCTGCCGGATACATCGTGACCTATGGTGACATGGTGTACCGCTCGCTCGACGCCGTTGAGCGCCTGCGCAAGGATGGTCTCGACATCGGTCTGATCAACAAGCCTACTCTCAACATTGTCGATGAAGATGCTATCCGCACATACGGCTCCACACCATTCGTTCTCGTTGTGGAGTCCATTGCCCAGAAGACCGGCCTTGGCTCTCGTCTCGGTACGCACTTGTTGGAGCGCAAGCTCACTCCCAAGTTCAAGTCTATGGGTGCTGTGAAGGAGGGCTGCGGTGGTCTTTATGAGCAGGTCAACGCCCAGGGTCTCGGCCCCGATGACATCGTCGCGGCTGTGAAGGAGATCGCCGGAAAATAGATTATTTACAACGGCTTTAGATATGATTATAAATGTCCTAAATAGTTACGAGGTTCTGAATTCATTGTGCATTCCTGAGTAAATTTAACTGGTTAATCTGCAAACTAGTAGTTCCACTTCACCAAACTAACTCCAACCTCAACTTCAAACTTTACTCCCGATCCTCAGGATGGAAAATCAAAGCCCGCACCTCAATACTCTCCCTTCCATCTTCATTCTCAGTCTCAGGATTCACAAACGCCGAATGAGGCACGCGTCTGGCCCTCCCGTCCGTCTTAGAATCAAAGCACTTAATCAAAGTTACCAAGTCCGGAGTCTGCCCATAGCGATAATACCACTTGATATTCGGATCCGGCTTCACGGCATAGGTTTCACCTTCCCGATCAGGATAAATGAGTCCCACCGGGACGAGATCGCTATCTGGCACGGTATGGGCATCTGCCACAGCCAAGGGGTCTTTCAGGATGGTGCGAATAGGGCGCCAGACGTTGATGATCTGATATCGACCCTTTAGGAGCTCTTCTGCTTCGTCAGGCAGGTGGTGGGAGACTCGGCTCTTTGAGGCTGTGTATGATTGATCGATGTGGACGCGTTGCACGGGGCCGCGGAGCTGTTTTGATCCGTCTCTGGCTGGATCTTGAGAGACACGGCGGATGGTGTGGTCGAAGATGAGGACACGAGAGGCGCCAGTTCTGTATAGTTTAGTTGGGTCCGATATGCGATGCTTTGCTGTGAGACTATCGCAAGGAGACGTACGCATCTTTGAGCAACTGCTCTGTCTCTGGATAATACTCTTGTTTAATCTTTTCATCATCCAGAAAGTCCTTCTCAGCGCTCTTATGGTAGTAAAACTGGAAGCCGTTTCCGTCAAGAGAATAATCCAGCTCGTGTCCGCTGACGTCTTGAATAATGACAGGGAGAGAGATGCTGGGCTTGTTGAAGGTTTCTGGTCTGCTAATGATGGTAGGAGAAGGGGGGAACCATCGTCATTCTCTTTGTAGAAGTTCAAACTTGTGTCAACATGACGGGGTTTCTCGGAGATGGTAACAGCAGTCGGTTTCTGAGCCAAAATGGATCCATGGCTACTGAGAGGTTGAACTGCGGCAGATGCCATGTTTTGCTGTTTGATGAACGCCCAATATTGATGGCTGTTGTTGGAAATGGTATCAGAAGTAATTATTTCCTTAGGATCTATCAACTTTTATAATCGAGTTTACTTGCGGGGTCGTCGTCGCATTTGTCAGGACAGCACGCAATATTCGTCGTACATAGCAAAATGCTGATAAATGCACTCTAAGCTGCACAAATAGCATCAGATGATGAGCGTAACATGTGATAGTCTTGCTGAACACAAGAAAGTGCGTGCCTAATTGACGATACTTTGATTTCTCATCCATATCCAGATAGGCGATCGCACCCGAGGTGCAAATTCCTACAATCTCTCTTACTTTAGATCCATGATAGATGGAAAGAGCGAGGTGATACCATAGCTCCCAAAGTCACTAATAGTTCACCCAAGAAAACAAACTTGATGCAGAAAAGAGATGAAGCTGTAAAACATTTTCCCTGACACATCAGCAATAAGAAGAAATAAGGGGAGGCAAATTTATTGGTGTAAAGGCAAACTTGCATCAAAAAAAGGCATGTATTTACCTGAACCTGCTCTACAAATTCCATCTCTCTCCTTAACCATATGATGTCGTTTTAAAATACCGGCTAACGGATGCGGGCCCTAGCGCCGGTCTCTACGGTAGTCAAGAGGGCTCCAAGTTAAAGGTGCTATCACTGAGAACTGGAGCCGACCCACTAAAAAGCTAATGGTGTTCTACGTAGGCTCGCTTGTTCGATGATCCTATGCTTGACGTTTTGGTTCTTCTCGTGTTGCACCTTCTATGAAGCGGATGAATATGATCGTCACTCACATCTTCCTGCGGCTTGTGTCCTTGTGTTCCTTGGCCAAAACACATATGGTGTTAGTTCAATTGAGTTCGTTCTTCTGCGACTGCCTACATAAAACAAAAGGATGAAAGAGAGCGAGCATTGAATCCTTCTAGCTGAAAGAATCTTCATCAATTAGATTAGAGCCCATCGCTTCAACTCGAGCAAGAAAGTAAAGGCTAATGGAATGAGATTGGACAATAAAACTATCGACTCATGAAAAAAGAAAGACTAGCAGGCGTATGTCTCATTATAGTGAAGCAGGATCTCGAAGGAAAACATCAGGAGGTGTCCTGCAGTCTAAGGTCATGGCATTGTCGTAGTGCCCTCGCCGTGCACATGAAGCCTTGTTAAAAAACAATCGCACCAAACACAATGAAAGCAGCTGCATCGTACACCAACACCAGGAAAAAAAACCAAAAAAGAAGGCAAATGGAATGGTTCTCCAGGACAGGAGGAGAAAGAAGTATGGACTGATATCCACGAGAGGGAATAGAAAAGGTTATTGTGACAACTTGACATCATGGACAGGAGAAGTGAAGTGTTGGCTTTTGTTCAATGGGGGACATTCAGGCGCTTAGAACATGAGAGAGCGCGTCTTCTGCCGGCGAGCGTCAATACCGCCCACCTCGGGTTGAGATTGGGTGTGCTTGTGTCGGGGCCGGGGAGACGAGGGCACCTGCGTCGCAGATCCTGCTGAGGCGGGAGGTGCCCCTGTCATATTGCTCTGCCGTTTTCCAGTGGGCGAAGGGGGACCAACTGGAAGACGGTCGGTTGTGGAACGGCGAGCCTTCATGCTTCGCTCACGCTTGAGCACAAGATCAGCCCAGGGCCTGAGCGCACCATTTCCAGACGAAGAACCCTTTCCGACGGCCTCTGACATGACTCTCAGCCAGCCGTCCTTGTCTGTTGCGCTGTCGGCATAGAAGTCAATCACTTCGCCGTTACCGAAGCGAATACGGAACCCTTCCTCGACGAACATATAGCCGTCCTCTTCTTCGGCGAAAGCCGACTTTCGGCGACCACCATTCTTAGTGCTGGTCTCCTTCTGAGTAAGAGACGGCCGGTCGTCGATGAGCTTGGAGGCCTTGGCCAGGTTTATGGTTGCACGGGGTTGGCGTGTTGTCTCATGATAAGCAGTTAGCTTGGAGCCCTGGAGCTTGAAAAAGCGACGACGCCAGAACTATTACATTTGTCAGATTACGATAACCCAAGAGAGCGAACGGGTCAAACTTACTGGGCAATCTCCACCTTGCTGGGAGAGGAATCCTTCCCAGCTGCGAGCAGCAACACTCTCGGCATCCCGCATCTCGCGAATACAGGCATTCATGCTTTTGGGCATGTCATCTTCTTTGCAGCCTTTGGGCTTGGGAACAAATAGCAACTGTAGTTCCAACTTGCCAATCTTGTACGGCGGGCGACGCTGAGCGGTCATGCTTGTCGCACTCTTCTTGCTCTTAACACTACTGGGTTGCTCGTCGACGGCCCATTCGTTGAAGCACGCAACATCGACAATGTAAGGACGACCAAAAGCTTGCTTCTCGTGGTCACTGAGAGCGACATAGGCACGAGCAAAGCTTCCATCCCGAGCAACAAGGTTTCGCAGGCGGTCATAAACAGGTGCGTTAACATCCTTTGATTGTTGCGTTTGCATTTGCTGCTTCAGATCAAGCTCCTTGCGTCTGCGCGGAGAGGCAAAAACACGGCTTAAAGCCGATGTCTTCTGGCGAGCAGGAGAGGCAGTGTTCTCTTGGGGATAAAGCTTGCTTTCATCGACCTTCATCTGCAGAGTCAACTGGAACTCAAGATCGTTTTGGACAATGAGCTCGAATTCTTGACCTATCGGAGCTGACTTGCCCAGCTCAAGCCAAGAGGTAGTCACACAGTGAAGACCATTGTCCAGGGTAAGTGCAAAGTGGGAGCGCTCGCCTATAAGACGTTAGCATCGAAACCATATTGACGATCAGCTTGTTTTGTCACTTACCACGTGGAAGGGGAAGATCCAAGTACTTGATTCCCACAACCTTGACGAAGAGACGGCCGCGCTCTTCTCCCTCCTCGAAGCTGTCCTGCGCGAGTGCCTCGTTTTCCTCGATGGTTGCCTGGGCCTCTTGGACATTGCTTGGCTGACCAGGGAGAGGGGGGACAGAACCTACGCCAGGAACAGGCTTCTTCCTTGGGACAGCACCAGCCATCTTGATACTTGGACGTCGCGTGGAACCATTCCATGGCTCTGTAGTCCAGGTCTGCTGGCTCGGCTTGCGAGGGGAAGAGCCCGCGGACCGGGTGCCGCGCAGGTCCTGCATGGACTGTTCGCTCGCTGTCGTGGGTTCTTCGTCGTTGTCGTTACGGTTGTTGGCGATGACAACCTTGGTATTCTGCCGCATGAGGTACCCTCTCTGTTGATTGTAAAGTTGGTTAGCAGGTCTGACAAAGTCGGCAAAGCTGGGAAGTCCTTGGGTTCTAGAGGCCAGCGGGCGATCCGCCTGGGAAGCTGGAACTGGAAGACAATCAAACTGGGAAAGAGCAAGTTGGAACGCAACCTTTTGGGATTCAATGACGCGGTCAAACTCCTTGTTGAGACCAGAGCCAAGACTTTCCTCCTGAATGCTGAAGGGAATATCGAGTTGCATCAGGCTTGACTGGCGTTGAGATGGGTTGGTTGGAAGGGTCAGCTGCGGTGGCAGATCGGTGATTTGGTCCTCGCGCTCAGTGTCGGTAGAAATCTGCGGGGGAAGCGACGGCACTGGAGGCACATGCTGGCCACTGATCTTGCGACGAGTTGCAGCCATGGACTCCAAATCAGCCGGGGTTAGGGAGGGTCGAGTCTTGAGACCAGCGCCTGGGGCTTTGATAGTGGCGACCGGTTCGGGGACAGATTCATCGGAGGAACTTTCGAAGGCTGCTTCATCTTCGTCGTCTTCACAATCGCCGTCCCCGATGGGATGTCGAATGACGGACTCTGGCGTAGAAGGCTCGGAGAGCTCATCTTCGTGCTCTTGTTTTATTTCGGGAGTGACAGGACGAGCAAGAGATTGGCGAATAGAAGCCATGTCAAATTTGTAACCTTCGTCAGACTGAGTCGTCTCTTTTGACTCCTCAATCTGTCGTTCGGAGACACCTTCGTTGTGCTGCTCGGCAATGGGGGTGGTCTGACCAGAGTTATCTTTCTCAGTAGTCTCCGCGGCGTCACGCAGTGAATAGTTGCTATCCTCATCATACTTGGCTCGCTGGTCTCTTGAAGACAGGCTATTGTCAGAATGATTTTGATAGTAATCAGGGATGGCATAAAGGTCGTCATCATGGGCCTCCTCTTTAATGATCACACTTGAAGAGTCGTCATCGTCATCTTCCAGAGACGGAATGGGGACATCCGGGTCATAATGATCATAAGGATTGGGGCTGGAGGAAATTTGGGAATCATCATCGGAAACCTCGTCCTCGAAAATCTCGCTCTTGCGAATATCCCGTAGGATTGAGTCCCGAGAGATTCGTGGAGGAGAGAAGACGTCGTTCTTTGATGGTTCTGCCGATGGGGTATCGTTTTCATGGGCCGATTCCTCAAGTTCAGACGTGGCTGATGTCTTCGATGACTCATTCGTCTCCTTTTCATCATTATTTCGAACTCCTTGCTGCTCATGGAGCATCATAAGCCTCAATCTCTCCTCTAAGGACATCCCGCCGTTTATGTCAGACTTGCTGCACGATGCAGGGCGGGGAGCTGCTGGCAAGTCACGCTGACTACTACTGCCGAGTTCGATGGCGGCGGCCAACTTCCCTGGCGAAGTTGGTCGAGACCCAGACAATGACATGCGCGCAACCGATGGCAGAGGTGGTAGTGGACGGCGTTCGCCATTGGAATCAAGAGATTCTACTCGGGAGTGACTGCTTGAGTCCCCTCCGCGTGACACAGGACGTTCGTCAGAGGTGTCATTGTCAGTGTGTTCAACGAATGAGTCTTCTTCCTCGTTTCCACTTTCAGGACTCATAAAACGCCAATCCTCGGGGAGAACCACTGGGGTCTTTTCAATGTCCTCAAGTGAGGCATCAAAGCTGTCGTCCCGCTCAACGGACGATTCATGCTCGAAGCTGACATCCGCATCCTCTTCCGAGTCATAGCTAGTTTCGCGGGACCCAGAAGCAAGAGAGGAGAGGTCAGGGGTGCGCATCTCATATTCATTGACTTGGGGGGGTGCAGCGTCAAATTTGACACTCTTCCCGTAAGCAGCGTTATCATACTCGGACCAGATGTCATGTGAAGGGTCAAAGCCCTTGCCATATCGGCTGCCCTTAGACAATGACGACTTCCCGGGGGGTGGGCTGATCTTTGCTTGGAGAAATTGGTCTCGGAATGCATGCAGCATCCTCCTCGTCGACGAATTTCGATTTGGCGAGATTCATTTGGCTGTCGCGGTTTGGTGACCGATCTGCGGCCAGTGGTCTCTGCGGTACATTGACGTGTGCTGGGTCATATTCAGTATCGCGAAACATGCTGGCATTATTCTTCACGCGCGACGCGCGCTTAAGATCCTCTAGGGATGGGCGACGCGCAGGGAAGTAGGAGGATTCCGGGTCATATGGCATACGGTTTTCGGCGCCTTTGGCAAAAGAAGTTGGGGATTCGCGACCCTTCCAGAAGAGACGCTGGGCAGATGTGTTGTTTAGAGGAGAGATATCGTACGCAGTGGCTTCGCCAACCGGCATCTAACACGAGAAGGTCAGCAAGTTGTCTCATTCGTTTGCAGCGCCGGTGTGACAGTACCTTGGTTGTTTGGTTCCAGATAGGAGAATTGCGTCTCTGCGCCATGGGACTCACTTCAGAAAGTGGACGCTGACCAAGGCCACCCATTGTGTAATTGTGCTACTCGAGACGATGAACGTGATGACAAAACAACGGTATGTCTGATGATATGTCAGTAATTGCTCATCGCGATCGAGGATTACGTCGAGTCAGAGGCCAAGCGCAGAAGACAAGTCTCGAACAAGGCCAACTTGCAGCATACCTTTGTTAACAGATCCCAGGCGTCGCGTGGAAAACAACGAGACCTGGTACACAACACTCCGGAAAGTCGTGTCGATCGTCTCAGGAATGTGAAAGCAATAGCCACAACAAAGCGAAAGGCAGAACAAACAAAAAGTCTGATAGTAAGATGGAAGGGATAACGAAGGGATGAGTGAGATAGAGGATAGAGGGTAGATCTCGATATCTATTCCATGGATCCGAGAGTGGATTGTTACCCCAAAGCAAGTTACTGATGTTGACAGAGTCGCGGGAGTCTCCATAGCAACGCGTCTGTTCAACTGTTTCAGGTGCGGGTCGGGCGGCTGACTCATCTCAGATTACGGTCACATGATGTCGGTGCCTGAGACGTCAGGATATATAGATCGGCACTAGTCCTGGTGGGGAATAGCGCGAGAACTTTCTCATAATCTGGTTTTCTCGGGTTCCAGTTCACTGACGCAAACGCAGTTTCACTGTACCAACATCCCGTCTTTCTCGATCTGATCACAGGCAGGATGCCTCTGCCCGTGCGCACTTCGATATGCTTCTTATGCCAGACAAGGGCCACCATTGCCCCGGTGCCAGCGCTTCTCTCGACATGGCAGGCTACGCGATCCATGGCTACGATGCGCCGCAAGGCCTCTCGCTTGACCCTATCTCCAAACGTCTCGAAGCCTACCTTGAATAAGCCCCGCTCCGGTCGATCTAGAGATGGGCCTTTTGCTGGTATGAACCAGAAAGAGGCACGGATTCGAGACACTCCACGTTCCAGGTCCCAGGCAGCTCTCAAGCGATCTGGAGAAGAAGGCAAAGACGAAAAGAAGGAAAGTCCGTTGTACAAAGCATTGAAGATGCAGACAACTTTGTCGCCAGTTCCTTACGCTCGTCGAACTGCCACCAAGGCGAGACTAGCCAACGTCACGAGCTTCGATCATTTCCCTCTCTTGCCAGCAGTTCGACAGTCGATCTTTTCCCAAGCTCTCCCTGGCCTGGCCGAAGTCACGCCAACTCCAATTCAACGACTCGCGATTCCCCGATTGCTCAAGGAAAATGATGGCAAAAAGGATATCATTAAGCCGGCCAGCGAGGATGCCCCCCAATATGAACAGTATCTGCTCGCAGCGGAAACTGGGTCGGGAAAGACTCTAGCCTATCTTTTACCGGTTGTAGATGCTATCAAGCGCGCCGAGAGGGTCGAAAAGGAGGAACAGGAAATCATTGATGCACAGAAAGCGAAGGAGCGGGAGGAGAAATTGAAAAACCGCACGTTCGAACTGGAGCCCGAAGAACCGCCCATGACTGATGCCGGTCGCCCCAGGGCCATAATTCTTGTGCCTACCTCAGAATTGGTGTCCCAGGTTGGAGCCAAGGTTAAGGCCCTTGCCCACGGTGTCAAATATCGTTCCGGAATGATTGCATCGACCCTAACACCCCGCCGAATCAAGAACACGCTATTCCACCCCGATGGTATCGACATCCTTGTCTCCACCCCCCACCTTCTCTCCTCTATCGCCAAAACGAATCCCTACATTCTCAGCCGCGTCAGTCACCTCGTGCTCGATGAAGCCGATTCTTTGATGGATCGGTCATTCCTACCTACTACGATGGAGGTTGTCGACAAGGTGGCGCCTTCGCTCAAAAAACTCATATTCTGCTCCGCTACTATCCCCCGCAGTCTCGATAACCAGCTTCGCAAGAAATACCCTGACGTGAAGCGTCTGACAACTCCGAATTTGCACGCCATCCCCCGTCGTGTACAGCTCGGCGTGGTGGACATTGATAAGGAGCCTTACCGGGGCAACCGGAGTCTCGCGTGTGCCGATGTGGTATGGTCGATTGGCAAGGCGGGTGAATCCAGTGACGGCGAAGACTTCGGTCCTTTGGCGAAGTACATGGGCCCGAAGGTCAAGAAAATCATTGTTTTCGTCAACGAGCGTGAAGAGGCAGACGAAGTTGCGCAATTCCTGAGCTCCAAGGGCATCGACGCCGTCGCCTTGTCTCGTGATTCCAGCTCCCGCAAGCAAGAGGAAATTCTTGCAGAATTCACTGAAGTTGACCTTCCTCCTACCTCGGACGAGATCGTGCTAGCCCAAAAACAGCACCGCGCCGACAAGTCCATTCCCTTCGACCTTCCCAATTCGAAGTCGGAGGTTACGCGCCGCCTGCCCAACACTAAGGTTCTTGTCACCACTGACATTGCCTCCCGCGGCATTGATACCCTGGCTGTGAAGACTGTGGTGCTTTACCACGTTCCCCACACAACGGTCGACTTCATTCACCGCCTGGGTCGTCTCGGCCGTATGGGCAAGCGTGGCCGTGGAGTTGTCCTGGTCGGTAAGAAGGATCGCAAGGATGTCGTTCGCGAGGTCCGTGAGGGCATGTTCCGCGGCCAGGCCTTGATTTAGATACATTGCATTTACTTGTACAAACCATAAACCGTGTACCATATGTGGCGTTCATGAAATTTGGGGTGTGTTTTGCGATTGGAAAAAGACGAATACCCGGCATTCTCGCATTGGAAAGTCATTGTATGATATTAGATATGATAGCTGAATTTCTACTCTGTGTATATTTTTGTGTCAGATATATTCACTTCAAGGAAACATATTCGTGGGGGGTTTTGAAGCTCACTCGGTGAATTTTTCGAATCCGCTGAGGTTCCATTGATGTTTTCCCGAGGTCATTGAGATGTGATATATTTCTTCCTACTTCAGGCCTCGCTTCTTTGACCGCCCTTTCCACAGCAACCATCCATGGACCATACCTTCAATTTCTTTCTTCTCGTCGAATCTTTTCATTCTCAAATCGAGTCTTTTTGCCTAATTGCTAACTTCAATTGGTTCCTGGAACACAAGAAAAATTTCGCGAACCTTGCCCAAGCGGCTGGTGAGACACCGGGTGCCTAAAGCGCTGGAACCAACAGCAACAATAACAACGCGATAAGTCCCCTGAAATTTTTAGGTCAACAAACCATTCACCCAACTCTATGCGAAGAAGTGGATTCACAGCCGCCCAGCAGAAGATGTCTATAGGCTTTGACACATACCGTTTTCGAATGGAGGATAATCCTTTATGGGAGACGTGGACGAGGGGAATATCTACAGCGGGAGAGCTAGTGGGGTAGCGGGCTTTCAACGATTCTTGCGACTGGTAGAACGGAAAGGAAGGGAACTATTGCATGACTGGTGGTCTCCTGCCAAGGCTCAGGAATGTATCAATCTTACTTTCACTTCCTAACAACACCTTGACAATGAGTACGACTTGTTCCACATGACTGATGAGGAATGTTGATATCGTCGGACGCTAAAGCGATCAAACAATCCAATGGCTCTGCAGCCCCGAATGATTAGTCAACAAATCTACAGTACCGGACTGTTTCATGAGGGCGAGTCGTGCTAGGTCAGTTGCAGCTTATGATGGAGTTGGAGAGGGCTATCAAAGCATAAATGGCTAATCTAGGGGTTATGTATGCCTCTTGTCATCAGCTAGGCGTTGAGAATCTTCAGAGTCAAAAATGATCTCATTTGTACCGGCATGAATGATGACAGCACCTTTATTTTTCCCTTTCAACGTACGTTAACTACCGTGTGCTCATCTACTTATTTGTCATAAGTCACCTTCCATTCCCCACTTATCAATTCTCTCTGTAGGAATTCAGTAAATTTGAGGTAATGATAAAAGAGCACACTAAGTGCATGAAACTGTGCAAGACCTCAAAAGAGGCGGTTGAACCTCTCCTATGATGTAACTTGGTTCCACTTTCAGCCGTCTCCACAGCGCGGCCCTTCACTTGCTTTAGTCTCACATCCAATAAGGTAGAAAATAGCAACTTCCTGAATATATGAAATGTGCATCTGTGGGTCTATCGACGTATATGGATCATGCAGGGGTTCGGGTTTAACGGAAGTAAAGCCTCCTGGGTGGGGAGCTCGTGGAGATATTTAGGCAGCTGACACTTGCGCATTGTAATTAAGCTTCACATTGACTTCTCCCACATAAAACTCAAGGGCACGGGCCCGATTGTGACCGAATCCGGTAATTTCAAGTCTGTGATGATGTAGTCATTTGCGGCCTGTTTCGGCGAGACCGGTCGGTCGATGGCATAAATTGATTAACCATCCCATCTCTCATCATTATCTCTCCCCTTTGGCATCACGGCACCATATTGAAGAGCCTGCTATCACTTTCAGATATTGCCAGTCCGCAAGATGGCCAACTTCATCGGCAAAGCATTTTGGACGCAATCCTATTGTATCCCTCCGCCACCTTTGACAGAGAAAAACCTCCCCGATCAGAAAAATCGGGTCCATATCGTCACTGGTGGATATGCTGGTGTTGGTAAACAACTGTCTGCAATTCTTTATGAAAAGGGCGCGACCGTCTACATCGCTGGTCGCAGCGAACAGAAAGCCGAAGACGCCATGCGTCAAATTAAGGAGGATCATCCATCGGCGTCGGGCCGTTTGCGCTTTCTGTTATTAGATCTTAACGACCTCACAACTATAAAGGCGAGCGTGGAGAATTTCTTGGCACAGGAATCTCGACTTGATGTTCTCGTCAACAACGCCGGTGTGATGTTCCCTCCACAAGGAACGAAGACAACCCAGGGCCATGACTTGCAATTTGGAACGAACATGCTGGGCCCATTCCTGTTCACTAAGCTCTTGATGCCCATCATGATTGAAACCGCTAAAACTGCATCCCCAGATTCAGTGCGGGTACTCTGGGCCTCGAGTCTAGGAATTCATGTCTTGTCTCCAAGCGGGGGTGGCATGGTGCTTGATGAATCTGGTGCACCCAAGGTTCTCGATAACCAACAAACCAACTATGCACAGACGAAAGTCGGCAATGTCTTCTTGGCTGTCAAAACACAAGAGCTTTATGGCTCTCAAGGTGTCAGAAGTGTTTCTTTCAATCCTGGAAACTTGAAGACGGAGCTTCAGCGTCACTCTACCGGATTAATGATGAAATTGGCTGAGTCTATGCTCTATCCAGCTATCTTCGGTGCTTACACTGAGTTGTATAGTGGCTGGAGCGAGGAGGTTGGTGCTGATAAGAGTATCACGTATGTGATGCCATGGGGAAGGGATGGTACACATATCGTAAGGTCAGATATACAGAAAGCTATCGAGAGCGGGGTAGCGGACAAAGTCTGGGACTGGTGTGAGTCAGAGACGAAAAGTTACTCGTAATCTTCAAACCAGTCTAGATTTCGGCTGTGTCTTGTCTGAGTTCGGAAATCTCATAGGAATTTTGTGACCTAAAACCCTAGAATCAGGTTCAACCTCATGCGTGATTTGTCTTGCATGCCTCATCGCGTTCTGCCACTTCCTTCGGCCAAGTGTCGTGTCTCGACATCCATCATTAATAGATCATGAGATTATGAAAAGACGAGCAACCTGAACATAGACAAATATACGTATTATCAAAGTTAGCAGCGAATATTGAGGTACGTGTGGATCTTGAAGGAAGCAAGCGGAGATGGTCTCGGATTTCGGATATCGGCATAAAGAGAATGAGAACGGAACGGATGAAGCTGACTGCAGCTAGTAGTTGAGTGAGCATACGATAGATGACATGGTGTACCTCTACCTCGCCTTTCAACTCCACGTATAATACTTACCTTCGGAACCGTTCTCTCATTATATACCTAAGCCTGGAGAAGGATGTTCCTCGAACACTTGCGTGAGGGCCATACAGCCTAATGGATCCCTTTGCCAAGAAGGTGGTCCAACTCACTGGCATTGACCCCGATTTCAACGACATCAATAAACCGCGAGAAATTCTCGACCGGATGGATGATTTTAGAAATGTGGAGTTTGATGTGTCTGAAATTTCTAGCTCGGAGTATGTTTGCCGGTATGTGGCTGGTGAGCGGGACCTTGTTGACATTCCTGTGTTTTCCTTGCGCACCCTCCCGCCATAGTCGCGTCGTGATCAACTTGGGGCATTATCTCAAAGACACCCGATCTCAATGGAAAAACTATACGTGTCCAGCCCTATGCCATGACAGTTGCTGTCTGGATAAGAGATGTCCTGCAAGTGGCAGTGTCAAATATATCCACGATTAATTACCCTGGATTGAGGGTGACATATCCAAACCCGGCTCCCATAATAATCCAAAGGCAAAGCCACTGCTCCGCCTAACTGATCCAACCCCAAACGAAAGCTCCAAGTCGCTCAGTCAAAATCTCGAAGATAGCAAAATTGCTGCTACAATTGGTGTTCATGCTCCTCAGAAAAGCACCTCATATTCGACACTTACCCACTAACATTCCCGAGACCGGGACAGATTACTATCAGAGAACCGGAAATTTTCAGATTTTGCTGTTTGTGGTTATCAAAAAGAGAGATTATGGTAAAGCACAATTTGTGTGGCGCAGCTTATTCCACGCGATGAATGAGTCCAGAAGGATTGCTATGCGTTCAATGAAACTTGTGCCGAACGACGGAAGCCTGTTCCCGTTTTTCTCGGCAGATGAGGTAAGACAGAAGCTTGGTGAAGATCCATGGTCTTGCCAATTGAGCAAGGCTTTGAAAGCGCTCGAGAACTTGCTATACTATATGACCAAGCTACAATCGCTCAAAGGGTCTCACGAGAGGAGCTATCTCCAGTCCCCTGGGAATATCTCTCAGATTTGTAGATTCTACCCTTTGAACAAAAGGATCGAAGCGATCCTATAGTAACAAACAGATTGGGAGGTACGTAAATAAAGAATGAATTATTCGCTTACCACGTACATCCCTCGGAGAAGACAATCTCAAGGGGCCTCCACACTTAAATTCTTCAGCTTGTTCTCGACATCTTTCTGGGCATCTCTTCAAAGCTATTTTTCGTTCTTTTTTTCGTTCTTTTTCTAAGTAGATCTCTAGGGGGCCTTGAATAAAGACGCTTGATTAAAATCATTTGTATTATAGTTCTGGTGCGGCTGTACAAGGGAGTTGTGCAGTACTATTTTTTCATAACTCTGACTATTCCAGAAACTAGCAGCAATATGTTCTTTCTTTATAGACGTCAAAATGTGAAAAGCTACTCTTGATAATGATTGATCAATCAATGCAGCTTACCAGACTGCCCGCGCCGGTCGCGCACAACGTGGAAGCAAGCGACCCCATCGTTTGCCAGTTGCGCAACAAGCCCATATTCCCAATCAAGATACCCTTGCATATCATTGCGAGCGTTACTTGTCCCCTCGTACGGCCTTTTGTACACGTCTATTGGCTGAGAAAGCCAACGCAATTCGGTCTCAAGCAGATGGCCGGCGGCTACCCAGGCCGTCGTCCCTCCTGCTAAATAGAAGACATCTCGCGAGACCGAACTTTGAGCAACCTCGACATTCGCGGCAGCAACCTCACCATCCGGCGAAGTGAGGACGACAGGGCCATCGCCAATTACAGCCCGCAGATCCCGGGCTAGTTCGGGCCCAGAAGCAAACAATGCGCCAGGGATATGACCTTTGCGGTATGATGTGCTGCGGGCGAGATCGACCACAGTCGCTCCTGTGAGAGCTTTGAGGGCGTCGATTGAGATAGAAGAAGATTTTGAAAAATGACATGAAGGAGGTTCAAGCACAAAAAGGCTACTCGGCACTTGTGTCCCCTCATTTAAGACGTACACCTCCCATCCGAGTTGTAAGAGCCAGCTGGCTGTCATGCTCGCTCTCACACCATCCGTGTCGTACAAAATAATGCGGGCCCCTCGAACACCAACCCACTCATCGGTTGCTTGTACCAGTTGACCACCGGGTGCATTGGAGAAGCCCGTCGGGTGACCAAGTGCATACTCCTCTGGATCTCTCACGTCGAGCAGGTATAGAGTCCGATCTTCCGACTTTGCGTTGAATTGAACAAGCTGATTTCCATCAATGAAAGAGACGCCGACGTACTTGGCCCATGAAATGGCGTACTCCCGTGCCCTTTGCGATGCATGAACTGAAGGCCGTGGAATCTGCTCGGTCTTTCCGGTCTCCAGATCCAACCCTTCCAATGTCCACCCGATAGTCCCATTTCGGAGTGCGACCACTTTATTTGGGATTCCAGCATTGATCAAAGATTGCGTTCCAACAATACTCCGAGTTCGGCCAGCACAATTGACGATGACTGTGGTCTTCGGAGAGGGTACTGCCTCAAAAACACGATATAGCAATTCGCCTCCAGGACAGCTGCGTCCACAAGGGATGCTCATTGTATTATACTCCACGAAGCGACGGGCATCCAAAACAACAACATCGCTTTCACTTTTCAGAAGCTCCTTGACATTCTGCGCAGATAAGGATGGGGTATGACTGATAGACTCGACGAGCTCGCCGAATGCTTTGGACGGAACGTTAACATCGCGGTAGACCTCGCCAACAAGAGCGTAACCAGAGAGCCCGCCTTCCAAGATGGCAATATGCCGATATCCTAGGGCTGATATCCGAGCTGCAGCCCGATCGACATAGCCCTCGCCATCGTCGTAGACAACAACGGGGGTGGACAATCGGGGAACTAGCGGAGGCAGTTTCTTCTCGATCTCCGATACTGGTACACTCAATGCGAATAGAGGATGGGACTCGGAATATGGGCCTTCTTCGCGGACGTCGAGAAGGGCGATTTCTTGGCGATTTACCCAATGCTGGCGCAACTTGCACGCAGTTATAGATTTGGCCATTGCGCTGCTTGTGTACTCGCACAAAAAACCCCCAGCAGCAACTTCAAAGTCTTGGCCTGAGAAAAGGAGAGAAATAAGCGGGATTCCTCGAAAAAAGGTGCACAGCGTCTGCTCGGGTGTTATTGGAGTTGCTCGGACGTTTTTGGCTCTAGTGGGGAAACTGATCCGCAAAACACGACAGCTTCGGACATTGAAGAAGCTGGGATTCAGGAAATAGCCAGGATTTAGGAAATAGCCAGATGCCGTTGGACTCAGGATGAAATCTGGTTCATTTTGCGCGAAAAAAAAAGGCATAAATCATCCAAAATGTTCCCTCTGTCACTGCAGCGGTAGAATGCTGCATCTTTCCCTAGAACGTGCCTCTGGTGGAACTATCCCACGTAACACATTACTTTGGGGTCATACTTATCAAGGAACCTGAAAAAGCTTCTACTATTCCAAATTACGCGTTCACATGTTCCCAATCACTGAAAAGATGCTGTCTTTGAATAGTTTTTTGCCCAAAGGGCTGCTCCCGCCGGCTGTACAACCCCGCTCGAACTTCAGTTGACGCCATTCCAGCGCACGATGATCAATACCGCTTTTCGCATATCGGCTTCTGCCTTGCTTTCTGGATGATTTAAGTAATATTCACAGTATAGTATGGATTCCAGTCGACGGGAGCGAAAGTCCTGCGAAGCCTGCCGTAAGCCGAGCCATTCCATCTTCTCAAGTTGAAGGTCGAGAGCTAACGATAGACAGGGGCACGGAAGCTCAGATGCTCAGGTGAAAAAAGCGGTTGCTCTCGTTGCCGGGGCTTATCGTTGACCTGTAGTTTCAAAGACAAAGGAATTCCTGGAAGGCCGAGAAAGCGCCCCCGACAAGAACAACAAGGCCGGGATTTGCTGAGTATAGACGCGCGAACAGGATCATCAACCTCCTCAAATTTCTTACCTGCCGGCCGTCATGAGGCTTTGGGTTCCCAGGAAGCAATAAGCGTGCTAATGCAAGCGGGAGAGCCTGACTCACTCCCTTGTGGCCTTTCCGGAAACTGCGGATTCAATTCATTCGACTGGGAAATGCTCGGCAATGGCGAAAATCGTTCTTTTCCTACTGAAGTATGGCAATCATCGCGTCAGAGTGGATCAAGTGACATCGGGATATCGTCGATGGCCATTAACGCCTATGTCTCTCCCATGTCGTTCTCACAGTCTTGTCAATGCGACGAAGAGGTTTCAAGGATAGTCAGGAACTTGAGCCGAGCGAATATGTCGCATGATGTTGTTCAGATTCTTCGAACAGGGGTGGCTCTCACTGAGAGACTACTCATTTGTCCTATTTGCTACGACGTGTCTAGGCCCCCTCGAGTGACGGTGCAAAATGTGCTCCTCATCGGCCAGCTCATGTTCGGGATAACAGCTGGCTACCAAAAGTACATACGCTGGCTGAAGGAATACTGTAATGAACTTGATGTCGGAAGTAACTGTGAAACAGTCTATCTTGACTCCGGCCTTGGAATGCCCTCAGACCTCAGTTTACAACTCAGCGGCGAGAGGTTCCGAGACCTCGTCATGCACGGCCTTCAAGCAGATACCGAAAGGCTTTTATTTTTGGGTGATAAGTTTGCGCAACGACAACGCAATCGTCATATGGTTGGGCATGAAGGTTGTCCTAGTACTGAAGGGCGCTGTCAAAAGAAAGAAGATGGGTTCGATCACGATCCCCTTGACCTCTGTCCGCAAGACCCTGAGGCGCGGAAATTGGTGCCTTGTTTCCGCATCGTCGATGAGGTTCGACGGATGATAATAGAAGTCGCAGATGCGGTTGGATGATATCCGTCTTAAGTCTTAATGATTGGTTGTTTTTCAAACTTTGAGAGTTAGATGGGTGTTATCGAAGATCATGAACGCCTATAATAGAGCGAACTTTATCTACATCCGTTCGACTGGGATGAAATACCTGTCAGTTTTTGACCCTCGACATATTATGGGCATCTACTCAAGGTAGAGGACAGCGGACTGTCTTACGACGTCTTATGTGGAACGTACTACTTCTGAATGCAGGAATTATCTTCAACATAATTTAAATGCTAGGAAAGTTCATATTCATTCAGTGATTTGATCCAAATTTTCATGGGTCTAACTATGACACTTTGAAACACCATGACAACCATTCAACTTAGCTGTTCCATTACAAGAAGGTAAATTGCCAAGCCTACAGAAGCATGACGATGTGATTTCAACATCTGCTTCCACAGCAGCAAGGGAAAGCTGCTTCTTGATAATATTGGCCTCTGCGTGGCGACCCAGAAGTTGAAGACACTCATGATAGCCATGAAGAGCCCAAACATTGTTTGGGTGCTGATGTGCTCGTTTGAGTGTCGGAAGGAGTCCCAGATCTTCAGCATAAGCTTGTGCAGCCTGCTCGACCTTGCCCTGCTCCAGGGAGAGGGCTGCATATGCATGCCGTGCTGGAAGCATCCATCCCCATGGCTCAGCAAAAGGTAACTCGTCTTCCAGAGAAACTGCGTCCAATAATCTGCAGAATGCTGTCTCGTAATTACCCCGTCTATACTCGATTTCGCCGTCCAGCATAGCAGATGCTACTTTGAGGATGTCCGTGATTTTATTGGGAAAATCAAGGCGTGTGGGAGGGACAAGCTTAGAAGCGGTTTTGAAGAGCTCTCGCTCCTTGTCGGCTTCTTCAAGCTGTGCTGTAGCCGCATACGCGATACCTTTTCCATAGTGTCTCATGACATTGGTGACACAATAGAGCTCCTTGTCTTCAAGTGGGTCGAGCTTTTTGAGCTCATCCCACATTCCGAAGCGAATAAAGACATGAACTCTAACAGCTTTGAAAAATTCCATCCAATTCGCAAGTGAAGGCGTTTCTACCCGGAGGATTTCTTCCGTAATTGTTGCCTCCATTCGTTCTGTCGCCGAAAGTGCAGCCTTTAATTTCCCACCAAGCATCGCAGCGTAGATGAGGGAGTGATAGTCGTGTAGGCGATAGTAGCTGTAGAAAGTTAGGCCGCCATTCTGTTGGAAAAATTTGTCATCTGCGATGGTCGCCTTTAAATTGTATTCCACTGCTCGCCGATAATCGCCCACAAGAACATCAATATGAGCAGGCATGTGGTAGGTATGGCCTGTGTCGGGGAACATCTCGCGGATTATTTCTGCTGCAGGTAGAGCAGCCTCGGGAGTGGCCGACATTTCCATCAAATGGATATACATATGGGCGGGGCCTGGATGCCGATCGACCCCTGGCATTTTCAAAGTTTGATCAAGCAGGTCTTTCACTTCAAATACCGGAGATGATGCTATAGGGAGTCCCGTAGAGGCGTCATATAACTTTCGCGGAGCACAATTCATCAATGCATCAGCAAAGAAAGTGATGATGTCAAAATCTTCACGACCAAAGCTCAGATACACCTCTCTCATAGCGTCGGCATACACTCTGCTGCACGCAACAAGATCCCTACGTGGATCATCGTTGGGGTATCGTTTTGCAAGAGCCTTGATGATCGCCTGCTCCCAACCCGATGCGTTCTTCGCCCGCCTCAGGGCTTCTTGAGAAAAGACATAACACTGTTTGATCGCATTCACTCGGTCCTTTTCGTCAAACAGCGCCCATGTCTTGTTGTAATTTGAGCCAGAACAGAAGGATACTCCCCAATAGGCCATAGCACAGTTCTCGTCGTGCGCAATTGCTTGCTTGTAACAGGTAATCGCTTCATCATGATTGAAGCAGTACGTCCAAACAAGTGCCCTATCAAACCAGATCTGGGCTTCTGTGGAATTGGTACTGACTTTGCGACCCAGTGTTCCTAAGTTGAAGTAGGGGTCACTTGAGGCTCTTGCAAGCGGCTGCGGCTCACTCAAGTTCATCGTCAGAGATATATAAGCCGAATACTGAGTGCGCTGCGTCGTGAACCTCTCCTTTGTTAATACGGAGAAGTAACTTTGAAGCTAAAAAGGTCACATGAGCTGTTCCTCAAATTGTGAGGGGTACATATGGAGTCGGGGGGTTTCTTTAGCGCCGGCTAGTTTGTGCCATTCTGATTCGACATTCGGACCTTTTTTGAGAGGAGCGTATTGTACCACGTGGGGCCGACCGAGCGCATAGCCCGGATTAATTGTGTAATCAGAACCACCATCATTCAGCGCAATAGTTCACAGAGGAGTCCATGTCCTTATTTTTTTCAGTAAAATACCTCATGGAGGAGAGAAGAACAGGCTTAATTTGACCATTTACTTGGATCTCAGTGATGATGCGTAGGTGCCTCAGGCTGCGTGCCTCAGGTGCTCTACGGGTACACTGAGTCGTTCAGGGACAATGTCTTCAAGTCTCCACCTCTCTTCTTGTTTCCATTTCTCGAAAATTTTACTACAATGGTAGAATTAAAACTGTTAATTTTGTTAAGGTCTGAGCAGCCGAGTACCGCTATTTAGTCTATCATCCAGAGGTTGTACACAGTTTGTCTCAAACACAGCTTGTTTATAGCTTTTCTCTAGTGAATTTTCAAATCATTGTCCACAATATCTTCCAAAATTATCTCGCCCCTTCTTTCCGCTGCAATTTTGGCGAGTTTCAGCCTTCTCGTGTCACGCTCTGTATCCCAAGTCACCCACCACGTGACAACAGTCAAAATCGCGCAAAGACCCACAAGGCCCATAGCCACGGAGAAGGGCACTGTATAATGTGGTGCATACTTGCTTCTGAAAATCTGCGGCCCGATGGCACCGCCAATCTGGCCGTAGCTGTTGACGAAGCCGATAGAGAAAGCGGAGCCAGTGGCTCGGGAAGTGGTTTGTACTCGCCATGGCCTATCGTCACATCTTAAGGTATGCACGGGCACATAAAAAATATTAGGATACAAAAACTTACCACATGACGGGGTACCACCCGGCAGTGAAGGCGTTTCCGATCAGTGTGACGGCATATATCGCTCCGTTACTCGGATAAGCCACGAATACGCCGTAACAGACTATGATGATGAGAAGAAAAGAAAGCGGGTACAACGGTCGAGGTATCCGGCTGCGGTCTGCCATGATACCTGTAACGGCAATGAAAAGGAGACCGCAGGCTGTAATAGGGAGATTGAGAAGTTGCGCTTTAGCAATGCTCCTGAAAGTCCGTCAGAATTGTTCATTACAGTTGAAATTGCTTTGTTTTCCCTCATTCTATAGAGCCGGAGAAGTATAGCACTCACGTGTAGCCAAGGTCAGCAATGACTGTTGATTGATAGAAAGTGACACCATTGGTTCCAACGGTAAATGTAGCCCAAATCAAGGTAAACAGCCACAGCCTTATATCCTTTAATGACGCAATAATCTCACGTAGATCAAAGTTTTGCTCATTAGAACGAGGAGCATTTGATGGAAGTCGAGCTTGAATGAACTGCTTCTCCCTCTCAGTCAGCCATTTCGCTGTCTCAGGGACTAGATTGTTTGTGACCATATTAGCGACTGATGTGTGCGGAAAAGGTTGTGTACTGCGAGCGCAGGAAGGGTCTTACAGTCTGGGAGAAGGAGCCAGATTGCAACCCCAAAGATAACTGTTGCAATGCCTTCAGTGAGGAATAACCTAAATGATTTCAGCGCGAGCTCATGGATAATGTGGCTGCCGAAAAGTTTTACCATTGCCAGCCAGACAGACCCCCTGCACCCGATACGGTGTCAAATGCATAGGCAAGAAGACCACTGAAGATACCCGATACATTTCCGCAGATGTCTACAGATCATGAGTTAGCAACACTTCACCAAATACGAGATGATTGGAGATCATATGCAGCTTACAAAAGTAAAGCAGTCGCAAGGACATCTCGTCTGGACGATACCAATAAGTCATCTGAAGGATGACACCAGGGAACTGTCCAGCCTCAGCCTACTACGGGATTAGTATATGTCTTAGGTCATCCTGAGGTCAATCATAGTAACAAGAAGACCTATTGACATAGAACGCACCAGACCCAATAAGAAGCGTGTTGTGAATAAACCTCCTTTATTCTTCACAGCAGCATTGCACATTAGAATAATGCCCCAGCTGATCATAATTCTTGACTGCCATTTCGAAGGCGAGAATCTCTTGAGTAGTAAGTTTGAAGGTGCTTCAAACAAGATGTATGGGACCTGAGGCGTTCAGGTATGATTAGTAACACGTCATGGTAGTCAATGGGGGGGGGGGGGGGGGGCCAAATTTCTGTCAATATCTTACATAGTAAAGGACTGTCACAAGATTATACTCGTTGGATGTGATTCCCAGCTGTGTCATGATATTTTGATTTGTTCCTTCGTTCATTATTCTAGCATTGGACGCCTGCAATACTGTTAGCTACACTGTAACACCCTTGACTAGCTGGCCATGGTCACTCACATTATTGCTGTCTAGATTTTTGAACATAAAAATGAGTGAACAAAGCGTCATGAGCCGCCAGTCGATCTTCCGTAGCAGCTTCTTCTCCTCTTTGGCTGTAAGGAGTGTTCTTCCGCTCATCAACTCTGGAGTGTAGCCATCAATGCTTTCCTGGCTCGATGAGGCCTCTGCGAGAACCTGGCCACGTCTGGCAAAATGAAACCCGTGGTTGGCATCGCTCCCACCGGTGGAGACAATATCTGTGGCTGAGTTCATGCCCAATACCTTGGATCCACCCGGCTCGTCCTCTTTGTTGGCCATAGTTTAGGCGTTGTGGTCAATAAGGAAATGTAAAAATTAGTTTTGGCAGGTCTTGTTTTCAACTCAAACAGCCCTGGATAGATATGCTCTCTGTCTTGAGTTCCCATTGTTCGGAAATACTCCGAAAACATGGCGAAGTCTGAGATCAAGGTATGAAGCCCCACAAAATGGATTATACCATAGTCCACAAATATTGCAAATAACAAGACCTAGACCACATTTTTGGGTATCTAATACACCAACTGGCATGGCCTCACGTGTATAAATCTTCATAGGCATACTGGCATGCGAAGCTAACACAATTATCAGAAAGTTAAATTTCGTCATTTGATGAAGAGTGACACAAGTACTGATCACGCGAACGGAGAGAATCATGATGAAATACGTATTCTAAAGACGTAAAGCGGGGATCCACCTGAACTCGCACCAACCAGGGACCTTGCTGACTTTGATAAACAACAACAATTCCATAGGCACGACCCAGAATAGAGCTAGAAATCGCCCGATTGGAAAGGAACTGTGAAGGTATTGTGAAGCTAAGAGCACTGAGATTTGATAAACCCCCATCTCTCAAAATTATCGCAATTCCACCGTCGCCATCGTCTCCACAATAACACCACCTTGCTTGAATACAACGTGTTTACGCTTATTTCGACTATCTTGTTATAGTATTTGCTATGGCAGCATTAGCTCAGCCCCCGATCACAGCCCACCCAGGGCATGGCATCCCTACGTACAACCAGGTCCCGGAGACCTCTTTTGATTGTGCGTTTCCGCACCGTCCACCCAAATTTTGTTAAAAACCAGGATCATGGAAATGCCGATGATTGAGATATTATGGCTAACGTGTGACTTGCATTTAGTGGACTGGGCGGACCTCGCCACTTTGGATCTGTCTCAGTTTGACAGACCTGGTGGTAAGGAGAAGTTGGCCAAGCAACTTTTCGAAGCCGTTCAGAATGTAGGTTAGTGTTGAACAAGGTAGTATATTTTTCTCGTGCTCGTAATACTTACAAGTTCTAAGGCTTTTTTTATATCGTCAACTTTGGCCTCGCACAGGAAGAGGTTGACTGCCAATTCTCCATTGGAAAACAGATCTTCGACCTCCCAATCGAAGAGAAACTCAAGTACCGTGCCGAGCTTGAGAAAGGTGGTTACAATGGTTACAAGCCAATGGGTCTCAGAGTAAGCCCTGGAGCCAAAAACTGATAATGTGTGTCACTAATTACTAACAAATTATTTAGGAAATCAGCTCAGGTGTCTTTGACAAAACCGAAATTTACAACATCCCGAAATTCATTTCCGCGTTTGAGCGTCCCCAGCCGGACATTGTGAATGGCAATCGTCCTATTATAGAGAGGTTTGCTCGTCATATTCATGACGAAATAGTGTGCAAGCTTCTTACACTTTTCGCTATTATCCTCGAGCTTCCCGAAGACTACTTCCTCAAAGTACATCGCTATGACGAGAGGAGCGACTGCCACCTGCGATACATGAAGTATCACCGCCGTAGTGATACTGAAAACGAGAAAGCTGCCGGTATTTGGTCCAAGGGCCATACAGACTTTGGAAGCTTGACTTTGCTATTTCGCCAGCCAGTTGCCGCGCTGCAGGTTCGCACCCCCGATGGTGAATGGAAGTGGGTGAAGCCATACCCCGGGAGCATCACGGTTAATCTTGCCGATTCGCTCCACTTCCTCACCAATGGGTTCCTCAAGAGCAGTATACATCGTGTCGTCGCGCCCCCGCCGGATCAAAGGGATGTGGACCGACTGGGTGTTTTGTATTTTGTCAGACCAGAGGATAACCTCGAGCTACGGCCTGTGGTGAGCGATGTACTGCATCGCTTGGGATACGACCAATCAACTGATAATAGTGCTGTTGGAATTACCGCCGGTGAGTGGGTGAAAACTAGAGTGGCCAAGGGAGTTGACAAAGGCGTAGTGAGGAGTGAAATTGGAGACCAGCCTATTATCGGTGACGTGGTGGCTAAGTATTATGATTAGAGTCAGCATAGGACTTTGGCAGTATTTACAATCAACAAAAAATTCGTGGATATGTAAGCTTGACCTCACCCTCATATGGGCCCCTTCGTTTCCCTTTCTCTTCACATCCTTAGCGTTCAGATATAAAAAATCATTAATCTCGGCGTTTGTCCAATTTTTGAAATCGCAACGCAACGCTCAGGCTATGCCTGCTAACTCTGCTCGCTATCGTTTGATACCACTAGTGAGTCGTTATCACTATATTAGCGTCGTGGGATGACTAGCCACACCTTTAGAGGGTGCGAAAGCCGAGTAGATCTGGGCGCAGTGCATCCAAATTTCCAGAAGGTGGGAATACATGGAAGATCCGGGAATGAGGACGCATATTCGGAGCTCCCACTGGTAATTTTCCGTCCCACGGCAACTAATACTAATCTTAGGCTGTATCAAGTCCGCACCTGCGCCCCTAGTAGGGATGGAAATATCGTCGAAAGGGAAAATCTGGCAAGTAAATGGAGCGGGGTAAATGACAGAAGGATTCAGGATCCCACCTAGACAACACAGGACCCATGTGTGTTGTTATTAGCTACTCTTGGGCCAGCAGAATGGATACTAGGAGACCAGGCAGCAAGATGCAGATAAGAGTGTTTCATCGGGCAAGCACGTGTTCACACTACGCTAAAATGAACTTCACAAATAGAGCCACGAACTTCAAACTTCCCTAGTAGCTCCTCACCCAAATCCCAGGCTTCAATACAGAGATGACCTTCAACGTCCTCACGACCAACGCGGTCGACCTGCAGCAGCTACTCGAAAAGAACATGACCACGAGCGCTCAAATCGTGGAAGAGTATTTAGCACAAATCGATCGCTACGAGCCTGCACTCAATGCGCTGATCTCGCCTGCCCCGCGAGACAAGGTCCTCGAAATTGCCAAGGCTCGGGATGAAGAGCGCCGGAAAGGACAAATACGGGGCCCATTCCATGGAATTCCCATAATATTGAAAGACAGCTTTGTCACAGCGTCGGAGCTGGGCATGAGCACCACAGCTGGGTCATATGCGTTCATCGGAGCCAAGGCGTCAAAGAACGGAGCTATAACTCAGCGGCTGATTGACGCTGGCTTGGTTATCTTGGGAAAGGCGAATATGACTGTCAGTGGATGTGAATGTTCGGTTTCCTAGGAACTTTATTAAATTGACCATTCTTCTAGGAATTCGCTGGCATGAAAATGACCATGATGATGCCCGGTTGGTCTGCTCACGGCGGTCAGACTCTATCGCCGTATGTTGGGAAGATAGAGGACAATGAGAAGATACTTGGCCACTCAGTGAGTAGATGAACTTACAGATGTTAATCATTATTACTGAGACTAAGCAGGCTCCGGGGGGCTCATCTACTGGTTCTGCGGTCGCTGTAGCGGCTGGGTTTAGCCCTCTTGCCATGGCCACTGAGACAATAGGTTCCATTGTGACTCCGTCAACACGCGCCGGTCTGTATGCACTCAAGCCTACCACCGGGCTCCAGGATACTACTGGGCTGTACACCATGACGGAGTTCTTCGACAGTCCGGGCCCTATGGCCAAATCAGCTGCTGACGTTCGCGTTCTTTCTGAAATACTACTCGATTGCTTGTTTAACTCCCCCCAATTGGGTTCCTGGGAAGGTCTTTCGGTGGGCTTCCTGGATCCAAATATTTGGAGCATGTCACTAGACTTTTGTACACAATTTGAAGGTACAGCAGAGCAAATGGTACGTTACTCTCATTTCATCAAAACTTTCAAAGCTCTAACAGTTGATTGTAGGTAGACGAGTACGAAGAGACGGTTTCCGCTCTACGAAGCGGAGGCTGTTCTATTAAATACCCAATCCATTGCAAGGATCCCTCAGTATTACCGGCTACTATATTGCCAATCGCATGTAGGTCACTGCAGTATCAATGAAGTTAGGATGGCTAACCGCTTCTAGATTGGGATTTTAAGAATGTCTGCATCCCTAGGTTTATTCGCTCATTTCGCGAGTGCTCTGTAACAAGTGTTGCAGATATAGTCAAATTCAATAAGAAAAACAGCGAAAAGGCCCTTCCAGCTCGTAGGTTGACGGAGAAGACATGATCCCACGAGCTTACAGTGAAGAGTTACTAACAAAATGCAGCATTCGTCGAACAAAATGATTTAGAAGGGGCAATGAACAACATTGAAGAAAAACAACAAATAGATGAACTAAAACGAGACCTTCGTAAGGCGGGGAGAGATATTTTGGATGACCTTTTTGACAAGGAAAAAATCAATATCGTGGCAGGTCCGGGAGACTCCTCGTTATGTGTTCATGCTTCTGCTGCAGGTAACAACATATCAAATGTACGTTTGAATCGCCGTTGCTAATAGGTTCAGGGTATCCTGTCGCCACAGTCCCGATAGGACAACTTCGCTATAATGACCGGCCGCTCGGTCTATGTTTGGTGGCCAGGGCAAACGAGGAAGAGACTTTATTGCGGTTCATGGGAGTGTACGAAAAGCTTGCTAAGCCTCGTCCGGTTCCGAAATTTTGAATGACCGTGGTGTAAATTACAAGTGACAATAATTTGCAAGATTAATGCGAGCTATTTATTTACGGGAATGACCGGTAGTAGACCCCAGGTGGGTATCGTTATGTTGATAGATGATCAACCTATATTGTGGACACAGCGAGAAGCAACACAGCAAACTAAATCATATGCATTCATGAAGGGGTTGTTCAGTTAGTCATGAAGGTATATAGTGAAATGGGGATGGCTCGATGGCTGTCTGGCAATGCAGACTGGGCGCCAGCAACACACATACACACTCCCAAGGACTCAGGAAGGCGTAGTGGGCATGCTCTGTAGGTGGATATCGCTTTATCCTTGAAACTGTATCATGAAGTAAAGAAACCGAAAAGTGCAGTCATATTCTGAATAGCTGTTCCGCCTGTGTGTCCATGTAGGAGAGAAGAATGCAGATAGCCCAAGACATGTAAGACACCCCTGACACACTGTATACCATGTCCCCGCTTTCCTCCGCTTTCACCATTTCATTATGTAGTATAAAGGCCAAAAAAATAATAAACTTTCGAATTTTCCGGTATGAACTCTTCTCTTATAGAGATATTATTATTTTTAGATAGGGCAAGAAGAAAAGAACGACCCATATGCAATGTATAAAATGGTGAGATGCTTAGAAGTCCACCCCCAGACCTCGCCTCCGTCTCCACTATATGATACAGTATAATTCGAAAATAGAATGCTCCCTAAACACTCACGGTTTGTTTCTTGACCCGTACCCGAAACCACGCTAATACTTGTGTGGTAACCTGGGAAACAACCCTTGCTTAGCCGTATCGTAGTATGGAATGTATTGGTATTTGTTTCTGATGAGTCATTGTCAATTACCGTATATTCTTATGGAATATATTAGGGAGGTATCTAGAAGTGGTGGGGCAAATCTGGCGATCTGGCTTAATCCACGCCCCTCCCTTTCCCTCCTAACTCTCGTCTTCATTTACTTTTTGATTGAATAATACAGTATGCACTAGTGCTGTATGAGACTGATCTGTTAGGCAAATATGGTTCTCTTTCATGCCTAGGTGCCTTTTGCGGCTCTTGCTTCTTACGGTCGCTTTTATTCGCTATCAGACGTCTACCTATATCCGGTGCCGCCCATACGTATCAATATCTCTAGGTAAATTTTGGATGTTTCCAGTACGCGCTTGCGGTGCACATCGAAAGCCAATTCTATTATTTTACGCTTTACTAGCTGACGTATGACCGCTGCGCTGGGCGCGGTCCGAATAGTATGAGCTGCCCTTCCCGAAGTAACCGTGTTGGCACGCTTGCTTTGCGGAAATCCTGTGGGCGGGATCGTACTCAAGAAGAGCCTCCAGGAGCTCGCAGCCAGCTCTCTCCAGTCCCGGCACCAGAGGGCCATCAGGGCGTTTCCACTTAGGAAAAGTAGACTTGTAGTCAGGTAACGTGGTGACGCCAGGCCAGGATTCTTCGTCGGGAGTACCAAGAAGTCTATAATAGAGAGAATTAGCTTTCGTGGTACAACAGCCAAGCAAAACAAAACTCACCGGAAGATCTTGAAGATCTCGTCAATTTCCGAATCACCAGGGAACAGTGGCTTGCGCGTGCACATCTCAGCGAAAATTGCTCCTACAGACCACATATCGACTCCAGTGGAATACTGGCGTCCGCCAAGCAGAATTTCCGGAGAGCGATACCACAGGGTAACCACCTTAAGGAAATAAAGTTTAGTATGTAGAACTTTGCGATATCTCTCACTTTCCAGTAATTACCTCGTGGGTATACGTCCGTAACGGAACACCAAAAGCTCGCGCCAGTCCGAAATCACCCAATTTCAGGTTGCCCTCACGATCGATGAGCAAGTTCTGTGGCTTCAAATCACGGTGCAAAATACGGTGGCTGTGGCAATAACGGACACCCTCTACCAATTGTGCCATGAATCTTTTCACCATCGCCTCCCCCAGACCCAGGTCGGCGGTCATCATTGATCCGTCCGGGAAAGGTTTGCCGCGGCCACCATCGTTGACGGGTAGGGCCTCCATATATCTCTTCAGGTCGAGGTCTAGGAATTCCATGACGAGATAAAGCTTGTGGCCATCGGCATGTATGATATTGAGCAACTGGACAATGTTCTGGTTTTTCGTTTCCTTGAGAAGTGAAATCTCTCGGATAGCTGTGCTGGGAACACCCTCATCCTCGGCCTCGAGGCGGATTTTTTTAAGAGCGACAATACGATTAGGGTAGTTCACCTCTCGGGCCTTATAAACGACGCCGTATGTTCCTGGGAAGCAACGACACGTTAGCTAGAGTCCCAGGCCGTAAGGATAAACAACCAGGTTCATACGTCACCTTCTCCGATTTTCTCGAGCTTCTGGTAATTCTCCATGGTGAATGACAGCTGCGTTCCTGTTCCCTTCAACTCGTAGTAAAATAGGGAGGAACCGAGAAAAGGGGGCTGACGGAGGTAGGTGCGGAGAGGGAGAGAAATTGAGCGATGAGAGAAGCGAGGGACGAGTCTCTGTAACGTGTACATAAAATACTGTAATTTTGAGGTGGCGGGTTAGGGAAGATGTGTAAAGGAACTTCATGTAAATTACAGTACTATAGGAAATTTGGTCGTTCTGGAATTAAAACGGATCTACTCTCAGGGAAAAATCAATGGTCTTACCACAATACGGATCAGTGCTATTTGGGGCACTGGCCGAGAAACAAGTTATGAGTGCATAGGGGTACAATGTAATAGTGACTTATGAGGCGGGGGGCTAGCTACTTGTGGACCTTTTTATTTGCCTGATTGCAAGCCATCGATAGGAAGCTATCACAGCAGTGCCCAGTGTGAGACAAATTGGCTGAGGTTACCTTTCATAATAATAATTAGGCGCTACAAAAGTAAATGATAAGCGGTCGCTACCTGTCAAAGGGCTTGCACCCACCCACGGACCGAGGGCCCGCTACTGAAAATGGGCCACTGAGAGCCAACCAATTCCCAGGAGCAGCGCAACAAAACGTGCGTCACGTAAAAACACTACAGCTGCGGCGTTCAGAATCTATTGCTATTCCCTATCTGCTCGGTTAGAAATGGTCAAGCGTTTCGATGAAGATTGTGGGAAAGGGACAGTTTATATCGTCTATAATCGGGGCAATCATTCTTACCGGCTACCAAACATTTGTGCAATATAGATACCAAAACACAGAATTCTCGAATTCTTGCAGGCTCACAAGAGGACTTTATTGAGGCTTCAGTAAAGCATATATTATTTAGCTAAACGCGTAGTATGTAAAAAAAAAAGACCCGGGCGAAGAACGGATGCGAATATCAAGACTGGTCGTAATAGCGCTTTCATATTGCGAATACCATGAGTGCGGGCTTTGACATCCATATGGATGATGGACCTGATTTAGATGCTCGCACAACTATTTAGCTGGAGAGTTTTGTTTCATATGCTAAGAAGCGAGCGATACTCAAGTGGAAAGATGGAAAAACAACATTGGAAACAAAACCATTCATTAAACAAATTGCTATCAGCTCAGCTTTAGATAGGGAATGGATAATATACCAGAAGGCTGTGGGAAACAAGAATGCATATCGTGAAATGAATTGCATCCAAGATTCACTTTTGTCCAATGATAGGGCTTTGAGATTCTTGTTCAACTGATCTCGCTCGAGTGACTCGTTCCTCAAATTCGACCTTCGATGTTGGAATGCGATTCGAGATTGCGAACCAATGATCGGCACTTGCCCGAGAGACATCCAAGCGGGATAGTACCACTTCTATTGAGCATAAGGCGTGTATCAGATCATCGAAGTTAGTCTCGTCGGGAAACAAGGGCGACTCTTGAAGGCGAATAGGCATTTCGGCAGAAGGTTCCCACAACAGTGACTTTGTTTCTCTCAACAGCCGTAAGCAGCGTGACCTCTGCAGTGGTAGAAAATTCCCTTTTGTTTCTTTTTATTATAAAAATGGAGGCGGGGATGAGGATAGTTGAAAGGCGATCACAGAATTTCATCACAACTTAGATAAGTGAAGGTTGAGCAACATTCGGATACTTTATTTTTAATCTCACTTGCCTCCTCGGATGGCAAAAAATAAAACCTTTCTAATTATTCTAGCCCAAGCATTTCACTATGCCCTGGTGATTCGAAGCGACAATTCTTAGAACAGAACCTGCGATACATCCGTGTTTTTCTTGACTTTAATATTCTTCATCATCAATACCCATGCAATAGAAAGTGCCATGATAGAAGTGCCGGCAATCATCATGTTCCGTTGACTTATGGCATATGCGTTCTGAATGGCGGTACGGGTGTCTGATCCAACAGGATAGCTTAGCTGAACATCCAAGGACTCGTAGATTTCCGACCACTGGTCCTTGACATCAGCTGGAAGATACTCGCGCAGCTTCACAGGAAGCGTGTTGGTCCAGATTGCTCCCGAAATGCTACTGCCAACAGCACCACCAAGGTTACCGAATGTGCTGAGCAGTGCCAACATGGCGGCGTATTCTTCGTGCTTGGAGGCCGCCAAAACGGCAACTTGTTCGATGAGGATGAACGTTCCGCCGCCGACTGCGAGGAAAATCTGACACATGCACATGTATCCAAGACTGTGACCGGGCTGTCGGAAGTAAATCATCAACCCGCTGGCAAGAATGTAGAGGGGCAGTGCACCCATTAGCAGCCACTTGAATCGACCGGTGACTTTGATAAGGTAACCGCATCCAATCAACCAGATGGGATCCATCAAATCGAAAATTGAACTGATATACCCAGCCTGTGTAAGGCTGGTGTTGTAAACAACCTGTAAGTAGGAGGTAAAGTAGGTGTTCCAACAGTAGTAAGAAATCTGGTAGGTAATGTCCAGCAAACAAGCACCAATAACAGTACGGTTGGTGAGCAGGTGATAGGGAATGAAGGGCTTTGGTGCCCCCCAGCGCTCGTACACGATAAAGAGCACAAGGACGAAGAATCCGACGACTATCATAGAGATTATCTTTGCCGATTTCCATTCGCCGGTGGTGTTTCCAGCAATGTTGAATGCAACAAGGAAGAGAATCAGACCGCCAGTCATAAGGAATATACCTCCAACTATTTAAATCGTATCAGCATTGTGTGCAAATATTTGCCTTCAAAGATATCATTTGGGGAAATTGAGCCTACCATCAAACTCAACAATGTAGAAACGAACACTTTCCAACCATGTACGGGTGCTTCGTGGCTTGTATTGCAATCGGCCCTCTCTGTCTGCCTTCCGCTTGGCAAGCTCCCAGGTGACAATTAACGGCAGCGCGACAACAGGCAAGATAATACAGATGGTACCATAAGCCCACCTCCAGTTGGTCTCATGAAATTGGTTCGACAAGGGGAGCACCGGCAAACGCGGTGATGACGTTTGGAGAGGAAGTGAATGCAAAAGCGATACCTCGGTTGCGCAGCGACGATGTATCCGAAGTGATAACGTCGACACAAAAAATCACACCTGTGAACCCGATCGTGTAGAATACCTTGAATGGATAATCAGTAAGTTTCAACGGTCGCAGCCTGGTCGGGAGAAGTGAAGGTCTAAGAAAAACCTACTTGAGCAGCACAATAAGTGGCGATGTCATGACAGCAGGCCATTATAATGAGGCCCATGATGGCAATCACTAGCATAATGAAGATGCCGAGGGTCCGATCCCACAAATTTAGCACCTTGGCAATGGGCATCAGACACGCTGCGCTCATTACGCTAGTGACAACGCTGATCACAGTCAGGAGCGAGTGGCTGGAAAAGTCACTTGTTATGTATGCTGAGAGATTCGACGTCAAATTGCTATTAAGGCCATTGACGAAATAAAGCATCCACATGCTTCCTATTTGTTAGTCATTTTTCCTCGGACTTAACGAGGCTGATGTCACTTACCAAGCATATGCGATAATGAGTGACTTCTTGGACCAAGAAGAAGTGATTGCTTCAGCGACACGAACACCATCCTGCTTGTCTTCATCCACATCCACAGCTACAGGGTGCTCGGGATCTAAGGAAGCTGGATCTTCGTTGACTTCAGTCATAGTCGTAGGCTTAAGGGCGGCCATGCTGACTTGGACCAAGCAATTGGGAAATTTCTGGTAGATCTGAAAGTTGAAATTCATTGGGAAGCCGGGGCCATTTAAAAGCCAAGCATAACAAGCATCTTTTCCCGAATCACTTTCTTTACGTTGCACGCCCCACTAATTTTTCTTTCTAGTGATCTTCCCCCAATCCCTCGGAGAGAGTCTGTTCCGGGTGCGTTCGGGGCTAGAACATACGACTAATTGAAACCTGCTCAGTCTCATTTCTCTGCCCCTGAGACTCTAAGGTGGTGCTGACTACTCATTGCCGGTCTGTAAAAGTAAAAGCGAGGTTAAGTTCATTTCATATGGAACTATTCAAATTGTACATAAGGAGGTAATAGCCATGCTATGCGCTTTTCCTCGCATCCTCGCCAGGAACCCTGAAAGTTTGTCTTCCGATATTCTCTGGGCACTGATTGATAACGTCAAAGTCCCACTCTTTCGCTTGTACAGTACATATTAGTAGCCTGTTCTCTGACCGAGAGTAACCGATGATCTCAGTTGGTCAATAACGGGGGCAATGGGGCCAACTTGAGGCCAACTTGGGACATCCTTATGTCCTAATTGGCTATGACTGGCCAGCAGATTTTCGTGACCCTCGATCGTGGCGATGTGAAACTTGTTGCCTAGAAGCTGTGGAGACTCCCCCACGAGCATTTGGGTGATATCGATCAATCGAGATGTGCCGGAAATCATTGAAACCTTGGGCTACAGGTGTGAATGAGCTCAATGTGGTTCTTGATCACACCAATTCAAGACCGAATAAACCAGCAGGTCGTGAAGAAGTTTTCACATTCTCGGTGAGGACCATGTAGCGCAAAGTGCTCATTTCTTGGCTTCTTGGCACGGGTGAAACTTTTTGCTCATAGTGGGCACATCCGAACTCAAACTGGTTACTAGTGCAGAGAGCTCGGTGGAATCGGCATCCGCGGTACCCTGAAAATCTTATCAGTCTTATCAGATGCAATGCGATCTTGTTGGACATTACCTACAAGTATAGTGATGAAGGCATCGGTCGTACGAATTCCCATACTTTGCAATATTGTGCGTAAGAATTGTGTTGTGGCCTCAGGCCCAACGGGTGACCTCTTTGCTAAGCGCCAAAGGGAGGAACTTCATACCAGCTCATAGAATGCATTTCTTCGCCCTTCCAACCCATTGTCAGCAATCATGATCAAGTTGAGTAGAGACAAATATGAAACACAGCAAACAAGCTTCCGTCTTCAACAACGGTAGGTGCGAGACTATCGATCATATCTAGGCCTTTGGGGTGAGAGGGAGGCGTGGGGAGAAGGTCTTTTCCTTAAAATAGGCTTTTGTAGGTACGGCGGTAAATAAGAACAGCTTCAAGTTTGATATTCATCACTATGAAGAAAACTCTCAACGCGAGCAGCAGTGGTTAAGGGGTGTGGGGGTGTAGATAGTTTTAGTGATGAGGTTCGAGAAACTCCGCGTAAAGAAATGGTGAAAGCTGTGCGCTGTGGAAATGTTTGGCTTCGCCTCAAACTGCGACTGGATCATCTAAAAGAGGCTGTGAAGTGGCAGGGCGATAAGACTTAGAGATGTCGAACCAGCCCGCAGAGTGGATAATTTCAGGGTCTGGGCGATGTAAGGGCGTTGTATTCTGAGGATCCTTCAGAGGCTAGAAACAGGGTGAGTTATTTCACATTCTCACCAGAGTTGTTTCAACGGAGTTGCTTTGGTTGCTCTCCTTGAGTCTTGCTAGGGCGGGGGGTTTAGGGGTCGGGGATGCAGGGAAGGCGTCAGAAAAGTTCCGGGGTCCGTGCCAACACCGTGGCAGTCAGGCATGCCCAAAGTTCCTTCTATCTTGGCAGACACAGAATCAGGTGTTCAAAGACAACGTGGAGATTGTGCTATGGGGCACATAAATAGCTTCTAGGATTCGGATTTCTCGTGTCGAGATTCCCGTGATGGAAACCCGCGTAAATTGCCCGATCGTAGACTGTCAGATCGGGAGCTTGGACCTTTCGCCGAGCCGCAATCCAAGCACGGTTCACTCTCCGTCCACTCAACTGCTCCTCCTCACCACGTGCACCATGTGGTGTACCTCTCGAGGCCTTTGGAACGCGCTGGCGTGTGTTCGAAGGCTGTGCGACATGTCACCTTGCGGGGCTGACTATGCGTCACGAGATTATTTAGACAACGAGCGTCTTGCACCTTGACCTACAGTATACTCCGATCCACTCGAACATTGATCGGCCATGCAACTTTCCCAAACAAACATTGCAGACTTCCTCTCTTTTGTGCCAGACGCCGATACGGCAGAAGCTGCCTTGTTTCTCCAAGTATGTACCTAACCCCTGGGAGGTACCTAGCCTAGAATCCCGTGACTTTTCGACTAATGCTGATGCAAGAGGGCCGGAAGTGTCAGTGAAGCCGTCGATCAGTATTACGAGAATCCACAAAGATATTCTAGCAGAGCACTTTCAGGCATCAGCACCTCTATGAGTGTCTCTGTGAGTCATCGGGCGCAGTCTGCCACTGGCAACCACCCCCTGCCGATTGCCTTATCGCCCACCTACCCTCCTTCATATTCGCTAGCCATGAGAAGTCCACCCGCATCAACCGCAAGTCAAACAAGCCCGAGACAATCCATTGCCACAATGAGCAGTGAATCCTCACATCGCCCTCATACAAATGCATTGATCGAGGCTTCCAAGGTCCGCGCCAGAGATGAGCCCGAGATGCAAAAGATGCTCCACAGTGCTCAGCTGTCAGGTCGGGTTTTCAATCCCGAAGTTGAGCCTGAACATGAGACCACCGACCTCTGTGACTGCCCAGTTCACACTTATTGGAAACGAAAAATTGAGCGTCTCGATACTCACGAAACCTGGTCGAAAGCTGTGGTATATCCTGGGGAGAAGCCATATCATGAATTCACCCACCTGCGATTTTTCAACAATAACCCTTACTCCGATGTCATGTCGTCATATGCGCCCAATGGGTCTGCTCTTTACGGTATTCCTAGACCCGATCCACAGTTTCATGCCAGATTTGTCGAGCAAACTATCGCATTGAACACGAGTCTGAATATCAAAGCGCAAGCGGCTGTTCAGGCAATGGAGCCATCTTTCAATGTCTGGGAGCTTGAACAGCTGGAGTCCCTTGTATCTAATATGTCTCATAGTCGTCGCCTGTCCACAGAAGGTGACGGGAATGTCGAGAGGCCATCAACACGCTCAAGCATCAGAAAGGTCTTGTCCGTTAAAACCTCGGATGAGCGAACGGCTGTGAAAATCAAGAAGAAATTTGCAGGGTCATTTGAACTGCGCGCTGAAATTATGAAAGAGGAGAATGGCCGATGGCAGTACGACACTGACAGACAGATCGTTGCAGCTTACCAAGAGAAGGTCGGCATAGCCCAACAGGTCGCTGAGTTCCGAACACATAAACCTCGGCAGTACATCCATCTCCTCCGAGCGGGATATTTTGAGCCAATTCCAGTAGCCTGGCAGGGCCAAGCTTGCAGTCCACTCGGGTTCACCATTGATTCTGCTGCAGGTTGGAGAGGAATCACACCTGCATGGCGAGGCTACACGAACAATGCCGAAGAAAGACTTTACTGGGTCTTGAATCACAGAGCAGGAGGTGGAGATATGGTAAAGCCGACCTTGCTTCGGGGGTTTGAGATAGCTTCCGCGCGAATGGCTTCAGCGGAGGAGCCCAACCCTCGATATCACACCCCTGACGATATCTGCCACGAGAACCAATCTAGGGCTTACACGAAACAAGTCAAAGCCCCTTTCATATTAGGATATACACCCAAAAAGCCTGCCGATGAGACGATCATAATGTTGGATGCTTCGGGTTCTATGGATCATGTCCCTGTGCGGCCAGATTTTGATAAGTATCTTGTCACGGGCTTTTCAAAGTCCAATCAACCGAAAAATAAAGGTAAGATCCACTCTTTGAATCTTTGTCGATCTCCTGGCTGACTCTTGGTGGCAATTCAGACATCGCAAGGGTCATCGTACGCCGCTTTATTGAAGCCTTGGGGAAATACGAAAATAACGGACATGGCTACAAACTCACAACATTCTCCACCGATGCCGAGTACATCGACGTGATCCACAGTTGGACCTTGAATGAGGCCTGGAGGGAGATCAAATTCAAAGGCCGGGCCCGAGTCATGGCAGGATGGCATAAAATCAAGGAGCTGCATTTCCAGAAATACTCCGCAACAGCCACTTACCATCCAGTCCACGGCTGGCAGGCCGGTCCAGAAACGCCGACAGTCCGACTACTCTTGATCCTAGATGGCGAGGCCAGTGATATGGACGAGTTTGAGCTAGAGCTTCTCGGTGTTTCATGGGCTTATATCACCATTTTCTTGATCGGTGTTGATGGATGTCTCCATCATCACCGACACGCGAGCAGACTGCAGCGGATGTGTGATCATAATCCACGAGTTTCTTTCGTCGACGCGCAAGGAAACATTCCCGAACGAATGGTCACGCACGAACTGTTGAAGAGGCACCTTGGCCGTGACCTCACCATTTCTCAATTCGAAGAATTGGAGCAAACCTCAGTGGAATTGCCATCTCCATTGCAACCACAGCACCAGAGAAATCGATCGAGCCAAACTACACTGGAATATTTACCAGTTGAGCTTCCCTCGCCGGAAGAAACAACGCTTTGGCAGAGAGAGCAGCTGTCACCACAGAGGCGGGGGCTCTTCGAGCTACCTGCACAGCAGGCGCCGGTGGAATTACCTACGTTTGAGGACTCAGTAACCGTGGCGCGGCGTTCTACACAAAGGCCTCCTATACCACAACCTCCTGCGCCGTTGAGGCAGCCGCCGGTGCCTCCGCCGTTACAGTACGGTCCGTTGGACCCACCACCACCTTATTTGGAGACTGCATGAGTTTATTGAAAGACTACCGAGATGATTTGATGATTTATAGCAAGCGAAATATGTAGATATACCCTGAATTGCATTTTGTATCCTGAAAGTCCCTTCGAGAGAGTGTAGATGATGTAGGTGATGCTATCCAAGGAGAGTTTGGCAATCTCATAAAAAATGATATCGTGTTCATTCATAACACTCATGTTATAAGGTGCTTATAAATTCGTCATAAGCGATTGTAGCCTCGGTCAAGTCCCATGGGTCTTCCTCTTCCTCGACCCCAAAGTTTTCCCCCGATTCCGACGCAGGTAATTCGGTTTTTGGGTCCGGACAGAGACCTTTTGCGTTGAAAAGAGCAGATATTGGGAGATAATCGAGATTGAGTGTGTTGTCTTGATGGTCGGTTTGGTCCTCAGAGGAATGAGGAGCGGTGCTCGACATCACAGACAGCCGGGCCCTCTTCTCCGGTTGCCATAAGCTCACGGGACCTGACCAGATTGGGGGCTGACTTACCTTTTCAATGTCCAATTTACTTTGCTTTCGTTTCAATTTCTTGCCCGAAAATTCTGTTTGAGATGCCCATGGCAACTTTATTCTGCCCATTGGTGGCATCGAGCGAACTAACTCAGGGAGAGAGTTATCTTGTGGCAATCGACCAACAGAGAAGAAGTAGTCGATTGTTGTGGATATCAAAAGGTACGCTCGAGGATATCTCAAGAAGGCGTCGTGCCAATTTTTTGCCGGGCCCTTTACGATTGGGATCTCACTCCTGGACCGAGCCGTGTCAGTGAGCGAATAACCGTGCTCACGATGACTCTCAGAAAGACTATCCGGAGTATCTTGAGCGAAGATCTCTTGGGAGGTCAGATATGCCAACTTGAGAATGACATCTGTCTGGGAGCTAATAAAATCTCCAATGTAATAAAATCGCCGTGAGTGGGACATTAATTCGCCCAGAAGTTGCAGACACTCGCGGCGGGCGATCATCTCAGGCTCCGAAGATGAGAGCTTGAAGTTAATGGCACTAAGGACAAGAGGCATGGCCACATGTCCAAGCCTGGCTGGTTTAGAACTCAAAGCGAGTATAATAGAAGTTGGATGTTGGACTTACAAAGCTAGCGGAAAACTCTGAATGTGCCCCTTCTCGTTGAAATATTGCATAATCGAGACCAGTTTAGTAGTCGCATCAAGGAGAATATTGCCCACATGAGACATTCGATAGGCATAATCGGGCCCAACGAAGTTGGAGTGTTTCTCAATCAAAAACGCCTCATAATGCGCAAGATCCATTCGGGCACCGCTATGTAATTTGAATTAGATGGGCAATAGCCTTAAGCTGATCTGATCGACTCACTGGTAGTGCATCATTGTAAACTGCGCAAAGTTGACAACTGCATTGTGAACATTCGCCTTTGTAAAAGATGAGATGGAAGAGGCTCTTTTCCAGAGTGCTAGGGAGGTTTTGGTCTTGTTGAGAATGAGGAGTGTATCATGCAGACTTTCTGGTGTCAGAACCGGCAGCGAAAGTCCATGTGTCCCGAAGACAAGGGATACCATCTCAGTCAAAAGTATTGCTAGTTGACATTGCTTCTGAAAGACCTGGAACAACGTGTCCTTGGTGTTTGAGTCGTATACGTGAGAACCGTTTATCTCAGCAGCGAATTCCTCTTTCTTTGGAAGATCTTTTATCATGCCCAATTCCAAAGAGAGGACTTTCGCGCGACGTCGAAGCCCCAAAGAGAGACTTCTGTCCCGGAGAAGGATTGACCACCAAAGCCGATTTTGTACTGAATCCTGTTTAGACCGATTCTCATAATCCATGTGATCACATTGCTGAGAACAAGCCACTGTTCCATCTTGAATGGCATGAGATAGCCAAAGGCTAGCAGCCTGTGGCTCTTCCTTGGACGTGAAAAAGGACAATAGAAGAGCGGCTTGTGAGCGGACCAACGGACTATCGCCGCCGGTAAATTGAAAAAGAATCTAACTGGTCAGTTGATTCGTGAGCAGAATGTATAAAATATGGGATTAAAAACCTTAGCTCTTCGATAAAAAGTATCCCAAGCGGCTCTTCCATCTTCAAATCCACAATCTCGGGCTGTCTCCAATGATACATATGGAGAACTGGCGAACAACATGGCCTGGAATAAAAGAAGAGGCATTTTCTTGATCAGAGCCTCTTGGGGTTTGTGATACATTCTCCAAAATAAGGCCTCATCTATTATGGGTGTGCTAAGGTGGCAGTGAAGGAAGTACTGCCTAACAAACTTATCCAGCAGATCGCGAGCTGGCAGCTGCAGACAATCCTTCGAGTTCAAAAAGGCCAAATCTTCGGGTGTCATCTTTGAATAGACCTTTGAATCCAAAAAATGAATTGTTGAAAAATGCACGTGATTTCTTTTTGAACCCTGAGATGATGTATCGCCATTTGCTCTTACAGAAGGCGTATTGACGTTTGCAGTATGCGAGGGTTCCGAATAAGGGTCGCTGTTCGGGCAGTTGAAGCTTGGGGCTTTGGGAACCAAGGTATCAGGACTATCAAGCCGTTTAGTCAGGACGGTCGGACGGTCGCTCAGCGTTGTGATACTCACTTGTTGTGGGACTTTCTCCGCATTATGCATTTGTGACCATCCTGTCGACAACGGGAACAGGGGTTGCCAAATATAGTCGCGTCACATCGGACCTTGCGCTCGTGGCACCACTCACATGCATTGGCGGCTCGTTTGGGGACAGGCATCATGAAGAGTTGACTTCTTCACATTCTAGCGAGGATAAAACGATGGCTCGCGTGGAAGCGTCATGTACGCTAACCCACGGGCCCCGCGGATCCGACTAGCTAGGAATCCGACTTCCCCGCCAATGGATTCAAAGCTTAGGATCCCCGGACTTAGTGGAGTAGTCAGGCTCATCGCAGCCTCTAGGCTCTTTTCAGTCGCTTCTTTGAATTTCAGCCGTAACTTTCATTGGCCTATCTTGTCGAAGAGAAACGCGTACAGCCGGACCAGTGGGATAATGAGAAGGAATTGAAACACTCGGCGATGACTTGTCTTTTGGGTTGTGATCCGAACATGTGTTTCTTTGAATTATATATTGGAAGGAGTAAAAGGACGTCTAGCAAGACCTTGAGCAAAACGTCTAGGGAGAGGTTAAGACGGACTAAGAGAACCAGGGATTTTATATGCCCGCTTAGATCATCTCCTTGGTCAGGCAGCAAAGATTTGCTCTACTTACAGCAGACAAAACATGGGATACGTAAAATAGGGGCATATACACAGCCGCGGGAATTATCTATGCCTATGCCGATAAATCCCGAGAGCTGTTCATAATTTTGTGAAACTTTGTGTAATTTATGTTTATGTCTATATGAAATCCCCTGAAGTCGAGAACCCCTTTGGGCCAGATTGGGCGTGTTCATATTGCAGGCTAACCCTGAACTTCAGTTTTTTTCATTGTCAGCCTTCAATAGAGACACAGTGCGACGAAGAGCATGTGCACAGGCATCTTCTATCGTTTGCGATGATAGCGAGTCCTCAGAGGTGACAATCTCAACAATCCATGGGTCCGAACCATCGCCGCTGATACTTCCACTGTCTCCAGTCGTGTACTGGGAGGTGCTATCACAAACCACCATTTCCGGACAGCTCTCGTGCCACCTTTTGAAGCGTGAAGCAGATGACTCAACCAGCGAGGGTAACGGTGTCTTCTCCGACAAGGGCGATGGAATGTAGATCACATCGCCTGCGACGGCCCTCTTTCCATCGGAAAATTCGTTATCCATATATGTATCACTGCCATCGGGAGCTGTTGAGCTCGATGAGATTGCTCCCTGTCGTCGCTCTCCTTTTCCAACCCGTTCTTCCGTCCACTGCACTGCCAGTGCAGTCATGTAGCGTACTGTGCCTGTCAAGGTGCGCAGTAACGAGTCTCGGTTATATCGTGCGGGTGTAGGTCTCGTGTGGGCTACAGGTAGCTCTTGAATCACTTTCTCCTCGGGACAGACAAACTTCAAAGTGCCAGAGACAACGCAAAGGAGGTGAATGGTGTTAGGCCCTGGGACAGGGCGGGGGATCCTGAACTTGGGTGCGAAAACGCGTACTTTCGTGTCAGACTTGGGCCAAGAAGAGACAGCATCCCAATGTGAGCTTTCAGAGTGTTCAGCCTCTCCGAGCAAGGTCAGGAACTGGCGGGCGGCAAGCGCCTTGACTTTGTTTTGACTGAGCTCATATGATATGCCGTCTGTTTGAGCACGATGGGCCCTGTCCAACTTACACCACTCCCACGCAACATCACAATCATCAAATGCCAGAATTGAGTCTTCAGGTTCATTGAGTCCATCATGCATGAATGATAGCTCAACGCCTGATCTCTTCAAGTCCGCTGCTACTCCAGATGTCTTATCAAAACCGCGGGCCACAAGGGTCGTCCTAAATGTGTCACGAGCCTTAGTTTTAATGAGCCTTGCTGCAGCCGTCTCCACACGATAAGCAGACTCCATGTCAACGATAATATACTGCTGAGTGCTACTACCAGACGGGGTATTCGTGATCGCACTTTCAATGGAGGGAATGACGCCGAAGACTGTATACCATCAGTATGAGCAAAGAACAGAAAAATGGTTGGGTTTACTCACAGACATAGCCATTAAGTCTAACGACTTTGATATAGATCTCCTCGCCAACGGCATCTTCATATGGCGTACCCTCTTCACAGGCCGAAGTCGAGTCGGGAACTCGGGAGTACCGAGTCGCAAGATCCAACGATCGAGGATCAACTCCTTGATGGAATCTTCTGTAACCCTGCTGTTGAGCTAAAGTGCTTCTTTGGCCGGCGAAATGAATCTTTTTTGCACGCTTAAATAAATTAGCGTTTGGGTCTCGAAACAATGTGAATAGAATTGGGAAATCAAAGCCTACCAGATCAAAGCATCCCCATCCGGTGTACACCACGAATGCAGTACAGATTCGAACGCCAACACCGGGCGCAAACCCAATGAACGTGCACGAAAATAGGGTAGCTATTACAACTAGCCACTCGCTCCACACAAAATATTTTGCCGATTCCAAGACAGCCTCAAGGGTGAGCTCGATGCCTAGGAAGAGAACCAGCCCCGATGCGAGGATTGTAGGGATATACGCGATCAGCTTTGACGAAACAACATATAAAACGGCGGTGAAAAGAATAACGATGCCGGCCTCGACCCGCTTGCCGCCTGCACGGGACCGAAGCTTTCTGGGAATTTTTTCTGTCTAGACCGTTTTGTGTACCACCGAGAGCGACCGCGGAAGTCTACTTATTCGATCAAGCGGCCCACTTGGCGTCGCGCCTTCTCATATCCCGCCATTTTTGTCTGTTATAGGGTGTCTCATTCGAGCGAATGATGTTCGATAGCCATAAGCTACCATGGGGTCTCTGGAGATCGTATCACGTCAACCAGAACCCGTAAACGTGAGTCAGTCAGGGACTGACCGTACATGCTACGGACTTCAACAACGATTGGCTGACAAGGGTACGAGAATTACAGACCTTTATAATCCCTTGCCACTGTTACTGGAAGGGCTCACCTCATTTCATCTTGACAACTTCACAATCAACCTGAAAACCAAAACATCTCTCAGCTTAGGCAGCCAACATGGCTACTTTCAAGATCGCAAACGAGGTGGCGGAGCTTCTGCCTAAGATGCAGGTTGTCGTCGTGACTGCTAAAGGCCTTGAAAACCGCACGGCGAACCCGAAGATTGCTTCACACGTCCAGGTAAGATTTCCGCCAATGTAACATCGAAAAGTCTTCACGCTAAAACTAATAGGCCGTTGTTGCGAAGACTGTTGATATGTTTGCCGCCAACAATTACTCCAATGCGCAGTCTCACCCACGTGTTGCACTCTACCAAAACACGTTGAAGGCTGTCGCCAATGTTTCGTCCAAGAAGTTCCCACAGTCCAATGAGTCGCTGTTAAAACGTGTTCTCAAGGAGAAACAAGCTGGGCGACCTATCTCGCCCATTGTGGATTTCTACAATAGCATTAGCATTGAGCATGCCGTTACCGCTGGGGCGTTTGATCTCCTCGAGCTGCGCACTGCAAATGGACCCCTGGAGCTTCGTCTTGCCGACTTTGAGCAAGACGTATTCGTGCCTCTGGATGCTGCCTCGGATGCTCAGCCCGGAAAAGTTGACAAGGGGGAAATCCTGTATGCCCAAGGTAACACAGTCTTGACACGACATATGGCATGGAGAAAGAGTAAACAGGCTCTCGTAACAGATGATAGTACCGAGGTCATGTTCATGAGCGAAGTGTTTAACGAGGCTGAACCGGGGCCGGAGCCGACCGCGCTGGCTCAGGCGATCGCGGAATCTCTGCAGGACGGCCTTCAGGAATTCTTTGGCGTCGAAAGTACGGCTGCATTCTTGGGTAAGAGCCTTGAAAAGCTAGAGATCTCACTGTAACCCCCCTGCATTGGTGCTGGATACCCGCTTCGCCTCTTATTCAGATTAGCTTCATGCAACTAGGCAACACCGTCACGGGAAAATGAGCCAAAAGGGACGGCGTGTTAAAAAGTACCGAAAATTCTGAATAAGGCCCAATCCCACAGACTTTGTTATTTAACTTTTACTGACATCGGCTGCAGAATTGCGCCACATGTCGTGATCTCCGAACTTGAAATGTTGAATGATTGGACCGGGTGCCTTATACGTGAATCTAGATCACTGATGCAGATAAATCCTTCACCGAGCACGCCATTAGGCTGACTTGGGACCTCGATGGCTATCCCGTGAGATACAACCCATCTCATTGAGCCTACGTGGTCAGCCGGGGACTACCAAAGGGACAATGCAAGGCGTTCTAGTGACCACACTGTTCTTCATAGGGAAATAACGTGTTTTTGCGTTACACCATATTAATCCCGCGTTTCCAATGTCGAAAAATTACGATGTTCAACAATACCAGCATAGCAATGTCATGTTAGCTGCTACTTGGTGAGTCGTTAGACATAACAGGAGTACGAGATTCATGCACAAATGCGATTTCTATCCGCTCTTGAGTCCAATCAAAGGCCTGGGAGTTTCAGACTATTTGTCATGAGTCATCTCTCTTCCCACAAGTTTGAAATCTCATTTTAACAAGATACTGTGGCAGAACGTAAATGCATCGTAAGGCTTGCTGCTTACCAGGTTGGGAAATGCGGGTCCCTATAGTCACTTCTATGACCCCGTATAAACTCTTACCACAGGCATCTTCCGATGCAGGGGCGGCTGATTTCATGAGTTTCAGGACTCAGCTCAGGAAAGAATGACGAGATCTCAGACACCAAAAACCAGACGAAGTACAGTATTATTCAGCGCTTTACCTAAAGAATATAGAGAGTTATACCTAATGCATGGATATTAGTAAAACAAATTTATAAGAAATGCGACATGTTGGGAGCAACGGACTGCTATAGAATCTGTACAGATATAAAAGATCTCCCACTTTCGCCCATAGGTAAAACGTAGAAGACACAAGCATAGCACGGACAAGATGCAGACCACAACAAAACTTTTGACCTCGCCATCATTTACCCTTGCGGCTGTGGAGCCGGCCCCCTCTGGACAAGACCAGTTTCAAAAAGCATTAGGCGTGGCGAACAAGTATCGCTCTCGAGATGGCAGAAAAGCACTCCAAGCCATTGCAACAAACTATATCGTGATCGGAATCTTCATCTATGCCTCCGAGTACGCATCTTCATCCTCATTATACTTCATTAGCTCTTCAAAATATCTCATTTACATCTCTGCTTGTCTCATCATTGCCTCGCGTCTTCGTGCCTTTGAAAACCTTGTCCATGAAGCCTCCCATTACAATCTCTTTTCCTCTCGTGAAGCACACTACTCCTACCAATTTCTTTACTCCTTCCCAGTCCTCCGTGTACTCGAAGATTACCGAACCTCCCATCTCATCCACCATCAACATCTCGGCGATGCAACCAAAGACCCAGATCTCATCCGCATCCTGGAAATTGGTCTTCACAAAGCCAATGAGCGCCCTCTTTATTACATTTTAGCGCTACCATTCTCTGGTTACGTACACTACGAATCCCTCACTTACGACATTAGTCGACTTCTTCACCTCCTACTGCTCCTATCCGTCCAAAATTATCTTCTGGGTCCTTGTTCTCGCCACAACCTACATAACCGGCACTACCACTCACCTGAGCTACTACTTCGCAGTTCCGTTCTTCGGAGTCCTACCTATCCTCCGCTATTGGGCGGAAGTTGCGGAACATCTTGGAATGGACATGGCTAGCAAATTCGGACACTCACGTAACAATCTCGGCTTTGGTCATCTTTGGTATATGCACCCACATAATGATGGATACCACGCCGTGCACCACATTCACAGCCAGGTTCCATTCCATCAGCTACCAGAAGCTCATGCCGCTTTGATGCGTGAGAACGAAGGTTTCAGGAAAGAGGCTGTGATTTCGCGAGGTATCGGGGAGACCTTTTAGCAAATGGCCACGAGGAAAACTTTATTTAAACGGACGGTCGGGGAGACCGTACCGAGAATGTGAATTGGGAATATAAGCCACGGGGAGTGAAGCTGCCAGGTCAGCATGGACAACGCGAGCCGCTGCACGGGGCACGGCATCCGAGTCCAGAACCAAGAGTATGTATTGCAGCGGAACCTCCTTGTGGAAGGTAAAGATGGACAGTTTGGAAAAGAAGGTTTCTTTGAGTATCCATGGTGCATGTTATCAAATTTAACCATGAGCAGAAGTAGATGAGATATACTTCCAAGTCTTTTTCGTATCTCTTGGAGATGTGATAGAACATTTGAATATGAGCTTGGATTATCCATTCTGATCCGAAGTCAGCGTCGAGCTTGAGAAGTATACTTATCATTTCGCGACACATCCAATAGCTTAGAAAACGATGGGCAATGTTCCCTTGATAAATACGAGCTCTTCGTATCCCGCCTTGGTCCCGTATCGTATGGCGCGAGTCTCATGTCGTGTGGCGCGGGGTACTCGATAAGCAATCACGGGTGAGCTTACCCCTCTAGAGCGGTGTTAAAGCCTAGACCCTTACCTGTGAATTTGATCTTCCTATTCATTCTGTTTCTCTACGTGAACAAGCAAAGACTGAACGCCCATCATGCCCCTCGCAACCCAAAAAAATCTCAATCTAGATTTTGCCGAGCCATCCGACGCCGAAGCTGTTGGGGGCATTTTTTTCTCCGGCTTTCATGCTCACCCTTACTTCCGCAAAATGATGCCGGACACCCCTCTAGCTCGAAAATCCTGGACCGACCACATGACGCACTGCCTTCACGACCCATATAGCATTGTGCTGAAAGTGACTGACGTCGATCTTGACAAGATTGTAAGTATGGGGGTCTGGCTTAAGCCTAAAAAGGAAGGGGATCGGCATCACCCCGGCAATGAAGAAGGACGTGTGAGTTTAATCTTATTTCGTATCTTTCAAAATATATTTGAGGGTTCAACTGCTGTACACCCTCATCGGTACATCGTCAGATCGGTCAAACGCCAGCCCTTTTTCATTCATTCATGAATCAATTTGCGATTAGTGATTAGTTCTGCTCTAAACCAGATTACTGATAGAGTTAGTACACAAATGACTTCATGGCTTGCTGCGACGAAGAAACCGCTGCCGCTCTCTTTGGGGCATTCGAAAAAAACCGGGAAGATTTCATGGGCGATCGCCCCCATTACTGTACGTATCAAATTCGTCCGTTAAATTTACTTCCCAGTACCTTACGACTGTGCTAACCCACCAGACATGGAATTGTTATGTACAGCCGAGTCTCATAAAGGTCACGGAGCCGGCGGTCTTATCATGCAATACGGCTGCGAGCTAGCTGACAAGGATGAGCTCGAATGCTATATCGATTCGAGCCCTCGGGGTAAGAGACTTTACGAGAAATTCGGTTTTGTGTTCACAAGGCAGGTATCACTGCCCATGGCCTATCATTACAACTTTGGAATGAGAAAACCGACGGGGAGTGATGGAAGTTTTTAAAAGCAGCTCCAAAGTTCTGAGGTCAAGATCTCGAGCACAGATGAAACAGGGTCTCAATCTACTCTTATTAAACTTGTCTAAGCGCGTTCTTATCTCAGAAAATTGAATTTGAAAATAGGTGTTTAGGATATTGAAAATTGAATTGTTCTTATTCGGTCTTGAAAATGACGCCATGATGCTCCATTCTGGCCAGTCGTTGGGCAATGATCTTCAACAATTGGAAGATATCTATACACCAGCACACAGCTAGATTATAAGGCACTGGATACTGCATACTCCGGAAATGTATTCTGAGATTGCACTGTGGCAATTCTAGAGCAGCCTAGGCTCGTGTCTCGATCTTCAATCTGACGTCAGAAGGTGAGGCCAATCACAGTATACAGAATTACCCCGCCTCTTTCTTTCAATAAAAAAACCACTGCTCTTATTAAACAGCACGCAAGTAATATTTGACTTGAGGCTATAAGTAATTACTATGACGAAAACAGTATTGATTATCGGTGGAACAGGCGCCCAGGGCATACCCGTGGTCAAAGGTACGCTGGATGTGGAGGGAATCTCGAAGCAGCTACTAATTTATACACAAGCCCTGGCCACTGATTCCAAATTCAAAATTCGAGTCCTTACGAGAAGTGCCTCTTCCAAAGATGCCAAGGATCTAGCAAGTCTACCCGGCGTATCAATCTTCGAAGGAGAAGCCTACGACGAAGCCACCCTCCGCCAAGCCTTCAAAGACATAGACCTCGTTTTCGCCAACACAAATGGCTTCGCTATTGGCGAAAAATCAGAGATTTACTGGGGAATTAGGCTCTACGAGCTAGCCCGAGAACACAAAGTCGCGCACTTCGTCTACGCAGGTCTGGGATATGCTTCCAAGCTTGGCAACTTTGATCCTAAGTACAGATGCGGCCACTTGGATGGAAAGGGAAAGGTTGTGGATTATATCTTCGCGCAGTCGACATCAAAAATGGCATGGTCTGTTTTGACATCTTGCATGTATCTGGACTCCCTGTCGGAGTTCCTGCGGCCGTTCCCCGACCCTAAGGATCCGGATACGATGGTTTTTACAGCGCCTCTTGGAAATGGAAAATGCCCTCTTATTTATCTGGAGGACTATGGGCGGTATGCAAGATGGATCTTTGATAACCCTGCGCAGAGCAACGGACGGGAGCTAAATGTTGCGACTGAGGATCTTGCTTGGAACGATCTCGCAGCTGCATTTTCGGATGTCACTGGTAAAAAGGCAGTCTACAGGGACGTGACTTTGGATGAGTATTTCAAGCTTGGCATCCTGGATCCGAATGCGATTGTAGGTCATTCAAGTGACCCCAATGACACGACTTTACAGACTTATCGGGAGAACTTTTCAGGGTTCTGGAATACGTGGAAGGATAATTTGACCAAAAGGGACTATGAGCTGTTGGATACAATTTTGCCGACAAGAGTGAAATCTGTCAAAGAGTGGATGGAAATGACCGGGTATAGTGGAAAGCCTTCGTCATTGCTGAAGGACTATCGCGACAGAGCTGCCAAAAAGTAGTTGAGAAGTGGGTTGTAATGGATCGGTTTTTTAAACCCGTCCTTGATCATTCATATTAAGTGGTTGATTCAACCACAACAGATAGTCGGTTCCTCTACCCCTTTTGCCTTTTCATCGACGTCAATACCGATAGTGACCACCATCCAATCGCAGAAGAACTTGCCCAGCCCGGCGCCAATAAAGATACAAATAATCACATAACCATTAAAGTACATCGCCAACAACATCACAATATAAGCGCCGCCAAATGTCAACGCATGGATAATAGCCCGGATCAACTGCTGTAGTGGCGTAGTGCGGAATGTCATCCGCCCCACAGATCCTGATTGATTCGAGTCAGGGAAGCGAGCCAGCGCTTGGCGCTGGAATTGCCGGACGAGGAACGCATCGTATTCACGCCCAATGCGCCGACAGAATTCAACAAACATAACGAGCAGAATAACGCCGATGCATGTCGCTGCAAACATGCCATTATTTTGGATCTTCCATTCGGATGAGAGGAAGCAGGCATCGATAGTGTACCAGTTGAACAGCATCTGATCTAATCAGCGGCCACGTTTAACCAAGAAATAGGGTCTTGGCACTCACGGAAATTTTGCACGAGCTGCTGCTGCTGCTGGAGCTAGAGGTCATGTCCATCTTGCTGATATTGTACTCAAAGCACGGTGAGAGCAGTGAATTTTAATATGAAATACACAGGATCCACGTGGATGGCCATGGCCGGGCTTATAACACCTTCGCATCGCGTGTCGTGACTCCACACGGAGAAAGCCCGTAAAGTGGAGAGAATCACAGCCAAGACATCAATCTGCTCAATTCTTCTCGACTTCTGGAAACGACGATGGTGTCGAATAAACCATTAGCCGAAACCATGTTCTACAAAACCCCCGGCTGGTCCTGTCAGAGCAGACAGACATCATCTCCGACTGTACGACCCTACGCGAAGATTGTTCGACGTGAATCGTCGGCGTGTTCCAGTGGCATCCTATTGGGCAGTGGCGTTAGTCCGCATCATGTCTTCCAAATTGGATGCTCGTCACATCCAAAACCTGAGCGCTGCAGCGACTCTAGAGCTTCATTGGGGTTATGCGGAACGTGCCCTTCCCTGCACTAACAATGCGGGCTCCTGCGCGTATCTCGATGCAGTCTACTCGGCTCATGATCTTGGCATGATGTATACGGGAATAATTTGGTCGACCATCAGTGGCGTTTTGTTGATATGGGCTTTCTTGAGACGTTTCGGTCACCCAACGACCTCTCCAGCGCCTGCCTTATCTCGTTCGTCAGGCATAGAAAGAGGCCGTCGTGCGTTTGCAGCTTTCATTCGTCAATATTGTCTTCCAGACGCGCCGCGCATGATCTTCGGTCGCACGACGCGTCTGCAAGTCCTCGTTCTTGCTGCTCTGGCCGGCTACCTGCTCATTTTCAGCTTCGTTGGCATCGTCTATAACACCTGGGTCACCCCCGTATCCGGTATGGATGGCGTATATAACACCCGCTCTAGTATCGGACCATGGGGTGATCGAATCGGCGTCTTCGCGTATGCGCTCCTTCCACTCTCCATAATGCTGAGCAGCCGGGAGTCCCTTCTTTCCATGATCACCGGCCTGCCGTATCAGAGCTTCAACTTTCTGCATCGCTGGCTGGGATATATTATCTTTGTACAGAGCTCGCTTCACACGATCATGTGGTGTATTGTTGAGTTGCGACTTTACCAGCCACAGCCATCTGTTGGGGTCGAATTCATCACACAAACTTACATTGTCTGGGGCATCGTTGCTATGATCCTGCTGATCTTGCTATTTGCTCTGAGTACGCCATGGGGTATTCGGATGACCGGCTATGAGACCTTCCGCAAAGCCCACTATGTTCTCGCTATGGTCTTCATCGGAGCCTGCTGGGGTCATTGGGAACAATTGAAGTGCTTCCTCTTGCCATCTTTGATCTTCTGGTTCCTCGATCGCGCTGCTCGACTCTTCCGGACTGCCCTCTTGCATTATAAACCCGACGAGGCGGGCACATTGGGGTTTAAGACCGTCGACGCGACCATAACCCGGTACGGCGATGCGGAAAACCTCGATGTCATCCGACTTGATATGGATAACATCCAAGAGCCATGGGCTACCGGCCAACATTACTACCTTTGCTTCACTCAAGGAAGCATTTGGCAATCACATCCTTTCACGCCTCTTAATGCCCCAGTGGTAGTAAAGGGCAAGGTGAAACATTCATATATTCTCCGGGCCAAGAAAGGCGAAACTAGGAAGATCATCGACCTTGCTGCCACGGGCGTCTCAAGTACTCCGATTATTCTGACTGGGGCATACGGTGAGAACATCACCGAGTCGTTGAGACCAGACGCAAACATCATCTGCATCGCCGGTGGTACCGGCATTACCTATGTCCTTCCAGTGCTGCTCGAGCTGGCTCAGCAGTCACCATCACCGGACCGGAAGATGGAACTCATCTGGGCAATCCGGCATACATCCAACAAGGAGTGGATCAGTGAAGAGCTTGGTATCTTGCAAAGGGCCCAAAAAGCTCTGAATCTGAAGATACGAATCTTCGCAACGAGAGATTCCAGCGAGGATTCTCCTTACGATACGAAAGAAGCCGTCAATATCTCAGTCTTCAATGAAAAGGATGCTGGTCAGGACTCCCAGAATTCTTCATCTGAGTCTCAGTCATGTGGCTGTGAGAATGAAGCACCTGTTGAGAAGCTCGGCGGTAAATCAGAAAAGGGCAACTCTCATCCTGACCTGCACAAACTAATTCCTGGCTTCCTGAATGAAGTTGTGCGAGGACCCACGACAGTATTTGTTAGTGGGCCTGGAGGTATGATCAGTGATGCGCGCGGCATCGTCGCTTCCTGCAGTTCCGGGTCTAAGGTGTGGGGTGGACAAGACAGATTCGATGTCAGTCTCGTGTGTGATGACCGCCTTGAGTGGTAGAACAGTGTAAATGAATATTGCAAATAAGAAGCAAACAATTGATACCCCGATGACGACAGCCGTCCCCAGCATTCCAACGGACTCAATTTATCTTAATGATCGCCAAATTTCGCTGGGGCATGTTTGGTGCCACCATAGATCTGGGCGAAGAAAACTACCATTCATTCGCTAGGGATACCAAGATCTTTCCGTGCTATGAAAAATATATTCCAGATTCATCGGTACATCACATCTGTCCCGAGATAAAGGTAGTCAGCCGCATGCTCCGAGGTGTCGACAGTTTTGACACCTCATTTTTCGTGGGTATGATGATCTACATCAAGATGGCCCCGCCCGGTGACGATCACCTTGTTTGCTCGGCGTCCACGAGACTACTTTAAGAGCAGGAAAAGACCTGATATTCCCATCTATACTCTAGTTCATCAAGTATGAGGCTCTGGGAGCTAAACACATCATGGACTCTGCGCAACTTAGCTGGAGCGCCGCCCCACGGTCAATCAATATGACACAGGAGAGGGGTTGTAGGGGCCCGCAGGGGCATCTCCACTCATGCACAATGACGAACATTCGACCTGTAACTGTTTTCGCTCTCCTGCATACCATCGGTCAATCTGTTCAATCATTTTAGACCGCTTTTCTGGGCCGAGGGAGCTATAAGAATCGGAATTTCGGCTACGTTCAGCTAATCCGATTCATACCTAGAGCTACACCTGAAACCTCCTCAGTGAGTCTCCATCGGCTAGCATAACCATTCACTAGTGTCTCTAACCAGATTTATTTCCACCAGATATGCCTTCAGCAACAGGAACTCTCAAGAAGAACGAAGAAGGTGCCATCCGAGGCCAATTTGCAGTCGACGGATCTACTTATTTCTTCGTCGGCACTCTCCTCACTCCCATTTCTTCGTTCGGCATTTCAAATGCCCGTATCACGTACAAATCTACCGAACAGCTTCAGGAACAGCCTATAATGTTTGAGGAAATTCCTATTCAAAAGGACCATATTGAGTTCAGGTTGCAGAATGGTGTTCAGGTGTCCGGGTTTTTCGACGAGCCATTCGGTGATGAAGCTGTGAACGATCAGATTTTTGTTGCGGGTGGCGCGGCTTGGATGCATATGGAATCATAATTCGGATAATCATGAAATCGGCATGCGTGGCTTGATTATCTGCCATTTTTGCAAGCGCTGCTGGGTAGGGTTTCGAGGCGGCGGTTAGGATATCACAGGGATGCTGGAAAAATTGATAGGTGGCCGAAGTATTATTAAGAATTGAGCAATTGAGACATACCCCGGAGCTATCTGTGTAGAAGCAAACGCATCAGCATTCTATTGATTTAGTGAGGGTAGAAGCTGAAACGGTGCGATGCACGGAACACCCCTTGCTGGCTGAGGTACTACACCATCTTACGAAATGGTTGGCTCAATGTTGTGCGTTGCCAAGCTCACCACTGTGTTCGCATCACTGCGAAGTTCGACAGAGTATGCTCGTGCTTGCATAATCCACGATGCGCTTTCCCTGTCCCGCTCGCTGAATGCATAATTATCCAGTGAGACTACAAGCTCCCGTGTCTCTCCGGGCCGAGGAAGACCTTATTGGATCCCTTCAGGACTCCATCAAAGTAGATCTGTAGAACCTCGCGACCGGATCGAGATCCAGTGTCTGTGACATTTGTCGAGCCATCCGCGTCAGTAGGCTCAGCGCCACACTTCCGCTTCAGTGCAAGACCACTGAAATCGAATTCTGTATGGCGTACCATCATTGAATGATAGCGTCGACATCGGCTATCCATGGCATGGTAATTGGCGAGCCGGGTATTCTCAGCAACGATTGTATTAGAAAGTTTGCATTCAGTTTCACATTCATTTCCGACGAAATGCTTCGGACAGGTTGAGACTCCCTTGGACTGGACACCATTCACAAAGGCCGCGGCAAGAATTCCAGAAAGTACCGGATCCTCTAAACACGCTTCAAAGTTCCTGCCGCCTGGAAAGCTTTTGTCAATATTGTGTGCTCAAAGCCATAGTTGCCAAGAAATGTACTGGCAAACATACTTAAAGGAGGACGATACAAGTTCACTGTTGGCCCAAGAAGGAGACCTTCTTGTTTACTGTTCCCTTCGTCTCCGATGACCTCGCCCATTCTTTGAGCGAGGCTCGGGTTGAAAGATGACCCGACACATGCGGCACATGGAAATCAAGTGGCTTTTGTCGAGACATGAATAGACTCGCCACGAACGCCATTCGGTCCATCGCTGTAATTTGAACGAGTCAGACTTGGACAAACCGCCTAAGGAATATTTTGCTCACTTTAACAGGCTTAATACCATGTTCTGGTAGACGGGCCGTTCGCCAGTATGACTGACCCGCCAGTAGAGAAGCCTTCTCCAAAGAAAGAGAATCGATCATTTTGACAGAATTTCATTCTACTCGTTCGATGAATTGCTTCATCAAAATTCCTGACTCGGCTTTCATTTCGATGTTGTCTATGATCCATCTGGGAAATGTCCACCACGTCCAGCTCGGGTTTCCCGGTTGTCCACTGTCCACTTCCTCATTTGGCTATGTTGATGGCGCACCCCGGATTTCCCCGCAATATCAACTGCGTAGATCACCACATTTAAGAGACTCTCCCAGGATGTATCTACCTTTACCCACGAGGTGTTTTTCAATCTGGAGTCTATCAAGCAATCATCATGACTGAAATGGCAAAGGCCGATGTCGCTCACCTCGAGTGGGAGGAGCCTGCCTTCTTGCAATTGGACAAGGAATTATCCTTGTTTGAAACTATTAAAGTACACAGAAGAGCTTTGTTACTCTGTGAGTTGACACTTACATCTTAAAAACCCCATAAGTGAACCACTAATATCAGTTTCCAGGTGGTATTTCCTTCACTGCCGCCACCATCTTCGGCTACGACACAATCGTCAATGGCGCTGGAATATCGATGCCCGCCTTTATCCTATACTTCGGCGAGAAAGATGCATCTGGGCCGTATCTACCATCTCTCTGAACATCACTTTGGACCTCGATGTCGGCTCTGGCCCAAGCTTTGTCTGCCACCGGGGCAGGATTCTTGGCCGATCGGATCGGTCGTAGATGGTCGGGCTGCTTTGCTGGTGTTATTACTCTGGTGGGTGCAACCGTGCAATTTACGGCAGTTACCCGCAGCTCCCTTCTAGGAGGAAAGATCGTGTCTGGACTAGGGATCGGTATGGCCATGTCAATCGGAACGACGTATGCTTCTGAAGTGGTTCCTGCTAGACTGGTCCCTCCAGTTCAACAGGCATTGGTCATTTTTATTCTCATCATGCAGGCTTTGGCTATGGGTGTGATCCGTATATTTGTTCCCAATGTGGCTCCACACGCGTTTCGAACGGTTTTTGCTATCCAATGGGGGGTTGGCGGCCTGTGTACTATCGCCTTCGCGTTGGCTCCTGAGTGAATGCATTCATATATTGCGCCGTTTATACTATCATCTAACCACTAAATTTAGATCCCCAGTCTACAATATCCTAAACAATCGCGGTGACAAAGCGAAGAAGCTTTTCCGATGGATGTACGGGGACAACGCCGAAGCGGACGAGCGCTACAACTATCTAGTCCAGATTATCGAGGAAGAAAACTCCCAACGCAGTGCCAACAAGGCAAGCTTCATTGAATGCTTCCAAGGCATCAACCTCAAGAGGACATTCTCAATAATGTTCCTCTTCGCCATTGTGAATCTTGCCGGTGCCCCCTTCCTTTCGCAATCCATTTACTTCCTGATTTCCGTGGGCCTGCCCGCCATTCACGTGTTCGATATTTCCGTCGGTGGTTTTGGTCTGGCGATCATTATTATCATCGTCAGTGGAATATCGTTGAAGAATGTTGCACGCAGAACTGTCCTCTTCTGGGGTACTATGGTCAACTTCCTTTTCATGGTCGTGATTGGAGGTCTCTACTATGCTCCCGGGGATGGCCCGAAATGGGCCATTGCAATTCTGATGTAAGAATTAGAGAGCGCCTTCCTGGCTGACTATTTAATACTAATTTTCAAACAGGAATCTTTTGATCTCTCTGCAGGCCGCCTTCATGCAAGCGACCGGATGGTCCATTGGAGCCGAGATCTCCAGCTACCGACTGCGCGCAAAGTCGATGTCTCTTGGCATAATGGCCCAGACGCTTTCAACGTGGCTCATTACCTTCGTTGTGCCATATATGTATAACGTTGACTCTGGCAACTTGGGCGCTAAGACAGGGTTTGTTTTCGCTGGTATGACAGTGCCACTTCTCATCGGGGTCTTTTATCTTACGCCCGAAACAACAGGCTTGACAACCGAGGACATTGATAAATTCTATGAAGCAAAGGTACCACCGCATCGGTTCGCTAAGCACAAAGCGGAAATACAGGCGGAATAGAGGAACTTGGTTAATTTATAATTTAACTAGCTTTTATTAAAAGCCAGCGTACATTTTGTTGAACATGTATCCCATTCATCATTCCAGTGTAGTGGAAGTTAAAGTGATAGAAGCCTTCCCCCGATGGAATAGGAGTAGTGCCAAATTGAGCGAAGCTCTCCATGGAGTAATCCTGCTTAGCAGATCGGCAGCAGCAAATAGAATGAGATCAGTCTTAGATCTTTTATCGGAGTTTGGAGGCTGACAAAAGGGACTTTGGCTTAATGTGGCCTTAACAACGTCGAAAAAGCCGTCAAACGCCACAAAATCTCGGGTATGTTCCCGAAAAGTGTCCAACTGATCCTGATTGGCACAGGTGAGCATAGCCCAGACGAACACTGCGCTTAGGAAGCAGGTAATTATTTCAGGAGGCTCCATTATTCTGGACTTGGTTTGATTTCCGAACCGATGGAGCTCGCTTAGGCTGTCTCTTATGGTTTCAAGGCAGTGTTTGAACATGAATGCTGCGGATTGTGGGTGTGTCTGAGCTGTTTGACGCATCATTCCAAGTGTGGTAACGAGCTCGGAGATTCCTGACTTTCCAAGCACGTTTTGAAGATCTGAGATCGGACTGTGGAGCATGAGACGGCCTAGTCGGAGGTGTATTCGAGCGATGCTGTGGAAATGTCGGGATGTCGGGTAGACTGACACATCAGCCGCAGGTGATACTGCATAAGCTTTTTCCCAAGCCAGTAGTGTCTCTGTCAAGGCGTTAATAAGAGATTTATTGAATCTTTCGAAGCATCCATAAATGGTTAGGTTGAGTATTACTTTCAAGTTGTTCCCTTCGCTTTCCTAATGACCACAGAACATCGCGAACAGGGCTCGAAGGTGTACGATCCGCTTCGTGTTGCGATTGGCATCTTCGCAATAGTCGTGAATAATGAATTTGAACTTCCAGGGCCACTGCCGGGTCAGGATCAAAATTGAGGGAAGGAGAGGAAGGAATTGGAGATTCGCCGAGGACCTGCCACATGCCGGGGTCGAATGTTGCTTCAGAGACCATATTGATCTGCTGAGAATATTCATAGATTTGAACCAAGATCGTTGTGAGCACAAGACAGCGAGTCCAAGAATTCAGGCTTTTGGATTCAGAGAAACTTGTCTGAGGCCCAGGCGAAGCAGCTGGCTCGGGAAAATGGCCCAAGTTGAGTGGGCCTAAGAACGGGCTGACGGCAGCGGCGAATGTTCTTCCTTGGGGTACTGAAGCGGATCCAAGTAAGCTCTTCCAGCGATGAGCTGTCGAAGCATGCCAGAACTCCTCGTTACACGGGCACTCAATCTTCATGAACTCCACCACGCTGATGGATGCCGGAAGGTACAAGAGGCACGGAAACATGGAGTCAAGGCTGTAAATAGTCCACGAAAGTCTCTTTCTAGACTCTTTGAGAACCCATCTATGCCATTGCCCATCCAACCCCTCTCCGAGCTTCCTGGCTTCTTGACGAGAAAGCTGTACATCGTCAAGTTGAATTTGACGGCAGTAGGAAACAACTGTGCCCCTTATAGGTTCTGAAAGCTCAAATAATCTCTTATTCCCACACCAAAGGCCCACATAGCAGAGAAGCGTCAACGCATACACAAACATCGGGGCTCGCATGATTTTGTTATTTGCTTCCATTGCCAGCTGAGAGCTCAATCTTGCGAGATCTGTAAGGACAATGGCAAATCGGCATGTATTTTGCTCGCAGCTGTAAATTGCTCCTATTGCAATCATTACGGCGAGAAGAGGATCTGGCAGATCGTCACATGATTGCAGAGATGGACGATGTATCACCGCCATTTGAGGCTCGAAATGAATGAAGAAAAGCCGGATGAACACGTTTGCAATCGCTAGTTCTGGGAAAAGGAGAGAATGGAAATCGATACCGATCTGGGCGGGTCTTTCCAAAAATAACTTCAGCCTCTCGTACCGACAATCGGAGATATCGAACCTCTGGTCATGAATCTCTCTCAGAGGATGGCTTTTGGGGATCTTAATAGGTCTGGTTTTGGTAACAGCTCGAGAACTTGGATCCCATTGATACGGCCACCTGTCCTGCTCAGAGGCTTCATTTGGAGGTGAAAGTGAACGAGTGATAGGTTGTGGGATGTTTGCAGGAAACGGTGTATCCTCGCCTTGGGAATGAGTGTTTGGTTCGTCGGGACCGGTATCCATCGCATCAGTTTGGACATAATTATAGGGTATTGTGAAACCGGTGTTTAGAGGCAGAGACATTGCATCGTCGTCGTCGAACCAAATGTCTTCCAAATTAGAAGGGCTTTGTATCCATTGAAGAAACTGGTCTTCATCTATACTACTGATACTGACCTCTTGTGATGAAGAATGATGGCTATCTTGTGGCTGGGGCTGGGCAGAACATGACACACTAGGATCCGGAGGGACATCAAGCGAGCTATTGGGAAACCGGTTACCAACTGTTTCACTGGCGGCGCAGTCTTCGGATAGCTGGGTGAATAAATCACGGGCTAGTTGCTCGGATGCTGTTGAGATGCTAGACCCTGGCGTATCGACCGTAGTTGATTCTTGGAAGACCGCTGAGTCGCCAAGCTGCGATTTCGCCATGGGCTGCCTTCTCTGGGCCTCCATCCTGATCTGCGAGGTCCCCGGTGAAGCTGCCTTTGGAGGCGTTCTAGCCTTGTGTATTTCTTCATGTCGCTGACGCACATCGCTCCTCGTAAATTCCTTCCCACAAGTAGTACAGCGATGTGATTTGTCTGGCTTGTCTATTAAATGATCAGCAGCAATAGAGCACGATCACGTATGAGTGACTAACGGATCCGAGCATGTCGTGCCAAATTTTCTCGGCGCGAGAACTCTTTTGGACAATCTTTACATCTGTATCGTATTGATGAGTCTAGTGTGGCCATAGTTAGTGATGTTGAGGGAAAGGGTGCACATAAGGTGGACAGTGGACAGTGGACAGTGGACAAGTCTGGGGTAACGAGTCGATAGGGCGGAGAAATACGGGGGTTGGCCGTATTTGGCTAACCACACAACCGGCAGTGAGAATGCTGGCAAGCAGACTAATTCTAGCCAATTATTGCCTACGAATTCCGTTATTCTTTGCTTGGCACGGCAATTAGCGCGAGCCCCTCGGCCGGCTTATCCGAACCGACGCTGCACATCCCTGAAAGCCGTTTTCTTTCTGCTCGGATATGAACACCTGCATAAAAGTCGGTCTTCCTTCGTGTTTATCTCGTTTCCTTATCTTTAATCCTCTAATCTTCATCCTCTATCCTATGGAATTTATTTTCGTCAAATGTGTGTTCATGACTGGCCATCGCAGCCACGTGTTTCAGGCTTGGCATCGATCTACCTTAATCTCAGAACCTTAAGGAGTCTTCCAACCACTTGCCTGTCTTTCCCCTTCGACTCCTTCTTGCCGAAACTGTCATAATATTTTGATCCATACCTATCTTTATGCCTATAGGCACCCACCAAAAATAAAAAGACCTGATGAAAATTTTGAGTGGAGACCAAACCACTAGCAGCAGCTAACTGAATTGAGTAAGGTAGCCCGGCTTTCAACGAGGGCTTTTTTTAACTCGCGATTAAATCAAATTTCCCACTTTTAACGACATGATTCAGGTAGTTGATAGCTCGGAAATATCTAAGTGGATAAGAAAGGAAATGAGACTGGTGTACCACATGCGGCTAGTCGCAGGACGCATCCACATCGTTGATGCAATAACTCTTGCCTGCTCCGAAGGCCCCGAGGCACGGACCATTCTTGTTCCGTAACTCTCGCGAGGAACTGGAGGATGCATCGGACATTGCCAATGTTTTCAATGCCATGCTCAACGAATTTCCGTGCTGGACCAATGCGCAGATTGGCCAATCCTATGAATGGGGTGGACCCCCCTGGACAACCAATATCTCCGGTTCGAACCAAAGTCAGCTTGATCGATAGTGGGCGCTAAGCTTCATCCGGCATAGATCGTTTCTATAAGCATCCTAAAGCTTGTCTAGTCTCGCTTATCGGCCTCTTCTCACAGTGTGGCCGCGCAAGCATGGGGGGTCTCTTTTGGAAAGTGCTGGAGCGGGTACGTTGACCCCTATTTTTGAGGGTTTTCGAGGGCCATTCTTGAACGCCTTCGACCCTCCAGCCGTTCCTTTTGTGTTTCAAGGGTAGCAGTCGCAGTTGACGACATTCGTGTGGGTTCTAACTTGGACCTGACGCGGCGCATTGCATAGCTCTACCATCATGTCTTTCTCTATCAATACGTTCTTTTTTAGCCTGATCGCCTTCCTCGCCCTCCGTGCCGTTGCAGCCGATTGCAACCCCCTCAACACGACTACAACATGTTCCCCCGACGCTGCGCTCAGTACCGAGCACACCTGGTTGTTCAACGAGACTCTAGATAGTACACTATGGGACATGGCTACTGGAGAGTTGAACTATACGGACAAGGGCGCGGAGTTCGCCATTCGCTCTGAAAATGCATCCACTCTTTTGCAGTCCAACTTTTATATCTTCTTCGGCGTCATGGAAGTGCACGCCACAATGGCGGTAGGCCGCGGAATCATTAGCAGTGTGATTCTACAATCCGACGACCTGGACGAAATCGACTGGGAATGGCTCGGTTATAACACGAGTTTCGTACAATCGGACTTCTTTGGAAAGGGCAATACCACGACAAGTAATCGAGGAGGAACACATCTCGTCTCTGACGCCGACACCGTCTTCCACAACTATACGATCTATTGGGATAAAGATCGCATTGAGTGGTGGATTGACAGCGATCTGCGGCGAACGGTCAACTACTCGGAGCCACTCACTGTGTATGGCAAGAATTACCCACAGACCCCTTGCCGAGTCAAGATCAGCAACTGGCCTGTCGGAATCGCAAGTGAATCCCTTGGCAATATTGAATGGGGTGGTGGTCTTGTCAATTGGGACGATGTGCCCTTTATCATGACTGTGCAAAAGCTCCGCGTCAAGGATTTCCATACCGGAAAGGAGTACAAATACACCGGTACTACGGGAAGTTACGAGAGTATTGATGTTATTTCGTATGTTTCCCCCCCCCTGCTTCCCTCTGGGCCTTTTTCGCTTTCTATAACCCGACCTTCTAACGCTTGCCTGCAGAGGAAATTCAACAGCCAAGAAAGAGATCGAGAAAAAGCCAGAGGAGACCTTGGCTGAGAAGTGGGACGATCTTGGAGAAGGTGCTCACATTGGAGTCTACGTTGGTGCCGCCGCCGCCGCCGCTATTGCCATTGCTGGGTTTGGATGGTGGTGTGCACGACAACGCAAAGCCGGACGTCTTCAGCGTGCCCTGAATGATTCTGCCGCAGGGCAGAGTGGTGCAGAACTTACGCAGATGGAGAAGCCCGAATGGAGGCAAAGCCAGTGGGGACAACAAAGCTACCAAAGAGTTCCGTAAAGGCTTATTTATACTGAGAAGCTCTCCAGGGCTACAAACTCGAATCCACGAGTTGTCATGCAGGTCTTGGTGACTGGGTTGGATGTGGATGTGAATACGATTCTTGTACATTATTTATCGTTAGATTTCTGGGTTTTCTATATTGGTATTAAATACTACTTTCAAGGTACATCATTCGCTTTTGTAGGGCAGCGCTCTCGATCATTTATTTATTCACTCGTTTAACTGCGAATTCAAAAAATCAAGTAGCTTAAGCACATCGTCAGGCTCGCCATCTAAAGCCACTGACAGGGTGGTCCTGGTTCCAGTCCGCTTGTAGAAATGCCCTTCGAAGATATCAGGTACGAAACCAGCATACTCCCAAGCAAGGACACTGGGTCGACATTAATGTTGGAGTGAGTGAGGTAATTGTGACAAAATACATATTCATCACTTCCGGATGGTCGCAGTGACCAAGCATCTTTATCTGTGCATTCCATTACTCTATACGGCGGCAACACGATTCCCGAAGGTCCTCCAAGTTCACAAGATCTAAGCACTCGAAGCATAGCAAGATGTTGATCAATTTCAGCCCGTACGACTTCCTTCTGATCATCCGTTAGGTCTCTCATAGATATGCGTTCGATATATTCCGTGATTAGGAAAAACGAGTCATTGACTTCGAATGCACCATAGACGGTAGGAACCGGAATGCCGGCATTTCGAACCAACCGTAGCGATGCGGCCTCGTTCTGAAGCAATTCCTTCGCTCGTCGAGGGATATGGACCGTACCTTCCAAGTTCGTGATGAACTCGCTTGGTCGTAAACTCCGCTTCATGAACACGTTGTCGCGTTGGTAGTATGCTCTTTCTGCGGGTTGAGCGGGCCATTCTTCAGCCGGTTTGTAGGGGGTATCTGAGCACGGCGGTTTCGCATCATCAATCTCTGGGGCGTATTTCGTGTTCGACATGCTTATTGGGAGGTGTGAGCATGAAATGTGGAGAATATAATATTTGTCTAACAAGTAGTACGGTGTACGCAAGGTCTTCAGCGCGAATGGGAATTGTCGGGCTTAACAAGTGGGGATATTTTCCCGGAAATAGAAATGAAGCAGGTTCGGGTCCGAAGCAAAACAAGAGATCGTCAACAATGATCAGTCTACTCCAAACGTGTCACCGTCGCTGATCATGACAAGGGGCCGGAACGGTTCAGGGATATTCCCTGTACACGAGCACTCAAACAGGAATCCTCTTCCCTAGCCCCCTCCAAAACTCACATCTCTTCTCCAGCTGAGCTAGCTTCACATTCTCAAACCCATGATCTACAATCACGAATTCTCTCCCTGTGTTTCGAAGTTCCGGTACCCCAGGCTCTGAGGCATGGGTCAGCTTGTGCGCATTCGGGTCACCGGTTTGGAAGAAGCTGGCGAAAGCACCAGCATAGCCTTCGTAGACGACCGGATTCGTCTCTTGCACGGAGTTGATTTTATTCCACTGTCCCTTGTCTTAGCTCGTTTCCAATTATTTCCAAGGATATTCAACGCACATAGATAGTGTCACTCCCATGAGTGGCTGGCGATATGGTATACTCTCCTACATACCCTCTCTTCTTTGCCGCGGACGCCATCCAATATGCCGGGCAGGCGAGAACCACATCTCGATAGATAAGTCCAGCTCGGACATATGTCGTGTTATACTCGGCGATTGTCTCGGTACTTCCGTCGGCAGGATAATACACCTCTTCCACCTCCTTTATCTCCTCCGCCGACAAGCCAGGTAAGAAACCCCTAACCCATCGATAAAAGCTCGCATCGGAGGAGTTATATCCACTTTCCGACACCGTCGATTCTAAACCCGGAGGCACGAAATTCTGTCCCTCATGAGTGTTATACATACCCCAAAGGAACTCCGTATCCAAAGCACCACCCACAGCTTCTGCCAATGTATCAACCAGAAACTCCCCATCAATGACAGGTGCCCAAGTATACGAGCTCGTAGTCCACGTACTATCCGCATCGATGACAAGACTCGCATCACGAATCGACTGCACATCAACAGACTTCAAACATGCCAACGTCTCGTGATCATGGCCACTACCAGAACATCCCGTCAGATTAACAAGCTGACTATAAATAGCTTCAGCCTCGGGTGCATCATAGGCATAAGTTTTCGGCCAGAAAGGGGAGCTGGCAAGCGCTTTCGAGAAAAGCTTTGGATTTCCGTTACGGCCGTTTGCTAGTACCTGTGCGACGACGGAGCCTGCACCAGCGGATTGGCCCCAGATAGTCACGTTGTGTGGATCACCGCCGAAGTTATGAATTTGACTCTGTACCCACTTGAGAGCATATTGCTGGTCTAAGAGTCCGGGATTAAAATCTGAAGTGGAAGAATCTCCGATCGCTTTGCCGGGCAGAAAGCCGAATGCGTTGACGCGATAGTTCGGGTAGATCACTATATAGTCGTTGAGAGTGCTTGCATTGAGAACGGGGTATGAAGCCGGTGGCATGGTGAAAGCCGCGCTGCCTTGGATGAAAGCCCCGCCATAGAATACTACCAGTACTGGTCGACGAACTTGTCGCGATTTTTCCCATGGCCTTGAGAATAGGCCTAGGTAGAGACAGTCTTCTGATCCGTTCACTGTGCGCTGTGGGCACATGTCGAAGTCCTGGTCTGTGTCGTAGATTTCATTTGTTATGTGGAGCGGCGGTTGCGGCGCGCGGAAACGATTGTTTCCTGTTGGTGGTGCGGCGAATGGGATCTTACGAAAGTATGAGAGGTTGTAGGTTTGGTCGTAGTTTCCTTGGAATGAGCCGTAGGTGAGGTCGACGAGGGGGTTTTCGTAGGCAGCTATTGCAACTGTGAGGTGGAGGAAAGCGAAGATGAGTTTAAAGACAGACATAGTTGAAAATCCATAGAAGTAGGTCTGCAAATCTTCAAACGTTTCGATCTTCTGCCTCTGATCGTGTGCTGGTCTATATAGTAGGTCGGACAGCGGCGTTTGGGGAGGACGCACTTCGGCCAGATAGACCCCGAAACGACTGTACATGCAGTCTCCTGCTGACCCTGCGCAGATATCATCAACAGCAAACAGAAGCAAGGAGAATAGTAGAGAATAGTAGTCGTGCTATCATTGGTGCACTAATTGTCGACGAAGATCGCGGGGGCTCAAATGCGGGGAGAAGAAGATGGTTACTTCGGAGTCGATCAGCCCGATCCCAGTCATTCATGCTACAAGTCCTGGGAATGGGGACCTGAGAGTTTGTTGACTAAACGTCAAGTATGTTCATTACAGTATGTTCGTTGCGGCTACATGATGCCCAGAGAAACCAGACTCCCGCGTAAATGAGCTCAGAAAATACCAAAATCCATGCACCCCAAATAACCTCAACCCTCAACGCCATGTGCAAAATGTCGCGCCAAAGGGAGAATAATGTTACATTTGATCAGTTCCAGAACACCAGAGGCCTCGTCGTAGCCTCATAACTCTCTTTACATCGTCATTCGAAGGCGCTTATTGGCGCGGGTATTACGACGAGGCTCAGGTACGTCGCTCGTCTCGGTCTCAGTGCGCGCATCCGACAACTCTGGCGTTGGGGTGATTCCAAAGCTGACGCCGCGATCTCGGCGGGAGACGCGAGCCTCTGACTCGGGGGAAAGGAATCGGTGGATAACGCGGTGGTCCATGACTCGATCTTTGCCTTCGGTCTTGGGCCATTGGAAGCCGTAGATTTTGGAGTGCCTCTCGCAGCGAGGGCACTCACGGCGAGTTTGATAAGAGTTCGACTGGACGAACCAGGATTCGCAGGTCTGGCAATCGACCCAGCGGTCGTATTTCTGGGCGAGGAGTCTCGACGTTTTAGTATAGTCTCCCGGGGCTCGGACGATGGGTACTTCGGTCTCGACGGAGGCAATGACGCGCCACTTGCGCTTGTTGCGACGCTTAGGGGTGTTTTCAACAGCGTTCTGAAGTGCTTCATGAAGTTCGAGGCCTCTTAAGCCGGTCTGCTCGATTTTCACGGTCTTGACCTTGAGTCCATTCTCATCCACCGAGGTGGGAACGCTGGATTCCGATCGCTGAGATTCGCCGGTAGCAGAGTTGGGGGACTCCGGATCCGCGGGCGCTGTGTGCTGGCCGTTGGTCATTTCATTAGACTCAATAGAAGACTGAGGTTCAGCCGAGGAGGTCTCAGAAAGTGGATCCAATACTTCTGATAGAATGATCTCCTGTCTGAGATTGGACAGTGGTCGTTCGATCGCGGTTGGGGCGGGAATCAGAGGAGTAGGACAGTCGGAGCCTGGGGTAGGAGGATTATCCGACTCTGGGGTGACAGAAGAGTCGTTAGGGAGTTCAGAGGCGGAAATTTCTTCACGCAGCTTTGAAGTCTGACGCTGGAATTTAGTTCGCTTGCGTGGGGTGGAGCATAAGAGACTCGAATCTTCAGAGTCCATATCCGAATCACGCCTGCGTTTTTTGTTGTTGCTACTGCTCTCTGCAGGTGCAGGCGTAGTCTCATTCACGGAAGTCTCTCTGCTGTTTGAGTCTGAATCCGCCTGTGGAGACCAGCCATTGCGCACTGAACTTTCGCAAGTCAAGCATAGGCATTCGCAGTTGTCAATACCGAAGTAATCCTCTCCGTAGGAAACAGTGATCTCTTCTCCCTCTTCAATGTTGCGCGTGGCCATGACCGACATGCCCTCAGTGCCGCGAGTGACCAGGCGGCCATTGGCGTCACAGTCATGGTTGGCGAAGCGGGCGGGGCCGAGGAAGAACGAAGGGGTCTTGCGGCGGCTAGACATCACCACGCTAAAGTCCTTGCGAGTCAGGCCAAGGTCCTGCTCCTCTTCCTTGGTCATGGAAACAAGAGTTCCGCTCAAAAATTTGATCTCCTGGCCTGATTTGATAGGCTTGCGGGCACAAATGGAGGCCTCATGCTCAGTGATGATGTATCGGTTGGTGGTGGTCACTTCGTAGGGGCAGTCCGGGTGGTACATTTGAACGTATTTGCGGAGGTGTCGGCGGAACCATTCCTGCTCACGAGGACTACGCAGCTGGGCATGGTATTTACGCAGACCAGGTAGTTCCAGTAGTTTGCGCTCAGCCTGCTGGACATCCTTGGCAACGGCCACATCGTGGAGGAGAATGTGGCCAACATCATCGTCATGAATGCCGCGGGCAGGGCTGTACTTGGTGCGGTTCTTGCGCGTGGTCGTCCAGAAATAGGCCTGTGAATAGATAGTGTCAGTCCCCAGCCTCAAATGTCAGGCTGCAGGGGAGAGGCGTACATGATCGACAAGCGCATCGGTTGCGACATCGTCATAACTGGCCAGTTTGTCCAAAGTGAGGCGCTCACGGCGCTCGGTCGCCGGCGAACTTGAGCGCGCCTTCTTCGGAGGCATCGTGTGTATTACAGGTATCGAAGCGCCTGTAGCAAGAGAGAATCACTGGTGTCATGAACAGCAGCACGGATCAGGGCGGGTTTGGCGAACGAAGCAGAGATGCGCGCGGGTCCGAGAGAAAGGGAGGGGCTAGAGACGGGAATGACAGTTGCAGAAGTGAATGCGACACGAATCAGCACATGGCGCAAAGATTGAGGCAGCCACGTCGCCAATTGGTGTTGAGAAAGGAATGAGTCGCAAGACCAAGGGGAAACGCTTTCCGCGTTCCAGCTCCGGCCCGTTTCGCCCGCCGCTTTTACCTACGCTACGCCCCAGTATTCAGCCCTAGTCGTCATTGAACGATTTCAGCATACCGAGGCTCACGTCATCTAAATGATCTAAATTAGGATCATTTCTTCTCTCCGATACGTACTTAGTCCCTCGGGCGCCCAGCTTGCTCTCTGAATGTTCTGGCCCGTCGCTAGCAATAGGTCCATATGACAGCAATTCAAGCAAATTATGAGAGGGTTGATACTTCCCTTGGTTACTGACAGCCTAAGAATACTTAAAATGTGTTTTGTATCTATAGTAAATTGTAATCGTTAGGCATGTATCATTTGATATGCAGCAGACCGAGGCGAACCATGAAGAAGAATGCGTGAAAATATATGGCAGGATTGATACATAGCTCACTAGCCAGTCTCACCCCAAATGTTGGTGCGTAGATGATTTGTTCCGCAAATATCGAGTTTAAATATATCATAGCTCTGAAGATTATCAAATCTGTCGTAACTGAATATATCAAATGAGTAATAGTGTAATAATCAAGAAATGGACTCAAAACTGATACGCAGGAACCGAATCCATTCGAGTGTTACGCCCACGATATCTGTATAATGCTTCACGAAATACCCTCGATTATTAAATATCTTCAAAAAATGAATGGACAGTCCCGGGATCCCTAGTAGATATACGGGGATTCTTCAAACAAAGTAGTTGAACAAAAGTAAGAAAAAATAATCCAAATCCAAATCCAAAGGTGTCTATACCTCGCACCGGACAAACTTTCCGTTCGGGGAAACTCCCTTCCGCCCCCCCGAAACAAATTGTCGTGATGCGACTCGCCCGAACGCCTACTCGCCAATGCCCCCACGATGATTCAACTAAAGGTACGAGAACCGCTCAATCGAAGGAAGGATTTCCATACTGACACATCGCAGTCATTACTAAACTGCATCGACAACTCCGGCGCCTCGGTCGTCGAGTGCGTCAACGTCCTTAAGAAGAAGCGGCCCGCGACAATCGGTCAGTCCCCGAACGAACCTTCAGACGAGACAGCAGATGGAAAAAAAGGGAGTGAGCTAATGAGGGTCTGATAAATAGGTGACCGGATAGTCGTCGTCGTCCAGAAGCAAAGGGCCGCCGGTTCCGACGGTTCTTCCACCTCTCTCGCGAACAAGGTCCGACGCGGTGATATCCGACATGCCGTCGTGGTGCGCGTGAAGAAGGAGTTGCAGCGGGAGGATGGCACAGTTGTTCGCTTCGGTGACAATGCTTGTGTTTTGGTGAACAAGTCTGGAGATCCCATCGGAACGAGAATGAACGGTCAGTGATCTGCGAGCCTCCTCTCTATCGACGTATACTGACTTTTCTTACAGGAGTCGTTGGACAGGAACTGCGCAACAAGCAGTGGTCTAAGATCTTGTCATTGGCGCCGGTGCACGTGTAAATCTACGTTGTTGATACCTTTGGGAAAGCGTGTTGTTTCTGAAAGCCTTTGCATTATGTACCAATAGAAATAAATCCCCTTCTATCTCGCACTTGAATTGAGTCTTTTTTCCACCACTTATCCACACCGCCGAACTCCAGAGCATGCAAAATTCGCAAGAAAAATCAAAGGGTATCGGAGTCGAGAGATCGCGCCGTTTCGTTAAAGTCATCACATAAACACGTTACCGCAGGCGCAGCAGACGTAGTACAGTTTCTAGCAAGACATGAGTATACTGAATAGAAGGGGATCGTCTGAGACAACTCACCATTCCGGTTTCCGCGGAACGTTGTTGCGACTGGAAGAAGACTGCCTCGTTCTCGCCACAGCTGGGGCACAATTTGTTGGCACGGGGGAGCTACATGATGGAACTGTGTCAGTTATAAAGGATTCTAGACAAGGGAAGAATCGCGTGTGCTGGAAGGTGCAGTCTTCGGGGTGTCATCATCTTCAGGACTAGGCGTATGAGCGACGTTGGAGGCCTGGGAAGCGGTAAAAGGGAGCACGCCGCAAACCCAGCAGGCGATCTCATGCCCACAGCACAAACAGAATCCAGGAATAAAACCAAGGTCGTGAAGGAATTCGGGGCCACAAACCGTAGGATCAGAGCTGACATCCTGGGTGACACCGGCGGTGGCGCCGACCTGACTGTTCAGCTTGTTCTGGTAGACACAGTAGGAAGTGGCGGGTTCTCCGACGTGGCAGGTACGGCAGGTAAACATAAGCTGGTTGGTATGACGGTCCTCCTTTGGGTAGAGCAAGTTGGAACTAGCAAATAGATTAGCGATCAATCTGAAAACCGACTTGCGGGTTTGAAGAACTCACCATTCACGGCAGAAGCGGAAGTGAATCTGATCAGACTGTTTGGTGTCGCCACCGGCGGAAGGTGAAGGGCTTGCAGACATATTGACAGAGGTCAAGGAGATCGAGTCCAGAGGTGTAGAGTGTAGACACTGGTGGTGGAGTACAAATGAGATCGGGGAGTTTAGGCGGTGAAAGTGAAGGAAGCAAGCGCAGAATGTTTGCAGGTGTTGCACTCCCCCGCAATTTCGCCGTCGAGCGTTTCGCGGGTTGATTCCATTTTCTACGATTACCCAACAACAACCAAAAAGATATTCAAGATGGTATTTCGCTCTTGCTTCACTATTATTGTTTCCCCTCGCTAAAAGATATCCTACCCAGGCCGATTCAGGTCTTCCCTCCGGTTGGGAAGTTCGTCATTCGAACTCCAAGAACCTCCCCTACTATTTCAACCCCGCTACTAAGGAGTCGCGCTGGGAACCTCCTGCGGATACCAATACCGAGACACTCAAGCTCTATATGGCGACGCACCATACCCCCGCGGGTCGCCCTGAGGCCGGTGGCCAGGGTGAGGGCAAGATTCGCTGCAGCCATTTGCTCGTCAAGCACCGTGGCAGCCGCCGCCCCAGCAGCTGGAGGGAGGCTGAGATTACTCGTTCCAAGGAGGAGGCCATTGAGATCTTGAAGGGTCATGAGCAGCGTATCCAGTCGGGCGAGACCACTCTTGGTGACCTTGCCGTCTCCGAGTCCGACTGCAGCAGTGCCCGCAAGAAGGGTGACCTGTAAGTTTTACGCTGTCTCTAATATACCTTTTCATGCAGCTAACTATGAGCAGTGGCTTCTTTGGCCACGGAGACATGCAGAAGGAGTTCGAGGATGCTGCCTTTGCCCTCGAGCCTGGTCAGGTTAGCGGTGTAGTAGAGACTGCATCTGGAGTCCACCTCATCCAACGGTAGGCAACACAACATTGGCAATCTTGGTAGATGGTTTCGCTAATGATATTTGGTCAAACAGCGTCCAGTGATTTGACTGCCATTTAGTAGATTGACATTGGCCGTGAGTTGGTGCTTTGTCTCTCTCAAACTCCCATGTCTTTGGTTACGATCTCGGTCTCATGGGTTTATGATTTGGTGTTCCAACATGGTTTACAAGCTACCAAAAAGCTACATTTTTATACAATGGATTGATACACAGTTCTCTACCTTGATGGGAACTGTGTGGTGATATTTAAGAAACAAGAGGATAATAGAATAATCCCATACAGCAGTGTCAACTAAGACACCTAGTGACCAAAACTAAATGCAGGCCGCCAAATTACAGGAGGATTTTAGAATGGTTGTTGTACTGATCCTGATACTAGACATCTCAAAAAAACAAGTGAAACGAGATGCTGGTTTGACACTAGTTCCTAAGTTATGATGGCCCTAGAAAATGTCCCTACGTGAAGTCGTGTGTATCAAATCGCATCCTTTCTTCCCATCTATCGTTTTCTCCAGCTATATCGTCTTCTCCTACTGCTATTCCATCACCTGGAGCTAGTTCTCTCTCCGTCCAATTGACCGCACTCATTGCCCACAATGGCACATCGCACCGACTATGATGCATTCGATCACGTACCACAACACAAGAGCTCTATCCACGATTACCATTACGATCCCCAAAATTTCCAGATGCCAGGTTATCTCAGAGTCCCGATCATTTTATACGAAGCAATGAATCAGCTGCACGACCGCGCACGAATCACCATTACCTCCATGAAGCAGCTCTCAATCCGTCGTTCACGTCGCTACGACAACCTATGCTCCCCTTCACTCGGCCTACTCCACGAACTACACAGACTATCCATAAATCGTCTCTTCGACTGGCAAGCCCAATGGGACCCAAGAGATCCCACCCTCTCATCCACGCCCAAGATCCCACGTGAGGTACTCCAGTTCACGCTCGATCCTCGGCACTACGCTTTCTTTTACAGAGAATACTGCCTTTGGATCCAGAACTTCATGATCGGCCCTATAAGAGCGTGGGAGAAATTGAAACCTCTGGTGGTTATCCGGGCTCAGCAAGTTTTGTCTGAGACTGGGTACCGGGAGTGGCGATACTGGTGGGACTCGGAATATATGCCTGCGATGAGCAAGTGGGAGAATTGTCTTTCGGATTTGGCTCTTCCAAGCTGGGAAAATATTGTTGATGAGCTCTACGTGATGATTCTGGAGCGGGTTGAGGGTGCTGAGGACTTCGCCAGGTCGATTTGCACTAGTTGCTCGCCGCCGGTCACTCTACTCAGCCAGAAGGAGGAGGACCTTGAGGACTATCTCCGTTTTGTCTGATGCGATCTCTATCATCAACATGGTCTTTTATGGAATAATTCATTTCTTTCTGTTAGGCTTCTGCCGCTTCGAGTGATGATCCAGCTACTATAAAATCATGGGGTGGAACGGGAATGTAATATGAAGAGGGTTATCTACTGGTTCTGCTATTCGGGATATGGATATGCTAAGAAGCTCTAGTTCATCTTCATGATTATCCTCACACTTATTGTTCACCCAGAGCAGATGGTTAATATAATCTATCTCAGGCTTCATTAGTTGTGACGTAGCTTTAGATCAAGGTCAGTGCAAAAGAAGACAGACTACTATACTTGCCATTCCCTTTCATAGTCTTTGTTATGCTTCAGTCTTGAACACAACATTTGAGGGTCTTTGTCTGTTTCTGACAAAGATAATATTGCATTTCCATACATTAATGCAAGTTATAATAGGACAATGTTCATCTCCGTGACTTCTGCTTTGTTCTTGGGAAATCCTAGGAACGATCCTCAAACAAGCATTTCTGAGCTGGGAGGGTATCAACACCAGAGGTTAATCTCAAGAAAGATATAAGATGTCCAACTATAATGCAAATAAAGATGCAATAACAAAATCAAACACTGTAACGAGAAGCAAAATGCCTGAAAGGCCTATAAAAAGAGGTAAGACCCTCCCATCGTCCATCCTCAATACCCAGAGTTCTTGAATAAACCTCAAACCTCCCACAATGTGCATCTTCTGGAGCACAGAGTACTACCTATGCGGCCACACCCGCTTTAATCAGTCTCGAAGCAAACCCTGCCCCAAAAAAGCCAATTGCCCCCAGCGAAAATACATAACCCTCCAAACCAACCTCCAAACTTGCCAAGTCTGCTGGGATGCAGGAGACAGACGAGTAAATAAACCATTTGCTAAAATGTTAATTAGACACGCCGCTGAGCGCCGAGAACGCCAGCAATGCAAGGCAGAACGAAGCGGTAGATGTCAAGCCCAAACGGTTTCGGAGATCCAAGCCGGCGCGGAGGGCGAGGTTGAATGCGAAGCAGAATCAGAGGGGGATGAAGTCGAAGATGCAGGTAAAGGAGTGGATAGTGAAGATAAAGAAGGACCAGCCGGGGAAAAAGAATACGAATTCACAAGCGGGACTGCAAGACCAGAGACTCCTTTGATCCACTGGAAGGTTGCCAGGTGGCACAAACCCCATTATGATGATCTGCCTAGAGTATGTGATCCGGTACGGCTGGGGTCTATTAGGAAGGATTATCGGGCGCAGAGAGGGAGGACTTGGGAATGCGATAGATAGTTCGTTCTGTTCAAGCTTGGTTTGGCTGTCTAGATAGAATGAAGGATCATGTTGGAATATTGGAAGTCGTTTGAATGTTTAACGCTATCCTAGTGTATAAAGTGAATATCGTGGAAACTACATCTGCTTGATACCGTGTCACGCAATCGTTCCATGGGCTGAAAACCTGACTCATATCCCCATTCACAGGCTGGTATTAAGTCGCTCGAGACGAGTTGTAATGGCGTCGATGACAGCAGACCTAATTCTTCCAGTTAATAATGCCATAGTAAGATATTATGGGGGGCGGGGACTGACTCTCGTTCGACCATCCTCATTGCATCTGCAACCTTGGCCCGTTGCAAGCGGTGCGGCACTCTGGGTTGAGAACTGGGGGAAGCAGGGCTACCAGGCTCAGTGGGAGAAGGCACCTTAGCTGCAATAGACTTGGTTTCCGCCATAAGATCGAAAGCAAGGCGTTTGACCTGTGATTTGTTAGTCGACAGTTCCAACTAAGACCGAACGGGCTGTATCCTACCATGTCCAAACGCTGCGCCATGCGCTGGTTTTCCTCCTCCTCCTCCTTGGACGGCTTGTCGTCAAAGGATTCAGAAAGGGTATTAACCTCTGCGACCCATGACTTCTCCTTCTCGCTGAGGGGGCGGCCACCAGAGTTCAGAACCTTCTTGCGCAAAGCCTCGTACCGTTGGACAAGTTGATCCTGTCTGTCTCTTGCTGCCTGCACCCTGTTGTCTAGGGCTTTGCTGTCTCGGACTCCTTCCTGGCGATTGCCGTCTTCGTCAATCTCGCTCGTCACGCCCTTGATACGCTCTGCAACATCAGACAGCTGCCTGAGCTGGTCCTTCATCTCGCCCTGCAAACGCTCGCAACGACGGAACAGATCTGAAGCAGCTCGCTCGAGGGCATTGGTGTGAGCAGAAAGCACACGATGAGCAGTGGTGACCAGGTCCAAAGTCGCCGGAGACATGCGGACATGTTCCTTGAGAGTCTGTCGCTGGCGGTGAGGAACATGCTTCTCGACAAAGGAATCCAATGGCGACTTTGCGTAAAGAACGGCGGGAACTTGATACGGAGCTCGGCGGGGTGGCAAAGGGTTAGAACCAGGCACCGGGGACTTGTTCTCATACAATTCCATTGCCGCGGAGAAAGACTCCTCCGGGGCATCCATAATGGCAGCGTATGGGTTCGAAGGGTGGTAGGTGATGAGCAGGTAGCCGAGATCGTAATCATAGAAGAGTAGGGATGCAGCCAGGTGCTCTTTCTGGGCAGTAACATCCGTTTCTGACACCTGGAGAATCCGTTGTCTTTTGATAAACTCTCCATCGCAGATTACTCCAAGTCGGAATTCCGAGCCAGATGCATCCTCTGATTGCAACTCAGCCTCGAGTCTTTGCGCCCAAGCAGACATAGAAAAGGACACGACGTTGGTTGGGGTTGTGACGAAGAAGGAATACCTTGAAAGCACATCCTTGGTAAAAGTAGGCCAGGCAGTTGAACTGGCTTCGCCCGTTTTGAGGGTGTCAAGCGATTCAACCAAGACCATGTCAGAAGGCCCCGACCAAGGAGCTTCAAAGGTCGAAGCCTTAGTGGTCTTCGGCAACCACTGGCCTTCAACACCGTCGAGTTCCAAGCAGACGTGAACTCGGCCGTTTGTGCTGGAAAGGCAGATAACAGTGGCTGAGAGCTTGTCTTGTTCGGTAATTTCCACAGCCAACTGCTCATCTTCACCCTCCATCAGGTCCTCGACATTGAGTCTGGGAGCAATCACCAGGATGTCACAAAGATCCAGATCATCTGCCTCGTCACCAGAATCAAAGCGGAACGGTCCTTGCAAGCGCGGAACAGCGCTCGGGTTGATAGGTCGAGAGTAGACATCCGCGCCCACGACTGCACCAGATGATGGCCCCAGAGATACCTGGTTATCAATTTCACGCAGCCAGTCAAATTGCTGTCGAGCCGCCGCTAGCTGCTCCTCTTGGTCTTCACCGCACTCTTGAAGCGCCGCTAGTTTAGGGCCATTGGCGGCGGAAAGAGAGGGAATTGTGGTCGAAGGAGCTTGCCATTTAGCAGGCAGAAGGGGGCAAAGAGCATAAAGATCTCCTGGTCGCATTGCAACCCAGAGGGTCATCGGCGCCCAGGCATCCTCTCGTTCGTCTCCATTACCTGCGAAGCAAGCCGAGCTGGCCTCCATATCGATAATGTCCGCAGAAAATCCCTTATTGTTACTAAATTTGGAGGGCGCAAAATCCTGGTCGGAGGAGGTTCCATCGATGAGCTTCTTGAGATCCACGGCCAGTGTAGGCTGGTCGAAGGACCAGTGGTTGTTTCGGTCCAACTCCCAGACCCGCACTGCTGAATCCGCAGTGACAGTGACAATGCAACCATTGAGGTTTGTATGTAGTCCGAGGGGGTGCCACAGTGCTGAAACTACCGGTGCCTCCGGAATAACATGCGTAGTAGGGCCGAGCTGGTAGGTCTTCAAGCGGATCGGAGATGAGTCGGTCGACGAGAGATGCGAGGCATCTGGGAGGACTGAGATGTGTACTGTATGCTCAGTGACGATCGCCAGGAAGGCGCCATTTGGCGAGGGGAGAATCTGCTTGATCAGGCCGTAGACGGGCACAGCTAGAACCTGCACAATGTTAGCCGCGGTCGATTGGTGCGGTCCTAAGATGTTCCTATCAATCGGTATATTCTTACCCTGTAAGATGGAATATCAGATCCATCTGTCGTCTCCTTGGCTTGTCCAGCGGCAGCCTTCTTTTGTTTGCTTTGCTGTTCCCATTGATCCTTCAGTCGCGCAAGGTTCGACCAGCGAATTTCATTATCAACGACGGCGAAAACTTCGTGTCCTCTTTTCGCGATAGTCCGTGTCGGTCCGTTCGTACCAGAAATGTTCTTTTCGTTTTGCAATCCCTCCGCAGGGCTTTTGACTGAGGTGCTGGTGAAGAGGCTAGCACCAGGCGAGGGCCGGCACAGCCAAGCCGGCGCATAGCTGTTGACCTTGGGCATTTGAAAGTTCGATAATCAGAAGCGACAATAAAGGAGGGGTCGCGACAAGGCTGAAACCTTCGCCCAAGAGAAACGCGGGCAATGCTGACGTTGTTGATGCGTGGAATTCTTGCGCGCCAAGATCTTTGAGCTCCGAGCTCCTTGTCCGCCTTTTACCTTCAACTACGAACTTCTCCTCCTCCCATCCACCCTCCTTTCTAACCCCGTCTTCCACAATGAGCTTGCTGGCAATCAACACAGTCGATCGGCTGGATCGGCCCAGTGCCTATTACGTTGGCAAGGTAAGACCCTTGCGCATTACGGTTTCCCGAGTTTGCGCAACAGGCGGGTGCTAATGGAAATGCGCAGAATAAGCGACGCAGATATAATGACCGGGATGATGAGAAGCCAAAAGAAGAAGATCCGACAGACAAGCTACGTAATGCCACTACGCTCTATGTGGGCAATCTGTATGTTCTGCCCGCGAACCAGCAACCGGGCAACTTCACTGATTGATCACAGGTCCTTCTACACTACTGAGGAACAGATCCACGAACTTTTCTCAAAGTGAGTCCTCTGGAACTTGAATATTTTCTTCCTTTAATAACCGAAATCCAGGTGCGGCGAGATTAAGCGCCTTGTCATGGGCCTCGATCGGTTCAACAAAACCCCCTGCGGATTCTGCTTCGTCGAATACTACACCCACCAAGATGCTCTCGACTGCATGAAATACGTTGGAGGTACCAAGCTGGACGAGCGAATTATTAGAGCCGATCTAGATCCCGGATTTGAAGAGGGCCGCCAATATGGGTATGTACATTATTTGGAATGCGACAAAGACCCGAGGGCATTCCTGCGGCAAGAATATGAACTAACATACAATTCAGACGTGGCAAGTCTGGAGGGCAAGTGCGTGACGAGTACCGTGAAGAATACGATCCTGGCCGCGGTGGTTATGGCCGTGCATATGACGAGCAGCGTCAACGGGAGGAGGATGAGTACGGCGCCGGCCGGTAGGTGGTCTTTTTTAATGGAAAACTCGGCATTGTTGGTACTGGAAAATGGCGCTATTTTCAAAGGCGTAACTTATTAGAAGAAGCTGGAAATTTCTATTCACCCGATACCCTATTTACATGTCTTTTGAAACTCCTCTATATACTCTATTGTGCCAGTTTGTTTCTTTTGTTCACTGCCTTCTGCACCTGGTGCAGCCACCATGCATGGATTCTGGCATCTCCCGTCAGCTCCGGGTGGAAGCTGGTGCCGAAGACATTGCCCTGTCGCACGGCTACCACGTCACCAACCTCTTGATCTGGGTTGATATCACGTCCCTGGGTCGCGCAGCGAGCTGCTGGTCCTGACAATGTGGCCAGCACCTCAACATGATCAGCCATGGCAGCTTCAGCTACGGAATCTTTGGCCTGCCGGGAAGGTGCAACGACAGTCTCGTCCTGCTGGATTTCCTCGACCTGGATACCCTCGTGATGCGGCAAGATGCGCTCCACAATTGGAGCCCGAATGAAGACTGCGGGGAATGGCGGCGCATCCTGGCCCAAGAACGGCAACTCTAAAGGGCCTTGAAAGCTCTCTGTCTGCCGGCCGAAGTGGTTGCGGTTGACTCGAACATCAAGACCACCAATGAGCTCTTGACCACCCTTCTTGGTCTTGTTGGCAGACTCGGCAAGAAGAATCAGGCCTGCGCAGGTGCCCCAAACTGGCTTGCGAAGCACCCTATACATTTGCCACATTAGACTGAAGTACCTTCCACGCCGAGTGCATGAAGTACTTACTTGACAAAATCTCTCAGAGGCTCCAAGAGGTTCGACCTGGCTGCCACCAAAGACATAGTTGTACTTTCGCCACCAGGTAAAACGAGTCCATCACATCGGGCTAGCTCTTGTGGCGTTCGGACCTCAATAAACTCCCATTGTGTCGAATGATGCTCTCCAGCGGCTTTCTTCAGCAACTGAATGTGCTCGAAGAATGCGCCCTGCAAGGCGAGTACTCCAACTGTGAGGGTCATGTCTGTAGTAGAAGAAAGTAGACAAAAAAAAAATAAAGATGCCACTGCCTGATTCGATGTGACTCTTCTTGCACGTGATTCTAACTTTCCGCGGGGAATTTGCTTATCGATGAGCACGTGATCCGATAAGAGTGGTGTTCCTGGGCTCTCGTCAGATCGTCGCGGGGCAACAACACTTCAACCTAGATATATAGAACGACAAAATTCATGATGCTTTTTTGCTGAAAGATCTGATATATTACGAAGACTTCCTCCTGGGCAATCTCGTCTACTCTTGTAACCAGAAGAGTGCTCTCAGTTGATCTTTCTGGTGTCAATCACCTACTGAGCAATGGCGCTCAACGAGATCAGCATTGAAGATATCCAGAAAATTGAACCCAAAGGACAAGATGAGGGAAAGGCATTGCGGGGCCTCCCAACACTAGCACGCTGGTACATCGACACTCGCGAATGGGACACCAAAGGCCTGGACCTCCCGCTCCTAGAAACATTACGCCCCCACGAACAAGAGGCCGTAAAGCGATTCTACCACACCGCAGACAAACGCATGTCCTTAGCCTCACACCTCCTGAAATACTTCTATATTCACCATGTCTACGGCATCCCATGGAAGACCATCATTCTCAGCCGCACTGATCCACCCCAGCGCCGCCCATACTTCAAATCCAGCACAGCGAACAAAATCGAGTTCAACGTCAGCCACCAAGCATCTCTTACAATTCTCGCCGGAACCGTCGAGCCAGATGGTTTGCAGCTCCAGAAGCTAGCAGCTGCACATATCCCAGGAGAACGACCCCAGGTCGGCATCGACATAACATGCGTCAACGAGCGCAAACCAATCACAACATACGCAGCGCTAATTGAACACGTCGATATTTTCAGTGAAGTATTCTCAATGCGCGAACTCGACACAATGAAAAAACCACAATTGGTCCTATCCCAAGCTCAGAAACTGGGCTATGCCCGGAACTTCTCATTTCATCGTGAAGACGACGTTGTCCGCTTCGGGCTTCGTCTCTTTTACTCATACTGGGCTCTTAAGGAAGCATACGTCAAAATGACTGGCGAAGCTCTACTAGCGCCCTGGCTGCGCGAACTCGAGTTCACGAATGTGATTCCTCCGGATCCTGTTGAGCCATTGCTCGCATCCAAATCGTGTTCTACTCCTGGTCAGAAGATTCCGCAGTCGCCGAAGAACTGGGGCGCGCCGTATACGGATGTTGTGGTTTCCAAGGGTCTTGAAATACTCAAGAGTGTGCGGGTTGAGCTGGTTGCATTTGAGTCGGACTACATTGTTGCTACTGCGGGGAATGGGTGCACTGTTGGTGTGATTCCTCAGGTTGTTCAGGGAGGGAATCCGAGTCGTCTAGGAGATGAGATTCGCGTGCGGTTGTCGGGTGGTGGCGTTGAGTATCGCCGAATCCCTATTAGTTCTAAGAGGTGTCTTGGGGATATAGATCCATGGAATCTGCCGAGTGCGCTCGATGATCCGTGGCTGCCGATGCAGGAGGTCGATATTGACCTTGATGTTCGGGCTTGTGCTGAAGGTCGCTGTTCTCATCCGGCTGAAGGCGCTGATATTCTTTCAGCTGTTTCAGCTATTAAGGAAAGGCGTTAGGCGTGGCTAAGATCGCGAGCCGGGAGTTTTGTTTTTGATTCACAGAGCATTTGTCCCGAGACAGGAGTCCATAGACGACTATGCATAGCGATTTGATAGAACCACGCTTTGAAACATTTTCTTTTCTATTAACAATTCGTAGGAGGCACACAGCAATGCAGTAACAAAAATCAGGTCATGGGGTCTTTTCATGCTAGGGATATCTACGGTCATGACGGAGGGGAGAATTCAAGGGGGCTTTAAGAAAGTAATGGTCACAGCAACAATGGGGGTTCAAAAATGATGCCAAATACAATGCGAAGCCGTGGCTCATCTAGCAACAAGCCCAAAGGGACAACGGGCTAATCAAGTGTCCAGGTGATGTTTTTCAAGGAAACAACTTTCAGTAAGACCTGGGTTCTTCGTCTATCCGCGGCTCTGTAGCGATCAAAGGTATATACCGAAAGGCGGAAGGCGAGTATACAGCAGCTAGTTAGAAGTAGCTGGTTTCTGGTTGTTTTAGGCGAGTTGAAGGGAATGAGATCGGTGGTTTTGGGGGGAAACAACGGCTATTCCTGGTTCATGGCCAATAGGTGAGAGTTGACTGTAGGAGGCGGTGGTTCCATGCTTAGATCTGAACAGCGGTGGAGACTCCGTTGGCACGGCCATCGACCTCGGTCTTCTGGGTGTGGGCCATTTCCATAATGTTCTTGAGCATTGACTCGCGCGTGGTTTGAGTAAGACTGTCCACGTCTTGGGTGGTCAAGTTCTTAGTCTCAATTGGAGGTAGGACTGGATATTGTGTTAGTGGTAGATCTATTACCGCGGATTCCATGACTACTTACCCCTGATCTTGATGGAACCGGCATTGAACCGCAGGTTGCGAGGCGACATGACGTGAGAGTAGTTCTCAATAACAATAGGCACGATCGGCACACCAGCCTTGACAGCCAAGTGGAAAGCACCCTTCTTGAAAGGCAGCAGAGTGGGCTCATCGGAGTAACTCCGCGTGCCCTCGGGGAAGATGAACACGCTCTGGCGATGAGTCTTCATCTCAGTGACGGCACCGTCAAAGGCCTTCATGGCAGTCTCGCGATTTGCACGGTCAATGAAGACAGTTCTGGAAAGAGTCATGAACCAACCCAGGAAGGGGATATTCTTCAGCGACTTCTTAGCCGTGACACTGCAGTAAGGCGGGAAGACTTCGCCCAGCATGAGGACATCCAGCTCAGTCTGGTGGTTACTAATGAAGACGGCCGGCCGGGTAGTAAGGTGCTCCTCGCCCTCAATAATATCGAACTTGACACCGGTGGTGAAGCGCATCACCCACTTGAAACTGCGGGCGGTGGCCCATTGGGAGACACGGGCGTAGCCGACGAGGCGGAGAACGATGGAGGCGAGGACACCGTAGGTCGCACACAGGAGTAGGGAGCCATAAGCGGCGAGACAGCGGGCGGCAAATGCGGCGCGCGGCACTTTCTGGCCAAGGGCGAAGAGCGACAGTGTCACCACCACGAATGAGCTGATGCCCGAGAGGATGTAGGAACTGATCGACATGATGGGATCAGGAACAGAACTGTTGGGACTATATGGTCAGCGGCGTGGAATAGGGTAGAAGCCTTGGGATTTCCGTACCTGAGAACACCAGAGTAAGGCGGCCACTGCCCAAAATACAAAAGATATGAGAAGAGCAAATCTCAAGCGAAAGCCATGGGGTTCCAAAGGTTCGGGGATGAAGCTGCTTTTTTTGCCCGCGCCGACTCACCGCCAGCTGACCGTGGCATATGACGGCATCACGGCCTTGCATGAAATGCACTGGGGTCGCGGGGTAGTCAGACGATAATATTTTGCGGGGGACCTTGCTACTTATCTGGAACTCAACTGATCAAGTATTTGGACTAGATAGCCACTGGGTCTCCAGGGCTGGAAATAGGTGGTGTTTTCTACTTCATAACCCGTGCAAGTTTGAGACGGATCTTGAGGTATATATTGGAGACACAGTCGAGTCCCACCTATGTGCCACTCAACTACTAGCGCCCTACATCTGTCCCAAAGTAATACCTAGGTACTAATGAAGTACCCATCTAGATCGTGGATTATCAATAATGGATTATGCTTATGCCATCATCGTCATGATGCCCATGAGGCAACGCTCACTAATGTACAAAACACCAACCCAGATGCCAGATGTCTAGACCTGGAAAAAAACTCCCCACTGATGCTGTGCAGAAAAAGGACCTGAACGCCGAGCTCATAAGACGCGACCTCAAATCGAAAAGTGAAAAAGCCGTGAGGTCTACGCCATGTCTTCGTCCTCCATTTCATCATCATCCAATGACTCCATCGCATCTTTGATGAACTGTGCAGCCTGGGTGGAAATGTCAGGGGAAAGTCGATAACCAGAAGATGAAAAGGGAAAACATACCTTTGGGTCCAAGTTCAAGGCCGTAGTGAAATGCTTGATCGCATTGGCCTTGTCGTGGAGCATTTTGTACAGTTTGCCCAGGAGGTAGTGCACGTTCGCTTCGTCGGGCGCCATGTCCTTGAGGACCTTCAATTCCGCCAATGCAAATTTGAATTCTTGCATCTTCATGAGAACGCGGGCTTTACGGAATCGCGCCAATACCGAGTGTGGTGCTAACGAGCAAGCCCGCTCGTAGTGAACCAAGGCATTTTTGGGGTTGTCCATTTTCTCCAAAACCAACCCAATACAGCAGATAAGAACTGCATTGGTCGGGTTAATTGTTGCCGCGTTGCGGAAGTGCTGTTCGGCAAAGTCCAGTTTGCCCATTTTATCGTACACCGTTCCCAATCCGTACCATGCGTTGTAGTGTCGATTGTCAGCTGTGATTCCGTGGCGGTAGGCGTCGAGGGCTTTGTCGTATTCCTCGTTAGCCACATACTCGTGGCCTTGGAGGGTGAAAGCGTAGGCGAATTCGGGGTCAATCATCGTTGCACGCTTGAAACATTTCAAAGCTTGGTCATGATCCCGTTGGTGAGAAAATGAGTTGCCGAGGACACACCATGCCTGGGGCGATAGTCGGTCGGCTTCCAACGACTGATGAGCCAAGTAAGCCAGCTCTACGTCGCTCTTCAAATGCCACAGAACAGTTGAGTAGATCTCCATATCTTCAAGCCGTGACGGTGCCAAGCTTTGTACCCGAGAGAAGTATTTGGCAGCGTCCGTATACATGGCTTGTTCGAAGTAGGCGCGGCCAAGCTGGGCGAGAACCCAAGGGGTTTCCCGTTGGCCTTGTGAGAGTGAATTGAAGTGTTGGATAGCGTCAGGGCACTTATAACGGCTCAGAGCACAATACCCAGATGCTAGTTTTGTGAAAAGTCCCAACAGCCAGCTTAATGCCTCCATTTCCTTCGTTTTTTCGGCATTCTTTGGCAAGGGCGGAGCTGCAAAGGTAGACGGTACAGAAGTCGCTCGGTGGTCTTTGCCATCATGATCGGTTGATTCCATAGGTTTGCGATTGCCACTCACAACACGCCCAACAGTTGACATGGTAGGTCGTCCTTTAGGGTGCATGCTTCTCACTTTCTTCACTTCGCGGCCATCTCTGCCAATCAAAGTCGAGTTTGAGAGTTTGCTGGTAGTAGGCTTGATTTGGTTGAAGAGTCTGACGCTACGGCGCTGGGGAGCGCCTGGCTCAGTCGGTTGAGGAGGTAGTGGATGAGCAACCTGGCCAGAAACAGTGCGTTTGCGATCACCGATCCGGGGGGCAGGTGGAGGCTCTCTTTCCGAAGGTCCCATATGCGGGTCCTCTGGATCCGGCCTTGTCTTTGTCCGAGGTCGAATGCCCGTAGGGCGCATCTTGGGAGGGGGTTGCCCGAGTGATCCAAACTCATTGTTTGGATTGTGCGATTCTTCCTGGCCGGGGCCAAAGGCGGCTCCCATGCGGACTCCGGGTCAGTTACCCCGTTTGCTATGCGAAAGTCATCCGATCCACTACTTTGCGGCGTTTCCATGCCCTCGTGAATAACTGGTGGTGCAACCGATGCAACACTGACAGAACTTCCATTGAGCTTCTCCCAGAGCGCAGAGCTTCCGTATGTTGCATCGGCATCATTACGTGAAGCAGGGACCATAAAAGGATCAGGAGCATTGTGGCCAGTGTGTACAGGGAACGCGCCTTCCGTAGGCGTAACACGATCAGGCACGAAGTCCTTCTCTTCGGAAGACGAGGAAATAATGGCGAGCAGTTCGGGACTGAGCTGGTAGATATTAGGAACTCGGATGTTGACACCTGATCACAGATTAGCTTAATTCGTCACTGCTGTTTGAGATCGAAGGACGCACCCGTTGCGCACAAACCCAGAAATGCATCCCACATGAAGGGATTGAGTTTCAAGGAGTCCACATAACAATCCACTGCTTTGTTGAGGTCTTTGTGCGCATGCCAGAGCTTTCCTAGTAGGCAGTATATGGCCGCCGCATCTGGCAGATGTTGTCGTTGTGTTTCATTGTGTTTGTTCCAGTTGTTCTTGGTTGCCCACAAGCTTTTGCTGCGCTCTAGTGCCGTTACACCATCCAGGTGTTTGCCGAGATCCAGACATGCCTGCGCGAAGACGTAGGCGCAGCCCAGGTGTAGGCCTCGAGAGCCGGAGCTCTGACTGTGTTCAAACGCGGCTTTGATCTCTCCATTGTGTAGATGACAGAGCGAGATGAGGTATTGCGCTTCGAAAGAACGGGGTTCGTAGGCGTGAAGGCGCCCAGCAAGGAACAGCGCATTGCGAATGAGATTGTTGTCGAGGTGGTAGTAAACGAGGTGCCGCAACTGGCTGGCGACGTGCCCAGTCGACAGAGCCATGTTGATAGCACACGCGCAGGTGAATATGAAGGAAAGAAAGGATCAAAAGCAGAGGAATTATCGGTTCTTTGAGATCCGGTGCGCACCTAAGTCCGATCGCAAAGCACCTTCCGAAACGCGGGGAGGTGACGCGATGTCGATGCAGGTACCAAAGCGACGAGGGCCATCAACGCCAGCAGTGAATCCCCGCTCCGTATCTTTGTCCTGCCTGGGTCGGATCGGAGGGTAAAGGGATCCTTCCGATCTCAATCAAAGACGCTCACGGTGCCAGCACGGGAATGTAAACGTCCGGAAATGGTAAGCACGAGAATATGTCGAATGAGCCCAGCCGAGTACGTGATCTGTGCCGAGTCGCGCTCTTATTGTGTCACTGTCATCGTGCTGAATATAAGGAGAAGTGAGTGTTCGCCGGAAATCGAGTTGTTGCGTGTAGCTCGTGCCTTATTTTGGTTGCATTCGCCCACTGTCTGTGGATTCTGCCGAGCGGTGAGTGTTGTGGCGGGCAACAATCGCTGATCACGAACACGAGTTCAAGAAGTACACCTTGACTAAGATCTGTTCTTTCGTCTTTGTCTTTGTACAACTCTGGGTTTGAGGTGTTCAGGTCAGCTTCAATCGTTTCGAGAGGTCGCAATTCTGGCTTAACTCCTTTGTGAGATTCTGTGACCAGCTGCCTAATCCGTCACCTTTAATTATGGCCCAGGTAAGCTTCAACGGAGCTTCTACGCAAGAGCTGTCTAACATGAGATTAGAAAGCGGCCAAGTCTTTGGCTAGCCGCAATGCGGCGGTCCTCAACCGCACTCACCTCATCTCGGCCGCAATTCATATCATCTTCCTCTTCCTCCACTTCATGTTCCGGCGCCCCGGCTCACTGAAACGTTATATCTTCCTTGGTGTCCCAACTCTCGTCATTGAATTCTACTTGGACAAAGTTGGCCGTCCGCGCTATAATGAGGATGGCTCCCTCCGCTCGGCCGGCGAGGATCTCAACGCCACTGGTTTGACCGAATACATGTGGGATGTGCTGTATTGGACTCAGGGCTGCATCGTCGCTGTCTGCATCTTCAATGACCGTGCTTGGTGGCTTTGGGCCGTGGTTCCCCTGTACTCGATCTATCTAGCCTATACTACAATCATGGGAGTGAAGAAGGGATTCGCTGGCATGGGTGGTGGCGGCGATGCCGAAGGCGAAGAAGGTCCCAAAAGCAAGACGCAACAGAAGAAGGAGAAGCGAGGCGATCGGCCCAAGTACAGAACCCGTTAAGCCTACGAGGCTCTGAGAGGTGTCAGATGCATCTAGGATGGTATTGCTTTTGGCATTCATCCTTGTTCATTCGTGTTTCATGCATCCAGTATTCTCATGCAGATACCAGTCACCAAATATTTTACGAAATAAAAGTTGATCAGCATGTGCGAGATGACTCGTTCTACTCGATTGGGGCACATACATGGTGGCTGCAGTCAGGCAGGCAATTGTGCACGTGGAAGACTACACCTCTATTTGAGTCCATTCGTGGCGGTATTCGTACATCAAAGCATTTCATTATGTACTGAAAATACAACGCTACCCTAGAGACCTCCTCATAAAAGGACGACACATCAAGACAAATTGAAAACCGAAAAAAACTTGAAAAAACATAACTGTGCATATGGGTCGTGAACATGTTGTCGTTATGACAAACTATATGGGGAATTATGCATCGACAGATCGAGCATCACATGCCGCTAGCAGTAAACCCAATCTTGAGGCGGCGTATTTGAAAAAGATGGGGGTGTAGGGCAAAGGAAATGAAAGTAAAGGACACATGACACTGGCACCTGTGAAAAGAAAAGTTTGAGTTCATTCAAAGCTCATCCCTCACTGAAGAGGCCACGGACTTGACGCTGCTAGTCGCATGGTCCACGTGGGACGAAGCGGTCTCAGCGGCCTCAGATGCAACGCTGCTTGCACTGGAGGCAAGATCAGCCAGTTGAGCCTGGGCGCTCTGCACGGCAGCAGCAAGGCGGGCAGTGGCGCTCTCGACAGCGCCGGGCTCCTCGCCGTAAATTGCGGCGCTAGCCTTAGATTGGATATCCGCGATAGCATCTTTGGCGGCATCGACGTAGCCAGGCTCCTGCCCGTAGACGGCGTCACTAACCTGTGCAGAGGCAGTAGAGTAAGCGTTCGCCGCAGCATCCGTAGCCTTCTCGTAGTGACCCTTGCGAGTGCCATAAATCCCGATGCTTGCGGCCTCGACCGCAGCGTGGAGTTGATCGTTGGCGTTTTGCATGACGTCTTCCACACTAGGAATATTGCTAGCATATGCGTTAGCAGCCGAAGAAGCTGTCTCGTAAGCCTCGCTAACATAGCTGGAGGCAGATGACAGAGCTGCAGCCGGGTAAGGTGTCTCATAAGCGACACGAAGCTTGCTCATAACACTCTCGGTAAACGAGGGCTGCTTGCCAATCAGAAGCTCAGAGACAACATCCTGAACAGCAGCGAACTGCGAGAGCGAGTCAGCAGCCACCTGCTGCAGGTACGGAGCAGGGGTGCCGTAAATATGCTCGCTAGCCTTAGAAACGAGGCTTTCCCAGTTCTCAGATGCCTGGCTGGAAAGAGACTCCAGTGGACCAGGGGTAGTTCCATAAATCGCAGAGCTAGCCGATGCGGATGCTAGAGAGAGAGAGACCGAAGCGGCAGAAATAGCAGCATTATATCTCGAAGAAGCGTCGTCAATGATGCTCTGAGACATGCCATCGTCTGCAGCGGAGATCGCTGAGCTTGCGGAGGCAACGACAGCGACAAGATTGGCAGATGCCAAGGAGGAGGCGTGCTCGTATTGGGATCCAGCCTCTTGAATCAGGTTTTGGAAAACACGAGGGGCCGGGGTGGGTGTCGGGGTACCATAGACTGCTTCAGATGCCGTGGAAACAAAGGCAGTGTAGTGGTCGTGAGCCAGGCCGACTGCCTCGTAGTAGCGCCGCTGGGCATCAAGAACGAAAGGCTGAAGTGCTGCGGAGCTGGTCGCAGGGGCATTTTGTGTGACCTGAGCCAACTGCGCAGAAGCGAGGCTTAGTCCTTCACTCAATCTGGACGATGCAACAGAGGAGATTTGAGCCAAAGGTCCGGCGGGTGTGGGCGTGGCCCAAACAGCGCCAATTCGGGACTCGAACTCTTCAGTTGCGTACCTCACGGCCCCGGAGTAGGCGGATTCAATGGAGGAGAGAACCTGGGAATGAGCGGGAGCACTAGATTGGGACATCTGGCCCAAAACTTGAGACTTGGCAATGTCGTACAAGATTTTAGCTTGTGCGGTCGAGTCGGCAAAAGCAGAGCTTGCATCCGAGTAAACATCTTCTGCCTTGCTCGCGACCTTTTCTAACACGTCTTGTTCATCATTATCAAGAATGGGTGCTTGATGCGAGTTGGCTTCTGCAGCAGCAACACCGAATGCGGGCCGTGAGGTGTGACGATCTTCCTGAAGCTCATCGTTGAGGATAGACTCATGATCATCGCCATCCTCATTCTCGGCATTGGCAGCGAAAGTCGAAGAAACCGACTCAGAGTGCGTCTCGCTGGTATCTTCCTCGTCTGTAACAATGTCGTCTTCAGAGGACTCCGAGGCAGCATCAACGGTCTCATGATCTTCGGCATCTAAGCTCTCTTCGGACTCCATAGGCTCATCCACAGGCGTCGGGCGTGGCGGAGGGGCATCGGTTCGGGTATCAAAGTTGTCACTGACCTCACGAGCAGCAAGTTTCCACATCCCAACATCCTTCAGTCTGATGAGCTCCTTAGCAGTGTCCTCTGCAACCTCCATACCGCTACCTAAGATCTCACTTGCTACGGTCTTAGCCTCAATGACTGACTTGTGGTTCATGCCAACCTTGCGAATTTCGTTGCGCCAGTCCTCGAGCTGAGCTTTGAGCGCATGGTATCTGGCCCAGTCTTTGTAAGTGACACCATCCATCCATGCCCAGCGCATGCCAATTTCCTGCAAGCCTAGGTCCCGGATATTGTCCAGAACTTCAAGTGTCGAGTTGATAGCGGCTGTAACACGGCGGACGAGTTCATCATCGAACGAGATGGACCACTCGCGAAGAGTATGAGCACGATCTCTGACCGCAATGGCAGAGTTGCGGATTTCGCTGACAAGCTGCTCGCTAGCAGATTTCTCCTCTTTCGGAGCGTCTTCATCTGGCAGCGATTGTGCGAGATCGTTGATATGCTGCTTGACGACAGAGAGCTTTTGCTCAGCGACAGATTGGAGTGCAGTGGAAAGGCTTTGACCATGGCTCTTGGCACTGCTCGCGATGAGGGCGGTTACGATTTCCTCAATGCGTCCCTCGAGATCCTCGACTCCCCTGTCAGCAGCAAATGCGAACTTGTCCTGCCATCTCTGAAGATCCGAGTCAATTCGCTCGCGAGATTGCTTCGCTTCTTCCTCGGAAGAGAGTGTCGGCTTCGCAGGAGGAGTCACGACCGTGGAAATGGTGGAAACGGCCGAGGTCTGGGGTTCAATCTTAGTGCTGGAGAGGGTCGTGGAAGCGGATTCTTCAAACGTGGTGCTTTAAAGTTCAAAATCAGCAAGAAAGTTTTCAAAAAAAAAAAATCGCGTTGACCTACTTATCCATGTCCTCGACAACGGCACGAAGATGTTTTCCCTCCCGGTAGCTAGCGAGGCGCTGTCCAATTCTCACCAGTTGGGGCTCAACCTGCTCTGAGTAGAAACCTGTCATCTGCGGCCACAGCGAACTGTTAACGAAATAAACCACCGATGACCAGGAAGAGCGGGCGCCTGGCATAACGTGGGTAGTCAGAACATCCTGACCAGTGGCGTAGGTCTTGCCGATGAAGGGCTGAGACCGGGTGTAAAAGGGCACAAAATGATCCCAGTAAACTGTCTGCGCAGCGCTGTTGGCCTTCTGGTAATAAGGAGATACCGCTGCCTTGCTCTGCTGTATGTATGGATCAACCTGGACCAAGTAAAGCTGATGCGCTTGGTCTTGAGCTGCCTCTAGACGCGGAGTCACTTGAACCTTCCATTGCGCGGCGCCGTATGCCTGAGCTTTTTCCAATGTAGGCGCGCCATATCTCTCATATCCAGACTTGGCGATCTTTGAGGCCGGGATATAAAGTTGCTGGTTAACCACTTCCACGTAGGGACGGGCTTGATCAACGTAGGGAGCAGCGTAGGTATCGTAATAGGGAGTGACGTAGGGCTCCACATGAGACCGAGCAATGAGATATGGTTTGCACACCCGAGGCGATCGATCATTCAAGTCCGCAATGTTGGAGGGACAGCGTAAGAAAGGCGTGAGAATCGTATACCAAATACACAACCTAAGGAGACTGAGGGTTAGTTTGGGATGCGCCGAAGGATGTACCCCCATTCATACCGTAGGACCAGCCCTATCGTCCACCGAAAAGTGCTCTTTCTCTTCTGAACTTGGCCATTTTCAATCCTTCCATTCGACTTGATAGCCGATTCCGATGCATGGCCATTCTGGGTGCTCATGAGAGCTGCCATGGCTGCCGGACAGTCGAGACCAACCCTTGTGCAAGTTTCCGCGAGAATAACTCCGAGTCGCACCAGAGAGGTGGCTTCGTGAGAGATTGGAGCTGAAAAACTGGAAAACTATTGCTTCATCGGGTGTCGTAGATGACTTGTGCACGGAGGTAGGAGCTCCAGAAAGAAAGTCGTAGGCGGAATGCTCGCGTCAGGTCTTGGCACTAGCAAATATTCACGGGCTGCGACAGGCCGCGGTCTAAGCGCAAGGCGTGGTTCCGAGGTAGATGGTGAAGAGTGTAGTGTTTAATTCTTCGACAAGCTCAGAGACATTAGAAGGATGTTTCAGGAACCTTGGGTACCTGGTTTATAGAAAAAGGATTGTTTGGTCCTCGGACATCAGTGAGGTCATCGGTGGCACATGGTGGCAGAACTACGCAATACAACGTGACGAGGTCGGTGTGGGATGAAACCGCGCGTAATTATAGTAACTTTAGTAATACCCGTACCAGATGACTCAGCCAGCGGGAAAGTGCAGCGGCTCTGGAGAAAGTTAAGGAAGTAGCTGCCCGCAACTTGGAGATCCGCGACTTGTGATTTGGAGTAACCATCTTGTCCAGGTAGGTTTGCATGCCCTTGAAGCAGCAATTGTCTAATATAACCTGTGATGACACCCGCTAGCCTCTCCTTCCCTCCGACGCTCCTCCCGTCAACCACCATCGTCCCCCTCTTGCTTATCATTGACAGGAAGGAGCATACGATGAGGATCTGGTGAAAGACAATTGAACGTCGATTCGACGCCCCTCTTGCACTATGGATATGTCCGACTCGTCTCGCCCTCCCGCCATGTCGACTTTTCCCGACATCATGAACGATCGCGCTTTGGACGAGAGGGAGAAGGGTTTCGAAGACATGGACACCTGTCGGATCTGTCACGGCGAGGCTGTTGAGCCAGATGACCCCCTCTTCTACCCTTGCAAATGCAGTGGCAGTATCAAGTTCGTTCACCAGGCCTGTCTGGTGGAATGGTTGGCTCACTCGCAGAAAAAGCACTGTGAGCTCTGCAAGACACCCTTCCGCTTCACCAAGCTCTACAATCCGAATATGCCCCAGACCTTGCCCACACCTCTCTTCATCAGACATGCCGCGATCCAATGTTTCCGGACGCTGGTGACATGGATGCGCTTCCTCCTTGTGGCGTTTGTTTGGTTGGGATGGTTACCATGGTCGATGCGTGCAATCTGGAGAGCATTGTTCTGGCTCGCAGACGGCCGCTGGTCGGCTAGCGGAGCTGCTCAGCAGCAACTTATGGAATCTTCACAAGAGGGTGCTACTCAGTGGGCTGGAAATGGGACAGCGTCAAATGCTATATTCAGTTCGATGGCTTCGACGGCTGCAACTGCTACACCGTTACCGCAACCTCCAGCAATCAACTTCCCAGCCGGTGACCCACTGATGCTCACTCTGATCAAGAAGATCATTCCGAACCTTTTCCTTCCCGCCTTTTCATCAACTGCTGGACTGAATGGCACGAGTCTGAATGGCACGACGGGCGTCACAAAAACCCGATACCCATCGTGGCTGTCTGATGTGAAATTCCTCAACTCGCTGACACGCTATCCGACCATCAACAACATGATCATCGATATGCTAGAAGGCCAGCTGATCACTCTTATAGTCGTCATCGCTTTCATTCTTCTCTTCCTGATTCGGGAGTGGGTGGTCCAGCAACAGCCCATGGCCAACATTGCGGAGGGAGAGCGCGAAGCGGCAGTGCAGCTCATTGCCAATGATCGGCTTAACGTGGAATTGAATCGTGCCAACGAGCTTCACGAGCAACCCAACCGGCTCAACGAGGACGAAGCTGCCAATCGAGAGGCTCGACTACGCCAGCCTCTAGAAGAGCATGAAGGATTCCCTGACGAACACTTCCCACAACGGTCCGCTACACATTCACCTGCGCCGTCATGGACCGACTCCGATGACGGTCTTCCTGCGCTTGAAAGAGAGGTGGCACCTCGCGATGTTCTTGCCAGCGATCATTTCTCTGGTAACGCTGAGATAGAATTTGGCAGCCCAGCTTTCGAACATCAGGAGCAGACACCCCATCCTGGTGTGACAACGTTCCGTGATCTCCTAGCTCGATCAAACGGCGATCGTGGCGAAATGCTGCGAATTATACGGGAGGAAGGCCTTGAAGACGAGCTTGACTGGATAGTCAACGCGCTTACTGGGCCAGGCGTGAACGAAAATGTTGCCGGGCCTTCAAACCAAGACTCTCAGCACTCTCCGAACGCATTTAATGAGGAGCACGATGCGTCCGCACCCCAATTGCCCGAGTATGAGCAATCGCCTTCTGTCGCAGACCCCAGCGTAGATTTATCTACCGGTAACGATCTCGGGCCCACGGACGCTCAGGACACCCAAGACAGCCCGAGCATTCAGGAAAACGAGCCACCCAAAGGGATTATGAGGCGACTTGCAAACTGGTTCTGGGGGGATCTCACTTTCTCTGAGCTTGATGATGCAGAAGCTCCTCTGGAAGATGATGCGCGCGTCATCCAAGACCCTGCCCTCGAAGACCCGTTCGTGCCTGTCCAACCTCGTGCGGAGGATCAACCAGTTGATGTGGTTGCAGATGCCGCAGCAGCCGAGGTTGATCCCGACGGAATCGAAGCAGATGATTTCGACGGAATTATGGATCTTATTGGCATGCAAGGCCCGATCTTCGGATTGTTGCAAAATGCCGTCTTCTGTGCACTTCTGATTGCCTTTACAGTGGCCATCGGCATCTGGCTGCCATACTTGTGGGGCAAGATTGCCCTTGTTCTGCTTGCCAACCCCTTGGAACTAATCGTCGGCGTGCCGATGGCTGCTGTTACGGTGGTTGCCGACATCGCTCTTGATACCTTGATTGGCGTTGTAGGCTATGTCATGTACTGGCTGAGCTTTGTCTTTAAAGTTGTCCTTAGTCCCTTCAGCGCCTTTGTCCCTGCCATTGATTGGATTCCACGCGGCAAGTCCGTTACCAGTGCCTCGCTGTCCCTCATCGATGCCAGTACCAATCGCCTCAATAAAGTGGTCAAGGCGTTCCTTGTCTTCCACGAGTCCGATATTCCTATGTTTTCGGTAATATCACATCAGGCACTCAAGCTTCATCAGGCGCGTATTGGGTCGGTCTTCCAATTCGCCTTCGACACCGTGAAGTTTATTTTGCACGACTTTCCACTCCGCCTCATCACCCTCGGACTCCCAGGGGCTCTTTCCTTCGACATTGATCTGTCCCTGTTGCAAAAGACGATATCTCAGACTCAGCAACATCTGGGCAGCTTAATCAAGACTCCTCTTTTTAATTCTGGAAGCAAGCTGATGGATGCCGGCGCGGCAAGTGCAGCAGAGGCCGCCAAAGCAACCATGTCTGTCGACTATGACCTGGCTGTCTGGGATACAAAGGATCGGGCTGTCGCCATCCTGATGGGCTACACGCTTGCAACAACGGTGGGCTTCCTCTACCTTCGGATCACTGGACTCATGTCAGGGGCCAATCGCGGGCAAAGAGTTGAGGGCATTGTAGCGGAAGTCCTTCTCCAGGCAGGCGGAGTTATGAAGGTCATTCTCATCATCGGCATTGAGATGATTCTGTTCCCTCTTTACTGTGGTACATTGCTCGACCTTGCCTTGCTTCCTCTATTCTCTGACGCAACCGTGATGTCGCGCATCGCATTTACGGTCTCTTCGCCACTTACATCGCTTTTCGTCCACTGGTTTATCGGTACATGCTATATGTTCCATTTCGCCTTATTTGTGTCCTTGTGTCGGAAGATTCTGCGAAGCGGTGTCCTCTGTGAGTATCCGTTTGAACTGATCATGTCTATCCTATCATGTACTAACGCCGTGTGCAGACTTTATTCGCGACCCAGACGATCCAACTTTCCATCCGATTCGCGATGTCCTTGAGCGCAGCATCACTACGCAACTCCGCAAGATCGGATTCAGTGCCATGGTCTACGGTGCACTGGTCATTCTCTGCCTCGGGGGAGTAGTATGGGGACTCTACTTTGCATTTGACAGTGTGCTGCCCATCCATTGGTCCTCCAACGCTCCTATGCTCGAGTTCCCCATCGATCTACTGTTTTACAATTTCGTCATGCCATTGGCAATTCAGTCCGTCAAGCCCTCGGATGGCCTGCACGACTTGTACAACTGGTGGTTCCACAAATGCGCTCACTACTTGCGCCTCAGCAATTTCTTCTTCCCCGAAAGACATCCTGAGGAAGAGGGTTACCATGTCCGACGTACCTGGTGGAGCTTGCTGTCCGGAAGCAAGGGTGACTGGGAACATCCAGTTATCGGAGAGGAGGAACAGGCTGCCGCAGAAAAGGAAAACCGTGAAACATACTTCCTGCGGGACGGCAGATACGTTCGCGCCCCTGCTTCTGACCAGGCCCGCATTCCCAAGGGAACGAGGGTCTTTTTGGATGTGACTGAGGACAATGAACGTGTCGATGGAAGCCCCGATCCCGACGATGGCCTCCACGGTCGGACCAGCAATATGTTCACCAAGGTGTACATACCTCCTTCCTTCCGGACTCGCATCGCCGCTTTCATTCTCTTGATCTGGCTGTTTGCCGCTGCCACTGGCGTAGGCATCACTATTGTTCCCCTGGTCATTGGTCGGAGGATTGTCGCGCTGTACTTCTCCAGTCCCGTTCCAGTGAACGACATCTATGCCTTCTCCTGTGGACTGTGTGTGGTTGGTAGCCTCGCTTACGTTGCCCTTTCATGCCACGCCGCGGTGCTAGCAATGAAAGAAAACCCGGGCTCATACCTGCGATCACCCCAAGAAATGGGCCAGGTTGGTCTCAACTTGGCAAGGGATGCGGGCCGCCTGCTGTACATGTCGGGTGTCTTGGTTATCTTACTCCCGACATCGTTTGCAATACTGACTGAGCTATACATTCTCATTCCAGCACACACCTTGATGGGAGATGGTTCATCCCATGTTGTCCACGTCGTCCAAGACTGGACACTGGGGGTCCTATACGTGCAAATGGCGATCAAGTTGACTCTGTGGCATCCTCAGTCCCGGCCCGCCGTCGTTTTCTACCGCATATTCCAAGATGGTTGGTTGCGACCTAACGTCAAACTTGCGACGAAAGCTTTGGTGCTTCCTCTATCGCTGTTTACCGCCGCCGCAGTCTTCGTACCTCTGATACTAGGCGGGGCGTTGCGGTGGACGATCTTCTATACACAAAATGAGGCGCAGTCCTTGGTCTATCGCTATGCATATCCAACGACCCTGTTAGTTGTGTTGGCCGCGTGGACAGTCCACCTCATTCATCACCGGGTGGCGATCTGGCGTATCAGCATTCGTGACGATGTATACCTAATTGGGGAGCGTCTGCACAACTTCAGCGAGAAGCGCGCACGTGATGTCGGAGTATCGCGACGAGTGATCACAGGATAGAGGCGGCTCTTTACCTTTTGTATTCTCCACTTTTGTATTCCACGGAATCGCATCCAGGCGTATATCACTTCTATATGTAGATAATCTGAATCTGAATCTGAATCTGAATCTGATAAGTAACTAGTGATCATTCGAAAAAATATGCTGCTGCCTGAGGCCTGAGCTTAGACAACCCAAATCTAGGTGCCTACCACGTGACCCACCTCTATCCGCAGGCGGCAAGATGATTGGTTAGGCAACAGGATTCCACCAGATCGTCCCGCGATGCTCGTCTATCGAGGCCCTTCATCGCCATCGCCAGGCACCCATTGTTCGTTTTTTTCGTCCTTCCCCCCTCCCCCTATGGATTCTTTACCCTTTTGCGACTCACGATATGGGATTGTGAATCTACGCGACCCTTTCTTCGAGATTTAAAGCGTCGAATCCCTCTCCGGTCCTTATCGAACCACTATCGCCATGTCCGTCCTGCGCGGAGGAAGTGGGTTCCTCCAGCGCCGCCTCACGAAGTTGTATACCGACACAAAAACTTCCTGCGAAAGTGTTACTACAGCCTCGAAAGCTCTTGACGATCCTGAACTTGTCGCCTTACATACCAGTTTCCAGAAACAGCGAGACCGTTTGCTGGCGTGGGGTCTAGACTGGAGTGACGCTAGCGCCGCCCAGCCCAATGATATCGACGAGTCCCTGACCGCGGCTGGCTTCAGCGATGTCGTCGAGAGTGTCATGTCCTCAATTCAGGACCTGCTCTACAAGGCAGAGCAGGTCCAGCATATCGATCCGCCGATTCTCCCGTCCAAGGAACGGAGGGTGGATACGAAGGATAGCCTCGGCAGCTTGCCACTGAAGACACAGTGGACCGACGATGATATCAGTCGTTCCAACACGCTCCTGAGCGATTTGACAGCATGCATCGATACTCTCTATGATCTTTCTCGTTCGCGACGTGAAGCGAGCATGTCGAGCAAGTACAACGCCACCGCGCGCTCACGACCGAACCCTACCTCTCCATATGATTACCCTTACGGCTCCTTCTCAGACTCAAAGGGAAAGGTTCAAAGTCCCAAGCAGATGATCGACCCTTTCAATTACTCCCCCTCCACCACTAAGCGCGATTTCAGCAACACTTTCGTCTCCCACCCTTTCGTCATCGACCGATCGGCCTTGCAACTATACGGAGCGACCCACGATAACAGTCCCCCACCATATGAACCAGTCGCAGCGTCTTCAAACTCTCGAGCCATCGGCCGCTTGAAGTCCTCGGCTATTCCGTCCGTCATTGGCACGTTCAAAGAATCTCATGTTTCTGCTCTTGTCGAGTTCATGCCGATGATGGCTGAATCACCTATGAACTCAAAGAATGTGAGACTTGAGAAGCTCCAGAAGTCGCTTGATCAATTGCTGCAAAACGCCAGGATCTCCCACCTGGGCCTCCTGCGCTTCCTCGGTTACTCTCTTGATGAGCCTAATGCCCGTTATGCCTTCCTCTACCAGATGCCCGTCGATTACTTCCCCTTCCTTCAAAACCCCAGTGATCTTCTCAAGGAGCTCAAGCCTGTGCCCCTAGTTGCTATGCTTCCATCGGCAGAAGACTATCGCGAAAAGCGAATGCCGAACCTTGAGACTCGATTCCGTCTCGCCTATGACTTGTTGATGTCTGCTCTGCATCTCAGAAGTCAGAATGCTGTGCACGGTAATATTAACAGCAGCAACGTCATTTTCTTCCCCGGTCGCACTGACGCGACGAACGAAGAGGGCGGCCTTTCGCCTGATCTTCGTCGTGCTTATTTGACCTCTCCAGCCCGGTTCTCAGGCGATGGCCCTACCCCGGAACCCATTTCTACCGCAATTTATCGCCATCCCGAAGACAAGAGAAGTGTTGAGGAAGACTCTGCCTGGGCATATGATCTTTACTCTCTGGGTCTTGTCTTGCTTGAGATTGGGTTGTGGGCACCAATTGGGCGGCTTTGGAAGATGAAGTATGATCGCACATGGTTCAAGCACCGCGTGGAAGATCTATATATCAAGAAGCTTGGCGCCAAGTGCGGTACTGCATACATGCAGGCTGTGCAGCTGTGTCTCGATGCACCCAATTTCCATCTCTCCACACAACCTATGACAGATCTCTCACTTCGCGTGCCTCAGATTTATCATTACCCCGTTCTTGACTTGTCAGATCCCGATGGAACGTTCTCATTCTCAATGAACTTCATGTATACGATCTGCAAGATCTTATGGGCATGCAGTCGTATCGACATCTTCAACGCTCCCTCGGCGGAAGAATTGGACGACTGTCTGCCTCTCGCTCTGGTTCCGACTCCCGAGCCAACACCTGCGGAGGAGAAGCCTGACCCATACATTGCTGCCCGTCAACCGAGCAACTTGGATAAGCAGCTTCCCTCGATCCCAGGTCAATGGGGTGCGGTGACCGAAGAAAAGAGCATGGACAAACCCGCCAAGAAACGTACCGTCAAGCGCATTCCTAATATCGAGATCCCCGACGAACACCTGCAGGAATGGAATTTCCAAATGATGCCGCAATTGAGCCGACTTCTCCAGAAGATCCTCAAGGAGTCGTCGGAGTCGTGCGGAGCCTCTCTCATAATGACTGGAGAGTCACCTGAAACGGCACGCACGACTATCTGCGTAACCTGCGCTAGCGTCAAGAAGGTCCGATCGGCCTTGAAGAAGCACTTCGTTCTAGGTCGGGACGATTGGGATCTCATAGTGATCCGCGGCGATATTGAGCGTTCCAAAGTCCCCCGCAACAAGCGCCGCAAGCCTGCCAAGACACGCCCGAATGGATCAAATCAAACTCCCTTTCGCCAGCGAGAATTGAATCCCTGCTATCAGCAACGGCCTCTGTGTGGTGCATCGATTGGCGCTTTCCAAAATGAGGAGCACTTACCTCCTGTTTCCTATGGTGGTGCCGTCCTTGTCGATGGCTTACCGTACGGATTGACGGTCCACCATATGCTGGAGGCCCCCAGTGATGATGAAGACTCTGGGAATCACGAGCAAGACGCTCCAACTCGATCAGCAGGCAACTATCCCAGAGATACTACAAATAATCCCAACCAAGACCTAATCTACGCACACGGCGAGGATGATCACTCTGAAGCCAATCTCGACCTGGTGGTCTCAGACCCCGAGGACGGTGATGACACGTCAATATCGCAAGGTGACGGCGAAGACGAATACTGGCTTTCAGATGAAGAATCCTCCGATGATGACTCTATTGACGGCGATGATAACGACGATGACGATGCTGCTTCCATCGGCGATACTGCTGGTATCGAACCTGGTGAAGAGCCGCGATTACTGGTCACCCAGCCAGCCATTGACGACGTACACGATGATTTTTTTCCGTCCCCCGAGGACCGTGATGACGAGCATCTTGCCTCCCATTCCCTAGGCTATATCCATGCCTCATCCGGCGTGCGACGGTGGACACGGAAAGGCATCAAGCACGAAATTGATTGGGCTCTCATCAAAGTTGATGAAGCCCGCATGGATCCTCGCAATATCATCATTGAGACCAGCTCGGCCTTGCCTGTCCGGCCTGGCATGGGACGAGCCGCTCCTCCGCAACCCATCTTTCTCAATCAAGTGGCTCGAATGGAGGAAATGGGCGGATTACATGTTCACTGTTGCGGCCGCACAAGCGGGCTACAAATCGGCCAAATATCCAAAGCTATGACAATAGTCAAGCTACATGGCCGACACTCATTTTCCACAAGCTTTTGTGTCAACGGGAACTTCGGAGGTAAGCGGCACACTGCAGACTATGTTTATGTTTATACGATCCTTAATTAGATACCCTTGTTTTCTTTTCTTGCCATACCCCTCCTGTCTCCCTCCATCAAGCCGGTAGACCATAATCATCATCGGGTCTCAAGACTAGAACCATTTGTCACCTGTTGTATTGAGTAAAATCAAGCTAACATGGCTTCACAGTCCCCGGCGACTCTGGCGCATGGGTATTCGATAGGTCCACCGGCCGCGTCTGTGGCCATGTCCTGGCATGGTCTGAGAAGAGCAACACGACCTACATCTCGCCGATGGAAGTCACATTCGAAGACATCGCCCGCACCCTCAACGCTTCCCTCGTCTCCCTCCCCGGCGACCCATCCCGTCCAATGGGCTACGCCGGCCCTACCAGCCAACCTCCGGGCCAACACCGCTACCATACCCAGCAACTGCCGGGCGACTTTAACCGTCTTCATGTCGGGTTACCAGTGCCTCCTGGGCCGCCTCATCCCCAGTATGCGCGACATCCTCACCACCCGGGATTCGGCTACCCTCCTTCGCATCCTCCTCCACCTCCTCCAAGGCCCGGTAGTAGGGAAGCTTCTGTCTTTCGAGGCCCCGTGCCTCCTATCCCGCCGTCATTGTTGACGGGTCCGAGGAATATTGAGCGTCAGCTCGCCTGATTTCGATATATGATATGATTATGTTCGGCTGGACACATGGTTCTGTTATGATGATGCATGCTTATGATTTATATTGGTGAATACCCTGGGTGGAACAGCATGCTTGATGGAGTAAATTAAAATTTTATCTTTACTTTTTATTTCTTTCCCTTTTGTTGGTCAACTGCACATGTGGGTGACCGCATAGGCTCATCTGTAGCTCCCAAAGAAAAAAGGCAATGTCTTGCGCCTGTTGATACAGGCATCTTCGAAAGTCCATACTTGGATCTAGGCAGCCTCCAAGTACAGGCCAACAGGTAAATTTAGTTGCGCAGCCATGAGCCATTGGCGTGGGGGCCAAGATACTAACCTCAAAACGGTGTCAGCATCTTCAGCGTCAGCATCATCAGCGTCAGCATCACTTCCAGCCTCTTCCCTGTTCGGGCTACATGGCCAGTATGCGTCGACGAGCAGGCGGCACAAGATCCAGGAAAGGCTGCATTACTTGCAAGTGCGTCACAAGACGACCTTGCGTATCAATGAACGCTACTAACACGCGATAGACTCCGTCATGTCAAATGTGGTGAAGAGAAGCCACAATGCAGCCAATGTTTTCAATCGGGATTTAAATGCGAAGGGTACAGCGACGCATCGCAGAAACAGCTTCGTGAGCAAAAGAACCAACCCCAATCTCTCCAACGGCGCCCGATAGATCTGGGGGCGGATCAAGCCATGGTGCTGGTCCCTGGTAACAGGGAAGAGCGTCAATACCTCCATTTCTTCAACACGCAGGCGACTCGCGCTCTTTCCGGTTTTTTTCCTTCTGATTTTTGGAATGTGTTTCTTCCCCAGCTGAGCCATCACAACTCCACGATTCGGCATGCTGTTACAGCCGTCGGCGTGACGTATGAGCAAAGGGCACTTCAGTTGACGGCCAAGTCAAGCAGATCCGAAAGTTTTGCTTTACAGCAATACAATAAAGCAATCCAGAGTTTTTCAGAGCAATTGTCTCATCCACAGACTCCGAATGTGGACGTGATATTGATAACATGTGCTCTCTTCATATGTTTGGAGATGCTCCGGTACGATCCCACCCGAGCTATGGATCACATCAACGGAGGACTACAAATCCTGCAGTCGAGAGTCAATGAAGGGAGACCTGTAATGGTGAATAGTTTTGACCGACATCTTCTTCGACTCTTTCACCGTCTCAATATCCAAAACTCACTCTTCGGTCGGCCTCTGTTGTCATTGGATCTCCCACGGGAGATACCAAACATCTCCAGCCTGGGCAAAGCGCTCGAATTTGAAAATATCGAACAAGCCCGGGAAGTCCTGATTACCATAACGAACCGCGCGCTATATCTTATACAGTCCATCAACTGGGTGAGACCCATTGTACCTGAGCCGGTGCATCAGGAACGATTGCAGAGAAAAAGAGCGTCAAAAAGAGAATTTGAAACGTGGCTCACTGCCTTCGAAGCGTTGAAGCGCAAGCCACCCCAAAGCGTGGGAATCTCAGACCCTCGAGCACCCCTGCAACTCATCATGACTTACCACGCATCCTACTTTTGGCTCTGCAACTGCCTAAGCCGAGACGAAATGGGCTATGACGCCTACTATGCCAACTTTGAAGCTATCGTCACCAGCGCAGAACAAATCATCGCACTCTGCTCCGACCCCAAGCTCGTTTCCTTCACTAAGCCCTTCAGCATGGACGCCGAGGTAACGCCTCCACTTTGGTGGACGGCTTATAAATGTCGCCATCCGGTATTAAGGCGGAGAGCCATCGATGCAATGAAGCAGTATCCCACACGAGAAGGCATGTGGGAGATGAAGCGACAAGTGATGGCTGTTGAAATGATTGTGGAGCGAGAAGAAGCTGCTATTTCTTTTTTACCTGTCGAGAGGCGACTCCCTGATGACGACCATCGGATTTATGCCTGGGTCTTCTGGCCAGCGGGGGAGTCGCTTCTGGCTCCGTGTCCGTATCTCGTTATTTCAAAATCTGATATTGTAAACGGAGTAATAAGTCAGCAATGGCAGGACATGTATTGGTGATGTCTGGATGTCCATGTTGTTTTGGCTTGTATATAAAATTGATTGACACCACCCTTGCCAGTTTCTAAAACACTATATAAATGGGAACACCACTTTCGTCCCTACACCCGAATGGTTCCGATGTAGAACACAACAGCTCTGGACCCGAGTTATGCGCTAGCTGCAATATGTACATCCCCCGCCACCAAATTTGCTATACGGAGGGGCCAATCGTAAGCGGCGCCGGGTCCGATAGCCCCGCCGAGATGAGGCTGAGCTGGGCCCAAACTGAGATTGTGCCGCCTAAGTCCAGATCGTCTGTGCTTTACGCCGTAATCAATCATATCTCAAGATGGTCTATGTAAAAAGTGGATATGCTCCCCTGCTTACTGTGTCCAGATCCTTCTCGGCATCGGATTACTTAGTTGCAGCTATTTCTAGACTTACAGGTACACAGCCATGCCGACACGTGGGATTCAGAGAGATTCATTGAAGAATCCGTGTTTTAAAGTGCGAAGTCTGAATAGGCTGAAGCTTTTGTTTGCTTGCGGTCAGAAGTTTGAGGTATGTATCTGTAATTATATAAGTCATGTCGCTTCCTTTGTTTTGAGGTTTCATCTTGCTTCAGCCATCACGATCTTCCCAGTTTGATACGCCCAATTGTTTCTAAAAAAAACTACTTCTATATCCTGCCTGCTTTATACATCGCTCACACTTCGTTTCTCATCTGCCTACCAACATGACAACTCCTGATGAAAGCCTCTATATCGGCTGCAAAGCCCACGTGGATGGTATTCAGACTTCATACGGATACGTACCATCAAAAGCAGCAGGCATTGCATTCTGCGTGCTCTTTGGTCTATCCATGATCGCTCATATCGCTCAACTCTGCTGGAAAAGAACATGGGTGTACAGTGTCTTTGCTATCGGATGCTTGGGTAAGCAATCACTCCAAGTTCCAACGTTGGAAGGACATCTCGGTAGCTAATACTGCAAAGTGGAATTGATCGGATGGGCTGGCCGTACCTGGTCTGCTGAATGCCCATATAACTCGACTGCGTTTCTCATTCAGATCTCAACTTTGATCATCGGTAAGCAAAAAGTCTGCCTAGAACTCGTGGTCTCCCTCAACAGCTCCTGATCATGTACACCCCAGCACCGACCTTCTTCACGGCTGGGATCTACGTCCTCCTCGGCAGATTAATCCGACTCTACGGTCGTGAATGCTCTATACTCTCACCGAAGCTTTACCTCTGGATTTTTTGCACCTGTGATGTTGTCTCACTGGTCATCCAAGCCGCTGGCGGTGGCATGGCCTCATCCGAGTCCAACAACAAGGGCGATACCGCCCCAGGCACAAATACCATGGTCGCTGGTATCGCATTCCAATTATTCTCAATCACAGCTTTTGTTGTATGCGCCATTGACGTCTTCCGCCGTGTGAAGCGCCTTGGTATGCTTAGTATGGCAACTAAGGGTCCACTCCGCCCTCTTCTCGCGGCCATGGTGCTTTCCGTTATCTGCATCTATATTCGAAGCATTTATCGTACCATTGAGTTAGCTCAGGGCTGGCATGGGTATTTGATTACTCATCAGTCTTACTTCATTGGAATTGATGGTGTTTTGATGGTGATTGCTGTTGGCGTCTTTAATATCTGTCACCCTCGGTGGTTGCTGCCTTCGGAGGTTGATTTTACGTTGCCGAAACATCGGCCATCTGAGTCGTCTCAGTCTGAGACGCTAAACTTGAATACTATGACAGGCTTCAAGGGTTATGGAAACAACAAATAACGATCCGAGATTAAGTTCGGGGGACGTGGTATTTTTGACTGTGCATGTTTGGAATCTAGATATTTGCCTATTGCGGCTATAGCCAGACTGAAGTTTTATGACTTTCTAGCATCATTAAAGAAGATTTGAAAATTTGAACTTTCTCCGCTGGGTTTGAGTGACGTTCAGGATCTTGATTATCCTGGGATCAATTTATTGGCTCATTTAATGGCTCATTTAATGGCTCACTTAATGGCTCACTTAATGGCTCACGGGGCTCTCAGTGGAGCCAATCACTAAAAGTGCAAGCCTATTCTCCGCCCTGCAACAGCAATCACAATCACATCAGCCCTGTAGGGCTGAAGCTTAGCGGTTTTTTCAAACTTAGATTGTGGAGGAAACAATTTCTATATGAGCCTATTGGTGGGCTATATCGGGCCCCAGTGGTTGATTCACATAGTTCTAGCAGGCCTGTATCACGATAACCCATCACCCAACCACAGAGAGACACTAAGCGCTCCCTCGTCCAAGACTTGCCATTGAGAAGACAACAGAGAATTTCCAGATTATAAAACTCCTCCGGGCTCACCCTCCGTGGGAAGTTTTCGTCAGCGCACCACTGAAAGCTCCGACTAAACAATAGACTGAGTTCCGAGTTTCCTTCAGTCTTTCTCAAAACCACTAGTGTCTTCAAAATGGGCCTCATCAAGATTCTTCTCAAGGCTATTCTCATTCCCATCGTCCTTCTCGTGGTTGTCACCGTCGTTGTTATCGTTCTCATCAAAATGCGTCGCGAGAAAAAGGAGGAACAAAGGCAGATTCAAAACCACTCGTTCCAGCCACCCCCTATTACTCAATGGGCATATGACAATTACCCTCAGAAGCCACTGCCGGTAGTCTACCCTGCAGCTACACCGGGTCAGGTGGAGCAAGGCATTGTTCATGCACAATAAATGCGTGCGTGAAAATGATCCTGTTCTTATGAAAATTGGCTAACTCTGCGGGTCTGTTTAGGCGACAGCAATCATAAACATTGGTATTTCCATAGTTGGTGGTTCTTATATGACTATCTTCGTTTGAACATTAAAGCTCGAATGTGCACTGCCGTTGGGGTGGGAACTTGATTGAGGATACTTTCCATTTGTTTTTGATCCATATCTCCAGATAGCTATTTTCCTGCAAAGTTTTAACAATTGTCCGGCCCAATTCATCCCAGAACCTTCTCGTATATCTTGTGGATTGTGAAGCTTTGGTAACCTCTATGGCCGGACATGGTCGATGGCAGAAACGTCGTTGCCTATCCCGGGGTGATGAACGTCTGCATGTTCCAGACCGGGGTTTCTCAGGGCGCCAAGGGGGAACCCACTCTAAATAAAGACGCTATGGTGGTAAAACGATGGTAGGCAACAGTCAAAGTATCTAGAATCCTTCTTGCAAGTGTGATTGGGTTTGACTCCAATGCTGGAGTGTGCATCCGTGCTTCGTCCCGCTACGGTCATAGGGCTGAAACCCACAGGGACGGTCGGGACTAGTCTCACCTTTAGTGACGCCCGTCGCTAGCACGAGGTGACAATGCCTTCTTAGTTGCATTAGTTTCGTGGTTATCTATGGAGTTTGACTCGAGTTGGATAGCTGGTTCTCTGACCAGAAAGGTTCTCCTGGGGGTGGGTATGTCATATGGGTCTTTCTGCGTCAAAGCGACGCCTTTCCGAGAGCCTGTTGTAGCTGACCATACCTTGAGTATTTTGACTTCTGAGATAGGGAAATATCATTGTTTTTGCCCGAATCTTTCACTATCAAACCCTGGAAACTACAATCTTTGACATCACCTGCGCAGTTCATCTGTGCCCGGAAGTACCCAGGTGCCGGACGGAGAAGAATCAGACCACGCTCGACTGGGGTTCTTCGTCCAGTGCAACGCCAGTGAGATGTCTTAATAAACACTGGGCTGGAGATTCGATCGACAAAGGAGGACTCGGTGGTTGGCGAGGCCACCCTTGCCAACCATACGCCTACCTAGGCAACATCTTCCCATGATCGAGCCAGTCATCTGGTCAGCCCCCGTGGGGGTTCTTTCGCGACCTTGATGAACGCTGGCTCTCGACCCGCTAGAGCCTGTGAGGCTTTGCAGTATTGACTTGCTATAAGGAGACTGCAGATTAGACTTCTAAATAGGTGATTTTATTTAATCTCCGTAAATGATCATCGCAATACCCAGCTCGTTCTTTTCTATATTTTTCACAATTTGGGCCTTATGATTGTCCTTTCCGACATTCCTTGGTTTATGATGCTTGAGGAGCAAAGTGAATCCGCGTTCCGGCAATGATACACCATTGCAGAAGCTATAGAACACCTTGCCAGTGATCAAATCATACGACAACTGACGGTCAACTGGATAATAATCTATTGGAACCACGTGAGCCAGAGCCAGAAGCCCGAGGTGCTGTCGACTATTCCTGTATATATGAGTTATACAAGGATTATGGTCGGGGGCTCTTCCTGCATGCCCCTGGTATATCTGGCCCTCGTAATCAGATATCGGCATTGGCTCTAGGGAAGCCTGTCACCAAAGAGACTTAGCCAACAGGTCCATGTTTGCGTCTAGCAGAATCATTTTGACTTGAGCATTTTGATGATGCTTCAACTCCATCTATACATTACACTGCCGCTGTTTCACATTGTATCTGCTGTTAGCAGAGATGTGTTATTTCTTTTGAAAACTGTGCAGCTCCATTTGAGCCCAGGCAGTCCTGGGTACGCTCACTTTCAAATCTCAATGGGCAAAATCGATATCCCGGAATCTTGGACGGTATTAAGAGTCCAGACTTCCAGATAAAATCCAACAGGTGGATACACGACTCTCGGGGACCTTCACGTAGGCGAATGTATCACGAACTAGTTACAATAGGACTGGGAGAGTAGGACATGTCCGATAAAATTCATTAAATACATAAGGAAACTGACTGAAAGTCATAAGGCCATAGCTCGACAGATGCAGGGCGAAATTCCGAAGTGGGATATCCAGAAACCCAGTAACACTAGTCAGCATTTATGCTGACTGCAGCCAATAGTGTTGTCCTACGCGAGGAGTTCTTGTCAGACCATTTTAATTCCAACTCCGGGTGTGAGGTAAGAGCTCCGAGGCCGGGAAACGTGTTCATCAGATTGGTTCAAGATTTGAGCATATACCGGGTACGCCTGTTTGTGTATTCACTAACGCTACTAGGAGAGTTTTGCTGTAGTATAAAAAGGCTATGTCCTCTGTCCCCTCTATTCATCATTATCTACATTTCAACTCTGTTTTTAATTTTAATACAATAAGTGCTTTAAGCTTCATATTGGCAGTGGGTCAGCTAATCCCCACGAATAGTTCTCAGCACGAGACAATATGCGACACTACTTCCTCGCCCTTGTTGGGCTAACAGGGACTGCTAATGCTGCTCCCACCTTTCCGCTTGCTGGTTCGCACCCCAACTCTTGACTTGGATTTTTCTCAGTTGTAACTCGGATACATTTTTAGGTTCCTTTGATTCTCATCTGGGCGTCGGCACGGGTCTGGATGGAGCTTACATTGAGAAAGGCGATGGCTTTCATGGAGGAAATGGAGGCGCCGGTCTAGGCGGTGGACTTGGCGGTTCTGGGATTGAAGGAGGCGATGGTCTTGGGGGTGGATCTGGTTTTGGCGAGGAGTCCGGTCTTGGAGCTTCAAGCCTCAAAGGTTCCAGTCTTGTAGGCTTTACCGACGAAGATTCTTCTTTCGGAGGAGCTGGTCTTGAGACTGGTTTGAGGCCGGGACTAGGAGCCGGACTAGGATCTGGACTTGGACTTGGACCTGGACTTGGAGGTTCTGTCATGGGAGAAACAGGCACTGGAATCTCTGGATATCAAAGCTCTGGCTTAGGTTCCGGCTTGGGAAGCGCAGGCACTGAAGGCTCTGGCAATGGCGGTGCTAGCCTTGGAAGCTATGGAGGCATAGGTCTCGGAGAGGGCCTAAGTGAGGGATCCGGCATTGGGGGCCCTGGTTACCACGGCTCAGGTAGGGGAGGTGCCAGCCTAGGAGGATCTGGATACGGGAATGCAGGCACTGGCACTGAAGGTGCTGGGTATGGCAGTACTGAGGGCACTATTGGGGGAGCAGGAGTGCCATTTACGCCGTCAATTATTCCCATCATAATACCCTCGCAAGTGCCGACTTTACCTGCAATAATTCCTTCCTCGCCGATTTATTCTACGCCGCTTGTGGTTCCATCGACTCCTTTGGCTGCACCAGCTCCGTCTGAAGCGCCACCTATTGCTGTTATCCCAGCTCCTTCAATCGTGCCAGTCTCATCTGCTGCACCTGCACCAGCACCAGCTCCTGTTGCTATTCCAGCTCCGTCCGAAGTGCCACCTGTTGTTGTCGTCCCAGCTCCTTCAATTGTTCCAATTCCGCCTGTTTCAGTTGCACCAGTTCCGCCTGAAGCACCGCCTGTCATTGTCCCAGTTCCTTCAATTGCACCGGTTCCATCTGTTGCGCCGACTTATGCTGCACCACCGTCTTCGTCATGTATCATATCTGCTCCATTACTCACTGGGCCACCGACTATATCCTCCACCGTTGGGCCGGCTGCTATCCCACTTCCCTCTGGTCCGGCACAGTCTTTACCGATTCCTACAGTTGTATCAATTGCGGGACCATCGGCGGGTGCGGCTTCGAGCGGCCTGAGCGGATTCGGTATAGCTAGCGCAGAAGAAAGTGGGGAAAGAGCTGCAGCTGGCGAAGGCGAATCTAGCACTGCTGAAACTGCTGCCACTGAAGTTGGTGGGGCTGGCCTGGGAGGAACAGGTAAAGAGGGACTCGGTGCTGGACCAGCGGGTGGCCGAGGAAGTGGTTCTGCCGAGGAAGGTAGACTTGACGGAGCTGATGGATTTGAAGGGGAAGGCATGGAAAGTGGGCTGGATTCGGGCTGGGAATTCGGATGCAACAAAGGAGGCCTGGGCACTGCCATCGGAGTCGGCATCGGGAATAACGGAGGGACAGGCATCGGCGTTGGCATTTAAAATTGACATGACTGGACGGGGTGGATCATAGGGTTATACGGCAGGATCAAAAGTAATGCTAATTGATTTTTGGTTTCAATCCCTTCCACCTATACATCCCGAATGGGAAACATGGCGCGCCCCGAAAGGACAAGCACAGCCCCCCCGCTCCAGGCTTTTGGCCCCCACTCCAGGCTTTTGGCCCCCACGTAGGCCCTCAAGGCCCTTAAATGCAATGTTCTCTTCGAGTCGCACAATTTATCTTCGCAAATCACCAAGGTCAACCAATATCAATATCAATATGCTGGCCTGGTTCAAGAGCCTCTTCGACGGGCCCGACAAGAAAAAGAAGCGCCGAAACCGTGCATATCAGAAACGCGTGCGAGAACGTGAACGTCAACTACGAAAGAAGCTTCTAGGCGAAGAAAACGTGAATACGACGTTTTACTTCAAGCCGTACGGATCTCCGACAGTAAGAGGCGGAAGAGCTACTTGATCTGCGACCGAGAGTTTTTCGAAGTTTCTTCGTATATTTAGGGCAGTTAGAATTACGACCTGCCTACGCTCGTGGAAGTAGCAGAGAAGTTAGGGTAGAACATGAAGACTCCCAGCATCTTGACGGACACCATCTTCTGTTATACAAACGATACCATCGTCACGCAACAATCTCGAAATACTTCAAAAACTCCGCATCCTGCCTTAACAAATCATGCTCCTTGACAGCCAACTCAACAAGAACCTCAAAGACTCTCGTTGCTCCGCGTGAGAAATTGGGCAAGATCATAGAAACCCCTGCCATGGTAGAAGGCAGCCGTACCGCAACCGGAACCGCACCAGCTCCAACATCATACTTCTCCGCGGTACCTGAATACCAGCTATTCATCATCATGTCCATGTCAGCAAAGTCCGCACGAGAGGCTGGTATCTCTCCCGGAGAGAGTGACTTGATAAGTGAAGTCATATGAGCGATTGAAGACATGTTGATGGTGTTGATGGATTCGCGAATCAAAACTGCCGCCCTTGCAATGCCTTCGTCTCCGCCAAATGCCGCGTCTCGAGCTGTGCGAGGGCCCGCCTGGCCTGCAATAACAGCGTTACCGAAATATAGTTCAGAGGTTTCCTTCTCTGGGTCCCGGGTGCGTACGTTGATGGGGTGAATGAAGCGAGATGGCGATGTCGCTTTCTCGGGATGAAGATAAAGTCGGGCACGCGTGACTGCTGTCCAGACGAGAGCGGAGATGCAGCTGTATGAGGTTATGTAGTCTACCGGGCTTACAAACGGGGCGCATTGCGCTTTGAGCTGTTGGATCGTTGGCTCGGAGATCCTGTAGATGCCCGATTTGGATATAGGCGGTGGTTTTGGTTTGAATTGACTCAGTTCCATGATGTAAAATATCTGGAGCTTTTCCAATAGCTCTGCTCTCGAGAGGGCCGACTCGGACGCCGAGGCATTGTAGGGAGCTCTGTTGAAATCTGGGGTATGCGTGGGCATTTCCATGCCTTGTTGATGGGCCTTGCTACCTTGGCAGACAAGAGATAGGAACGTATCAATTGAAGACCAGTCCCCAGCAGCATGATTCATTCGGAAGCCCAAGATCAGGCCCCCCTCAATGACACTCAGCTGCAGACTGCAGACTGGATTCTTAGCCGTTGGTTCTTCAGGTAACAGCTGAACAGGATCCATATCACTAGGATGGAAGCCACTGGCGGCTAGGACGGAGAGGGGCTTGTGCTCTGTGGGTTTGAATCGGCGGATGTTGACTTCGACCTGGCTTCCTGGGGCTGCCACGATGTAGGCTTTGCCCGAACCGTCAACTTCAAGATCCCCTGTCATGATAGGCAATCGCTTGGTCGCATTCCTCACACCTGCCGTGATGGAGGCAATCAATATGTCTAGATCAACCGCGGACTGGAGCTCATAGACTATGAAGAGTTTCACAATCTTGCGCATGCCCATTTTGTCCATGTCGGACAGTTCATATTTCATTGCGTCTTCCATGGCTCACTTCAAAGGTAACCCTTGGATTTTCTGGACGATTCGATGCAAAAATTGATGGGACTTTGAATGTGATACCGAGCATTGTTTTAAACGTAGCCCCTCGAGCTCACGCTAATCCCTTTTAGGAAACTATGACTGGCAATCCAGCTAGATATCACTTACCGAATTGGGTGTCCGACAATCTAACCCTACGATCATTTATAGTCTCACGTAAGAAGTGGATTTGAGACCCAGGAAGACATTTGGAAACAGGGGAACGAAGGAAGCATCTACTCGCGTTGGAAGTTTCCGGCCTATATGCAGGCATGTACGAAAATTACCAAGTGAAAATATTATGGTATAACCAATTAAATGTATTTGGAAACTACACTTCAAAACACATCAGGTACCGATCACAAAAACACCGATAGACTCTAAAAAAATTTGGAATATAAAAACGGAAAAGAGCACATCAAGTCATAAAAAGGGAAGCCCAGAGTACTTCCAAAAACTTCGAGGATCAAAAAACTTATGCGGATCCAAGGAACTTGAGCACATTCTCGCGCTCCTCAACAGGCAGCATAGAAAGCACCTGCTGCACACCACGGAGACCACCCTCCTTGTTTCCGATAAGCAGCTGCGCAACTTCAGAGGCAACGCCTTCCGTGCGCATGGCCTCAACCTTATTGTGCACGGCCTTCTTGTTCTCCTCATACCAGGTGGCAACCTTGAGGTCATCGTGCTCGAGTTCCTCGTCCAGCATGCCAGTCCAAGCGTGCAGAGTGCGGAGGTGAGCGGCACCGGGCGACTCGGTGCTGGTGGAGGCAATACCGGTGGAGGGGATGGCGCCGCCGGCACCGTTGAGGGGAGCAGGGGTGGCGGTAGCGGCGACCATACGCTTGACGATCAGCTGTTCGCTGAGACGGCGGCGCAGGCGCCAGTAGAAGAAGCGGCGAGCGTTCTGCCACTTCAGAGGCTTGCGAATGGTGTTCTTGGCTTGCATGCGGCCGGCGCGGTCGTGCAGGTCGGCGAACTGGAGGGCGATCTGCAGGTAGACGGGCAGGAGCTGCTCTTCGCGGACGGCCATCTTGGTCTTGATCTCGGTCAGCTGCTCGTTGGTGAGGGAGCTGTCTTCGAGGGAGCGGCGGAGGTCACCGTAGGTCGTGTCCAGGCGAGCCATGGTGTCGAGCTGCTTGTCGCGGCGGTACTTGATGTTTACGATACCTTCGGGCTCGAGAACACCACCGCGAGACTCTTCATCGGCATACATCTCCATTTGGTCGGGATTGATAGTGGGGTCAACAACGACCCAAGATCCACCACGGAGCTCACCGTGAGGGGGAATGTAGACGAAGATGGGCTGCTCATGCTTGACGAGGGCATCGACGATGTACGAACCGTACTTGAGGACCTCGTTGTACATGTCACGCTGACCACCAGAGAAACCTCTCCAGTTGGCAAGGATCATGACGGGCAGCTGCTCACCGTTGTTGAAGTCACGAAGAGCCTGAGCGGTCTTGTACGCGGAGTTGGGGTACCAGACACCACCAGCCTCCTGGGTGATCATCTCCATAGAGTCGGGGTTGGCAGGGTCGGCAGGAGTGACGTTCTCGACAGAGCGAGTCTCGACAGCGATGACACCCATGGGGATGCCACCAAGGCGGGCACGACCGACAACGACAGTGCGAGCCCAACCGCCGAGAGACTCCTCAAAGGAGTCCTTGTCGAACAGACCGGGGAGGAAGCCCTCCACGTCCTGCTTGCCACCAATGAGCCAGCGGACATCATAGGGCTGCTTGGGAGGCGGGTAGTAGGCGACATCACGGTCCCAGTTATCAGACCAAGGGCGGATGGGGATGGGAGCACCCTTCTTGTCGGGAACGAAGGCCATCCACTCAATGATCTTGCGAACACCGTCGAAGTCATCAGCCGCGGTCATGTGGGAAACACCGTTCTTGTACATGATCTGGGTACCACCAAGCTGCAGGTTGGAGGTGTAGACCTCACGACCGAGCAGCTTGTTGATGGCAGGAGCACCAGTCAGAATGATAGGCTGGCCCTCAACCTGGATAGCACGCTGACCAAGGCGGACAAGATAAGCACCGATACCGACGGAACGGCACGTAACCAGGGTGATGGTGAAGATGTCCTCGTAGGCCTTGGAAGTAGCACCGGCAATGAGACCGGAGCCCTTCAGACACTCAACACCAAGTCCGTCCTTGGCACCAATGATAGTGGTGATCTTGTAGCGATCCTCACCCTCATCGTGGATGAGCTCGGTGATGACTTCCTTCTTCTTGCTAGCATCGAAGCGCTTCTTGACCTCGGGGGTGAGGTAGAGGTACTTGAAGCCAGCCTCAGGTTTGGAGGCATCATTCCAGGCAACAGAGAAGTACGGGAGCAGCTCATCGGCCATACCGATACGGGCACCGGAGTTGGCAGACAAGTAGATACGCGGGATGCCAAGCTTGCGAGCGAGTTCAGTGCACTTGTGGAAGAACTTGTCTTCCTGGGGACCGAACGAACCGATCTGGAAGGTGATGTCGTTGGCAACAATGATGAAGCGACGGCCCTTGGGGTACTCCGGGGTACGGGCAGTGACGAGCCAGCCGACCATACCGTGAGAGTTGGTACCAGGCTCACGGGAGACCTCAACCAAGTTATCGGTGTCATCAAATACTAGCTCACTGTAGTCAATGCACTCGCCGATAGCGGGGCGCTGAGAAGAGAGCGAGGGGATATCCGCAACAGCCTTGGTCCAAGCATTCTGAAAGGCCTGGCGGAACAGCTCGGGGAAATCGTACACGTACTGAGTTCCCATGAGGTGGGCCTTGTAACGCTTGGGCTGCAGCCACTCCTTGGTAGGGTAAGGAGTAGACACGGGGCGCATGTGCATGGAGCCGAGCTTGGTAGTGCCACCAATGCTCTGGAAGATCCACTCGCCCTTCTCGGACTTACGCTCAATGTACAGCTCAACCTGGATAATGAAACCGTAGGTGTTGCTGATAATGACACGGAGAGGGTAGGGCATACCGGTGGAGGGATCAGTGCAAAGAATGCGGATCTCAGCTCCGGTGACACGGAGGCGCCATAGGCGACGGCCGAAGCGGTCAAGGAAGCCGGCAAGGGCCTGCTCGACATCGATGGGCTGCAGGTTGAAGACGGGGGAGAAGTTGATGAAGATGTGGTTAAGATCAGAGTTGTTGTTGCCAATGATCTCAAGAGCATCCAGAATATCGTTCATCAGACGATCAGCCTCTGAGATCAGGTACTCAGCAGTGGGAATGTCATCGCGCAGACGACCAGGACGAACGACAGCGCGAACGAAGTAGCGCTTGTCGACGGCCTTGTCGCTCTCGGGACCCTTTCCAAGCGCCTCGTAGACGTGGATGTTACGGTTCTCAGTGAAGACGGGCTTGATCTTGAACTTGGACAGACGGCCGAGCTCAAGCTGGAAGGCAAGAGCAGGCTCGTTGTGACGAATGCTCTCATCCTCCTCGTAGTTGGGTCCACGGAAGGTGAAGTATCCGGGATAGACACCGTTCTTGGCACAAATGAAGGTCACACGGCGGATACGGCGGGAAAGCAGCTCCTCCTTGTTGTCAGCCAACAAGTTCTGCATCTGGGTGGCGATCTGGGAGTCATCCTGCTCCTCAATGTCACGGATAGCAATGTTGAGGACACCAGTAAGCTCGTCATCGTTCTCCTTGGCACCAGAGGGGGCAGGGCGACGCTTGCCCTCGAGGTTGGCAATCAGGCCGTTATCAGCCTTCTGAGCCTTGGCACCAGGGCGGGGGAAGGCCTCCAGAGCCTTAGACAGGAATTCCTCGGCATCCTCCAAGTACTGCACGGGGATGATAACACCACGGCGGATAAGGTCAGTGGAGGGGTCGTTGACCAGATAGGACATGTCACTGATGGAGTTGATGCGCTTGAAGGGGTTGACTTCAGCGGTAGGAGTGCTGGGAGCTGAGGGCTGCGTGGAGGAGATAGGGCCGAACTCAGGCTGGGCCAGCTTGCCGAGGGTGAAGTCCCAAGACAGGAGGGGAGGCTCACCAGCGGCGCTGTAGTCAAGGCTCTTGACAGTGTACGCACGGTAAGCACGGCGGACATAGACCTCCAGAGCAGCAAGGGTGACCCAAGGGTCCTGGTGGACGAAGAAGCGAGGAAGCACATCGAAGACGGTGTATTTGGAGTCGACAACCTCCTTCAAGATACCAGCATCGGGCTCACGGTGGTCCCACCCGGTCTCGCCGTAGCGGGACTCGACAACAGAGGAGCGCAGGATATGCTCCATCTGGGACAGGCGCTCCTCCAGCGAGGGCATAGCGCACTGGATGAGAACTTCACGGGCCTTCAGGGTGACCTTAGCGGTGGAGCGAGCCTCGAGGTCAGTAAGCTTCTTCAGGATAGGCTTGAAGTGCTTGCTGACATTGCCCAGGTTGGGCTGGTTGGGGCGGTACATTTCTAGAATGGCCAGAACCAGGTTGTTCTTGGAGCCAACACGGCTGTGAGAGAGGACAGTGTGAACGACCTTGGTGATCTCCTCCTTGTTCTCCTCACGGAGCTTGAGAATGACATCCTCGTCACGCTTGGTACCAGTGGAGAACAGCTTCTCCACATCGCAGTACTGCTCCAACAGGCTAATGAAGACGTTGTACTCGTTGGTTTTCAAGCCATCCAAGTACTTGTTGATTACCTGAATCAAAGGCGAGAGAGTGGCCTTGAGGATCTCGGCATCGGCAGGGTTGACGTTCTCCTCAATGAAACGAGAAATGGTCTTTTGGAGCTGCTTAGCAGGGAACTCGGCCTTGCGAGACTTGGCTTTCTCAACAACACCCTCGAGCTGAGCATCCAGCTTCTGGGGCATGCGCGAGTGCAGGGCGGATGACTGAGCATTCCACTCTCCGTAAGGAAGCTCGGGGTTACGGAGAACCTCAACGAGCTCCTTCAGAGTGTCACCCATAATGACCTGGTTGTCGAAACCACGGAGGATGTTCTCAAGAATAGTGTACAGCAACCAGAAGCGCTGCGGGGGTTTCATACCGACAACGACGGGAGGGCCGAGGTCGGGCAGCTGGCCAGTGAAGGGGTGGGCATGCTTAACACGCGAAGGGTCATCCAGGGCGAGGATACCGAGGATATCACCAGCCTCCAGAGTGGCCCCGGGCTGCTTGATGAGCTGCACCATACCATCCTCCTGAGCAATCAAAGGCATGTACATCTTCATGACCTCAACCTCGGCGTAGGCCTGGCCAGCACGGATGTGCTCACCGTTCTGGACAGTGAACTTGACCAACTTACCGGGGGAGGGGGAGCGAAGCTGAGTGGGGTCATTCTCCTGCTCCAAAAGGCAAGTCTTGCCATCCACACTCAGACGGGTGGCAGCAGGCTCCTCCTTCCAGTAGACATTGTGACTGCGGCCGCTGAGCAGAACTAGCAGACCACCGTCGGCCAGAGCACGGACACCAACGGAGCATTTGGAACCATTGATGAACAGGTGGTAGCTGTCCAGACTGGCACGGGTGGCAGTGAACTTGTAGCGGGCACCCTCGTAGATAAAGTCCACAGGGAAGACGGTCTTCAGGACGTCCTTTGAAGGAACCTGACCCTTCTCTAGACCCTTGCGGTACTCCTCAATACCAGCCTCGCTGGCAAGGTGAGCCTTGGTGACAGCACCACAGATAACAGCGACAATAGGGTCAGGACGCTCGGCTGTCAACTTGTTGGAGATAAGCTGGTCAAGCCAGCCGGTAGTGATGGTGTTGTCCTCGAAAGCGGGAGTCTCCAGCAGCTTGATGAGGTACTCAACGGTGGTACGGAAGTCACCACGAATGCTCAACTCCTTCAGAGCGACAACCATGTGCTTGCGCGAGGCAGAACGGTTCTCACCATAGGCGAAAATGTGACCGAACTGACTGTCGGAGAAACTGTGGATACCACCAGCAGTACCGACGGAGAAGTAGCCCCAAACGTTAGAAGAACTGCGGAAGTTCAGCTCGTGCATGGTACCACTGGAAGGCTTGAAGCCCTCGCCGGGATCCTCAGAAGTGATACGGCAAGCAGTGGTGTGTCCTTTGGGCTGAGGCCGGCGCTGAGTCGTGAGACTCTCCTCGCTGGAGAAATCGAAGTCGATCTCGCCGGTGGTGTTGGGGTCAACACCGTACAGGAGACGAATGTCGCGGATCTGGTGCAGAGGAATACCCATGGCAATCTGGAGCTGGGCAGCGGGAAGGTTGACACCCGAGACCATCTCAGTGGTGGGATGCTCGACCTGAAGACGGGGGTTCAACTCGAGGAAGTAGAACTTGTCATCGGAGTGCGAGTATAGGTACTCGACGGTACCGGCAGACACGTAACCAACCAAACGACCCAGGCTGACAGCAGCCTTCTCCATAGCCTGGAAAGTGGGTTGTTTGGCAATGGTGACGGGGGCCTCCTCAATAATCTTCTGGTGGCGACGCTGGACAGAGCAGTCACGGCCGAAGAGGGAAATGTTGTTACCGTACTGATCAGCGAGCAGCTGTACCTCCAAGTGGCGGGCGTTACCAGCCAGCTTCATGATGAAGATGGGGGAACCGGGGATCTCGTTAGCGGCCGCATTGTACAGAGCGACGAAATCCTCCTCGTTGTCGACCTTACGGATACCCTTACCACCACCACCCTCGGAGGCCTTGACCATGACGGGGAAACCAATCTGCTTGGCCTTCTCCAGACCCTCAGCGGGGGAGAATGTGCAGCCGCGGGAGTAGACATCGTCCTCGACTGTTACAATTCCTTTGTCGTCAATCGTCACCTCTTCGACACCGGTTCCCGACCAGGGGATACAGGGCACACCAGCATGCTGTGCGACAATAGTGGAAGAGATCTTGTCACCCAGTGAGCGCATGGCAGAGGCAGGAGGACCAATGAAGATGATCTTCTTGGGCGACGCCGCCAGGGACTCGGGTAACCGAGGATTCTCGGAGGCGTGACCCCATCCAGCCCACACAGCGTGGACATCCATGCGCTCGGCAACATCGACGATCAGCTCGACGTTGGCATAATTATTATTATTCGTTCCGCCGGGAACCTCGACGTATTGGTCAGCCATGCGGATGTAGTCGGCATTGGCAGTAAGATCCTCGGGGGTGGCCATGACGGTGAACTGGATGGCACGCTCGTTGCCAAAGGTCTCGTAGGCCCATTTCCTCACTGAGCGGATCTCCTTGACGGCGGCGATACCGTTGTTGGCGATAAGCACCTGAAAGAGAGAACAGAGATGAAGATCAGTGCCACTTCCTTCCAATCGAACTCATGAGCTCCATTTTTTCGTCTCGAACTTACCGACGTGATGACGGAGTGACCGCCATTCTGGGCAACGAAGTCCTTCACGGAGCTCGGAGGTGCTACTTCGAGGTGGTTGCCACCGATGAAATGTGAAGGGAGGTCGTATTTGGCGGCATTGGAGCTGCCATGGCCGTTAGACGGCTGGTTGCCGTTAGGGACGCCCATGGTGTAGATGGATCAGGCAGTCTCAGGTCCCATGCAAGAATTGAGGCGAAAGGAGGAGATTAAACGCTAGGGGAGAAATAATGTACAACGTGGCAAACCCGGAAACGGTGGCGCGGGTAGAAAGTAGAGGTTGAAAAAGGTAAGACTGGATAATGTCAAGTCAGCCGGGGCAACACGAAGATCCCGATGCGGCAGGTTCGGAGTTTGGTCGCAAACGGGGAGGTAGCAAGGTCGCGAGGTAGCAAGGACGTTGCAGTGACACTTACCGGGACCACCAAAACCCGACTAAGAAGAAAAGATTGAGGAGTAAAGATTAGTTTCCTTCGGAGAGCAACGAACTAATACTCGATCGAAGACGCCAGAAGAAAAAAAAAATGATGAGGATGATTTTCCAGAGTCCCACCAAGTGGAGAATCCCAACTCGCGCACCGAAAGTACCTTCCCATAGTGTTTAGTACTGTCAGGTACATCCAGGAACACACTTCCCCAACTCCCAGGTCTTTGTTGGGCCGGTTCCACTGTGCCTCTACGTCCCACCATTTCGACCTTTTCGACTATTTCGACTAATTCCTCACTGTCGTTCCTCTCATTTCCCTAATTACTCTAATTATTACTCTAATGACTTTCATCGTTCTCCTCATTATATCGATCTTTTCCATTCCGCTTATTTCCTGGGTCCTTAACGAATTAGGTGACTTACGGTGTTTTCCCCTGGAGCCCGCTCCATAGATTACCCCGGGGTCGGACACCGAGTCGGCGGCTTGAAACTCCTCGGACTACGAGACTAGGCCGACGGAGTAAAGTACCTACGTAAATTATCCGGGTCTATGCATGAACTAGTCGTCGCTTTCCGGCCTCGACATAATCCGGTGGGGACCCTTCCTAGGTTAGGTGACGTGCCGCTAGCTCCCAACGAGAGATCGGCGATACGGGACGCCCTACCGGCAATGACGCGGATGTACAAATGGTCTATACTACCCAACGGACCTTGGGCTCTAGATCCCGCCATGGTTTAGTGGCTAGCTGGGCTGAGGATAATTTCACCATTCACATTTCACTACAGAAGAACCATTCAAGGACGTAAAATCGTGGGTATTATCAAACGCCTCGCGACGTAGAAAACAAGAAACGCTGAGACACAGCTTAGGACGCCTCGGAATCCACCAGAGGCTGCATCAAATCAAGGTCAAGGTCAAGGGAAGGGAGTGCTCCACATCAGCGCCGAGTAGAACTGTACAGGATGGCGCCGGTGCGGAGTCTCCGTGGCCACGAACCAGGTGGCCCCTATGCACAAAATGCGACGCCATGTTTCCCAAATTGGTGTCAGAGAATATGGCACTCGCGAGAAGCGAAATCTAATGAAAATATCGCATGTCCCAAGTAACTGCCCGGGAGGATTTTCTAATAAGTCTCACCCAGGTCATCTACCCGTGTCTTTCGCTCGGATGGTGGCATGCCCCCCGGGCCGACGCTGGTCTTGAAACTCCGGGGTGTGGGGATAGCGGAGACGCCACTGGTCGTGCGTTTCTTCAGGGTTGGGGTGGCTGAGAAGGATGGCCGTCGGAAGTCATGGGGAATCCGAGTAGTGGTGGGTGTAGTAGAAATATCCCGATCTTCATCAATGCCAGACATGCTGCCGACAGATGAGGTCTGGCCCGCGTTGTTGCTCAGAGAAGACCGCGGTCGGCGGCTCTCTGTCATCGGGTTGGTAGAATAATGTCCAAGGGGTGTTTTAGCCCCAGGGCGGCTCTGCCGACTTTCGGGTCGCGCATTGATTGGCACGCCCGAGTGAACGCTCTGGCTGAAGGAGCTGCGACTGGAGAAGCTGGTTCGACTACTCGGGCGGCTGTCGCCCTGAGTTTGAGCTCCAAACGACTGGCGGCTCTGCGGGAGGTAGGACGGAGTGCCCTCGCTGTCTCGTACGGATGAACCGAAACTGCTGCCACTCATCCGCTTGCGGGAGCTTCTTCGGACGGTCACGCTGGACGGGACCGGGCTATCTCCGGTAATAGACCCCGAGCGAGGGGATCCATGCCGTGAAGACGTCTCGGACGGCGCTGGAAGTCGCGACTTGGCAGACTGGATTCGCTCCTCCAGCGTCTGCATCTTGCCAATCAAGCCACGAATCTGATACAATGACCCGGATTTAGGAATCCCAGGAGGGCGCTGTGTAGTCGATCTCGATAGGCTAGCGCGGGAGGAAATCGACATGGAAGGAGTGGACCGTCCGCCGCCATTGTTGCTGTAGGCGAGGGAAGAGGTTCGAGAGTGAGTGGGACGGGGCGCAGTACGGGCATTTATCAGGGTGCGCGAATTGATCTGGTCGGCGCCCGCTGCCCTGCTTCGAGGAAAGGTGGGGGTTGCATTAATCGACCTGCGCAGACTGGCGGAGGACTCGGAGATGGGAGGTGAAGGTGGAGTTTCAGCAGACATTGCCAGTGATGACTTGGCTGGCGGTGTCGCAAATACAGGAGAGGATGTCGCGGTCCCTGGCGAACGATCAAAGATCTCCAGGTGCTGAGGGGTGGATGGGCTGCGGTACAAAGGGGTCGGCTTGCGACGACGGAATCCGTGCCCCTCGGTGTGCCGCAGCTTCTCCTGAACGATCTCAGCTTCGACCTTGAGATCGGAGAGTTCATCACGCAGGCGCTGGTTTTCGATCCGCAGATCCTCACGCTCCTGTTCACCACTGCGCATTTCCTCCTCCAAAAGCACTCCGCGCTCGATGGCCATGTTGAATTTGGATTCCATGTCCTCCAGGGACGAGGAAGTGTTCCGGGCTTGTCGCTCATAGTCATCGTTGGCGACTTCGATGTCGCGCAACTTCAGCTGCAGAGTGCGGCTCGTGTCGCGTAGGGAAGTGATTTCCTTTTGCAAGGTATTTTGCGCCGAGTTGGCTTCGGCCTTGGACTGCTTGTATTTGGTCTGCCGGTGTATAAGTTTCCTATGTACCGGCCATCAAGATGTAGTTTGATCATACCTTCCATTCCTCAACCTCATATCGCAAATTATCAACTTTCTCTTTCAGCTGGCGCTCCCGCTTCTCTGAGGCCTCAATGTCCTTCTCCAGCTCAGCCTCCAGCTCCCGGCTGGAGAGTTGGAAGTCCGACAGTTCTGTTTCGAGCTGCTCATACTGGGCCTTGTAATGCGCAAGTTCATCTCTGTAGGAGCTGCTGGTGTGCTTCCGCTCGGAAGGCGAATCATCGGCAGCCGGCATCGTCCCGTGTTGGGCACCCGGGCCGCAAAGACGTGCGCAAATCCAACGTCAACCTTCTTTTTTTCTTTTCAAAGAAGCCAGATAATAAATCTGCCAATTACCACGACGACTGCACGGGTATTTTCAAAGAGTCATAGGGCTGCGTTGGTAGCGACGCACGGATGTTGATAAGAGCCCCTCGGCGAGGCGGTGACGCAGCGGGATCGGGGTCGTCGATGAGTTCAATGAATACCCTCCACCGAGAGAGCAAGAAAGTATGGTTTAAAAAAGCACCGATCGGAGTTGTGAACCGATAGACTTACCTATTCTATTGCAGGTGGTATAAACGCTCTCACGGTGGACGGGCAGGTGTCGCGAAAGGCGGGTTCGGGTTAATTAGATCGGGTGTTCAGTTGTCAACACACGTTTCGGTCGTCAGGGGATCCAAAAAAGGCGCTAATCCCGATAGGGAGCTAAGACTTGGTGCCTGAGGCTAGAAGACTAACCCTCTTTGGGCAAGTGACTCTGATCAGCGATCTGGATTCATCCGAGGGTCTCTTTGGGTATCCTTGGGTCTCCTTGGGTCTCCGGGGTAGATCTTACCGTCCGCGAAAGAAAAAAAGGTGCGTTTCATCTCGGTTATTTACATCTCGTTTGTTCTACTCCTCTCCCCGTCTTCTTCCTGCCACCGATCCGTTAGATTATGCCCACGCACGACATCCTTGGATCGGAGGCTGATCGTCAACGCTGCTTCCACGCACTTGTTTACCCTCACCCCTCCGGTTCCCACCTGCTGCTCCACGTTGTATATCATGCTCTCCAGCTTTAAGATGACGATGTGACGCGCGCGCTGACCTCATACCTTACTAGGCTATTTGCGAGATTGGGCCCATCCACCACGCCCATCATGGCGGACCCCACCGACCTGAACCTGGACGCGCCGAGTGACCTTCAGGACATTCCTGAACTTGCCATGCAATTGATTCCCCCGCCGGAAGGAACGTACCCTGACAAGTGAGTGGCCGACTTCCCCTTGCATCCGAAAGCTTTCCCTTCTAACCAGCACCTCCCCTGATTAGGAACACGCTCCTCGCCGCCGTTCAAGCACATGGCAAAGCACATGGCTACAATGTCGTGGTCAAATCATCTAGCACGCCCACCGAGAAGAAGCCAGGTCGGACTGCCAAAGTTTGGTTGCGCTGCGATCGCGGCGGACACTATAGACCTCGCAATGGACTGACGGAGGAGACGCGCAAACGCAGAAGGACATCACGCTTAATGGACTGCCCGTTCATGCTTGTCGCAGCTGGTTCCCCCGGTATCTGGTCTTTGACCGTACTTAACCCAACACACAACCATGGTCCCATCATCGAGAAGCCCCGTCAAGTACCTCACCACAAGGTGCGCAAGGGTCAACTGCCCGCAATACCTTACGACTGGCCCCATGATGCGACCTTTACACCGTACACGACTGCACTTGTTATCATTGACATGCAGAAAGATTGTAAGCTCCCTCGAACGTTATGCGCATCATATCTGGGGAAATATACTAACATCTTTGCTAGTCTGCGCCCCTGGTGGATACCTCGAATACCAGGGTTACGACATATCTGCCGCACAAGCACTAATTCCCAAGTTACAGCGGCTTCTTCATTCTTTCCGCTCTGCCGCTTTCCCTGTATACCACACTCGTGAAGGTTCGTACTCGAGTTACACTTTACCCTACTGTTTGCTCGACTCGCTAACCCATCTTCTAGGTCACCGTCCCGATTTGTCCACTCTTTGCAGCCGAGAGTTATTCCGTTCTCGTAATAACGCCATGGGCTTGGGGATTGGCTCTCAAGGCCCCATGGGTCGCCTGCTTATACGCGGCGAGCTGGGTCACGACATAGTAGAGGAGTTATATCCTCTGCCGGGAGAACCCATCATTGATAAGCCCGGCCGTGGCGCCTTCGCACACACGGATTTTGAACTGATTCTGCGAAATAAAGGTGTCAAAAATCTTGTCATCGCCGGTGTTACTACCGATGTTTGTGTTTCAAGCACCATGCGCGAGGCCAACGACCGCGGATTCGACTGTGTCCTGCTGGACGACGCCAGTGCAGCTAGCGAACCATCTCTCCACGTGAGTACCGTCGAGTCTATCAAGATGGAGGGAGGTATCTTTGGGTCTGTCGCCAAGCTTGAAGACGTAATTCAAGCCGTTGACAGCTTCAAGTCCGTCACTATGAAGAAGCTGACTCCTCAAATGACGGGCTGAACACATATAAAACATCCCCGAATTTTTTTCTAGCGGGTTTGATATAATTGCTGGGATTGGGAGGAAATAGGCGTTTTTCGGGATAAAGACTCCCTTTTTTTGGGTGATTCTAGTATCCAAGAGCGTCCTTCAACCCTGGGTTTCGGGTTTTCAGGTTTCAGGTTTCAGGTTTCTTTTTTTATGGATTTAGCGGGATATGGGATATTCTTTTTTTTGTCGAAAAGTCATGGTTGAAAATTTTTGTTGGAGGGTCTACAGTCTGGACATTATCATAGTATGCATTTACCAACAAACTGACCCTTTTCTTTCCCGGGTATCATACATCTTCGCTGTTCGCTGTTCGCTGTTCCACCTGTAATAGCTCTCGTAGATATTATATCAAGTACACGACACATGCAGAGCAACACGACTTCAAGGTAAGGTTCATGCAAGCCCAAAACGCCACGCTCTGTCAAAAAAAACATGAATCAGTAAGCTCACTCCATTTACAGCCACTTCTTTCCCGCGCCTGTGACCTTTGTCCGGAACACGGGGCTCTTAATTTCCATCCCCTGTTTGTAGAATGGGCTCATGGCTGTCTTGACATAGCTTTCGTACACTTCGTTCATGAACTGGCGTACTGCTTCCTCGGTTTGAGGGGAAGTCGGGTTCGCAGCGACGGAGCTCGACGAGGCACGGGTGGTTGATGCGGATGAGCCGAGAAGTGAGGACGATCCAAGACCGCTGGACGTACCCGAGGGCAGTTGGGGAGGTTGGTGCAGGAGGAGGAAGCGGGCGCCGCTGGGTGTGAGGAAGGCGGAGATGTAGGCTGCGGCGGGTGGATAGGTGTCAATGTGCTTGAGGTACCTATTTCAGGGCATTAGCTCTGGGTTCGGTACTAAAGTGGTTGATGAATAGCCCATGCAGGGTGAGAAACTCACATTCCACCATTGATCCACTGTGCTTCTTCGACAATGTCCAGACTGGAGTGGATGATGAATTGGTTCATGTACTGCGCCGTGTCGGGGAATCGGAATCGGGCAATGCCATCGCCGCCGCCTTTCGAGGTGCCAAATGCGATGTTAAAAATTGGCGTGTCGGTTGGTGAGAGGATGGTGAAGTAGTATGACATTTTGACAGGACAGCGAGGGCGGAGATCGGAGTCGGGGGTGTCGAGGGGAGACGAACTGCTGCGGCCGATGTTTAGTGTCGGACACGTGATTGATAAGGGACCAGCTTACATCTAAGTATGACCTTGGGAGCGAGAACTTCAGATCTAGACGTATAACCTAGAGTATCTTGGGTCGATACCTTCTGTTTGGTGCAATTTTTCTGTAGATTACCTCTTTAGCAGCTGTTCTTTCATGTATAACAAAGATCGTTTGAAAGTGATCCGGATGCTCAGTCTCAGCCATGATATATTTCTCCAATTGAAGCAAGCAAATCAGAATATTTCAAATAGAAACCAATCACATATATCTATCTATCTCTCTTCTCAACTATCTCAAAAACCTAGAGGTACATCATCATAAAAGGATCAACCAAAAAGACAGAGCTTAAAGTGCTACTTCCACGAGGCTTGACTCTACTTCCCCCGCAAAGGAAGGTCACATGACTGATAGCCAGCCCCTGCTTTATCGCTATCGCGACTTTTTGATCTCGACGTCACGCTCCTCAGGTTGCGCCCACTTCATTTGCTCCGCCACCCCTGCAAGCTTGTGTATAGCATACTTGCGGCAACAGACCAGCCAGATAAGACTACAAAATGGCGCCGCAATTCGGCTTGAGTCTAACTAATAAGAAGCCTTCGGGGCCGAAACCGAGCAACCCTCTCGGACAAAAGCGCAAGAAGAACATTTTCGATGACGACTCGGAAGATGAAAATCAAAATGGAGAGGGAGCAGTTGAAGTGTCGACACTCGGTGGTTTCGATGCGCCGGCTCCCAAACCCTCGAAACCGTCCACGACAGGGCCCCCACCTAAACGAAAGATGCAATTGGGAAGTGGCAAGCCTAGTGTCAAACCATTGAATAAGAGTTCGATATTTGCGGATGATGAGGACGAGGATGAGCAGAAAGATAAAGATCAACAAGGAGAGGTGCGCTTCGGACTAAACCAGGCGCAGTCGAAGCAGAAGACGGTCCCAGGCAAGGACTTCACCAACCTTTCTGCAATGCATAGCAGCAAAAAACATGCAAAAGAGGCAGAGGAGCTGAACCCGTCAATCTACTCCTACGATGCTGTATACGACAGTCTACACGCCAAGACAGAGAAGTCTGCGACCGCCGACAAGAGTGAAACACCCAAGTATATGGAAAACCTGCTTCGCAGTGCCGAAATCCGGAAACGAGACCAGTTGAGAGCGCGAGATCGTCAGCTGGCCAAGGAGAGAGAGGCTGAGGGCGATGAGTTTGCGGATAAAGATGCCTTTGTCACGAGTGCCTACAAAGCCCAACAAGCAGAGATGCGGAAGGTGGAAGAAGAGGAGGCACGTCGCGAAAAGGAGGAGGAAGAACGGAAGAAACAGAATGGCGGCGCTGGCATGGTCGGATTCTACCGGGACGTGCTTTCGCGAGGCGAGGCAAAACACGAAGAAGCCGTCAAAGCTGCCGAGGAAGCCGCCCGCCGCCTCAAGGCAGGCGAAGCCACAGAGGACATTGCGGCGTCGGAAGAGAAGAGCGAGGCTCAGAAGGCCGATGACCTCAACGCTCGTGGTGCTCGTGTTGCAGTCAACGACGAAGGCCAGGTGGTCGACAAGCGGCAACTGCTGTCCGCAGGATTGAACGTAGCACCCAAACCCAAGACTGCTCCATCGGCTGCTTCTACAGCAACCGCCCGACCCGCAGGACGACCTGGTCCTAACTCCAACTACCAATCTGGCCGTGCTGGCCAACGTTCTCGCCAGACCGAAATGATCACCCGACAGCTCGAGCAGCAGGCCCGTCAAGAGGAGGAAGCAGAGGCTGCACGACAAAAAGAGATCGCAGAGAAGGCTCGCAGCCAGAAGACCGTCAGCGATGTCTCGAGCGCGAAGGAGCGATATTTGGCAAGAAAGCGGGAGCGGGAAGAGGCTGCTGCGAAGCAAAAGGCCAACGCCAAGTGAGGGAGATCCTGGGAATTTGTACATTTGCATCTACGGTGCTCACAAGGGAGTTTATGGTTGTATAATTGACGGTGTTTGGACTTGTATGATTAGTACATTAGTGGTATTCGAGCCTAGAGCAGCTACAACCAAAGAACTACATGGTATTGTTGCCTTTGCCACTTTAAGCATACTAAAAATACGCAACCGCCAACAGAATAAATCAAAAGTGATACGTTAAGATCAGAATCCACATGAATCACTGGTGAAAGAGATCAAGACCCTAATGTACTTCGGAGAAACCAGTGCTTAACTCCGTCCCACTTTGCACGTGATATAAGCAGCCCAATGACTCATCAGATGACTCATCCGAGTGCTCCCACACGCCCGCACATAAATTGATCCGCACCGACGACGCTCGCTAAGCCGCCCCACAGTCGCACTGCCAATTTTGAATCCCTATCGTGCCTCGATCGCCTCGCTTCATCACCCTTCAACAACGCACACCTCTTTCGTCCATCCCCATCAACATCCAACATGGGTAAGGTTCACGGCTCTCTCGCCCGTGCCGGTAAGGTCAAGGCTGCCACTCCCAAGGCAAGTACCCCCGTGAAACCATCGCCACCGTGTCCGCCGCGGATCCATCAAGCGCCAGCATCCTAACAGACATCCGCATACAGGTCGAGCCCCAGGAGAAGAAGAAGCAGCCCAAGGGCCGCGCCTACAAGCGTATCCTTTACACCCGCCGCTTCGTGAACGTCACCATGACCGGTGGCAAGCGCAAGGTACATACCGATTGAGACCCCTTCCAGCCACCATCACACACAACCCACTCGAAAATATCACCAACCCCATCACATCCATCAAATCTATCACGCACAATCAAGGAGACCAGAACAGCAAGGAGACGAGAACAGGAAGGCTGACAATGGAAAACAGATGAACCCCAACCCCGGCACGTAAATTGCCCAACGTCGCTAAAGAAAACCCCCGAGTCGTGGAGGAACGTCGAGGTTTTACGCTCTTGAAAGACATGATCGCAAAGCACGACCCCGCCATGGCCCCATCGAACGAAGACTTACCGGCCGCGGCCGGCTACTTGTACGGATGATATCATGCTTCGTTTTCATTTGAATTTTCGGCAACGGATCGGTTTTTGAGGGGTGGAAAATATGAGGAAATGGATACTGGTAGCTTTGAGATGGAAAGCCATGGCTGGGGGCCAGCTGCATGCGCAGGCTGTGCTCAGGGTGGTCGTTTTCGCCTCTTTACATAGGCTATTCCATGCATTGCATTTCCAAGCCAGGAATGGACTCTTGTCGCCCATCTCTTTTCGTTTCTCTTGCGGTTGCTGGGCTCTACGAAAACTGGTCAGTTGGAACTTGTTCCCTCTCTGACTGGTGTTTCCGGCACTGCTCTGTAGGCGTAACTTGTGTAGGATACGCGGGCTTTCTGCACATGTGCACTCCAGAGTTACGGGTTCCGAGGACTTCAAACCCTGAGAGTCCTGCTCGAGTGATTGCAGTAACATGAGCTTCTTCCCGCAACGCGGGGTCCTACTCAACATGACCCAGGGATTGTTCCACAAGACGATGTAATAAGCCCTGTGGGCCTCAATATTCACAGCATGTATACCCTTCCATGAAGACAATTTAAACATTTCATACCTGCCACAGCCACTCGGTAATTCTAGCCTACGGCTAAGCGCCGCTATCAAGTACCTATCCAAGCGGACTAAATGCTCTGGGTGGCCTGAAGCCATCGTGGATCCCACGTTGCCGCAGGCTGAAAGCTTACCCAGGTGAGCATGAATACTACGCGAGAACATACTGAAGAGCTGTCCTTGCTATATTCCAAGGCTATTGTTGGCTATGGATTGAATCCTTTAGCCTGAGATAAGGAGGATCGTCTGAATCTTCCCTGATCTGAGGGTTTTACTGGCGCGACTATTCGTCAGGCGATTTCCAGACTAGACATTTAGAAGGATGTTCTGAAAATTAACAATGATTAAACATTTGAACGTCTCTTCTTTGGAGGGTTCGGTTACCAAAATTGGATATATATAATTTTGTTGCATGATTCATGTCCTTCAGAGCACACAAATGAAAAGGCCGAGGTTCCTGCTTTAAAGAAAATAAAAGTCAATAATCGGTCCAATCAACCTTGGAATCAGAGTAAATCCCATTGAGTCCGATAGTACCGACATAAATGAAGCCACTTGCCAAACTAGTCCACTAGTGGAATCTTCCGAAGTTGATTTGGAGAGTTTGCTCGGCAATGTCATGACATAATCAGTGAGGGGGTCCATTTACAAGGGATGCCCTCGCCATGCGAAGAGCGGTCCGCTGATTGCAGACAAAGAGAATGATCTCATGAGCCGGCGGGAGCCCCGGAACTGACATAGAATAGCGAGTAAATGACCTCACCGCGATGAGACCCATGGATCGCGGCGTGCAATTAAGGTTGTCGGGGATGAGCGCCTCGGATGACTAAGAACATATATGGCCAGTCAATCAACTGGATTCTTTCTCTTCTCTGACTTGACAGATGGATAGTCTTGCGACGATGAAAGTCTTTACGTCACTGAACTGAATAACGTGGGACAACCCACACAATCGTGCGGCGGGAGTCCATTATTTCAAGATTTGATCTGTCGACTACCCCACACGAGCACTAGCCCTCCGCAGCTAATCTTGCGATGGTATCGGTACATCTTGAGCTCAAAATTGACAATTGTTGAAGTGATAGAAAGCGGGAAGTGCTCAGGCTAGGTAGAACGTTGTCTTGGTGTATTTATTTCTGGTATCAAACAATCGCGAGCAAATTAATCACTTAACTTCTCAGATAACACGAAATATGCTAAACAGTGACGAAGCTTCAGAGTCTATGCACATAGATCACCTGCCTTAAGAGACCCACAAGGCCCCTTGGCCATATGCTATACAGCATCATCGACTCGAGTTGAGGAGCTGGTATTGCTACAATCGAGGCTTCTATAGCCTTCTTGACCCGCTTGCGGTCCTTGGACCCATGAATGCAGTGCACGGCTCATTTCCGAACAGCACTTGTCCTGAATTTTGCAGTTTTGTAGAAGATAGCTCGGTAGCTCTAAGTACACCCATGATGTAACCATCTGAACAGGGACGATTCTGGTATTAATTGTCGCGAAATCTGTCCATTTCTAACTTCCTCTCTTATACCCATTACAACTGAACTCAATGACTGTACGATAATTTCAATTTGACTTTCACGACCAATACCTATTCAATTCACAATTCACCACGATACCCAATCCCTCTATACATCACCATGTCCGCCCAACAAACCGGCCAGGAGATGGATTCGGAGAAGTACCAGAGCATCGGATCTAAGGTTGCGAAGCAGCTTAGCAAGAGGATGTCCCTGAGCAGAAGCTCGAAAGAGAGCTCGAGTAAAGAGACTAGCACTAGCAAAACGACTACAGCCGGTAGTGGCATCGGCCAAACCGCGACAACAGACAATGCTACCAAGGAGACTGCCAATGAAAGCAACACCAGCAAGCAGGTTCTCGACAAGGGAGAAGAGATGAAGGGTCAAGGAGATATGAGTGGTATTAGGGGAATTGCGGAAAAAGGAGAAAACAATAAGAACGCCATGGGCCAGGGAGACGCTGCTGGAGCTGTGAGCGGTCTCGGCCTGACCAAAGAAAACGCTCAAAACCCCGCCGAGGAAGTCGGCAACACCGTCTTCGGCCGTAATTCGAGCATCAACCCGAATGAATCGAACGATGATATCAGAAGAGGCCCGGTCACCCACGGCCGGATGAACCAGCAAAACACCACCGGAGGTGACTTTTCCGGAGCAGGAGGTAGCGGAAAAGAAGGTTACGGCCAAGCTGGCGGCAGCAATTATTCCACTGGAGGCCCTTCGTCAGAAGGCTTCGCTGGCAGCAGTTCGGCAGCTGGAGATGCTGCAGCCAGGGGCACTGGTAATCACTTAGCATTCGTTGGAAGCGGCGGCCCGAAAGGAGACACCACTGCAAGCCAAAACGCCAAGAGCTATTCTACCGGAGAGACTACATCAGCAGCAAAACTTGCTGGAAGCAAAGACATGAAAGATAGTTTCGATAATAGCATGGCTGGAAGCAGTGCTGCCAAAGACAGCACCCTCAGAGGAACTGCCGCTGGGGGAGCCTATACCGGAAGCGAAGCACCCAAGTCAAGTAGCTCTGCAGGCAAGCCGGAATTTACTGATACGGCTTGGGGCACGGGTGTCGCTGGTGCCGGAAGTGCTGCTGCTGGAGGAACTCTTGCTGGAAGCAGTGCCTCTAAAGGAGACGCACCTGGAACCAAGTATGCCTACACCGATGCTTCAAAAACCAATGTTACCGGAGACAACGTTACCGGCGGAGCATTTGGTGGAAACAGTGCTTCGAAAGATACCGCCTCTAGAAATACAAAGTCTACCTACGATGATGCTACCATGGGAGGCATGAACGGAAGACAGGGGACTAACAGCAACATTTCTGGGGCTACTTCCAGTGGAGGAGGGCTTTCTCGAAGCAACGCCACCAAAGGAAATTATGGAAGTGATATGTCTACTGGTGATATCGTCAAGAAGAGACTTACCGGAGGTGCCGTTGCTGGAGGTGCCGCTACCGGCGGTTTCACTGGAATGAAAGCTGGAGGCCAAAGTGCGACAGACGACACAATTGACCATGAGCTCGGCGAGCAATCCCACATCAGCCAGGATATTTTCAGCTCTGGAGCTTCTAACAAAGATGCTAAAAAGGGCCTCGCTGGGGGCAAGGGAATGATTTCTCATGATCCTCCCAGCAAGACCAAGAGTAATATTGGAAAGCATAAGATGGATCAACAGACGTCTCAAACATCCGAGGGAGCTCTTAACCAGGGGACCACGTCAGCTGGACAAGCCAGCAAAGGCATCTCTAGTAGCAGTGGTCTTGGCATGGGTGCTGCTGGTGGCGGAGCCCTATCTGGGGGAGCTATGGAGAGCGGCGGTATTCGTCGAGACATGGCTCAAAGCAATATGGGCCAAAGCTCCTATAGCCAAACCCAAAGCAATATGGACCAGAGCTCCTATAGCCAGACCCAAAGCAACATGGGCCAGAGCTCCTATGGTCAGACCCAGTCGAGCACTGCTACTACCGGCATGAGCAGCAGCACCACTACCACCAGCGCACAGCCCAAGCGTGTTGTCCAGAACTTGAGTGGTGGCGGAAACAAGGCCACGGTTCTCCAGGACAAGGTTCAGGCTGTCTCCCAGAAGTGCAAGACCCAGCTTGGTCTCACCGCGACCGAGATCAGTCAGAGAGGACCAAACGTGGATACGTTCTTCGATGCAGTCGCTGCCGAGCGTCTCCGCTGGATGCCCCGCGATGGAAGCAGACTTGACTGCTGCCTCAGATGGGCCTCTCGACTTGCGTATGCAGTTGATGCTCTGCGCCAGTCGATTGGAGCCTTTGCACCCGGAGCCGATGACGCCGCCAAGCTCATTTGGGGATTTGAGATCCTTCTCTTGGAGGTAAGAGAAAACGTCGATTAAACTTTAAAGGTGATGCTAATGTGAAATTTAGTCCGATCTTGACAACATGGATGTTTTTGAAAGCGTTTTCGGCAGATACGGCCGCGTCGCTGTGCACATTTACTTGCTTCTCCAGTACGAGAGCGCTTACAAGTCGTCCCCTGAGCTTCAGCCAGAGGCTTCAGCTGTGTATGCAGACCTGCTCGAAATGGTCTGCAGCACCACGGCAAGCTGTGTTGAAGGAGCGAAGAGCAAAGAGTCTGAACATACCATTGCTCACAATGTTGACTGTGCATTTTTGACCTATGCCAAGCGCTATTCGACCCATTGGAACAGCATTGTCGAAGCTGCAACTTCGAAGCTTTTGATGAACAGTTCCTCCATTTACATGACCCCCGAACTGGGCAGTCTTCGCCAGTTTTTGGGTGTTCAAGACCGTCCTCTTCAGTTCATTCTCGAATCCCGTACGCACTCCCTTGCAGAAGGGTCGTTTGAATGGTTCAACAATACCCTGTATGACTTCTCAACTGGAAAATCCCCAGTGATGCTGGTGACCGGTGGCCCCGGTTCTGGAAAGAGTGCTCTGGCCCAGTGGACCGTAGAGCGACTTCAGGAATCAGGCGAGCACGACAACTGGAATGTGATTCCATACACAATCCGTGAGTTTATTACATTCGAGACAACTAGAAGAGGAACTAAATATATCAGGGGCCGATATTCCTGTCGCGACGCTGCCACTTCGCTTCCTGAAGGGCATGATGCACCAGATGCTGGATCACTGTGTCAGCGACCAGCGTACCCAAGAGGCTATTCTGGTCGAAGTGGCCAAGGCAGCTCAAAGCGCACTTGATGGTGCTGGCGAAGCTGAGGTCGAAGGATCACTTTGGAGAGGTATCCGCAGGGGATTGAACTCGGACATTCAATACATGTTTATTGTGGATGGTTTGGATCAAATGAAGGCCGGCGATACCGACGCCATTTCCTGCCTCACCAAATTTGCCGAGATTCTTTCCGAGCAGAATGCCGGTTCAAAGATGATTGCCTTCACCAGGCCTTTGGGCTCAAAGATGCGTGCCACGAACATTGAACAGTTCACGTTGCAGACTTCTCAGACTCAAGCTGATCTGGAAGCTTATGTTTCTAAGATGATGTGTGGTTCGCAATTCGATGGCCCTATGGACGACCAAATGGATTCGGCCGTGTCTGTCATTGTCAACCGCTCACAGGGGTCCTTCAGCTGGGCGGAGATGGCAGTTGCCTACGCCCAACAGCAGAGGACTTTGAGCCAGGCAATATCATCTGTACAGAGCCTGCCTGAAGCCATGTCTGATTTGCTTGACTTCCATATGAAGAACATGGACTTCAGTCAACATGAGACACGTTACATTATGTCGTGGCTTGCTGCTGCCGAGAGACCATTATTGGTCGAGGAGGTCGAACAGCTGCTAGCTGTTGACCCTCAGGGCCCTAGCTTCATGTCACGCTACTCACGAGGTGAAGATCCGTGGTTTAGTTCCTTGAAACCCCTGGTTATGACCCGCGATGGCGTGGTATCTTTCGCCCACACATGTATTCGTGACCATATCATCAAGCAGGCAAAATCTGCCAACACCAGATCTCCACTCAACTTGAGAGAAGCTCATTACGACCTTCTTACTAGGTGCCTTGCCTGGGTTCAGCTGAGTGTGCAAGAAGAGGCTGAAATCTCCATGGATAAGCTGAGCATGGAGGAGCGTAACCATCTCTTTGACAAATATGTCATGCTTGAGTACACTGCTCGATACTGGCTGTCACATCTGCTCTCGTCACCTCTCGTCACCGATGATGGTGAATTCCAGTTCACGACCGGATTCAAAAAACTGGTTCCCCCAACTGTACTCTTTACTCGTCTTGAGTTGACTTGTAAAGAGTCCCAGTTCACCCGCTCCAGTGTCGTCGAACTCTACCGACTGGCTGCGGACATCCGTCGTTTGGTTTTGGGTGAGAAGTCATTGGCTCTTCTCCAAAGTCTCTTCTTCAGTTCCCGTGTTTCCAAATTGGCCCATGCCAGCCATGCAGACGAGCACAGCTACGAAGCATGGAGACTTAGTCAAGAGCTCTTGGGCCAAACCGACAGCATTACTGTGAATTGTGTTGAGATGATGACCCAATCTTTCACTGCACGGGGCACTATGACTACTCAACAAGAGGACATCATGAAGTACCTAATTTTGACTGATTCTGAAATCACTGGGGTTGAGTTCAACCAGCGCCTGAATTACCTCGGAATGGTAGTTGGCATGTACAAGACTCGAGGGGACAATGAATCTGCCCTCCTCATCTCGAAACAATTCTACCAGCAAGTAATGCAGAAGTACGGTACCAACTCGAGACAATCGAACGAGACTGCGGAATTCTTGACTAGTCAGTTCCCAACAACTGGCAGTGACGAGATGAGCCGGGACATTGCGAGAACCAAATATGATAACATGCTTCGCACCATGGAAGTTGACGACGAGCGTCGCATCAAGTACACCCTGTACATGGCTCAGATGTACGAGCAGGAGGGTGAGACGGCCCAAGCCCAAGCAATCCTGTCCTCTTTATGGGCTGGTCTCAACTCTCGCGACATCGACTCGGTTGATATGATGGACAAGAAGGCCAATGTCGCACTAGTATACTACCAGTTCCTCCGCCGACAGAACCGCAACGATTCAGCTGAAATGATCATCCGCGAGCTTGTTGCAGATCTAGAGACCACTGGTATTCATTCTGAGGAGATGATGCAGCGTGTGCAGCTTCTCCGTGTTGAGACACAAGAAATGCACATGTATAGCATGGATCGTGCCTTGGCCGTCCTCATGTGGCGCTACTACAAGGAGACCGGCCAGGAATACACCCAAGATGCTTCGATTCTGGCTCTTTCCCTTGCTGAAGGCATGGCTGCAACAGTATCCATGCATCGATCCTCTGGCTTGTCCGTCAGAGACCGCAAGCTGATGGTTGAGCTTTTGGATTCCATCGCCTCATCTCCCAAGAACCTCACTGTGTCCACATTGATTCTGTGCCACAATCTTGCCAGTATCTATGTACGAGAAGGTGACTGGCAAGAGGGCGGTGAATGCTCCAAGGCCGTTTTGCAGCATGTGTGGCCTAATGTTGAGAAAGCCGGATCCCACAAGCAGTTCAGCACTGAATTGGCACCCCCAATTGCCGACCTGGCATTGGTCTTAGCTTACTGCCACTTCCGCAGACTGCATCTGGATATGGCTAATGTCGTCTATGAGAATGCTTTCGCTTCTCTCGTCTCATCTGATAAAGTGCCCGTGCCTTCTGTCCTGGCTGTTGCGAAGGCCGTGGTTGAATTCTACGAAACCACGTTCCAGTTCACCAAAGCTCTTACTTTGCTCCATACTGTCAGCAACTTCTTGGCAACTCGACTTGGCGAGACTCACAAGCACACTATTGATAATCTGTACTTGGAAGCTGCCCTGGCAGACCGTCTGGAGATGAACACCGAGGCAAAGAATTCGTACCAACGCATCTACAAGAGCACTTGCGGTGAAACCACCATTTCTCCGGACGGAATCGAAGCTGCACTTGCTCTCATCGGTCTTTATGAGAAGGAACTGAAGTGGGATTCTGCTCTGGAGGTCTACCGGCACCTCTGGCCGACGCTGGTGGTTCAAGACAACACTTCTACCTATGATGAGATGGAAGTCGAACGTCTCCTGGAGAAGACCTATATTGGCTACATGACTATTCTAACTTCCCGAACAAGGACAACGGAGTTCTCTGAGAGATACAAGGTTGCGTCTGACTACGTGACTACGTGCCGCAATGTGTACGGACCCGGGGATCAGAAGACACTTAGTGCACTTCTACTCTACGCCGAGTTGTGCGAGACCAACGAGTCGTATACCGACCAGGCTATCGCGCTCTATAAGCAGCCTCTTCAGACTGCGGACTGGGTGCCGACATCCGAATCGTCCTTGCCTCTGGAGCAGATGTCGCAGCCATTACCCATTACGCTCAAGCACAAGCTGGCCCAGCTCTTTGTCCGCAGGCGTGACTCGACTAACGAGGCTCGCTCGCTGTACACCGAAGAGTACCAATTGGCGAAGAAGACCCAGGGACATTTCTCTACCACTACCTTGTCCTGGCTTCGAGAGCTCGCTTTGGCCCATTCTAGACAGGGCACACCTTCCTCTGTCCAGCAAGGCAATGCCCTTCTTCACACATACGTCACAGATGTCCTCCACGCTGGTGGCGATCCCAGTATGATGAGTGACTGGGCCCGCAAGATAGCCTCCATCTATCTTGAGTGCGGCTTCATCGAAGGCGGCAACAGCGTTCTCGATGAGCTCCGCCATCGCGTGCTCTCAGGATCCGATACTTCTGCAATGGCATTGGGAGATCGCCGCGACGCCGTCTTCGTAGCCTCCTTCGAGGAAGTGTTCGGCCGCCGTGGTACCTCCGAACAAATCATCACCGAGATGTACCGCGAGATGCAAATCCAGAAGACCTTCACGAGGAACCTTTCAGGCCACGATTTCATCCCGACACTGATCTCGGGAGATCGTCTTGCCCGTCTGCAGATCGATCAGAATCGCGTTCGTGCCGCGAAGGATACCCGCGACAGGCTGTACGAATACTTCTGCGCTACTCTCTCTGCTACCAATATTGCAGACCGTGACATCGTGATGCAATTCTACGGTATCTGCCTCCGCGAGATACACAACAAGAACTATAACTTGAACATCCTCAAGACCACCACCAGCCTAGTCCGCGATCTATGCAATGACCAGCGCTTCCAAGACGCAAGCGACGTCACCGGTGTCTTGCACTCATTCCTGCACCTGACAGACGGCCTGAACAGCTACGACAGTATCATCACAGCCACCAAGCTATGCCTGTACCTGAGCGGCCACCAAGCCACGAAATGCCACAATGAGAAACTCTTCAACGAGATGTCCGTCAAATCTAAGCTGCTGCTCCAGGAACTCATGGCCTCGTCCAAGTCCCTAGGAATTGAGATCATGGACCTCCCATTCCCCGAGCTTAACGACATCATCACCCTACTCGGCGAATGTGAGATGTTCGACGACCTTGAAGCAATCCTGACCCAGCTCTGGACTTCCCGCATTGTCCAGCGCACCTGGACTCCAGACGTGGTTGTTTGGATTGGCCGCAGACTCGTCGAGACGCGCTTCTGCCGCGGCTCCGTCGACTCGGCTATCCAACTGTGTCGCGATATCTGCTACAATCTGCGCCAGGTATGGGGTAGCTGTGACAACGTTACACTGGAGATGACGAAGCTTCTATCTGGTCTCTTCACAGCCTCGGGAGATCACAAGTCTGCTGCAACGCTGCACGAAGGTGTGCTTTACGACTTACTCGGCGACTCTGAAGCCAAGAGTCACCCCGGCGCCTCGGACGTAGTCTCCCAACACATGGAACTACTCCGTCGTGCGCAATCTCGCCTCGGCTCAGAGAAGAGTACCCGCTCATCGTCTCATGCCGATCTAGTCGCCCAAGTGACAGACCGGTTCGGTCTGCAATCCGAGCAGATCGAAGGTGTGGGCGATGCCCACGGCGGAGAGAACTTCGGCGTCTGGTCTAAGCCTCGTCGCTTCAGTATTGATGTTAACGATCCGGATGAGCAAGGCCAGATGCATCACAACCACTTGCGGGAATCTAGTGGTGCTGGTTTGTTGACTGGTAGTGGTGCGCCTAGGAGGATTTCCGTGCAGGCGCTGTAATGGGATGTTATTGGATAATTAAATTGGGGATGGAATGTTGATTCAAATTGCCAGATATTTGTGATTTTTTTTTTTGTTTTGGCTTTTTGATTCAACATGTAGTTGTGGGGGAATTGGGATCAAATTGTAAAGTATACGTATACAGTCAAAGTTCAGTCAATTTTATTTTATTTAAAACTATTTGCGGCCTCCAAGATGTAGGAATAGAAGTGTAGGGACCATTCGAATTTCTACCGTGCAGGGAAATCCTAGGAAGGACTATCAGAATAGGCATGTTCATGATTCGTATAGACTATCAACAGCTATGTACAATAGCCTCTAGCCCTCAGGTACACATATGATAACAATGTCCGCGGGTGTGTCATAAACATAGAAGAACCAATGAACGAATAAAACCCCCGATCATGCAAAGCACAATGCAATCATTATGACCAAAGGAGAGAAGAACAACTGGACGGCTAGAAACCCGATCCAACGCCGAATCCGATCTTGTGTTTTCCTATATGGAGCGCCCAAGTAGAATGCAAAAGGAATGGGGAATGTGCAAGTCAATGAACAAGTATCACGCCGTCAAGGCAAAGCTCAGCCCCATAAGTCCCATCCCAGCCACAGCGAAGCCAATGCCCATGCCGCGACGGTGGGTCAGACCGAGTCCCTCGCTGAACAGCTGCAGAGCAACGGACGTCATGACTCCGGCTGTCGCGGCAAACATGCCTCCGTAGACACCCCATGATGGGCCTCTTGAGTCAGAGCCGGTGTGTCCGGAGCCCCAGATCCATAAGGCCGCGAGGCCGGCGCCGGCGGGCTGGCTGATTCCGCCTAGGAGGCTGGACCAGAACATGGCTTTCCAGCGGGAATTGAGGGCTAGGTAAAGGGGGAGAGCCATGGCGAAGCCCTCGACGATGTTGTGGATGAAGAGGGCTAGGAATACAGTTAAGCCAAGGGTAGGGCTTGCGTGGTTGGTTGCGTATGTGATGAAGCCTTCTGGGAGTTTGTGTAAGGCAATTGCGACTGAGGTTTGTAGACCGATGGAGAGGAAGGCGTTCTGTGGGACATGATGGTGGTGAGTATCGCCACCAGCCTTGTTTGGAGATGATTCCGAGTCATGATTGTCATCAGGGTCGGCATGGGCGTCATGGTTTGTGTCTGATTGATGATGATTCTCCGAGCGCAGCGTTTGCAATTGAGACTTGGACGAGGATGCAGAGCCCGTCGTGCCGTGAAGAGGATGCTGCGAGGAGATCGCATCGAAGTACCCGGTGTCAGATGTAGTGCTATAGTAATCAATGCTACTGTCTGCCTGTATACGACGCTCAGGGTCAGGCTGTACTGTGATGCTCTGATGCTGTGGCAGGGTGGGCCGGGTGACCTCATTCGTGCTCATGCTCGGTGGCGGCGGCGTCTTGGCCGCAAGGACTTTTGTACATTCACGGCCGCATGTCTGCGAGAAGCCAAAGCAAGGACCATTTTCATCGCACAGCGGTTTGACACCGCCCATGAGGGAGCTAATCCGCCGGCCCAGTATGTCGCGTAGAGATTCCTGTTTCACGGTATTGGAGCCGGATGTTGTGCGCTGCAACACGGCGGGAGTCGACTTGAAGCTTTGTGACCTTTGTGGCCGTAACAGAGGCGTATGTTCCGTGTGTCCATTTGCCTCGTGGTGGTGATGGTGATCTTCATGTCCGCCCGCATGGCCGTCGCCGCGTTCGGGATCTTCTTCCGGGGAGGCATGACTGTGCGCGCAATCGACCACATGAGATGGGATAAAGCGGTGGATAAACCCCGATGCAAGTCGGATGACAACGACACCGGCCAGAAAGAGACTGACTAGTATATACGCAGAGGCGGAGGGAGAGAAGCCGGCACGCGTCAGGTACTCTTTCGAGGTGGGGAGCATGCTATAAAGAGAGGTAAAGAGCTGCCGGCGGTTAGACCCAATGGATCAAGTAAATTAATCCGAGAGGTGAAACTCACCATTACCCCCGCACTCAGGCATAGCGACGCCGACAGGAAGTTGTTGCTGTTCGCGATCTGGAAGCTCTTATTGTGGGAGAACTGCCGCAGCACTAGATCGACGCAAATGACGGCCGAACCGAGTACACAGGCTGTGAAACAGTGAGTCAGTCAAGAGACACACAGTCGGAAATAGCTGTACTCACCGACGCCTGAGACGCCGCTCATGACCCAGCCCCGGAGGTCGTTGGCAGCCATGGCAAGTAGTTGAGAAAGAGAAACGGTGATGTAAGTAATATTCCAAACGCTGGCGGTTGGCGGTCAACGGGAATTCGCCTCTTTCTCTCGTCCACCAAAGGTTGAAATGGGAAAGTGCCATCTTGGAAACCTCGATGGTTCGGGGCCATTCAGCACCTGCAGGGGAATGCATTCTTTGCCCACAGGGTCCTCATCGTCTTGTCCCGCTCCGCGTCGGGCCAGAACGTGCTGGCATCTCCAGGTCCAGGTCCAGGTCCAGGTCCATGTTTAGGGGTAAATCTGGGGGTTCAGTACGACCATGACAGCATACATCGTATCCTCAGATGATCCGATCTTGGATCCTGTGCTTAGCATGCTCATGATGCTTATGACAAAGGCCATGCTGGATGCCCTGGCGCCGAGTAGTTTGTCCAACACGACTAACATCCTAGTCAGGCAACACCACAGATCCCTGAAACTAAGCGAACCACTCACTAGCCCTTTACCAAGCACGCAGCGATCAAACGATCAACTGATAGTTTCAGCTGACTCGTTTCTACAGCAAAATCGAGTCTCGAGGGCTACACGCACATGTGACCCGCTGATTGGCCCGTGACTCCCCGACTCTTTTTTTCTACGCGCCGAATCTCCAAATCTCCAAATCTTCAAATCTCACTTCACCTTTTCGACAACCATGTCGAAAGCTACTTTGGCCGTGATCGCGGCTGCCAGTGCGGCCACTGGTGCCGGTGTTACTGCGCTGATTTACGGTTCTTCTCGGCCTCAGCAGCAACAACAACCGCCGCAACAACAGCTTCCTCCGCCGGCTGGCGCTATCAAAGTTCCCACGACGATCCCAGCCCCAACTCTCGCTATCAAAGTTGCTACCGGACCTGTCGATGCCGCTGGAGTTCTTCAGTATGGATTCCCGGGCCCTGTCGCCGATGAGCTGTCCTCATTGCCTCTGCACGGCGCCTACGATCGCCGAACCCGCAATCCCGCCTGGGTTGCTGAGCACATCACCCCGCAGTCGCTCGCGATGAAGAACGCAGACCGCAAGCACAGCACCTTCGCCGAGGATACGCACATTCCTCCCATCTTCCGCGCCAAGCTGGTCGACTACTTCCGCTCTGGTTATGACCGCGGTCACCAGGTGCCGGCCGCAGATGCCAAGTGGACGCAGGAGGCCATGGACGATACCTTTGCTCTGAGCAACATGTGCCCCCAGGTTGGTGAGGGTTTCAACCGTGACTACTGGGCGCACTTTGAGGAGTTCTGCCGTAACCTCACCCAGCGCTACCCGTCTGTTCGCGTCGTCACCGGCCCGTTGTACCTGCCTCACCGTGACCCCGATGGCAAGTGGCGCGTGAACTACGAGGTCATTGGTAACCCGCCCAACGTTGCTGTGCCTACCCACTTCTATAAGGTCATCTATGGCGAGGACGGTACGAACTCGCCTTTCGGAAAGGTCGCCCTTGGTGCATTCGTCTTGCCCAATGCTCGCATTGATAACGCCAAGAGCCTGTCCGACTTTGAGGTTCCCCTTGAGGTTTTGGAGCGTGCTTCCGGTCTGGAGTTTGCGGCTAAGCTGGATCTTGGCCGTCGGCGCCGTCTGTGCCAGGAGGTTCGCTGCGAGGTCACAGTGCGCGAGTTCAACAACGCCAAGAAGAGATCGTAAAGGAAGTGAAGCTTTCGAAGTGTTTAGCCAAGATGGCTCTGTACATTTAGGACATGGTTTCTTTGCATGGTTCGGGCGTTCAATAGCCTCTCTCGGGCAATATCACTTTATTCCTACAATCCAAGGCCGTTGTCGTAAAATACCTTGCTCCTGCTGTTCAGCATTGGAACGCCACGCCCTTTTTCGTAGCCACATTACCACCTCCACCTGCGAATCCTGTGCCCTCGGAGCTGATCGCTACCAGGCCCGGCCGAATAGCGTCGTCCTTGCCCTTCTTCTTGGACTTCTTCTTGCCTCCATCGGCATCTGCTTTCTCCGAAGTGGGGTCTCGCGACGAGAGGTCCGTCTCGCAAACATAGCATAGTACCCGACCGTGAAGCTCGGCCGCTTTCTCTTGTTCCTCTTTTGAGCTGTGGGGGTCTGGGGTATCATTATGAGGGGCCATGAATTTGGTCACACACGGTGAGCATATAACATGACCGCATGGTTTGGTGACTATAGATGCCGTTAGCACAAATTCAAATAACCACAAATTGTTCGATCATACGCATAGCCTTGAGTCCATTGCTCAAGTTCTTTTTGCAACTCGGGCAAATCCTAGCCATCGTACCGTCCGAGGCTTTATCCTCCGTGAAATGCACTTCGACCAGCGACTTCAACGAGTAGCTATGGCGATTCGTATCCGAAGACCCAGGGCATATGGGCGACAACTTGACATTCTTGTTCGCAGCGATCTCATTCGGATCCGTCGCCGGCGTCAACGACGGGACCCAGAAAGACGGCAGCGCAGACTTGCTAGACTCAGTCTTCGCAAGTTAGCAAAACAACCCAATGGCACCCCCAACCCAACAGAGTACAAACCTTCTCCCTCTTCAAATCATTCTTCAACCTCTCCTGCTCTTCACGCGCAACACGCGCCATCTCCTTTTCATCCAACTCAAACACCTTCTTCCTCTTCCCATCGATCTCAACCTCCCTCGCCTTGAACCTATCCAACGCCTCCGTCTCTTCCGCCTTCCTCTTTACCCCCTTAGCCTCTAACCCCATAGAAACAAGCTCGAAATCATGTAATTCTTTCCTTTTCGCCTCTTCAAGCGTGCGCTCGTCATCCTCCGCAAGCCTCTTTTTTGCGTCATCGCGCTCGCGCTCAAGGCGCTTGATCTCCTGCCGTTGCGCGAGGAGGTCGTTGATCGCGCATTCGCGACAGAAGAGGTCACCGTTTGTAGCGCAGGCGACGACGGGTGGGCGGGCTGGTTGGAGACAGAGGCGGCATGAGGCGAAGGGGAGGAAGGAATCACGGCCGATTACACTGCGCTTGGTGCCCCATGTTGAGCGGAGGAGGCCGCGCTCGTAGGCGGTGAAATGGGGGAGGGAGGTGTTACGCTTTGAATGCGCCATTGTGGTTTGGAGCTTGAGCTTGAGCTTGAGCTTGAGCGTGGAGAATGTCGTAATGCGAGTACCTATATTTGATGGGCGGAACGAGGGGAGTTATCTCATTGGTGTCCTGATTGACCGCTTTAGTTACCGCCTCGGATTGACGCATCTTGAAGTTGATGCCTTGGTGCCTGATCGGATATAGTTAGGAAAAACGTTCAAGGGAGAACTTGGAACTTATATGTATCTGTATCTCTTTATAGTGATGCTGAAAGTTGAGGTTTTAACTGTCGACCCTCTTAAAAAATGTCCACACTTGAAAATCTGACAGAAAGAGAGAGTCCATTATAGTACGACCCGAAACTGGTTTCACCACCTACACTCTTCCATTGATTCTCGAACCCTAATGCCAAGATACACCATAACCTATTTGGAATAGAAGCGACATATCAAAATTCTCGGAAGATAGTTTTACAGTAGTATTACTTCATGTACATGTATTGTTACCGTACAGCGTAGCCGTTATAGCTAAAGTTTGCACAGAAATGTAAACAAGTCAAACATGAGCTGGAGTCGGCATCGAGCATTGGATAACGTGTCACTTCATCTCCCGTCCCCGTGTCCAAGTGACAATCTAGGGGCTTGCTCTGTATATGACAGCACGAACAGTGACTTACAATACATTGCTTACTTGCAGATAACACTTATGACCCTGCCCATCACCATATTCAGCCTGCCAGCCACAGCTTTCTCGTAAAGTAAAATTCGAAAACAGATTCCCTCTTGGTGGAGACACGTGTCTCGGCCCGTTCCCGAAACCACGCTAATCCAGCGTTGCTATTATGGGAATGTTTGTTTATTCATATTGGAAAATACGTTCCTTTCATTTTTAGAACGGCTGCGTCAGGTACTAGCTAGTGAAAAGGGGAGTGCTCGATGGCTGTCTGATCACGCAGACTGGGCAACACACACACACACACACACATACGGCCAAGGAGGCAGGACTATAGGGGAGGAGAACACATAGGGGTGGTTTGGAAGAGAAAGTCTGTCTGTCTTGTTTATCCTATACGCAGAGAATCTTTTATATCACAAAAGCCTTAGTCATTCGATAGGCCGCTCCTTCATGCAGTCAGCAGTTCCCCCACTACACTAGGTAATACCATTGATACCTTACAAGCAACTCGAGTATACCCGCACCTCTATGACATCTACACTGCCAACCTGAACTAATGAAAACACGCCATCATCGACTTTGAGCACCGAACCCTGACTTCTTTCCCAGAAACAGTCTCTTACCTCGCACGATGGCCGGGCCGCATAGAACGCCAAACTACCTGCACGAAGGATGCACTGCACGCGTCGTCTGGGCAGCTCATATCCTCTCTTACCTTAAAGACAACCAAAACCACGAGGAGCTACATGAAGCGGAGAATGAGGTGGAATGCGGCAGCAATACAGATGAGTCGAGCGATTGTGAAGCAGACTACGAGACAGAGAAGAAGGTGGTTCTATCAGGTCCTCGAAATTCAGTTCGCCAGAAATTTCTGGACTGTATTGCGCAGCTGCTGTCGCCATGCAAGGGATGGGATGGGGTTACCACAGCGGCGATACGCGAAGGGGAAGACGGAGTCGAGGTGGATGTTGCAAGGAACGATGGCTTTCATTCTGATGAAGATTGCCTTGACAGTGAAATTACGGGTTACTGCAAGATGTTGGAGGTATATCTGGCTGATAGTACTGGCGGTATGTAATAACTCTGAATCCTCGTTGCGGGATTTTGAATATTTGATGACTGAACGTGACAGCTGGGATAGGGACGAACACAACTGCAGCTTCGTCAACAGAATTCGAGCTTAAGGTGATAGACTACACATCCCGCCGGATCGATCATTGGATTGAAATGATCCAGAAAACCCTAGGAATCGTCCAGAATTGCCCTGACTGGAACTCTCAACGGTGGCTTGGGCAGGAGGCTGCATTCAAGGCTTGGACGACCATGACGGATCTTATACGACAATTTGATGCCGATAACGAAACAGTCAAATCTAGGCCTCTAATAGTTCAACAAGCTTATAATTGTCTCGACCTAACATAGGTTCGACAGTTCTTTGCGAACACCTTCGGGACCCAAGCTGGCTTGAAGCTGTGGAGCAAGTTAAACTTTATCGCCAGGCCTCTGGTCGACTGCCGATTATTGAGATCAATAGCTGCCCGGGAGCAACAGTTGCGATATTGCAAGATTTCACTGGTTCTGTCCAAACCGAAGACAACACTGGAAACCATAGACGTGATTGGGATATTCGAGGCGTGGGAACAACTAGGACTAGGCCCCACTCCTGAACCCGTGTTCCGAAGGCTTCATTCATTTAGTCAAATGTTTGAAACAGCCTGTGCAGAGTCATTTTCTCTGCATGCTGAGATGCAGCTAGTGATGCACTACGAGGAGAGATGTGCACCTCGGCCTACTCTAAGCTACTTTGGATGCAGTAAAAAGACTTGCTTGCTCTGTGAAACTTTTCTTGGCGCGTTCCCGAGTTCAATTGCCACACGTGGAAGGCATGGAGTTTGTTATCCTGCCTGGGCTGTACCAGGCTCGAATTCAGGTGCCGTAGAGTTTGCCATTGAACGGTTAGAGAAGAGCCTTTTAGCTCGTATTCGAGGGATTCTCAACGATTTGATGCACCCTAGACAGAAAAGCCACGCTGCGAATGTCATGCAATCCGGCATGGTGTCGAACTTTTCGCACCTTACGCTTGAAGAATGGAAGCAGAGAGAACAAGATGTGCAGCGGTTTAAGGACAAACAGACAATCCAGCGTAATGACCTGCTGATTATGTGAGATAATATTTTGCCATTTTGGCGAAGACTGAACTACTAACTGACTATGACACCAAAAAAAGTGAAGGAATTACCCCAAATACAAAGCCAAAATATCGCCCACTCGACAATTTCGAACCTAAGGATTGTTGCGTGATGTGTAATACAAGCCCGGGAATCCAATGTGTACAATGTCGAAGCACATACTATTGTTCCAGAGACTGCAAGAAAAGTGACTTCCCTTCACATAGCCTTCTCTGCAAACAGTTCGCTATTCAGCCCGATAGACCCTCTCCGGAACACAAGCGGGCCATATTCTTCCCAGTTGAGAGCGACAAGCCATGTTTGATATGGGTCCCATGTACACGCCAATACGATGAAGAGGATGGCATTGGATGGACATGGATTGATCCTTATCCCTACCTTGGAACTGATAAACCGTTGAAAGGGACAATGCGCATTGAACATAATCCAGTACGATGTCGAAACCTGGGCTCTGGGCTTGCAAGATTTGCTCCGTGCCAGGAGGGATACTGTGTCTCATTGATACATCGCGACGCCTATTTGAAGGACGGGTCAACCACAAATAGAAGTATATCAGCTTCTGTGATGGCATCCTGCACCTCCACCATCCCACATGAATATCGCGGTCCCATGATTGCCTTGCAAGAAATTCGCCACGGACACTATGCCGATATAACACTAGCTGACTTCCGACACCTAATGGATTACTTAACAAGCTATCGAAAAACGCATGTCAGGGAAAGTGTCCCAGATCTGCTACACCGCGCCCCAACAACCTTCCGCGGCGTGAAGATTTGCTGTCACGGTGAAGAAAAAGTTCATGGGTCAGAGCCCTTCGTTTCCGTCGAAGTCACCCGAGCAAACCAGAGCTCCCTGGGCAGCGGATCTATCTCACCGATATCTGTCTGCCTCGGTATGCCTTTACGGTTGTGGAAGGACCCGGATACCGAGTTCCGCCATAACCCGCCAGGATGGGAGGGGGGCACGATGGCATACAGTAATCCTAATGTTGTGTTCTTGATGATGGAAACTAATTCTTCCAAGGACGAGTGGGGCTGGGCGCCCATGTACTGGAATAGCAAGATAGGGAATGTCTGGGCTGTTCGTGAAGACGGGCAGGATCTGGCTGTGAAAGATGTCGCAATGATGTGCAATTTCGCGAGGCGGAAACTACAGTGTATGTTTGAAGAGGTGATGGAATTGGGTTCGAGCTCAGTGAATAGGCAGAGGGTTTTGGGTTTCATTACTTGGGATAATATGATTACTCATTGGGAGGAGACTTGTGGGCATTAGCAATTTGGCTCGCAGAACAAAGCTAAACCCTGATGCAAGAAATTGTATACAAGATCAATGATAGTTCAAATGCTGGTTGCAATATGATATGGGATATGTTCTGCTTTAAGGGAATAAATATGGCTAAACAGTGGTAATTTATCGGGCAACCAATGCGGACTAATTGCGCATACCAAGAGAAGACAATTTTCGAAGTGGGATATCGAGGTATCACCTATGTCGAAAGTACAAGTGAATACATCGCATGGTTACTTTGTGTACGAGCCAATACAGGCCCCACTGACAAGGATACTCCGGAAAACCTATTAATATGTGTCAAAACTTTGACCACTAGACTAAAAATGCCATTGACACTTTTAGTGCTTAGATAATCGTTATTTCATTCCGACAATATGGACTAGCGTGTATTGGCAAGTAGGGTTCGGGAAAGAATCGAAGAGTGTAGGTGGTGACACCAGTTACGGGACGTACTACATAATCTGGTGCATACTCGTACGGGGGTATATCAATCGCACTCGGCCATAGTGTTGGCCTTCATCAACTGTAGCTTAGAAGAGAGGAGACGCAATGGAATCTCACCCGTCAGACAGGCCATTTCGTAGAGATGAGTCCAGGAAATCCTCCTGGATGACACAAGTGAGCGGAACTGACAGTGAAACCGAGGACGCAATCAACGGTGCCATAGATTGTATCTTAGAGACTAAGGGCACTGACTGGCATATTAAATTGGCATATAAGCGAAAGAGAGTCGAATAAGAGAAAACCCAAGAAGAACGAAGAACACTGCAACTAGGTGCTTCTACATGCACATCAGACATGCAGAGGCCCAAGGCCCTGGATAGATCACAACACGCGACCCTCTACGCTGAGCGATAGTAACTTAGGTATTGAATCATAAGCTTTTGTCTAACACAGCCTAAAAGCTACATGCACTGAGAAATGAGAAATCCATATACCTGACGCACATCCAGATGAGAAAAACAAGCAGCAGAGAAATATCACACCGTATGCTACCCATAGATGCCCAAGCCGAAACCATCGCAAAAAACCCGAGCTAGACCAGTTCAAGCCATCGATGCAAAGGGACCCAAAGGGAAGCAGGCAAGTGTTGAAAAGGGGGTATAATATTCATAAAACAAATGGCAGATCAAAGTGATTCAGGCTATACAGGTGGTCGTACGAGAAGAAGGTGAGGGGAAGGGATCAGGCGCCAACGGCTTGTTGGCGCAGGTTCTCGGAGGAGGGGGTATCGACGGCTCGTTGTTCGTTGAGGGAGGTGGAAGATGGTGATGGGGTTGTTTGGCCGTCGGTGGATGTTGTTAGGTGGCTGTGGTAGATCACGGAGCCAGAGCCGGATGTTGAGCGGGGCATGTTCTCCTTCTCCGGAAGATGTTGCTCTGGGACTGAGTCCGGGCCTATGGCAGTTGTTTTTGGGGACTGGACGTCTGAAAAGTCGTCGAGGTCTTCTTGTGCGTCTCTGAAGAACTCCAAAGGCTCATCTCCGCTGAGAAGGCTGATACCGGTGGTTGTGCTTACGCTGCGGATGGAGTGAGGCCGACCGCCAGTGTAGTTATCCGAAGCCATTTGGTTGGCATCACCAAGTAGGGAAGGTTCAGAGGCCCGAGGCTCTTCATTAGGAGTCGGCTTTCGAAGTTTGAGCCGTTCCTCTGGAGGCATGTTCTGCCACTCGGAACCGAAAGTCACGATAGAAGCCTTCTTGCCATGAACGGTGAAACTGGGTGTTTTGCGAGCCAAGACCTCACCCTCGGTGATATTCTCATTGTCCTCAAGAGCGCCAATGCTGGATATCGATTCTCTGTTCTTCTTACTGGCACGCGAATGGTGCCGATGCACGTGTGGTTCACGAAGGGTACGATGCAGGCTGCGACGTACTCGACTCGGCTTATGATCACTCTGAGAGACCTCCGAGGTTTCGTCGGCGACGTTCTCGGTTCCCCCTTCAGGCAAAGGTGTAGGCTGTTTCTTCGGCGGGGGTGAGCCGCTGAGTTCCAGAAGACCCGTCTCTCTGAGAAACCGTTCCTCGCCCTCATCATAGCTGACAGGGGAGGTGAGTTTCGATGCTCGAGAGCCTAGACTCGCACCATCGAACCTGCTATTGCGACTAAGTACTGAGGCGTCACGTTCCAACTGACCAGCCGGCGTCTCGGACCTGCCCTGTTCAGAAAGAATAGCGATAGAAAGTGGCCGCCCAACGCGGCCAAAGTCGGAAGAAGTCGTTGAGCCTGGGATACTTGGGCGGCGCATCTCATCATTCGAGGGCTGTTTGAGCAGGCCAGGCTCGACAGAGAGTTCAGCAGATGCCGAGGTGGGCTCATTGGTGTCATGGCTTGAAGCCGTGCGAACAATACTAGGCGCACGATGCACACTAGGATCGGACCTGACCGAAGGTCCTGAAAGAGAAGCCAGTCGAGCTGGGCCCGAGAAAGGAATTGTGTCATCGGTAATTGACCCAGTTCTCTCATCGAGACTCCCAACTTCCCCAAGATCCCGCAAAAGAACCTCGCGGTAGCACTTGTTGCGCCAGATATCCTGTCGGACCCATTTGAGCTTAGCTGCCATGCGCCCAGCGGCCATAATCACTCCCTCGCGAGCCCGAGGATGAACCGGAGCTAGGATCTGCAGGTGACGCGCATTTCGAAGAAGATCGTCCAGCTGTTTGTAGGTGACAAACAACTTCTCGTTTTGCTCACGAATTTTTTGCGTCATCAATTCCCGGCGCGCGGCCACAAACCCGGCCACAATGTCAGTGTCAATAGATGGAGACTTAGGCTCCTTATCAGCCTCTTCGAGCGATCTAAGTGAGGATTGAGATCCCACTCGCTGGCTTCTGCGGTAGCGTTGGCCTTCATAGTTTGTAGCAATCATGCCCTTGGTGCGGACGCTGGTAGTTCTGAAGGCTGCAGCATAGTTGAGCTTAGCAATCCAATCATTCATCTCAGGCTCTGATGAGGCCAGGAAGACCTCTTCCAATGCACTGTGCCGAACAAACGAGAACGCGTGCTTGTGTTTCTTATAGCTGCTATCTAGCAAGGCGACGGCATCATTGGTCGACATGATGGCATCCGGCTTGAAGTCGGCAAGAGGCGGTCTGAAGACCAATGTACCTTGTCGTCCATTCTTCACGTAAGCATCATGTTGCGCCATCAAAGACCGCACCCATGTGACGTTTCGAAAGAAGTAGAGCTGGGAGAAAGTGAGAATCGCTCCCCATTCCCCCCATGGCGACCTGGCTCTCTTCTTCTTGGGATCTTTTCGCCAGAGCAAGCCGACCTTTGCTACCTTGATGTCCACAAGGCCGGGATGTGATTCGGCCGGATTGTCTAAACTTGTCTGCATGAATGCATCGGGTCGGGAACGCAAAGACACAATCTGTAAAATGCCAGACTTGGTAAAGGCTTGATGAAGATCTTCCATATCAGGAGGCCCTAATGTGCCAAAGTGATTGTATGTATCATCAAGATCCATAACATCTTTGAGACTTGGTCTCAATGAGTCGACTTTGTTTTCCATGATGAGAGTGTAAGGGTCAACAGGCTCCCTCGCCATACGTGACAAATGCTCCGAGCTAGGGCTGCTCAAGAGGGGGCGGCGAGGTTTGGGCAGGTGGCGATCACGAAGGTTGGCGTCTTCGACGTGGATGAAAGGGGTGTATGAGATGTTCTCGTAGAAGCACTCCAGGATCTCTTCGGCGATACCCTCGCCACGAGTATTTTTGACATAATCAGGCTTCTGCATCTTTCGCTTGTTATTCTTGTTAAATACATCCGTATGTAAGATCAGGATCGAGAATGCAATAAAGTATGCCTGGTCTAGGAGGTCGTTAGATCCGAGCAGTTATAGGAAAGGGGACTAGAAATACCGGAGGAGGCAAAGATGCCTGGATTGCACTCGTGGTACCGGTCAGCAAACGATTGCAAAAATCTGTCAATCTGCTGGGTCTCCTTCGGTAATTCCACTTCCATCAAAAGCTTGCGAATTGCCATGTCGATGGGATCACCAAAGTATGAGAATGATCGCATGTACTTTCGCAGGCCAACCTTGTAGAATTCGTCATCAGACTGGGCTAGAATGCCGCCAATCACGCCTCGAGGAAGGTTCTCCTCGAGCTTCGTCAAATAGCTTGCTGCTGTGTCGTCTTCTTCGCGCGGGGGGATTGGTAGGTCAGATTTGACGGGTGTTGCCGCCCCACCGATGGCTGGAGAACCATGACGAGGAGGTGGTTCTGAGTTCTGCCTCAACCGTTGTGAAATGTTGAAGATGTCACCGAAGCTCTTCCGACCAGTGGTAGATGTAGAGGTACGTGAGGATGAGCCCATGTAAGGTACTGGAGACAGATCTTCCTGATTTTCGGCCAGAGATCCCATCGTAGACGATCTGCCTCGCCCACCTTTGTGGGATGGATTGGAACGCACAGAGTGGGCCGAGGCTGTGGAATCATTACGAAACAAAGGCGGTGCAGCTGTAGGGGCCAGCCCCACTGAGGAACGAGACGGCGAGGGTAGAGGTGAGACTTGGTCGGCATCATCGGAGCCTTGAGACTTGGGGGTTTCAGCCGGTGGGAACTTGGGCGCATTGTCTAGTGCACGACTCGCGGGAGTGGGCTTGGGCGGTAGAGGGAAAAGGGGGCTTCGGTTTCGCTTCAAACGTGGCATGCGGAAGCGCTTGTTGTTTGATGTAGACGCTTGGCCCTCGCGAGGGGAGTTTGTTCGAAATGTCTGGTCACCATAGCTTTGATCCGACCGAGAGGACTCAGAGAACCGAGGATCGATGACAGATGAGCGATGCGAATCATGTAGCTGATCTCGGCTGCCACTGTGCCGTGACGTTGTAGAGAGCCGCCCTGGCTCTTCCGGGGCGGTTTGAAAGGTGGACAGAGTAGATTCGCCGATTTGTGAGTCCGTAGATCCCTGGGTTTTCCGCGCGGGCTTCGTTCTCGGATTGTCCGCTGAACTTCGGGTCAATTCTTCCATGGAGCGTTTTCGTAGAGGTAGAAGGTTGAGCTTGCTTTGATGTTTCACAGGCTGCTCGAGCTCGTTGCTTGTAGGGGCGGTGGTGATGATTGTGGGAGCTGTGAATTGAGTGGTCAGCAAAAACACAGGATTGAGACATGACGTTTATGAAACATATCCACAGAAGATCGCATCACAGGACCCTGCAAGGGAGAGTGCCAATTGTGAAGCATGGACTTACGAGGAAGAGAAGGCACTGGGGGAGTATCCCGGGCAGCCTTGGCATAGCTTTTAGAAAGCTGAGGATCTGAAGCATGGCGTAGTCTCATAAAGCTGAAGCGATTCCTGCGAAGACTCGGCGTGCCTGCTGACAAGCCAGACGACGAATGCCCAGCAAAGTCCGTCCGAGCTACCTTATGGTCCGGACCCGTGTCTGCAGGAGCGTCATCTCCCCGCGTGGTATCACGAACTTCGACTGGCATATCAAGGCCGGGCGATCGAGGCAAAGCTTCGGAGTAACGGGGTTCGGTCTCAGGCGGGGAGGGACGAGGGAGGTGCTCGCTGCGTCGGGCCTGCGTTTGTGGTTCAATGGTGCTTTGACGTTTGGAGCTGCCATCGGCGACGAGTCGCAGGCCTTTCCAATGCATGGCTGCGAGACTCGGATATGATCAGACCCATGCGCGGCAGCAGAATCAGAATAGGTAAGAGTCTTGACAAAGGTTGATTCTAAAGGCACATAGCGACGTGGAGTGTTCCAGAACGCGGTGGAGGTGGAGTGCAATCCGTCGTCAGCTCGCGAAAAAGGGGAACGCGCGGGAAAGGGAGGGGCGCTTGAGGGTCCACGCGCCACTTCAGGAGGTTGGTAGCCGATGAAAGATAGAAACCCCTCAACGCAAAAGATTGATGAGATCGGGGGAGGGGCAAGGCAGACGAGTTCCTAGGTGCCCTGAGCGCGGCTGAGAACGGAATTAGGGACGGAGTTGGGAACAGGATTCTTAGGATTCTAAGGATTCTAAGGGATCTAGACGGGATTCTAGGCCCGGGTCTTAAGGGCCTTGGACTCTGGCAAGATCTGGCGAGAGTAACAACTTCATGTGCATGCTTTCTCTATGTGCATGATCCATTCTAGGTCAAGTCTACATTTCCTTGGAAGGCCACGGACTACCTACGCATTGAGGGGGACTAAATCCGGAACACTTGCAATACCAGAAATCCTTGGCCAGACGAAACAAACTAGGCATATTCAGACGTGTTCAAGTAGAAGACAAGAAAAGAAAAGAAAAAGAGTAACCATAACCACTGACGTATAGTGCATAGCCAGCAGTCCACTTAGTGCTGTAGACACACTTAGGCTAAGGTGGACAGGTCCACGCTAGTATCCCGAGTCTGCGAGTCAATTGAAGGGCGGCGTCGGCATCTTACGTAGCTTTCCCCTCTTCCCTCCCACTTCTCACTCTGCGCTTTCGCCGCGATGCGGTTTCTACCTGTTCTGTTGGTCTTCTTGACCTTCCTGTCATGCTCCTTTGCAGTTCCTGCCGGGTCAAGCATCACCCCGTCGCCGCCGCTCCAACCCGCTAGTCGCCGAGCCCAGTCCCCAGATCCGCGCCCGTGGACCCGACTTCGCGACTGGGTTATCGAATCCGTCTGGGGTACTGGCCATTCACAATGCCATCACAAATACGCAGGACCTCCGTCAACCGTCCGGGATCGTTATGAGACCGATGTTGTTCTTCGTTTTCATCTGCGTCATCCTGACGAGGCAGCAGCTTTGGCTTCGGCTTCGCAGATGCTCGTCTTGGATATCTGGGCTATCACGTCGGAATTCGTGGATATTAGGCTCGCGGAGGATATGGTAATTTGACACGCCATGTTCGGCTCAATGCTGTTACTGATCTTCAGCTTTATAGATTCCGTCGCTTCTCGCCATGCTTCCCGTCTCGCTCCGGACAGCGCACACGCCCTTGATGGACGACCTCGTTGACAAGATACATGCCACCTACCCGAACCGCCCCAATACTGGACTCGGGCATGATCATGGCTTTTCACACGGCGACCGAGAATCGTCGGCTGTGGGCGACGTCTTCTTCCACAACTACCAGCCGTTATCCGTCATTGTGCAATGGATGCGACTGATGGCGTCAATGTTCCCCTCACACGCCCGTTTTACTAGTATTGGTTTGTCATATGAAGGTCGCCAGATTCCGGCACTACGAATCGGTGCAGCTCAATCGCAACTTGATCCTTCCCAGCCTCGGAAGACTATCCTGATGAGCGGTGGTGTTCATGCGCGAGAATGGATCAGCACATCAACAATTCTGTATGTCGCCTATAACTTAATCACTGAGTACGGCGAGTCGAGTGCGGTAACTCGGTTACTGAACGAGTACGACTGGGTTTTGATCCCAACTCTCAACCCCGACGGATATGTCCACTCATGGGAGGTTGATCGGCTCTGGCGTAAGAATCGACAGCCGACCGGCCTGTCAGTCTGCACTGGAGTTGATCTTGACCGGGCGTGGGACTTCGAGTGGGACGGCGAATCCACCCGCTCCAACCCGTGCTCCGAGAACTACGCTGGCGCAGAACCCTTTGACGCAGTTGAGTCCCGCCAGCTGGCACACTGGGCCTTGAACGAGACCGAGAGTGGCCGAGCGGACATTGTTGGTTTCCTCGACCTGCACTCGTATTCTCAGCAGATCTTGTATCCCTACTCGTACAGCTGTGAGAAGTCTCCTCCGACGCTGGAAAGCCTTGAGGAGCTGGCCCTTGGCCTAGCAAAGGCGATTCGACAGATCTCACGTGAGGCGTACGATGTGACCTCTGCCTGTGAAGGTATTCTTAGTTCAGGAGGAGCTACTAAGATGACCTCGGGCGGAAGTGCACTGGACTGGTTCTACCACAAGCTGCACGCCACCTATTCATACCAGATCAAGCTGCGCGACCGCGGCATCTATGGCTTCCTTCTCCCTTCCGAACACATTCTTCCTACCGGCAAGGAGATCTTCCACGCCGTGTTGACATTCGGAAGATTTGTTTGGGGAGAAGATATCAGGGGATCGGATTCACCTGTCCTTACTCCAGTGGGCGACCAAAGACCGCTGGCTGACGCGTTTGATTTCACCTCATGATCGGGCATCTCACGAATTGCATACTGGTTCCACAAGGAGTTTGGGGTTTGATTTGCTTGGATATCAGAAATTTCTGGACATACTAGCTACGGACGTAAAATGTTCTAATGCACGAGAAATGACTCAAAATATCACTATAATGCTATTCACTTGGTCCCTGTAATAATAACAAATTCACGCCGAATAACCGGTGCGAGCATTCCTAAGCATTGCCGGAGGGGTATAGATCTATCATTAACTGCAGCCGACCGATTCACACTCCAAGCTATGTCTATCGCAATACCCTTTCCCAATCCCAATCCCAATCCCAATCCCAATCCCAATCCCCTATCGCAAACAATAAAACCAAACCCAATGAAACTAGTAAAAGGCGCGTGACTGACGCAGAACCATCTCTCGCTCGATTCTATCAAGCCGTCTTGAAAACCGCAGGCCCCGCCCAAATCCTCATCCTCTTCCCCCAAACCTGCAACCCCAAAGCAATAAAGAACGCGGCTCCAACAATCCCACTCATAGTCCCAAATTGACGAATGGTCCCCTGCTTCTCCGCCCACTCAACCATGAAATAAGAAACAATAAAGCCACCAAGAATACGTCCGAAGTTGACCCACGCAGCAACCTCTCCACTTGCCTCGGGGTAGCCATCTAAGACATACGAGTTCACTGCAACAGTGACAATCATCGTGCCGAACACGTACAAGCCCCAGCCCAGGGCTGAGAGCATGTAATGGTACTCGCGCTCGAGGGCAAAGCCCATCAGAACCAGACCAGAGACCATGAATGGCAGAGATACCCAGCACGCCCAGAGACGTGCTTCGGCTTCGAGACGGCCGCCATTGCGCTGGGCGGAGACGTTGGCAATTAGGTCGTGCAGCCAGTGGCCGGTAATTTCGCCTAGGATGGCTGCGACGATGGGGGTGAAGTAGAAAAACCCTGTGGATGCATTAGCAATGATGAGTCGATTTGGAAAGGGTAAAGCATACCGATTTGTTTAGCTTGGAATCCATAAATAGGTCCGAGCATAATCGAAAGTGTGGTATTAATGCCAACAACCCAAGCAAACGTCAACATGTAATAAATACAAGCCAAAATCACAACAGGCTTGCAAATAATCACCAGCGGACGCATAACCGCATCCTTGAACGAGTTCTTCATATAATTCGTCTGCATCTGCTGGATTCCAAGCATGCGCTGCCAGCGTGGGCCATTAGGGCATAGTTCTAGCTGCCTGTTATTGCGGTCGTAGTAGGTCTCGTCGACGAAGAGGATGATAGCGATCAGACATAGACCTGTCTCGATTGCGTAGACGCCAAATGCCCATTGCCAGATTTGCGTGGTCGTGATGAATGCTGCGAAGAGGGGGCCCAGGTAAGGGGATAGGATGATGAAGCCAGACCAGATGTTGATTTTACGGGCGTGTTCGTGGAAGAAGAACATGTCTTTGATGAACATGAGGCCGCCCTATAGGTAATTAGTAAAATAAAGATTTGCGGCTGGGAATGTGAGACTAACGCCCTGGGCAACAGTCGAGAAGAGGCCGTTGAGGATACGGGCAGCCTATAGCGTGTTAGACTGGTCGAGTGAAGCGGAATTCGAGAGTTAGTTACCATGAAAGACTCGAAACTTTGCGCGGCAGCACACCAAATAGCAGTGGCTAGAGCTAGCAGGATGAACCAGAACAGAACAGGGTATCGCCCAAAGTAGGCTGCGAGCGCCACGACGATAGGTCCACCTACACCAAGCATGAAGACATTGCCGACCTGCGAATGGTTAACAACATTTGGGTCCATATGCCATTCACTAGACAGAATCCAGCCATCAGCAGGAAGTCAACACAATCTCCATTGGGTACTTACGCTCCCTGAGGCGTCAATGTCACTGCGCCCGTGCCGCTACCATAGTCCGGTAACAATGCAGTGCATGAAATGATGATGAGGATGAGATGCTTGCGGAATGAACTCCAGTTGAGAGGATCATTGGGCGAATCACTCGGCTGGGGTATAAGAATCGTTTGTCCGTCGGCAGTTGTCTTCAGCCCACGATCATGGACCAGCGAGACGTCATTGAGAACATAGCCTTCCCGCTCACCAATTTCCTCCAATTCATCGATAGCATGGGGTTTCTCATCGTCATAAGTCTGGTTGAAAGCGATATGCCGAGGCTTTTCAGGGTCCATTGTCAAGTGTGCGCCGAAATTGGCGATAAAGATAGGGAAGCGCCGCCCTTGATAATAACAAAGAAGTGGTGGAACCGAAAATGAAAAGTCAACAAGTATTAGAAAGCCAGCTAGAAACCCTGAGCGCGCTCGAGGTCTTTGTACGGCTGGGGGATTTAGGGTAGCTGCATAATCAGCGTGGCAATCGGCCTCTTACCAGCCGAATAGACTGCTCATGGCTGACGATCTCCTTGCTAAAACCCTGCATGTGTATGTGGGGAGAAACCTTGATGGTTGAAAAAGTACATTGTGGATTTTCAATTTGGCGTTGATTCGCTGAACCTCCCTACACACGACTGCGACCCTTGTGAACTACAAGGGTAGTGGGGGAGGATACGAAGCATTGCAATAGCGTGGCTAGCTTATGGGCGTGTGGAGCAGGAACGCGGGTTGACTGATGCCGATCTCGACCTTCTGGGATTAAGGGGTCTGGATGTACTGCCGGACAGATTCCACCCTACTTGGATAAGGGTGATGCAATGCCGAATACGAGAACTCTTGTCCCTCGCAGATGCCGAGACGATCAACGGCCTCGAAACTTTGGGGAAGCTTGTTCAGTTTCGATTTCTGTAGGACTAGAAGCTTAAAGTCTTGCGCTCACTGTTCAAGCGGAGACGTGTCAAATTATTATGTTGATCAATTCCCTGTATGGACGCTATTGACATTTTGAACGACAGACATCGATAGATCAATGTTTTCTGAGAGAGATCACCTATGGGTCATTCTGTTTGAAGAGAAATCAAGTTTCAGCCGGTTGATCATAACTTAAATTTTTATCCGACGATGCCTCCAGACAAACTTGTTGCTAAATTCATGCCTGCAAGGCAATTGTCAAGGAAATCTGTAGAAAATTGCCACCTCGGCAATCTTACCCTAGTTAAATCAATGAAAACGGTCACATTGTTTACCGGCCTTCTTGTGTCGGGAGTAAGGCTTCTAAGGGTTGGACATTGAGGAACTTGTTATTGGAATCATGACCAGTAGCCACTGTGGGGTAAATGATTGATAACTATCAGTTGTAGCTTCACTAAAATGTCCCTGTAACCACAAGAACTTGGGTAAAAGATTCGGAAAGAAAGGGGCGCAAAGATAACTCGCGTAAAAAAGTTCTAATAGATGTTGATACATTCATAGTATTACGTCCTGTGGCTTCATCTCTGTCGCTGACCTGTTGCCATTACCTGAGATAACTGCAGCCATTGTTCACCAGAAAACATTGACAACGATAATGGGGTTGGCACATAGTATAGTCCCACCCACTAAAATTCGTGTGCTCATCAAGACAAGAGGCACTGCTCCGCCAGGAGGATTGCGCATCAGTCAAATAGTGCCCTTTTTATCGAATACGCGGGATTTTTCAATAAAATCAAACAAAATCAGGTTTGCACCCCCTGGGAATCTCACGCACACCATTGTAACCTCTGGCCCATTCGTAAATAGCATTGTGGTCTAAAACCGCCTGCTAAGGGTATGACAAGGGTGCTTCAACCCTCCTCCGTGCTCTCATGTTCAGGAATGATTTTTGAGACATTCTCACTTGGTCAGTCACCTTTTATTGCTAAAGTAGTAGCTCTTCGACCAATGGCTGCCGCGGTGACCTGGTTCCTATCGACCCAATGAAAACTAGGTCGCAGCCCGAATGAGCAAGTAGAATGGGTACCTGAGATCAGATTGTGCGGGGTAGTAAGTTTGGAAACGATTGAGGTGTTTCAAATAATTAATTGATGCCAATTCTAACTGAAATCAGACGTATATTCTATGTGCTTGCTTGGTAAACCTTGAAACTCTTGAACTCCCAGTATGCCGTCGTAAAATTAGATGCATTATCCATCACAAACGTCTCGCAACTGTCCGGACACCCGCTCTGTGTGGTGTAGTACTTAGTCGCAGATGCCCAGCCTCCGCAAAAATCGATGTTGGCAATGATACTCTGGTTTGTGAAATGATTGCCGATGTTGCACTCCGTACTTGGGAAATCTGCATACGCTTTACCCCATGTGGAAGGATCGGGACTCCCTGAAGTAATATCGGATGGGATGTCAGCGCGAACCCAATGCCAGACTCGAATGCCCGCGTCACGAAGCTCCATGGCATAGACCTGTTTAGAAGTTAGCCAATAGATTCCTGTCTGATGACGAAAACAACTGACTCCGCCGCCCTGTGCATTGAACTCAGGACCATATGTGGCCTTAGCACCTTTCACACCACATCCTGATTCGTCATTCGCTTCCCAGTAACACGTTTTGTACAGCGCAGAACCAGTCTCTTTCCGCTTCACGCCCATATTGCAGCCACTTGACGTATGAAGAGTTGCTTGGTTGCCCCATTCACCCATATTTACAGCTTCCATGACATCAATCTCGCCATGAGCTGGCCAGTTACTCGGATCTGTAAGCCACAGAGCTGGCCATATACCACAAGCGTAAGGGGTATGCAAAATATCGAAAACAAATAACCCATCGGCATAGGTATTGTTAGACGTGATCCTGACGGATTGGCGACCGTCAGCTACCTCGTCTGATCCGCTATATGTTGTGTCCACCTTGAGCACAGCGGATGTGTTCGTGGCATAAGTCAAATTGAGCCATTCGGATGAAGCTCGGTCAATATATCTGTAGAAAGGTGGTTAGTGGGGAGACAAAGAGATGCGAGAGAGACTTACTGAACAAATCCGCCTGACGGGTCGGAGGTAGCATAATAAAAATTATTGAAAAAATTAGACCCCGAATAGGTATCTACCAAACTATAGTCGAGTTTGGTATAATTGGGATAGCGGTTTGCCCGCACCCCGAGCACAGCGCCCACAATAACAGCAACGATGACCACAACAGCACCGACTGCAGCGGAGAGCTTTTTCGTCAAGGACCATCCTCGCGGGTCCCAGGCGGAATGTCCTGCTTTTGTTGCTTCGGCTTCCATATTCCACGACCCGTAGGCAGGTGGTTCGCTGATTCTGGAGAAGCCTGGTTGTCTGGTATCTGGATGAGACGACCAATCATGTAGATCATGGGGCATCCCAACAAAGATTATGGTTAAGGTTATCCAATCGTTGGGAAAGATATTTGCCGGTCCAAGAACGTTGCGGAGAGTAAAAAAAGAAATACAAAATTCGCACTTTAACGACCATTAAAACACAATCACTGCAAGACGCGCGATAGAGATTTGCAATTCGCCATTGGCAAGGCCGCGTATCTTGCCAAGCCACAGATGACGAAGTGCGGCTGCTGCCACGCAGACCACGCGTAAGGCTGTGATTAGGGCAAAAGGGAAAAACATTTTTCACCGGCAAAATACAGCACACTATCCAGTATGGAATTCTTAGACTAGCCTCTTTAATCATTTTTAACTGTTCGCATGATTTCCTGGCAATTTGTTCGATAGCCGGTGGTTCGTCTAAATCAGTGAGCAAGATAGTCCCGAAGAGGGGTAAGTCCGGTTTGTTACAGTACTTCCGGAAATCGATGTCACCGCCAACTCTTTTCGATTGTTTCTCGAACCTTACTGCCAAGAAACGCTAATCTACTTTGAGGGTAGTCAAAGTACACCCAGTCTTGACATATGGTACGGAACATCGAACGCAATATGGGCCTGTAAGTTACACCATTCATATATAAATTAAGAATCCTAGAAACTGCCATACAGACAGACGGAGTGTTGTTGCCCAAAGGCTCTGACAATTGACTTTATTGAATACGAGCTCCTTCCCGAATGCTACTATACAGAAGCTATATGTTTCAGTAAGCATGATGGAATCCCAACTGGTGAGCATTATATCCAAATGTCTAAATGCTTATCACAATTATCGTAAAAAAAACAGAGCTCTTCATCTTTGCTATAACAAGATTTGTTGATCTCCTTGTCTTTCACTATTATATTCGAAAAGAAGCTTCCTTGCAGGAAGCCCTATTTTCTGCTGAAGAGGTGCGAGAAGATTTTGCGTCTACCATGTCGGTCAGGTTGGGAAACTGGCTCGGAGGTATCGGTGGGATTGGCCAGGATTTGGTCGTCTTTGGTTTTAGTCGGCGCCTTTATGAATTCGAAAGATGGAGACTCATCCTTCCTACACCATTCGTTAAGGAGAGACTTGTAAGACATAGCGTGTGGATGGTCAGGGCCTAATTTCCGGTCGCAAAGTGGAACACATTCGGCCATCAACAGCAAAGCGGCTTTGCGTTGACCCGATAAGCGAAGGGTATAAGCGAGGTTGGCCATACTCGTCAGCGTGAAAGGCTAGTCAGTGCCGAGCTTCGTCTTGCTAGTCTCTATAGCCTGCACAAAGAACTGCTCTGCCTCTTCCCACCGGCCCTGGTTCCAGAACGCTAACGCCAGATTGCCCATACTCTTCAGCGTTTCAGGATGCTCAGTGCCGAGCTTCGTCTTGCGAATCTCCATAACCTGCACCTCGAGCTTTATCCTGCTACTTATCTGCCTCTTTTTGGGCAATTTTGTTGTTGGCTATGTATGTCAGCAGCGTGAGGACGCATCATCTCCAGCGATCCAAACCGAGATGAACCAACGCTGATAGTCCTTTATCTTTAGGGCAGTAGCTGTATAGGAACCTTGACGCCGGTCATCATTGATAAATTCCATGCTCTTAACGATCTTGGCTGGTACCAAACAGCGTAGTACGTTCCCACAAAACCCAATAACCGAGTGTTCCTACCCGACTGATGTTGTCTAAGCCTGGTCGCACTGTGTGCGCCGATGTTGATATACGGACAATTGTATACCTTCTATTCGATGAAGACGCTTTATATGATGTCGTTCACAGTTTTTGTCATTGGCTCAGTCCTGACAGCCGCCGCACCATCATCTTTATCGTTCATTCTTGGTTGCGCATTCAGCGGTTTAGGCGCGGCGGGCATTAATTCCAGCATAAGCATGTGAGGTCTCAGCACGCTCTGACTATCGTATTGTACACTCATATCCTGGCAGTATCATCGCAAACACCACCTCGTTTGCTACCTTTTTGATGAAGTCTATCATGTTCAACACATTGCCTGCTCAAATTTTGAGCAGTTACTTTCACGAAATCACTTGTGCATCGATTCATGGGATAGCCTTACGAATATGGCCAACCTTGCATTGATAGCTTTGAACCTAGGTTGATGGTAGGAGGACGAGAAGCTCAACTTGCAGCCACACCACACTATATCACTGCTGAGGCTCGACTTATTTCTCACCCAACGGACACCTTAATTGATTTAATTGACTGCGTTGTAAATTTATCGGAAGTGACCTTCGCGATCTTCACTTTGATCGTCTAGACCTTTCTGGCCGATATGCGTTTCGAAGCTGGCAATATAGATATTCAAATCCCTTTGTCATGTATTGCTCACGGATTTGCCTAGACCAAAGCTCCATTTTTATCTGATTATAGCAATTTTTGCTTTTGTAAAGTGGGTTGCGCATACAAGAAATAACATAAACCAAGGCTTCCTGTAGGTCTCCCGTAGTCTGAAAAACCGACGTATTGTCAGTTTCGAGTTGTTGCAGAGAGGTAAAGAGAGAGATTTTGTATACTGAACGGAGTGATGGTGAAGTGGTGGGGAAAACCATAGCTTCTAAATAAAAAGCCGTAACAGGCCAAGTGATGCAAGATCCATTTCTGCAAACCTTGAATGAAGAAGTTTTGTTTATTTAAGAACGATGCTCAATTATCTCCAGTATGCTACCATTCACGTAAAATATAACCTATGAATACAGGTCAAGTGCTACCTTCAAATGTTTTGTCAAATGCCCGAGTGATCTATACCAACCTCAGGCACCCACGCAACCCCCGTCCGTTTGTATATTTTCTATCTCTTCCCTATCTTTCCATCTCCCACAACTTCCATCAATTTAACAAGTTTTCCATGAGGTATTCTTTTAAGACCGTAATCCACTACCATACCGGCGAAGTGCAAGTCAGTCAAAGGTGAGTAGAATAAAACTCGGCTTTTCCGAATTCTAGTCGCAAATACTAGCTCTATTGACCCGTCGACAGTCACCAGGATTCCTGAACCTTCCCTTGAAGCTTCGACGAGCTTGGAAGAAGCACAACCATGGCCGATCAAGAGGAAGTCACCAAAAGTAGAGATTGCAGTAACGCCATGATGCCGAATTCTTCCTTCGACTTCGGAAACAACCAAAATTACGGATCCGAAAATCCTAGAGATTGCGATCCAACACCCAGAAACAACATGATTCTCACAGAAAAAGAAGTTACAGAGTCTCTTCAGATATCCGAGCGAATCATGGAAGAGTCTAAAGGCGACGAATGCGATCCATACTTCATAAGCCTAGCGGATGTGATGGTCAAACTGGCTGCAGCCACACTAGAAGTCAAGAAGAGGATTGAGAGGAAATACCCAGATGATCATTTTCCATTGACAGAGCCATTCGCTTCCCCCTCGGAAGAAAGACATGCAGAATCAATGGAGTTCCTTGATCATGAATTCAAGATGTTTGCAGAATGCTTTGTCTTTCTGGTTCGAGCTTATATGTCTCTCACTTCGGAGAAAATCAATATCCTGAGCCAGGTACCAAACGATTGGGCAAAAGGAGATATTGTAGCTGAAGATGTGCAGGTACCGAGCTCGACACAGGGTGATGGCGTGGGAGGGAAAGAGGAATAAAAGATGGGCAGATTTCAATTTAGAAACTCTAAAGAGAGAGGTTCTACATGGCAATATGCTAAGTGAGAGAATTTGAACGATTGTTCAGATATGTTAATTGGCATTTCGTAATTCATCTAGGTTCAATGCACCATGATAGATATGGCCCATGCATATTAAAAGATACATAAGTGCAATAGTCGCTGACATATGCCTTTCAGATATAAAGACCATGATCGGAATTAAAATAGCCAAGAAACACATTTCTGGTAGAACCAGTTTGACTGAGTATGCTTCTCAGCCTGAGCCTCCTTCTGAGCAAGGTAAGCGGCTTCCTCGCGATCGATTTCATCCTTGCCACTCCAAAGGTCCGCGTTCTCAGGAGTGACCTTTGGCTGACCGCGATGAGTGAGCTTGTACCCGAGGATGAGAATTAGGTACAGCGGGATGCCCAGATATGCCGTAATAAAGTTCTTGTAATCGAAGTTGCCGTACTTTGGAGAGTGGGTAAATACGTTGAAGTTCTTGGTGAATGCAATGAGGATACAGAAAGCGAGTGCTCCGTATGAGCCGTAAATACCGAAGGGAGCAACATAAGCGAGCTCGCTGTTGGGGACATTCTGTGCGCGGCGTGCACGAACGAAATAGATGTGGGTAACCAGGATCGAGATCCAGGTTAAGAGACCGAAGATGGTGACCAAGTTCACGAAATACTTGAAGACTGTCTTGGAGTCACTGGAGACATTCATATATGCCAGAAGTGCAAACACTGCTGAGACTCCTAGGGCGAAAATGGGAACACCCCGACGGTCGGTCCGAGAGAAGATTTTTGGCGCTTTTCCTTCGCGGGCAAGACCATAGATTGTACGGGTCGCAATGTAGAGGTCGGAGTTCGCCGCGGAAAAAACAAAGAGCAGGATACAAGCGTTCAGGATGTGGGAGAGTGCAGGGATTCCGGCGTTTTCAATGGCGACAACGAATGGGGATGCGGCAGCAGAGCTGCTGGCGTTGACGGCGAAGGCGAGCTTAGGATCATTATACTTGACCAAGGTACCGACAAGGAGAACAGAAAGCACATAAAAAACCAGGATCCGGTAGAAGGTCAATCGGATGGCACGGGGAATAGTGCGGCGAGGGTTTTGGGCTTCACCCACGGTGACACCGACGAGCTCCGTTCCGAGATAGGCAAAGGTAGCAGAGACCATAGTAGACCAGAAAGCATAGAATCGACCGGCAGCACCGGTGTCAATGTATTCCGCAAAAGCGCCCGGGTTCTTCCAGTATCTGAATCCTTTCCGGTCATGGTCCGGGCCTCCGCCAAGCATCAAGATGAAGGACAACAGAATGATTCCGAGAATAACAACGACTTTGAACGATGATAGCCAGAACTCGAATTCTCCGAAGAACTTTACTCCGAAGTAATTGATACAGATGATCAAGAGAAGAAAGACCGTAATCCATACACCAGGGTTAACCTTTTCCGCTGGTATCCAGTATGATATGACCAGCGCACCAGCTGTCAACTGATTTGGTGTGACGAGAATGTATTTAAACCAGTACCTGTGTCCTGTGTCAGAACAGACTTTTTTCACAAGGGTTGGAGAATACTCACGTCCAGCCCACCGCGAAACCGAGGGCAGGGTCACAGAATCGAACGGCATAACCAGTGAATCCAGAGGGCAAAGGGAGCCATGCCGCCATTTCGCCAAGAGCGCACATCACCAAGTACACAATGAAACCCACCCAGGTATAAGCGATCAGGATTGAGCCCGGGCCTGCTTTCGCGAGAGCTTCGCCTGTTCCGATAATCAGACCGGTTCCGATGGCACCACCGATAGCAATCATGGTGATGTGCCTCGCCTTGAGGGCACGGTGAAGTTCAACATGGTTGGGATCCGACAAGCCACCTCCCTCAACCGTGGCAATGTCATCACCGCTGTATTCGCTCTTGATCGGGGCTTCGGATGAGAAGCCTGAGGGCTTCTCACTCTTCAGCTCCGACATTGCTGCTCTGGGAAGACGCGAGATGAGATCTATATGAGGCACTGGAAGCTGAAGAAAGTTGGGATCTGCTGCAGTAAAAAGAAGAAGAAAAGAAGAGATCAGCAGTGAAGGGATGGGGCTTATAGTGAAAATTCGCCGGGGTCTCAACCTGCAGCTCGACTGTTCTTGATCGCGGGCCAAGAAAAACTGACCACCCACGAGATAAGACCCTCAAGAGCCCGGCAAAATCACGGGGAAACTCGACCAAATAAGAATTCAGACATTCTGGGGCCTCGCCTTCCTGTTAAGCGGACTGGGAAGCCAAGCAGCCAAGCCATCTCGCGCATGGAAATGGACCATCGAGGTAGAAATGTTCCACGGGATCGTGCGGAGTACCTGAGTACCAGCAAACGTTACATTCCCAAGAGCCTCCTCAAAAACATGGCTTTATTATGCGAGCGCCCCCTGGACCCTAAGCCCCGATCATCGTGCAGCCGAAAAAGGCTATGCCTGCACGGCTGGGACAAGATCATACTGCCTACATGAACTCTGAGATTCGATAGCTAACTACTGTATACAGTACAGAAGCCCGAGTCCCCACAGGAATCCCTTCTGTCAAAGCTTCTTGATAAGACTTGCCCCCCAAATTTGCCAAAGCGGAGTGCCTAGACGCCAAGAACTCGGAGAGAAGCTAACCCTTTGCACGTCTTGCGGGGGGGGCCACACGGCTCGCTTTGCATCGGACTTGATTTCTCATTATCCCGCAAGTACGGGGTGACATGTTGTACCTTTTGTGTGTAAGCATAGATATTGAACTCAATTATTCACAATACGGGGTAGTGGGACAGGCCAACACCGGGCGTACCTGCTGATCGGGATTCTAGGATATTTACTTCACTCCAAGCCCCATCATCAACATAGCAAGATCAGCATGTGATCGGAAGCAACCCGCCTGTCTTTAGCCCAGTCCCAGGGAAAATTCTCGATATGACTTGCCGTCGGTGAGCGCAGGCGCAGCAAGGTTGAATAGCACGGAAATGGCTTGGCGATCAGCCAGCGTTACGCGCCAAGACCGTCCGCCACTGCCTTTCCATCCAATAGCAGTGCGTGCTATCTCTGCATCCCGGTCGGGTTTGATTTGGCCGCTTGGCGGGCGCTCGGGTGTTGGGTTTACGAATCATTTCAGTTAGAGAAGAAGTTTTTTCTCTCGCTTTATCTAGCCAAGAGAACCAAGTGGGCCTGCTCGGATAGCGATATTCTTACTCCAGAATATGTGTACAAACTCACTGATAGTATATATTCTTCGGGTCCAGACCATGGCTCCTGTCCCACAGGAATCCTGAGATCCACAAAACGATTATCAGGTATCAGCAAAATGCCTTGATATGGCATAGGATGGTATATTCTTTAATAACCAAAATGTCTAATGGCAAAACAAGGCCACAATCGAAGAAAGCCTACGAAAGATAATTATGTCGGGCGGACAGGATAGACTTAAGAGGGTAAAGCTGCCTTGTGTGCCCATCGAGATTTAGCGAAGGCAAAGAACGATGGTAAATCGAGACCATCTCTGAGAGTCAACACTGAATCATGAGAGATAAATAGATATACTAAGGTGTCAAAGCATCTGCATTGAGCTTACAGAAACATGATAAAATAAAGCATCGATACCCTTTGGCATGTCGGAGCTCGGAACTTTCCCTCCTCATCTCTTTTTCCCTCACCAAACCACACAGTTGGCTTTTAGAGAATCGCGTCAAACACACCTTACGCTCAGCCATTCATAAACACGAATGAACTCGAAAATGGACACTACAGTCTCTTGAACTGGGGACATGTCATCTATCGCACTACCTACTCTGCTGCATCCGATGCTGTATTCCTAGGCGCTATTAGCTTTATTGAGGCCTGCATTAAATAATCATTCTTCGAAGAGAGCGCTCACGATTCTACTGATTGTGCCGATGAAGTCTGGGCCAAACACCGGTCAACCATCATAGAAGATCCCGCCCAATTGCACGGGGCGTCTCCCGAGGCGGCTCGCGCTCATTTTGAGGCATAGGTGGATGCCCAAGGCATGCGTGATTATTGGACAAAATTTCGAATGTGCATTACCATCGATGAAGAATCCCTGCAAACGCTGAAAGGCACACATGGGGAGGACCTTGATAATGAGGAGTCCGAGAACCTCATTGATGAAGGATTGAGATGCGTGAAGGTCCTTGAAGCATTTCTGATTGTGGATGAGCTTGACACTTTTCCCGGGTGACAGGCGCACCATGCACAGAAACACATGGTTGCCGTAAGAGACATTCAAGGAACCCTTTCTCAGTTCTCCCATAACTTTCGCAGCATGTCTTTCCAGCCTCTTCCTTTCGAGAATTCATTTATTTGCGAGGTTCAGAGAGGCTGTATATGACTTGACACATATCTCGATGCCCGAAATTCGTTGGTAGTTCGTAAATGTATGGATTGCTCTTCAATAAAAACCATGGACGCATTATTTCAGATCGTACCCTTCAGGGCTAGAAACACATATCGACCTTCACAAAATTCAATCTGCTCGTGAAGGCTCTCCATCAAACTTGAGTCCAATGATCCATACGACTAGCTGTCGATTCAGACTGTAAATGCCATCAACGTACCGTAGAATCAAACTATATGACTATATGCTAATCATTACTCGGTCCAGGCTTCTCTCTCACAGTGGAATTGAGATTGAATGCCGCCACAAGTCCAATCAAGATGGAAGTGAGAGCTATACCTATCAGACATAATAGCGCAAGTACAAGATAGAACAACACGTACTGAGTATGAGTTGCGGTTTGGGGAATTCGAATTGTTCTACTACAACTCCAGCCAAGATTGGCCCAACCAGAAGACCGGTCATCCAGCTCATACCTGTCAAGGCAATCGCCGGGGAAAATCCGCGACCTTTGCCAAAGACGCCAGGGTAGCGTGTCTCTAGTGAGTCAATAGTCTCTGAAGGTTAAAGAGTTAGTGCCGAACATTCCGAAGCGTGTTATTAACTCACTGTTTGCTTCCATGGTGCCAACTCCCTTAAGAAGAAATATCAAACTGCCGATTGTAGCCGTGCATATACTGAAGATAATTTTGCCCCGGTTTCCGATTGTAGCCCATGGGAAACGACCATCACCAGCCGCACCGAGAAGCCACAAGACTGGAGCGAGGGATAAAAAGCCGAGCGTGATCGGAGTACGAGATCCCTCACGATTCTTCAACCATCCCATGAGCGGGGAGAGGATCATTCCAGGGCCTTGAAGAGCAGCAAATAACAGACCCACAGGGAAAACACCCCATCCTAATACAGCTCGCACAAGTATCGCAAATGTCGTTTGGAAGCTTGCAATTAAGAGATAAAACACAAAATAGCAGAAGAAGCCTGCAGAGAAACGAGGTTGTTGTAGTAAAAACACATAGAACCTCCAGCCTTGCACTTTTGTCACAGTGACGGCGGGCTCAGACTACTGCTCGCCTAGTAAGGACGCTTGTTAGGTATCAACAGATGCTTCATTTTGAGATTTTGGTTTTCCGCTGTCTGTGTTATGTGATGGTTTTTCAATCATCAAAAGTCGCATGATAATATCGACCACTAGGAAAGTAAAGGCCCCGGCCCAAGCGGTCCAGTATTTTCCAAAGCCAAACAGAAAAGCGGCTATAACGGGTCCAGCAAAAGTCCCAGCGGCCGATAAAGTAGAGAGTAATTCAGCAATCTTGCCCATATGCTCCGGGCCTAGATTCTCTGCTAGCGCAGCCAGACTGACGATGAAAAGCCCATTGCTGACAATGGACTGGAAGAGACGACCAACAAACAAGCCCGCTACTTTTTTTAATTGTTAGGACGTGGAACTTAGCATCAATGAATTGTAAAGCGACATACATGAAGCTGTAATCGAGAGACACGCGATGCTCACCAGAGTAAGCATCAACAGGGCAAGTAATACTAGTTCCTTTGACTTGGCCCGGTCGATAATGTCGCCAAGGGACCAGACGCTATATCACCACTCTTGTGCGCGCTATAACCATGAGCAATCTATCCGCGGTAGAGATTCACACAGAATGCCACTTATCATTGATTCTGCAACTTTGAACGGTGTATGCGATGCAGCTCGGGAGCGCCCGCGGGTCCGCCATCGGTCCGAGGTTCTCACAACAGATGGTGGCTACCGTGGGTTATACCCCTTTATCTTTCGGAATTATGGATTACTTCACGTGTATCAAGTCATTTCAATCAATTCAAAGCAATCACAGAGACAAATCATCGCCCCAAACAGACTTCGCAATGTCAACCATCAACGAGATCTTCTCCCACTGGTCCTCTTCCGTCAACTCATTTCCTTCCATCGAACTGGAGAACCCACACTGATGGCTGAGACATAGCTGGTCCAAACCCCGCGGACAGAACGCAGCAGCTTCGTTCAGGCGAGCAACAACGGTGTCTCGCTCCTCGCGCGAGGGCCCTTTGCTTGTCATCAGACCCAGCACAGCAATCTTGTTGGGGGGCAAGAAGCGCAACGGCTTGAAGTCACCTGAGCGCTCGTCATCAAATTCCAAGAAGTAGACATCGACGTCGATCTGCTGAAAGAGCACGTCGGCGATCGGCTCATACCCACCGGACGCGAACCACTGACTTCGATAGTTCCCGCGACATAGATGCATGCCGATTTTCATGTCGGTCGGTCGCTGCGAAATAGCCGCGTTGATCAGAGCGGCGTACTGGAGCGGCAGCTGGTCAGGGTCCTCATTGCGTTCCTTGGCGGACTGGCGAAAGTATGGGTCGCATAGGTAGACCATATTGGTCTCATCTAGTTGAACGAAGCGACACCCGGCGGCGTAAAGGTCGGCAATCTCCTGCTGCCACATCTTGGCCAGGTCCTGGAAGAACAGGCCCATATCGGGATATGCCTCCCGACTGACATTCTCGCGGCCACCGCGGAAATGCAATGCGGTCGGTGCGGGAATGCATACTTTGCCCGCGGCTGCAACGGAAGAGTCGCGCAGGCGTTGTTGCAGGAATTTGAAGTCATCCACTTGGATGGCATTTGGATGGTGTAGCTTCTCAGTTACGAACAGCCTTGGTGGAGAGTCGCGTGTTGGCTTGATGGTCGCCAAGTCTTCGCGGTACTCGACGCCACCAATTTGTGTGAGAAAGTCGATATGAAACGACCGGCGGCGGAACTCTCCATCGGTGATGGCGCGGATGCCCTTTGCCAGCTGTTTAATAACCACATCCCGGATGCATTCATCCTCCCGGGATCGCAGCTCGCTAGCACTGATTTCCCCTTTCTCCAGCTGCGTCCGCGATTCCTTGAGTAGGGTAGGACGTAATAGTGAACCAACGTGGTCCGCACGGTAGACACCAAGAGGGAGAGTCATGCTGATATCGGTAAGAGTATGGGATAAAAATCTGAAAGGATCGAAGGAATCAAGCCAGGGACTTCTTATATATATGTCTAACTGTAAAGCAGTATGGACTACATATATTAATTCTTCCCTGATGCAGGAACACTCCGTACTGTATGACGAGTGTATAGCTGTTACGAGTAGCATGCAGGTGGAGATAAATTACAGACCCGAGGTCACTAGACCGTACAGTAAGAAATTCTGTATTCGCGCTGTAATACATCCACAACAAACTTGAAAGTTCCTTGTGGAAACAGCTCAGCTCACCGAAATTTTTACCGTAAGATTATTCCGGCTAGAGATTGATTTGGGTCGGAGATCAGGGACCCCTGAGAATCTTCTGCTCACCAAAAAAAACATTTTTGAAGTGGATTTGCTAAGTCAGTAAATAGACTTTTTGTCAGAACACCCAACTCTTGAACAGCTGAACGAAAAAGTTCGCCTCACAATGTCGACACCATGGCCCTCCGCTATATATCTGGTGGGCACGATCTTGGTGCTTGTGCTGATTGTGCTCTATTGTCGTGACTCGGCGTTGCGACACATACCCGGCCTTCCAGGAGCCGGATATTCCTCCCTACGCCATGTAAGGTCGATCATCTCGAAAGGACTGTTGAAGGATTATGTGACATGGTGTCGCCAATATGGTATGTTCTCATCCATTGAGACACGACAGAAAGTTCGATGCAGAAAGGTTGACACTTTTTAGGAGAACTGGTTCGCATTGAGCCAAATGTCCTCCTAACGTCATCGCCTGACTTGGTGATGCATATGTCTGGAGTCCGATCCCGGTATGGCAAGGATTCGGCCTTTTATCTGCTCGCTCACCTGGCGCCGGGAAAAGAGAACCTTGCCAGCCTGCTTGACGATCCGACACATAACCGCCATAAATCCTTACTAGCCCCTGCGGTGAGTTTCTCTTTCGTCTGGATGTCGTGTCGAAGATATATCTTTCAGGTACAACCGATGGAGATTCTAATCTGCGCCGCATAGTACACGAAGGATATCAGCGGTGCTAGAGAACCTACAATCGATTCCCACTTGCGAAAGTTTCTACAAGACGTTCAGTCTAATTACCTATCAACAACTGCAGCCGTGAAGTTGATGGATCTGTCCAAAGGATCGCAGTACTTTACCACCAAAGCCATTATCGAGCTGACCTATGGTCCGGACTTTGAAGACCTTCTTGAAGACAAGGCTGTCGCCGGTCTGGTCGAAATGCCCGAGGGTGCTTTCAATATGCCGGGATTTCTCTATGCCACTCGGCTTACAAAAGTAATGGGGCTCATCGGTCAACTGATGGCTTCCAAGGAGGATACAGATGATGGCTTTGGCAAGTTTTTAAAGTGTGTTGACGAAATGAGTGACACGAAAATATCGAAATCTCGAAAATGAAAGCTAACAAGAGCAGCGTGGCTAGTCGCCTGAAAAACTCCTCCGCGGAGACCAAGAGACTTGGTATGGTCCAGACCTACCTGCAGAACGGTATGAGCCCCGAGCAGGTCGCCCACGATGCACTGACACAGGTGCTTGCGGGACAAGTCACTGTGTCGGCTGCAATCAGTGGAATCATGATTCTGTTAATGAGCAACCCTCGCGTTCTCTCAGCGCTGCGCAAGGAGATTGACGCTGCCGTCAGCGACGGTGCAATGTCTCTGGACGAGGTTATTATAAGCTACGCAAAAGCTTTAGCCTTGCCATATCTACAAGCCGTTGTGCGCGAAGGTCTTCGATTTTTCCCACCGACCGTCGATCCCCTGCCCCGAGTGGCACCCCAAGAGGGCGACAGTGTCAAGGTGGGCGATCGAACTGTCTTCATCCCCGGCGGTACTAGAGTGCTGACCAGCACTTGGAGTATCACACGAAACACTGAAGTCTTTGGTGAAGATGCGGACGCCTTCCGACCGGAGCGCTGGATCGGGCTGGACGGACCGAGAAGCGCGCGAATGCAGAAAGTCGCAGACCTGATCTTCGGGTTTGGAAAAGGCCGCTGCTTGGGCATCACGATTGCGCGGATGATGATCTGTAAATCTATCTTCGAGGTACACCATAACATGTATCCCTTTTCTTGATTCGACCGCCAAGGCTAACCTAACAAGCTTGTCCGTCGCTTTGACATGGCTCTCACAGAGCCGTGGTCGCCTATGAGTAATGTGCTGAACATGGGCGCGTGGGAGCGTAGTGGAATGATGGTCGTCGTGACGGAGAGGGAGGATAATTAGGTGCACATGCTTGGATATTAGACCTTGATTAGACGTATCGAGGCACCAATATTCAAACGACCCTTCTTGTAGTCGTGTTGCGCATGGCGTCATAGTGTGACGAGCTACTGTACCAATACCCACTTGTACCGCTATCGGTATTTTTCCCGCTCGTTATAGCTTAGTCACTCTTGGGGCTGGGTAACTTTGGTAATTAAATGTATGTGGATCAACACCACGATATGCACTAAAGACACAGTATAAAGTGTTTCCATTCTGCTTGATCCCTTCATGCGCTACTGTCAACCACTTCAACCTTTCAAAGTATCGATAAATTCAATCGCACCCACAATGAAGTTGCCGGAGTCGACTGTCGACGTCTTAATCATAGGGGCGGTAAGTACACACAATTCACACATAAAATACCAAAAACCTATTCTTGCGCGAAATTCGAAGCTAATGTTATGTTGGGATGAGCAGGGTCCCGCGGGGTAGGCACTCTTGACATGTTATGCCGAACACTACTGATTCTCTTTTGCCAGCCTGATGGCAGCAGCATGGATGGCGCAGTGCGGAATCAACACACGGATTGTGGAGGAGCGCAAGGATGGTCTTCAGGTTGGCCGAGCAGATGGGTATCGCTCCACATGATGCCTAAAACATGATCGTCTTTTGTAAGCATGTTTTTGACCAGACCACCTTGTAGATTGCATACCCGATCAATGGAAATCTTTGAGAGCTTCGGATTCGACCAGGAAGTGACGAAGTTGTGGGATCCCATCACCGATGACGCCGTGTGGTCGCGTGATGCAGACGGCTCCTTCTATCGGTCTGAACGCGAGATGAGGCCATTGCCGCTGCGTGCAAGGTATGTTTGTTTTATTGGTCGCGGGGCAGATTAGAGGCTTAAGAACTGATTCCTAATTGGAAAAATAGATGGACTGGAGGACTTTTACAACAGGCCATCATTGAGGACATCATCAAGCGACATATCAAATTAATCGCACCTATTGAAGTTGAGTACGAAACGGTCCCGACAAGCCTGAGCATCAATGAGAATGACGTGAGCGAACCGGATCATCATCCGTGTGTCGTCACACTGCGACGCAAATCGACAAGTATTGAAGGAAATTACGTTAGCTCCGAGTCTGAAGAAACTGTGCGCGCTAAATATGTGATTGGCGCTGATGGGGGCAAATCTTGGACGCGAAAGCAGCTTGGATTCACAATGGAGGGTAACCGAACAGATTCAATCTGGGGTGTGATCGATCTGGTCGTGACTTCGGACTTTCCCGAGTAGGTTGTATTCTATTAACTTTGGAAAGACAGGGTTAATTAGGATCATGAAAATGATAGTATCCGAACCGCGACTACTGTCAAAAATAATGAGGGTGGAAATCTTTTCTTATTCCGCCGAGAACGAGGAATGACCCGTTTCTATGTGCAGCTAAACAAGGGCAAAGACGAAGAGATCCTACGCCGTGAATCAGTCACCCAGGAGACAATTACCGAAAAGATTAAATTCATGCTTCGACCTTACACGGTGAGATCATGCGGGAAATTGGCCATTCATAGTAGCTTATACTTTTACTTTGCAGGTCAACGTGAAGCGTTGTGAATGGTACGATCCATTCCAATGAATACTTGTATCGCATCAGCAACTTACCCTTTGCAGGTGGTCCGCCTATACTGTGGCCCAGCATCTGAGCACTGGCATGTCGAAACATGGACGTGCTTTTCTCGTCGGTGATGCGGTTCACACTCATTCCCCGCTTGTTGGACAGGGAATGAACATCAGCATGCAGTAAGTTATGATCTATCTAGCTTCTTTCAATTCCTAAACATATATATAGAGACTCCTACAACCTTGGTTGGAAGCTTGCCGGGGTCATCCACAAGCGATACAAGCCGAGCATTCTGGCTACATTTGATCTCGAACGACGCCCTGTTGCTGAGCAGCTCGTCGAAGTTGATCAGGTCTATCTGAAGCTTTTTGACGCACCCAAGGGACAGGAGCCCGACTGGCTACTTGAACGCGCAGCCCAAATGGAGCCATTCCTGATGGGCTTGTCTGTGCACTACGACAATTCTCCGTTGACAGCTTGGTCACCGAAGACAATACCGCTTGATCCCCAAGCAGATCACATTATACCCGGCAAGAGATTCCCCGAAATAACCGTTTCCAATCACGCGACAGCCAAGATCTATCCTCTGCAGCAGCTGCTTCGAAGCAACGGCCGATTCCACGTTATTGTCTTTGCAGCAGATATTTCTGATCCTTGTCATCTTGAGCGGATGAATGTTGTGGGTGCTAGACTGGCTTCTGTCGAACAGGAATTCAAGCATGAGCTCGATATCTTTGCTGTCCATTGCGCTTCCCGTTCAAAGGTCGAGCTCGCGAGTATGCATGAGACTTTCTTCCCGGAGGACGAAGATACAGGGAGAGACTATGACCGAGTTTACTGCATTGTTGATATGGCATTTGCAGATCTGGGGATCAGTTCGAATGGAACGATTATTGCCGTCCGTCCAGATCAGTATGTTGGTTGGCTCGGTGGGTTGGGAGACATGGACAAACTCAGCCAGTATTTTGAAGATATTTTCGATGCAAAGTGATCCGTTCGGCTATGGAAAACATTGTTCAAAAATAAATGAATACATATCTATGTAAGTAGTCAGAAATGCAATATACAAGTATATCACCAAACAAACTTAATAAGACACGGTGAAATAGCTAGGGTAGTAATTGTGCATCTCTTTAGTATAAGTCTTTTTTTTTCCAAGTTTCTACGTCCTATCTGTTCTCGCGATCTTTCTGGCAGCTCAAGCAGTAACTCATCATCGAGCAGACAAGAACGACGGGATGGCTCAATGATCAAGATAAACATAATAGTTCCGTGGTAACTACACTAAACATTGACATGGGCCATGCCAATGTCTAGATTTAGGAACGTCGAGCTCACGCGCTAGCGATGTGATTTTAGTATTTTTCCAAGCTCTAGCGGGCTCGCAGGAGACCTAGATACGTTTTTTCAACGGCTTCATACGAAAATTTCATGGTGTAGGTAGCAGAATAGAACCGAATGGCTTCAAATATTACTTTAGGCCCCGGCAGACCAACACCCGAAGTGGTATGGATATGCCACGGGACTATGTATTACAGCGAAAAGTGATAGTAGACGAACGAGAACGCTCAATGGTTTAAACACCGCATGACAGCCACGAATCAGACAGCGTCTGCAACCCACGTTCAAGCAGCGCCTCTTACACCACTATAAAATTCAGAATGTCAAACAAGAGGAATCAAACCCTCTGTATTACAATTTTCTGGGTGACACTTTGCAAGAATCACGGCAAATCATGGTTTGATCCACATGCGCGAATTATGGGCGAATAAAAAGATAACACGGCGTTTAAGGAGGCTTGGGCAAGTGAAGGCCGGTGATTTTGTTGGGCTGCGAAAGTTTTGAGATTGTCCTAACCTTGATTTGAGGAGCTGAAAGTTGAGCCAGTTCTCCAAGACGGCTGGGGTTCCGGCGTGGAGTCCCCCGGTTCCCCGATCCCACTACTTAGCTGAAGTCTATCAAATGCGTGCAAGAGCTAGCCGATCCCAGTTAGTCCCAGGTGGATGAGAGTCAATTTTCTCATGTTATGGATACACATTTCATACTTCGGTAATGACTAGCGGTTATACTGTATACAAGCATACAGTGGTTTGTTTGTAAGTACAATACAGATATACTGTACTCTAGATACAGTAAATAATCTAGTTTACATATCACCGGACCATTACCATAATTACGAAACCCCCATGTGACACAATCGGGGTAATGAACCATACCCATGAACTCATTTCCAATACCGATAATTGCACCCACTCGTATTTCGCCTTCCCAGCACAGCACGGAAACTAATTCCAACATTAAGTGGGCCACGCTAATAAGCTCCAACATAGTGGGTCCGATAGCTCTGCCAGAAAGCCCCGAACTGGCCCGAAAACCAGCTCCTGTAGGCACGATCTTTTCTTGATCACACCGCAACAATTGGGCCCCATAATGATGTGGGCCCCATAATGATGCGAACGACCGCTGTTTTATGCGGTGCGGACAACTGTTCAGCTAGATCAATGCCGCTAGACGTACTTTAACTTTGAACTCCTCTTATTGAACAGACTGTTCGTCACGCATATCGTAAAAATGGCATCCGACAAGGCCACCATTACACGTGTTCCATTCGCCGATGCGGCCGGGTTGATCGAGGTCCTGACCAGGGACGGTTGTGTTATCGCCACTGGCTTTACCCCGCCCGAATGTCTGACGCAGGTCCAGCGTGATGTTAGCCCGTACATGGAGGGGTATACCGAGATACGGGTATGTTATAGCCATGCGTTGAGCAGGCTTCAATTGCAATGGTATCGATCAGTCTATCTACAGAGATGTAACATTTGAGTATGTAGAAAGAATTGTTCCCACCGGAATACCGCTGGTGCGGAGGCATTTTCGGCCGTAGCGATACTGTGCGGAATCGCTGGCTGGCCGAAGAAAACCTCGATCAAGTATGCGATCACTTTCTCAAAACGACATGCACACCTCCGGGGGGCTATGATGGTGCAACTTTTGAGACCAAGCCTGTGCTTGCCTTCTCTGTGACGCTTGACATCGGGCCCGGCGCTCAGCAGCAGCCTCTACACCGCGATGATTATCTCTATTTCCATACGCATCGCGACCTGACGCAGACCGGGTATCAGGTAGGCACAGACATGATGATATTGATGTTCGTTCCTGGAGTGGAAACGACCATCGAGAACGGGGCTACTCTGGTATGACGCTTTGACACTACCTGTGTTATTAAACCATTGCTGATGTTCGCAGGTTGTTCCCGGCTCGCACCTATGGGATGATGTGAGAACACCGACGGACCAAGAAATTTGTTATGCCGTCATGAGCCCTGGCGAGGCCTTGTTCGTCCTGGGCTCGACCTGGCATGCCGGCGGTGCGAACAAGACCAAAGATGTACGTCGACCGCAGAACACCTTTTTTTTCACACGCGGAATGTATCGCCCAGAGGTATGTCACGTCATCTCTCTTTCATCCATTTGAAACTCACTAGAACGAATGAAGGAAAACCCCTACCTTACCTACCTCCCTCACGAAGTCCTCGGATGGAGCGAGAAATCACAGGCTCTTGCAGGCATGAACCGAGACACATTGGCCTTTGACCGGACCAATTATTTAGTCCCTTCTGCGTACTATGCAGAAGCAGGAAAAAAACCCACCATTGAGTGATCAAGCAATTGCCTAGCAGATGAAGAGTATTAATTGTTCATGTGTATATTGAATAACATTTATAACAAAGGATGGATGCTAAAACCTCGAGAAAAACTCTACCGCCTGGACTATCTATAATCAAAGCTTCAATCTACTTATCTAAATACTTACCGCCACATGATATGCATGATCCCGTTGAAGAATGGCAGCAATGTGCCTATAATCCGGGGGTCTGTGGCTGCAAAGTGGTTAAATTTGTTCATGTGCACAGCGCCCTCTTTGCACCAATCGCGATCCTCGTCAGACAATGTGGGAGACATCACCGGATCGACAGTGACGCCACGCAAAAGGACTATGACATCCATTAGCTTCCGAATAAAAATAAAAGTAACAACAAAGATCTCACCATCATCAACCAGGATCACTCCTCGCGGAGTCAGCAATTTCCGGTCCAGAATGAGCCGCACATAAGCTTCGTATTGGAACTGGTCGGCATCAACGTAGATTAAATCAAAATCACCTTCCAATTGAGAAAGACTAGAGAATATATAAGCTTTGATGTTATTGATAAGAGATGGAAGCCATAACGTACGTCTGAACACAGTCTCCCTCGATAATACGGATTCGATCCGTGGCTTGGTACCGCTCAAATCCCGCCTGCGCTATGGCGATGAAATCTTTGTCGACATCGAGCGACACAATCTCGGTATTAAAATCACGGGTTGCTTCGTAAAAGGCCAGGGCGCTGATGCCCGTGAAAGTGCCCAGTTCAAGGACTGATCTGTTAGCTTGTATGACATCACTGACGCCGGTTTCTCTACTTACTTCGCTTTGGCCGTTGAGTGCGGGCGGTGCTCATCAGATATGCGCACTGTGCCAACGAGCCTGCCATCTCCCCATTGCGCTCTGTGCTCTTGGCTGTGGTGATCGAATGATCTAGCAACGACTGTGGCAGTTGCGAAGTATTTGCAACGCAGTATTCGCCGACCTGGTCCACCTCTTTGGGCGTCAGCGACAGCATGCATGATTCGCGCATTGTCAATACGGATTCGCGTAGAGGGCAGTTTGAAACTTTGGTTGACACGAAATGGTGATGGCATCAATTGAGTTCTCCGAGTAGTATGTCACATGATGACCTTTCAATCACAGATTCACCATCTCGATGTGGACTAGCCGTTGCCTTTCTAGATCGACACAGATCTTACCCGGTAATTGCTCGGAGCTGAAATCCCATCAAGAGATGGATCGTCCTTGGGCCCGGAGTAATGGAGGGCTGTGATTAGTGTGGAACTAGGTGAGCTGAATGTATGAAGCTAGTAATGATGAAGGTGGAGCACGGGATATCCCGCAGGAGAGACAGAGTTTCAGTGCAGATCGAGCTTCTGATCGGTCCGGATCGCACTTGCTGTAGAACGAGTGGGGCTGTGGTGGCGACAGGCGTCGTATCCACAAGAAGTTGCCCGACTTAGGGGGCCAAAAGTGGGGTTTATCACATACTGTACAGTTCTCGCAGACCCGGTACGGGTCAAACAAGAAAATAACATGGTACTGATACACAGTGGTGTAGTAAGTTCTTGGTACAGTACTCAAGTGAATTGTAAACCTAAGGAATGTTCAATATGGAAATCGTGGTGATAGCTTATGTAGCATAAATATACCTGTTTCCCTGGTTATTTATTACTTACGATAGTCGTAAAGGAAAAGAATACAAGTAAGACACGCTAGACAATTGAGGTGGTTAGCCAGTAGAATAATTAGACTCTCCGTTCTGATTGAATCTATGTTCCAATGATCCACGACTTACAACACAATAGAACCGACAGCACAATGTTGATTGAAACAAACAAAATGCACAACCGCAATGCTACCATGGAGGTTCTGGATATCCGTCTCCAGGGAGAGGACTCAACGAATCTGCGTGAGGAGCTGGTCGCCAGTCTGACAAGGCCCGCATCATACAGATCCATACCATCAATTTTGTTATGGGACGACCGCGGTCAAGAGCTGTTTGAAGATATCATGAACTGCCCACAGTACTATCCCTTCCGAGCTGAATTGGCCTTGTTGAGTGGCTACAGCAGCCAGATGGTGACCGCGACAGGTCAGAGCCGTTTGATCATCGAGCTTGGAGCTGGGTAAGTTTTTTAAATTTTTCCCAGTGCTTTTCACCCACGCGTCCCATCCCCAGGGAATTGATTTTCATGCCAGAGTGTTTGTTAAGAAGAGAAAAAGCTTACAAATGCCATCTAGGAACTGCAAAAAGACATTGGCTTACCTTACGGCTCTAGAAAAGCGACGGATACCAACGGCTTACTTTGCCGTGGATATTGCGCCAGACAGCCTGACCAACAGTCTGGCGCAGTTATCAGAGAACATGAGCAGCTTTCAATACGTGATCTGTCATGGAATGTTGGGATCGTACGACGATTGTGTCCAGCTACTCGAAGATAATGACGCCTTCGGTGCCGAAGACGTGTTATTCCTGTGGTTTGGAAACAGCATTACGAACCTACCGTGGAAGAAGGCAACGGAGTTGATCAATCATCTCCTTTGCACCAAGTCCAGGCGCACTAAGCTGCTGCTATCGGTAGATGGTTGCAGGAGCGAAGAGCTGATTCTGACTGCCTACGATCTACCAGGAGGCCAATCGCGCCAGTTTATACAGAATGGATTGACTCATGCGAATGCAGTGCTCGGCGACGAGGTATTTGACTGCGCTGACTGGGACTTTGAAGGCTCCTGGGATCCCGTATCTGCCATGCACAACAGTTACCACGTTGCCAAGCGTGACCTCACTATCCAAGTGGACGGACAGACAGTGCCATTTACCAAAGGAGAAAAGCTACATGGTATCATGAGCGGCAAATGGGACAGTGAGATAGTTGGTCGACTTTGTGAAGCAGCCGGGGTGACTGTGGAGCGCCACTGGACTCGGCCAGTTGATAATTTTGGTAAGTCTATGACCCTTGTTTTGATGGAAATGTACTGACACAGCCAAGGATGCTATCTCTTGAGTGGAAACCACAAGCCCCGAGGGTTCGACTGACTGTTTCCAATTTCGCTCTGTTCAATTCCGCGTTCATGTCTATGTATCTAGATTGTCTATCATATATCAGATTTTCTATGTTTCGTCGGATGTCTCATTGATTTCGAGTGTATCCCTTGTTTTTCGACTTGGGATGGTGAGCCAGCCTACGGCGTTGAGAGATGCCAGAGAAAGACAGAGGATGGGCCAACCCCCGATCTTCATGGCGACATTGCCCCATGTAGGGCCCACCATACCCGGTACAGTCATGGCGAGGTTTAACAAACCACTGAATTGAGCGACTGCTGTGCCAGGCTCTGACTGCCCTTGTTCGGTGGCAAGATCCATAGATTTAGATATGCTTGCCTGGGGCAGTTAGTCTCGCGGAAAGAAAAGCGAAGGGGCGAGAGTGAATCAAATGGACCACTTACCATTGATGGAACGACGACAAGCAACGTCCCCACGTTCATTACAACGATCATTGTCCCAAAAATGCCTACCTCCACGATGCTGTTGTGGTGGACAAGAGCCATACAAGTCAACGCCAATGCGGTCGCAGTAAAGCCAATGCAAAAGTTAAGCCTTGTGCCATGTCGGTCCACTAATTTGCCGACTAAAGGACTCGCAAGCTGGGGGAAGGATTGCAGAAACCAGACAGAAGACATCTGCGTCTGACTCCATCCAAAGCTTTTCTTCATAAAGGACGGCAGTACCTGCAACGGTCAGCATACCACTTCGAATTAGACTTTGTTTGAAGTCTTCGTCTCACAGCTTCAAGGCATGCCATGCAAACGCAGGGTATTGTCATGGAGAAAAGCATGGTAATGACCTTGCGTTGTCGGATGAGGAAGAGAAATGCACTAGAATAAATTCTCATGCGATGGCCTAAGAAGCTAAGCAATGGCTTATCCTTCGTTCTTTCAGTGTCTGCCCTGGCTTGAGCCAATTCTTGAGAACTATGGTCCACGGTCGCAGCGCTCCTTTTATACCGTTTGCTCTCATAGATCGTTAGATAGCCGCTGGAAAGGAGCAGCGCCTCGCTGATGACCACGATACCGACACCCCCGGCGTACTGGTACAGCGGGCCCCCAGTTGCTGATCCAAAAAGACAACCAAGTGTCATAGCCAGGGCAACCCAGCCCATGGCTGCTCCGTTATCCTGACGCGGAACCTGGACACTGACGAGAAACATACTCGATATCGTAATGGCAGCGGACGCTGCGCCATGCAACCCACGTGCAAAAACTAGCTGACCGATGCCAGAGCAAACAAACATAGGCGGTGCAGAGACTGCCATTAGCCCCAGGGAGATGAGAGTCGATTTTCTCATGTTATGGATATCATTCGCAACAATACTAATGAGGGCTACATTGTATGATTGTTTGATATCTGCTCAGCTTTGTGGGAGGAAATTGCTTACTACCAGAGACTGCTCGCACAAAAGCCCAGAGCCCTAGAATTATAGTCGTCCATTCCTGATCTAGAATAATTCAGTCATTCATTCGAGCATTCACATACAATCGTAGAGGAATTCGCACAGTGGTCAGGGTTGACATGGCTTTGAGCCAACAAATCCGGAATGATAGGAATAAGCTGTGCCGTCCGTTAGTAAGCATGCATGGTGTGTCAGAGGGCCCAAATCTGTTTAGACCCACGGCATAGTTGACGAAGTTCATCTGTGATGAATTAGCTCTGTGATCTGCACGTTGGTCGCTGACTTACCGCAAATAGGTTTAAGCAGGCAATGAAAACGGTCAGCTTCCAGGACCTTGTTGGTACAAGAGGATCAAGCCCGATCAAAGCTGTCTGTTCGTCCACCATGGCCAACAGTATATACCGATTTTATCCCGGAGGCCAGATTAAGTTGGAAGGAGGTTGGATCGGGTAGATTGGAGGGGGCAGTCGCACGTGAACCATGGATGACCTTTCGGGTTAAGCTTGTTACCGTTCACAATACTGTAAGTTACAACTTACGGAGGTATTTTCCCCTGGTCTTCCCGGGGGGTTTTGGTTCACCACCGAAGCACCCCCTTTCTCCCGCGTGGCACGGAGTTTATCCAGTTCATTGACAAGACCGCCGATCGCGGCATCTCCCAAGAATTTGGAATCATTAGGTTCTGGATACAGCACGCCGCGCTTCAGCTCGTCGTAATGATACATATCGGGAGCCACCACACGACGAGTCTTCGAGTAATCGCTTAGCTATATAAGTGATAAGCAATTGAAATGTTAAATACATTGCTAGTCACATTTCACAGTTGCTGGATTCCTAGATTATTGGCCCGCAGCGGGTCGCCGAATTTCTTGCTGTAAATTCTTGCTAGTCTAGACTTCTGTTTCTTCTTCTCGTCTCCCCATCCCATCGATCACCATGGGACGTCCGGGAGAATGGTTGATTAAGTTCAGGCGCTCGCGCCTGCTTGTCATTACGGCAATCTCATTGTCTGTGTTCACAGTGAGTCATCGGTTGTCGTTTCTTGCATGGATGCATGGCTAATTCGCAGCAAATAGGATACCTTCCTGTACACAATGGTATGTGAGCGCCGCGATCGGTAATCCTCGCAGGCGACGATTCATTCTTTCCAGATTGTCCCTATTATTCCGTACACGCTCAAGGAACGAGTCGGTATCGCCGATGGAGATGGTGTGTCGAGTCTACCATCCGAAACCTAGAGCTACCAAAACTGATGGTCATAGCCTTGAAATGGACATCCGTCTTCCTGACAGTTTTCGGACTCACCAATGTGCTCTCGTCGCGTAAGTTGACTCGAACCTGCCGGCTGCTTTATAGACAAAAGTCTTACGATATATCACAACAGCTGTCGTCGGATTGCTCGCAGATCTCACTAGCTCACGACGCGTCTTATTCATGCTTGGTTTACTCGTTCTAGGCCTATCTACAATTCTATACTGGATCGGTCGGACTGTCGCAGTACTGATTGCAGCAAGGGCCTTGCAGGGGGTCTCCGCGACCGTTGTCTGGGTCATTGGATTGGCCATTATCAATGAAGTCGCTGATCCTGATAACCTAGGTGCTTCACTGTCTTGGGTATGGAGTGCGAATACATTGGGGGCACTGTCTGGGCCCTTCATCGGGGGCGTGCTGTAAGTTTTGTGTTTTTTTTGATGTAAGTGTTATTGCTGATCTTGCCAGGTTTAAATATTTCGGTTACCATTCTGTCTTTATCCTGGCTACGGGCTTGATCCTCGTGGACATGGCATTGAGAATGCTGATGGCCGAGAGAAGCCACAGCGTCACTAGACATGTCAGTGATAATGCCTCTTCAGCAGAGGAAGCCCAACCCTCGGAGGAGCGGAGACTTCTCAACTCGTCAGATCAGCTGGTCGAGTCCTTCGAGGGGACCAATACAACCCACGGCTCATACACCACATTCAATTCTGATAGGAACTCTGGTGGGGAATCAAAACCCACACCCGCGCCCTCTCGGTCAAGCTACAAACTCTTGCTATGCTATCCTCGCATCGCAACACTCGCTGTTTCGTCGGCCGTGAACGGGGTGATTTTTTCTGCTTTCGAGACCGTAAGAGCTGCCCACAGATGCCATTCCGAGTTGTGAGTTGAGCAAGCTGACTTTTACAGATTCTGCCTCTTTATTCTGTGCAACTGTTCCACGTCGACTCCGCACGAGTCGGTCTCTTTTTTCTCGCCCTCTCGGGGCCCATGCTGATTTCCCCGTTATTTGGTACGTTTGTAATTCGATTTGATTATTCTTTGCTTCCACTACATTAACAGAACTGACCATCCCAGGCAACTTAACGGATCGGTACGGGACCAAGTGGACGGCCGTGTTCAGTACAATCTTGCTCGGCGTGGCCACTATCCTGATGGGCACGGTCAATCATAACGACATCTTCAACCAAGTCCTACTCGGCGGTCTTCTCTTTTTATGTGGCGTGGGCTGCACCGGGCAGCGCGTAGTCATGTCCACAGAAACTGGGCTTGCTCTGCAGGCGCTAGTCAATGAACCCAGCTTAGCGGAAGCCGAACTTCGGGTAGAGAACCTCACTGGCCAGGCGTATGGGGTTCTGGGCACCGCGTCTGGAATCGGTGTCACTCTGGGGCCTGTCCTAAGTGGCTGGTTACGTGCGCAATCGAGCTGGATGACAACCGTCACACTCCTGGGATTCGTGGCCATCGCGTTGGCCATCCCATCCGTCATGTACACAGGCGGCCGGCTGAGATGCAAGGGCAAATGCCGATCAGCAGACTAATTATTGGCATCTTCTTCAGTCTTATTTTATAACGATAATTCCATCTAAACGGATTTTATAGTACTGTGAGAGACCAGTAAAGAGACCAGGGAACTGTAAAGTAGGTAGAGAGCAATGACAAGAAGACCAGCTAAAGGATCTCTTTCATGTCTGTTTTCATTTCTTTAAAAAACGCCTCCGTAAAGTCGTTACAGGACGCAATACCACTCGAAACTTCACCGCGTCAGGATCTTCCTGGTACTTTAGTTCGACATATATTTAATGCTAGTGCCCATCAGATTTACCAGACCTCTCGAAGACTCCTCGAAACCTATTCACTATATTCCAAGTCATGCAAATCCTGACCCAACTCTCTCGGGCCCTTGCTGGCCTCCAGCCCCTCTCTTCGACTCCCTCCAGCTGCTCTGCAAGCCAGGATGCGGTTTCCAGGGCCGTCGCTATTGTCGATATCACCCAAACTATGTCGCTCTTTGCAGTACTTCTCGACAACCATGCCTACGCAGACCTTGGCCGCGTCTTCACCTTGAACGCCACGGCCGATTTCAACGCGACCGGGATCCCCGTCTGTGAGGGGCTGCCTGCTATTATCGAGCGTCTCGAGGATCTGCGCGATGCCCCCAGCATGATGGCCATTTCCACACATTTTGTCGAAGTGCAGTTGCCCGTAGCAGCGCGTGCGACCACTTACGTCACCGGTAATATGTTTACGCCGGGCTGGACGGAGCCGAGTTTCACTGAATATGGAAAGTATGGAAGCCATCATCCTCGGGAAGGAAAAGTCTTGGGGTCATTAATGCAATTCATTTATAGATACATTACCGATTTTGTTCTGACAGAGGCCGGGTGGCGAGTAGACTCCTTGGTCGCTGTAGGATGGGCAAGTCACCTCGAAACGGTTGAACCTTTCAATTCTTGTGCTAACATTGAGAAGGCTGTTTTTGATCGGTGGGAATCTCGACCAGAATATGCTAGCAAGGTCAAAAGTGAGCTGTAGTGTGCCAATACACCTGCACGTGATGAGGAGAAGCATTCTGTAGGCATTTTGTAATTACTGTTGCCAGGAATTATTCAGTGTGATTCATCGATATATAGACCTGATAAATAAAACTGCAAGCCCCGAACATGGACTTGACTTGAGTCTCATGCCGCTGGGTGATTGAAGAACAAATTGCAAGAGACGGAAACGACGCAAAAGCAAAAGCAAAAGCAAAACCAGAAGCAAAACCAAGAACAAAACAAAAAAAAACAGCCTAAACGGAAGTGAGTGGTAGGAATTTATCCTGTCCAGGTTTTGCTGGAAGGAATGTAGCCAACATCACATCCGGATTCGCAGAAAGATCGTTCATCATCTGAACTGTCATTTTCCGCAACTCTTCTAGTGACTCGTCGTTCAGTAGATACGCTGGTGAGGACAGCTTGAATTCCAGCCTTCCGTCTCCCAGCGACATACTCTCCAGCCCGATATCGTCCTGTCCGTACGGCTCATCATACACCCGTGGAGCGCCGTAGTCTGTGCAGCCTAGGACTAAGGAGGCGTTCCAGTCCGTGTTGTCATGCTGAACCCAGGTTCCCAGCGGAGCATCAGGGTCCCATTCGGTGCAATGCTCGACGATCCTGGACAGCTCCATGCCCTCAAACTCCATGCTGTCAGTGCCTTGCCGCTGAAGAAGCTGACAGAGATCATGCATGCTCCAATCATCCTGCAACTTTGCGCGCACAGGCATGATTTGCAGACATGGGCCCATGACTGTGTCGAAATCGTGTCTCTTGCTGCGTCGTCCACTGGTGACGAGCCCGAAAACAATATCACGCTTCCGTGTCCATCGTGCAAGAGTCAAAATCCAGACTCCCTGGACGAAAGTGGCCAGCGTAATTCCGGGAGGGCTATGGATGCTCCCGACCACTGTCTTGTTTTCGACCAGCTGACTGTTGCCCTCTGTTTCAATGGTGTCCACCGGTGGTGTCGTTAGATAGGTCATCGATGAGCCGTTCAAGAGACATTTCCAATAGGAATATCCACCGCGCTCACCCAGCGCGTCAGACGAGTATACGAAGTCAGAATATGAACGGCGGGGAGGTAGCGGCTGGCCATCGAATGCTAAACCCCAATTACCCCAGAATTCTGAAATGCTGAACCCATCGTACTGCGAATGCGACATGCGAAGGACGAGGTATCGGTTCTGTGGACTGTTGACTGTCATGAATTTCAACGGCGAGGATCCCATAGGCAGCGGCTTCGATGCTCCAGTATCTCTCAGAAGCTGGTCGAGCGCGGCGTCCGTGTCTTCGGAAATGTTGTGGACGTCATGTGGAATCTTAGGCAAGCTTTTCAGAATGACTTGATAGAACCTTTCTTTGTGGAAAGCGAAGAGGGTGCGCAGGACGTCATGCTGTGTGACGAGTGTTTCCCAGCTCAAAATTGCCTTACCTATATCAAGACGGTCTCCGACGTTAAAAATGAAGAACGTCGCGCAGTTCGAAAGCGCAAATTCCTGCAAGCTGGTTGCGGGAATTATATCCGAAACTTTCTCCACATCCGTTTCCAATGGCCGGAGAATGTCATGGATCAACTTTTGTCTAGTGTTGGCCTCATTGGGAAGTGCATGGAAGGGCTCCCATATGTGCTGGCCATTGGACTGCTCCGTGGTGTTCTTGTGACTTGCTAGCTTTTGACCGGCAATTTCAGCCATAGAGCTCAACTTCGGGGCCATCAGAACATCTTGGACTGTAAGATGAATTCCCCGTGGCCGTCCTGAACTGACCAGCCGCATAGCGGCAATAGAATCACCCCCTCGAGCGATGAAGTTATCATCGGCACTAATGCGATCCTTTGGTAGACGGAGAATGTCTGCCCACAAATCGCGCAACTTGATCTCAACGTCAGTGGAAGGCAGCCGATGCTCAGTTTTACCTTGCATCGCAAGTGATACCTCATCCAGTGTGAGCTTGTTTACAGCTTCGCGTAATGCTTTGCGATCCGTCTTGCCTGTCAGGGTCTTCGGCATGCTCGTTACACGGAGGATCAATGATGGAACCATATAGGGAGGCAAAGACAAGGAGAGTGCGTGAAGAGCACTAGAATCTTCTTCTCGAGTTTCTGAAAATGTCTTGAATGAGAATTCCGGAGCGGGAGTTTGGCCTGTGCTCAACTGTTCGCCATTGGATAGAGAGTCCTGCTCGGAGCTGTCTCCAGTGATTTCACTTTGATTCTGATTCTCAACGAAGCCAACTAGATGGCTTGTTCCGAGTAATGAAGCGACTTCGACAACGATAGACGAGTTAACCAACTGGTTTTTGAGATGGTACTCCACATCTGATAGCTCGATGCGCTGGCCACGTAACTTAGTCTGCGTATCTCGACGCCCAATGAAAACGACGGTCCCATCAGTGTTGTACCGAACGAGATCACCGGTCTTGTAGACCCGATTGCCCGAGCCATTTGGTCTGAATTTGCGCAGCCACTCTGGCGGTGATAAAAATGCCTTTGCCGTACTCTCGCTGTCGTTCAAGTAGCCCCGTGCTAAAATTGGGCCTTCGATGTAAAGCTCGCCAACCACACCAACTGGTGCTAGCCGGGATGAACTAGCAATATCGACCACCCAAAAAGTACATCCAAGTCCACGGCCGATCGTTGCGAGTGGGTTACCTCCATCTTGGGCTTCAATCGGATGCATGGCGCAAATGGTGCATTCTGCAGGCCCGTAGCCGTTGCAAACCTGTGCACGTTGTTTCCAAATCTCCACAACCTCGTGCGTTATCGGCTCTCCACCAAGGGAAATCATTTGCATGGTCGGGATATCGTCTTGGCCTAGTGCGTGCATAACTGTTGGGGTCGAAAGCGTAATTGTCGCGCCACTTTCCCGTGCATACTGCGCTGGCTGGTTCATGCGTGCATCGTCGGAGGGAATGCAGACACATCCACCGAGAACTAGAGTGGTCATGTGTTCGTATATACTGATGTCAAAGGAACAAGATGCAAATTGGAGCATTCGTGACTCCGTACCAATTTTCAAAGCGGCCCCATGGGCAAGAATGCTCGTGGAAAGTGCTCGGTGCTCTAGTACAACGCCCTTTGGGCGGCCTGTACTTCCAGAGGTGTAGACAACAAATGCTGGAGTATCAGGGTTTGTGTTCCAGACTGCACTGATGCACGAAGGTAATTGCTGGATGAGATTCAAAGTAACGACAAGTTTCTTAGCACCTGTCTGCGAGAGGTCGAACTGATTTTGCGACGTCTCAGAACACACAAAATACCTGGCACGACTGTTTGACAACATCTGATTGACCCTATTCTGCGGAAGACGATCGTCCACGAGAGTACAGGCAGCCCCAGTCTTCAGGATAGCGAGCATTACAACAGGTACTAGTCGGGACTTTTCTAGACAGACTGGTACAACATCTTCGGGACCAACAGCAATCTGTTGTAGGTGGGTTGCAAACTGCGAAGCAAATGTATCCAACTCCCGGAAAGTCAGACTTCCGTCCCATGCATCCACAGCTTGCCTTTTAGGCTCTGCTGCAGAGTGCGTCTCGATCGATTGGTTCAGTGTATGACTTGCTGCCACGGGACAGGCACTGTTCCAGTCAGTCAGGCGTTCGAGATCAAATGGGCTTAGCATATTAATCTGTTGGAGAGGAACATCCGAGTTCTCATGAATCTGACGAAGAACATGACCGAATTGGTGGAGAATATGGGTCATTTGATCCGGGTGGATGATGCGACTGTTGAATTGGGCAGATACATTGACAAGCTGCTCTCCTGGGGAGATGATGCATTCCATTGTCAGTGGGTAATTGCTGAAAGCCAGCCGAGATTTCACTTCCTTGCCATTAATCAGCATCTCATGGGGTATGTCATTTGCCATTGGAGGTTGAATAACTAGCAGAGATTGCAGGTTGCAGGCGGACGCCGCTTCAGGGCTCATTCGTCGGATATTTTGCAATCCCGCCTGCTCAAATGGAATCATGTTCGACAACTGCTTTTGAATGCGGTCAAGAGCCTGATCAACTTTGAGACTGTGGTCAACCAAGTGTCGAAACGGAACAGTCGTGATGGTTGGACCTGTCATGCTCTCGATGACTGCCACAGGCGCATTTCTCCCAGTCAAAGTCAAGCCAAAAATCACATCAGGCGATTCGGCATAGGCTGCTATAACCATACTCCAGGCTAGATTGATACTTGTGGCCAACAAAAAACCTCTTTTGGAAGCATTTCCCAAGTAAACCGGGAGGCTCTTGGATTCATTTGCCCATTCGGAACTCGAGTTCTGGTGGGACGGAGGGAAGGTAGACGGAGTCGGCCCGGCAAGTTGTGTCTTCCAATATACATCTTGCTTTTCATTATTTGCATCGGTGATGTACTTAACAAAATGGTTGAAATCAACTTCTGGAAGGACCACATCACCCCGATAGGCACGCTCCACTTGGGTGAAGATTTGGGGAACCTGCCACCCGTCGCAGGCCGCATGGTGAGCTGTCCAGATGAGTCGATCTGGCCGTGCAGGTTCGTCGCTCGACAGGATTGCAACATGAACCAGGGGTGCTCCAAGTCCCATTCGGCTGACGATGGAGCTCATTGTAGACTCAGCGTCCAGTCTTGAATCGTCGTACTCCTCAACGATCAGCGGATCTCGCATCACAACTTGCAAAAGCTTAGTGGACGTATCAATAATTCGCGTTCTCAAGATGCTGTTCAATTGTGAAACGGTCTTCCATGCCTCTTTGAGCTGACCTAGCTCTGTACCAGGTGCAAGATCGAAGATCCGTTGCGCAATGTTTCCTCCAAGCCTCTGTTGCCCAAGTGCCATCATGCCTTCTTGCAGTGGGGTGCAAGGTATAATATCATCGATACTCGTTGCATCGATTCCATATTGTTCCTTGACTTTTTGGAGAGCTAGCTCTTGCTGCTCACTCGGCAATAGTGAAAAGGCTGGAATCGGCTCAATCACTTTCTCAGTTTCCTCGAGATCAGTCATCTTGCTCGCCAAATCGGCC